TCGCACGCCTACTCGCACGACAACTCGCACGCCTACTGGCACGACCACTCTCACGCCTACTCGTACGCGCACTCTCACGCGCGTACGGCTAGTGCGGTACGTTAGGTTATAGCGCTTTTCGAAACAAATAACAAGAACACTACTGTTTATTTCAATTGATAGTTTTGGTTTATTTTGGTTAGTTGGCACCGACGGTCAGCTAACAAAACCAACAAATAAAAAAAACTTTCAAAAATATTTATAATTTAGCGGAATCAAAGCGAGAGCTTCACTCGAATTTCAGATTTCTACGACGTTGGCGGCCGCCTTTATTAGGCGTGTTTTACATAAACCGTTCGGAAGACTAAGGAATGGTCCGTTACCTATAATAGGTGAGATGGTCTCGAGCGCGACCGCCGCGTCGTGCATATAGACACTTCTCCCTTCGCAGAGCAAAGTGCTTTTCCGATCGTTAGATCGCCTTCGAGTCGACCGTTTAGCGCGATTAATTGGCTCGCTTAACATTTTCGTATCGTTGGTTTCATTTTTGAAGAAAAATTGGTTTCCTTCGTCGGTACGAGAAAGTAGACCGTTTTTCGTTTGCCGGCGGATCGTCTTCGTAGCAGCGATTGCTCGAGCGTTCGGAATCATTTTAAGGCTCCGCACCTTATACAGCTAGATCGCGAACTTAGCGGGTGTTTGAAAGTAAGATTTGGCACTTCGCGGTTCAAAAGCGATCGCCAGATTATTTTTCTTTTGAAAAATTTGCGATAACTCTCCTCTCACCGAGCGAGTTTATATACAAATCCGGAACGTTTCTTTCGAGAAATCTCGTGTCGCTTACAATCTAGCGAAGAGTGATCGAGAGAATGTCCGAAAATTTCCGTCGATCGACGTACGTTGCGAGTCACATCGATTCGACGCGCCGCATATTAAAGCTTTAATAACGAATGAATAATATATGTATGGTGTCGGGAAGGGTTCCTTTCCGTACTCGTACGCTCTAACCACCAAGTCTGGTTCTATTTAAAAATATTTAACGCGTTTGCCCGTTCGTCGCTTTGCGTGGCGGCGGCGGCGCGCGTGATATTAAGAACAGCTGGTTGATCCTGCCTGTAGTAGTCATATGCTTGTCTCAAAGATTGCATGTTTTCAGCCGAATTAAAGTGAAACCGCGAGACGCTCATTAATCAGTTATGGTTCCTTAGATTGCACACACAATTACTTGGATAAATGTGGTAATTCTAGAGCTAATACAAGCAGCAGAAGTCTTACCGGTAACGAAAGGACCGCTTTTATTAGATCAAAACTGGGTGAAACTAAATAACTTGAAGCTGATCGCACGGTCTCGCACCGGCGACGCATATTTCAAATATCTGCCTTATCAACTGTCGATGGTATGTTCCGAGCTTACCATGGTCGTAACTGGTAACAGGGAATCAGGGTTCGATTCCGGAGAGGGAGCCTGATAAACGGCTACCATATCCAATGAGGGCAGCAGGCATGCAAATTACCCACTCCCGGCACGGGGAAGGTAGTGACGAAAAATAATGATACGGAACTCGCTCGAGGCCCCGTAATCGAATGAGTACACTTTAATCCCTTTAACGAGGATCAATTGGAGGGCAAGTCCAATAGCGTATATTAAAGTTGTTGCGGTTAAAAAGTTCGTAGTCGAATTGTGTCTCGCGCCGCCGGTTCACTATTCGCGGTTTCAACTGGCGCGTCGCGAGACTTCCTGCCGGTGGACTTGGCTCGGTCCGACTCAATCCTGCCGCGGTGCTCTTCACGGAGTATCGAGGTGGGCCGGTACGTTTACTTTGAACAAATTATAATGCTTAAAGCAGGCTAAAATTTTGTCTGAATACAGAATGCATGGAATAATGGAACAAGACCTCGGGTCCGTTTCGTTGGTTTTTGCATTGTAATGATTAATAGGAGCGGATGGGGGCATTCGTATTGCGACGTTAGAGGTGAAATTCTTGGATCGTCGCAAGACGGACGGAAGCGAAAGCATTTGCCAAAAACGTTTTCATTGATCAAGAACAAAAGTTAGAGGCTCGAAGGCGATCAGATACCGCCCTAGTTCTAACTGTAAATATGCCAGCCAGCGATCCGCCGAAATTGACTCGGCGGGACGCTTCCGGGAAACCAAAGGTTTTGGGTTCCGGGGGAAGTATGGTTGCGAAGCTGAAACTTAAAGGAATCGATGGAGGGCAACACCAGGAGTAGAGCCTGCAGCAAATTTGATTCTAAAGGGGAAAAACTCGCCTTTCCCGGACTCCGAAGGGATGGACAGATTAGAGCTCATTCTTGATTCGGTGGGTGGTGGTGCATGGCCGTTTTTAGTTAATCGAGCGATTAATTTCTATAACGAACGAGACTCTAGCCTGCTAATTTTTACCGTCTGCGGACCAACATTTCTTAAAGCGACAAAGCGGCCTTTGGCTGCACGAGATTGAGCAATAACAGATCTGTGATGCTTTGGATGTTCTGGGCCGCACGCGCGCTACACTGAAGGAATCAGCGCGCAGTCTCTGGGTGAGAGGCCCGGGTAACCCGCGGAAAATCCTTCGTGCTAGGGATTGGGGTTCCTAATTGTTCTCCAAAAAAGAGGAATTCCCAGTAAGCGCGAGTCATAAGCTCGCGTTGATTACGTCCCTGCCCTTTGTACACACCGCCCGTCGTTACCACCGATTGAATGATTTAACGAGGTCTTCGAACCGAACCGCCGATATGTTCCGACATCGTCGATGTGTTCGGAAAGTTGACCGTACTTAATCATTAGGATCGTTGTAGTGTTAAAAAAATAACTTGTACTTTGTACTTGCTGAGTCGATAATTTCTAATTATACGTACGAAGTCAGTGGAAGCGAAGACATTTCGGGTACCTGGACGAGCTAAAAGCGCGAGACCTAGCTTTGCGCTTACCGTCGACAAGGTGTGAAGGATTTTCGCCCGAGAATGTATATACATATACGTTAAAAGTTAGGCGCGGGTCGTCTGGAAATAAAAGTTCTTTCGGATAGACCGGCCCTAAAAATTAAAAGTTTGACTTCGAAGACCACTCTGCTCTTCCGTAGAGATACAAGTTGAAAATAAGGCGCAGGTCGTCTGAACACCAAACTTCGTTCGGATAGACCGGCCCTGGTCAGAAAAATTTTACGTCCAAAGCGAATGGATGCTCTTCCGTAAATATATATAATACGAGAGAAACCGCACTCCCGAACTAAGCCAAAAAGGCTTAAAATAATGTGCGCCGGTGGTCGCACCATTCCTAGTGGATTCTTATCAGTGTGACGAGATCCCTGTAACAGGGAAAAATGACACAAAGGCACATGGCGAACGTAAAAGAAAAACTTTTGCGTTCGCCCTTTTTTTTAAATAGTTTTTTTTGAGACCTTACTTGCTTTTAGCGACCGTCGTTAGTACCCTCAATGTACTTAAGGTGACTCATCCTGACTCATCCCATTGGTGGTCCCTTTGTTCCGATAATAATCCTGCCCTTAGTGCTAGAGGATCCGCATTTCGAAAACAGAAAAATGTATGGCGAACGTAAAAGGAAAACTTTTGCGTTCGCCCTTTTTTTTTCAGTTTTCTTGAGACCTTACTTGATACAGTGTACTTAAGGTGACATCCTATTGATGTTCCGTTGTTGCGATAATAATCCTGCCCATAGCACTAGATGAGCACTTCGAAGGCAGAAAGATAGATAGCGAACGTAAAAAATATTTTATTTAAAAAAGTATAAAAATAGTTTTTAAAAAAATAATCTACACGTTATTAAATAACTCTAATGCTACTAGAAAATGGGTTGTATGTTATTAAACGTTCGTGTATGGTAAGGCAATAAGCCGTTGTATTTTCTGGAATGTTCTGTGAAGTTTCAAATTCCAATCGAATATCGACGGAACCTGATTTTAAACTTTCGTTTTGTCTACTACAATCTATTACGATAAATGGTGAAAATTTAAAAAAAAATTGGAATGTTAAACACGGTTCACCCGTAATTTTATTATAGAAAGATTGTTCAAATTGCTCGTACATTTAACTTCTAAACGCCATTTCCAGTTCGCTCCTTTTCTCGACGTACTACAAGAGTCGCAGTTTTTCTATATCGGCTACTTGAATGTGTGGTAATCGCCATATCGCTTTGAATAATTCTATTTTTTTTTTGAAATTATGTAGAACGCCGTAGTGGTCAATGACGATTTCCATATGGATTTTTTCAAGTATATCATGCAGCGATGTGATAAACACGTAAATTCAAAATTGTCTCACTGTAGTATATATTTTAGGAATTTTTGTATTAGGGCTAATAATTTATTCCCGAAAAGGTCAATTTTCAGAGTGTTTCAGATTTTATCCCTCAGCCTCCAATTTCAATAGGTTCCGCTATGGAGCTAAGCTCTATAGGTAGGTAAAATTTCAATTCGTAGCAATGTCCAACAAACTGTCATTTTTACGCGCCTTGTACAGCTCGTGGACTGTTAAAAAGAAGCAAAGTTTGAACCATGTAGCTCAAAGTCCAAGAACGGAGAACGGACTTGGCAAAAAAAAATTGATCATTTTTGTACTTAGACTCACCGTTACCGAGATGTCGAGCTTAGTGAGGAGCGCGTATATTTTCGCAAAGAATCGATTAATAATAATAATAATAAGCTATTTTTCAATACTACATAAGTTAAAACTAAAAGTTTGCAAAAAATAATTTTAAAATCATAAAAGGGAATTCGATGATAAGTCGACTAATCGTTATGAACGGCGGTGCAGTAATTTCGGTTCGTATTGTGCCCGGCTCCGAAAAGTTCGCCCCGGATTTGAAACGGAAGTTTGTTTCCGCGCTCGACGGCCTTGCCCACCGTCGCCGTCGCGTTACTTTTACCGTGAACCGAGAGCGCTTTTCCACTCGGGAACACCATAAATAATAGAATGTTCGCGAAGGATTTCGATATAGCAGAAGGTCAAATGGCAGACTTTGCAATTTGATAGTCGATGCTAGATAGGTATAATCCGAATAGGAATTAGGAAAACGGTGCTTGTTTTAAAGATACAGGACGTACATCGGTTGCTAAATCCGCACAGGACACATGAATTCCTATGCATTATTTCCAAAAAAAATAGGTTAATGTTATCGAAACTAACCCGTGAGTATCTTTTGAATATTTTGTTGCCATTATCGCCCCCTATTTATTACAGTCACCGGCTAAGGTAAAAGTTGACGTCTATCAAATCAAATTTATAAAAAATTTATGAATGACAATGTCCACAACAAATTTTTTTTTGCAAAATAGGTAGGGTTTACAGCTGATGACGGGGATAAAACTGATTATAAGCTGATTGAATTCACTGTGCAATTTGTTCTAGCCAGTTGCGAGTGAGCCTTGGGATAACACATTTATGGGCCCCTACCCCTAACCTACTTTCCAAATAAGATTTCCTATAGCCACATTCGAATCACATAAAAATGTACTTATGGTGATACAAAAGTACTTTAAGTCTACAGCATTGTGGACCTGGTTTCTGGACTTACGGCCCAGAAATGTCCCTAGTGGCCCCATCAAATCTTTTGTTATTGAATTGGTGTAGCAGAAAATATTTGCACTGATTGTTCTCTTTTATGATGTAAAACTGTGAAAATGGTTGAAATGAAACAAAAATTTAAAGAACAGGCATTTTAATAATTATTTCCGAAACATAGTACTTCCGCCATAATTTTTTTCCATCCACATTTCCTTGAGTTTGAGAGTTTGACATGCAATCCACAGTGCCTTGTCTAAGTAAAAACCTATAATATTTTTTATTTTTAGGACAAAGGCAACTTCTATCTTTATACACCTTATTAGGAGATGCCAGTAATTTTTTTAATAAACATCAAACATATTTATTTAAGACTTCAAAAATTACCAAGAAAGGTCATATACCTATTGCCACTTGGATACATAGATTGTTATTTAATATTTGTTGGTGGTCCTTATTAACTAACACAAAGGTTACCTACCGAAAAAATATAAAAAACTTACTAACCACAGAAAAAAATAAAAATTTATGCCTATATTTGATGAATGGTAGGTCCAACATATTGGTTAATATCCTTTCGTACAGGACCTTGTGACAAAAATGGCTCATGCCAAGCTTTTTTGCCAAACTGTATAACCAAACTAATATCTAGGTCGCTCGCTTGCTCCCAGAATTCTAGTCAAGTCTTTCAGTTGTACAGGTACATTCGATTGCTTCCACCTCTGCCTAGAGGTACATACTGAGTTGAAGCAAGTAAGGCACCTTCAGCATTTCTAAAATTAGGTTAACATAATTGAAATTTATTAATATTTATATAGTTTCAGTAGTACAGTGTTTGATCGTACACATTTCAATAAATATTTTTATTACTAATAACTTCTTTACCTTGTTGACTAAATTTGACTATATTCTTTTTGTCTCCTTTCTTACACATGTTCGTAACTCCTGTCTTGTATTTGGTCCTTCAAGTGTTTATGATTATGTTGTCCCTTCCTTAAGATGAACACACCGTTCTCCAACTTTTCCTGATGCTTGATATTTTGTTTCTGTGCTTCTGAGATATCTTTTTGCAATAACTCGAATATTCATATATTTATTAACCTTTAATCCTATAAATTGAATAATGTTATAAAATGCGACGTTTCTGCACTAAACATGCAAAATACCTTTTTTGTGAACTAATATAAAATATTAAATCAATTTTACCTCGTTCCGTTACACCTTCTGCATGTATAATACATAAAGTCGTCGTGAAAAACTATTTGTTAAGGCGATATGTTCCTGTTCTGCATTGCCCTATGAAATTACTACCCACAATTAACTGAATTCCTGTTTAAGAAAAGTAATAAAATGTTAACTTAATAAGATAAATCATTTTAATTAAGTTTCACAATTCATATCCCTATAAAAATCGCTGGTTCTAAACTAAACATTCTGTCTGCTGTCACAAACCACCCCCCGCCCGAACCCGAACGCCGTTCGGGATTTTCGATCGTTTGAACATTCGTTCATTTGCTACCATCTCTTTCACTGCGCTCGACGAGTATTAACGAGGCCGTCGTCGGGCAAAGAACGTGATTTCGGTTCGATCCGTCGGATTTTTTATGTCAAACGCGGTAAGGATTGCATGTTTGTTTTTTGAGCCCGCGCGCGGTTTTGCGGTTTTGAAACGTTGCACGGCGGGAAGTGAACGACGCTGCGCGATTAAAATTCGCATTTATTTTTTGTTTTAAATATTCCGATGCCATCGATAAGCGAATATTTAAAATATATCTTGAACATGAGCTACTACAAGTACAACTGGATTTTTTGTTTTAAATCTTTAACATGTTTAAATTGTTTTAAAAATTAAAAATAATATTTTGTGATGTTTATTTTATAATTTCAATCCAAATTGAATTATTATTAAAAAGAAAATCGTTGGCGTTTTTTTTTTAATTTAGAATGTTTTTTCTTTGAGCGTAATTTCCAAACCATCATCTAATTCTCAGCTAGGAACCAAATTACGAGCCTTATTTGTATCTGAAATAGGAGAAATGGCGGTGAGAATCCTATATTTTATTTCCCCCGTAGTTACAAAAATTTCATTTCGCGTGATTCAAAAATTTTTATTTTTCGTGTTGCACGCCAAATTCCGTTCTAAACAGTTCGTGCGGCGTATGCTGCCATCCAGATCCATTTACGATATTATTTCGAGGGGTTTGCCCCACTTAAAAACTAATAATCTAATGCAGGATGTAGGAAGCGAGCCAGAGAATATTAAACGATAATTCAAATTTATTGAGCCATTTCAACACGCCTACGGCCGAATTTTCTTCCACGTTCTCGCGGAACAATTCGATAAAATGAAAACAAATAGAGAACGTTCTATCTATTGCACGTGCAACAGGAAAATCATTTTGATTAGATTTATAAATTGTCAACAAATTTGCTCGGATGATGAAAACGTTCGGTTCTTCTAAAAGTCGTTGCCTTTAAGGAAAAGTCGATCGGGATTTTCCCGAAACATGTAGTCGTCAAGTTTTCTGGCCCTATTGATGTTGTAATAAACAGCCTTTTATTATACTTTTCGTTTTTTAAATTAAATTAAATACCGTCCGTCTTGACGAATAGAAACATTTATTAAATATTCGGATCATTATTAATTTATGATTTTCCACTTTCTTCTCGCGTTCACTTTCCGTTTTTTTTTTCGCCGCCACATGTCCGACAAAGCATTAGACGAGCTCGGAAAGATTCCCATTTATCGTAATAATATACGGACTGCGTTTAACGCAATTTAATTTTGCGCTCTACTTGCGAATACACTATCTCCCGACGATAATTAATTGCATTTGTTCCTCCTCGGTTGAACCGGAATCGCCGCATCTATCGAGTGTATGAAATGAAATGTAGAAAACGGGCGGGATTTTTGTTACCGATTTATCATTGTAGAACGCGAGAAATTAACGAATTCGGTAAAAAGTGAATAATGCACGGTTTCTAAATAATAATGCGTAACGTGCATACAATAGACAGAAACCGAATTGTGGAAAAAAATAGCTCAAAGCAAATAAATAATAAATATTTGAGTCCAAAAGCACCGTAATAAATAACAGTAAATGTTCAGTTGAAAATGTCAATAATAGAGAAGGAGATAGGGATATTTTACTGCTTGTGTACGAGGATTTTTTACAAGCTGTAAATGAACTTCAAGCCACAGTGTTGCACACATTAAAAAAACACGAATATTTTTTCAATAAATGCAGAGTAACATTTGGTTTTGAAATGGTGGAAAAAGCAAATAATGATGAGGATTTTGAAAAAAATATTTGTTTCACCGATGAATTCAACAATGAACCAAATGTTTAAAACTGTCGGTATTGAAGCCTAAACAATGAAGATCGTTTTGTTCGTACTCGAAATAAAACATATTCAAAAAATAAATGTTTTGTTTTGGTTAGTTTAATATGGACTATAACCTCACTTCAGAAACCTATTTGGACTTATTATAAAATCAAAGCGAACACGCACTAGGGAGATCTGGTACCAGTCCCGTCCATAATTCCCGTATGGTTAGGAAGTACTTTTAACAGGAATATTATTGGCCAAAGGTTCCCGAATCATTTATATCTCAACTTTGCTGTAAAATGTGCAGGGGGACCAATATTTGTGCACCTAACAATTTACGTGGGATTTACTATGCTCCGTTCGGGAATACATCATCTGGTATATTATTAGTTCAGAGATACAAAAGCGAATTAATTCGGAAAACGCTCGTGAATCCAGATAGGCATCGGGCAAAAGAAAGTGTAACGAACTGCCTGTTCACGACTTATTATTATAAATTTCATTGCAACCGCCGATGGAAATCCGATATTTATTTTTTTTTTTGCGAAACGTCGGGTAAAAGTACGATACTAATATCAATGATTACCTATCAACGGAATGGCAGTCGGTTTGGCTCGTTTTTAGGGTTTCGAAAGTAAAGTTAGTGCCAGTTTGGTGGATTTAGAAACATGCGGGATTCGAAAATTTACAACCAATTCGGATTTCGTAATGCTGGTCAAATAATTGTCGTCGGATTAATTAAATTCCGATATAATCAGCAAAAAAAAAATGCAACGTTCTTTTCACTTCGCCACGCTTACAATGCGTAAAAATAGCGTCACGCTACCGAATGTCGTGCTTTTCCGATCCCGAATAAAAATATAATATGTCGAACTTTAAAAAAAACGTATTTTATCCCCCCACGAGGTGGTTTAAACTTGGAATTTTTGTTCAAGGTCCTTTCGAAAACCTTTAAAATCATCGATTTTTTTATTTACGTTTTATTTAAAACGAAATTTTATAAGCATTTTTTTACCCCCTGAAACATTTAAGAATTCGAAACCTTTTACCCAAACTATGCATTGATAATGATAATAATGTCACTCCCCATCCCACTTTCCCGTGAGGGCGTTTCGATTTTAAATATAGTTCCATGGGGGAAACGTGTTGGGAACGGAAGTAGAATTACAACGTTGATGTTAATTTAAATATATTCTTGAGTGCAATGCTCCTTTTTCTACATACAGATATATCACAGCAGTTTTTTTACAAATGATGAAGATACTAGTTGTACCCATTTGCCTATTGTCCACACGGAAGTATATTCAACCGCGGTCGTTTGAAAGAGAGAGTTTTTTTTTATTCGGTTGTCAGCAGATTTTCGTCGACGACCAAATCGCGCGAACGGTCGTAAAACGACGGTTTGGGTTGCCAATTAAACTTGTAAAGTTTTAATGTTTCTTATTTATTTCGCATTTCCCTTGTCGTGTAGTTTTTAGTGATGTTTTAAGACCCCTTTTTCAAGGTCAGTTTTCATTAAGTTAATTAGTACATCGGTTACAGCAAAATTAGCTTTTTGCGGCTTTTCAACATAATAATAATAATAATAAAAAATACATGATTTTTTTCGGAAGATGAATCCTAAAATACACCACACTCAAAAATTTTAGTCCGTAGTATACTGCTTAGAGCAAAATTAGTTCTATTTCATTGAACCTTATTTCATTTCAACAAAATTTATGAAAAAATGTTGGTAGTTAATAGTTTTTATTAGCTCTTTATCATTTTACGAAGCCCTATCCCATCAACATTGGATAAGAAAAATTAATGCTTACGTTTCTGTGATTCTTTTTTTTTTTGATGAGTCACGTTTCTCGAAAAACCCCATTGGCAAGTTCTAATTATTTAGTGACTTAGTTACTGGTATAGTAGTTATTACAAAATCGGCTATTCATTAAACGTTTCCACGTCTCAACAAAATCGGTTGTTTTTTTGAATGTCTCAGGTTTTTTCAAAACATCCTCTATATAACTTAAAAGTTGTAGTTAGTTACTTGATTAGGTAGTGGTAGAATAGTTTAGGAAAATTTGCTTTTTATCATTGGACGTTGACACATTCCAACAAAACTGAATGTGATTTTTTCTACTTGCGCTGTTTGAAACGCTTGTCGAATTTGTCGACACAATATTGTGCACATTTTCACCTTTGTTCTTATCGATCCCCACCTCACATAGACCGGTTACTAAAAGCGATAATTTAAATTTCCAGATGGACGGTATAGAAAAAAACGTCGGAACGAAAATTTCCGGATACCTGGAAAGGAAAAGCAGAAAGGTATGGTCTGTTCATAGATATAAGAAAGTGACCAATTGCTTTTGAATGGGCGGTCATTAACATACAATGCAACAAGATTATTACCTAAAGTTTCGGAATTTAAATTCAGGTAAAATTATGGTCCGTAATAGAAAATAATTTTATACCTACCTGTGTTTAATAATATTCTTTGGTTTGGTATACTACTTAGTTTTTTAAGTTTATTAGTAATCATTCTTATTTCGTGTGTAATGCAGCGTGTGTTGAATAGTGTGCGAATTATGCAAAATATGTGCGAGCCTAGTGTATTTCAGGAGATGCTCCCTTCCAAATGTAGAAAACACTATTCTATTGAGACTAAGAAAGTTACAAAGAATGTTTGTTTGACTCTCATTGAACGTGGTGCCTTTAGAAGAAACGGCCACATTGACGAAAATTGTGAATAATAATAAGCGATGCTGACATTTTCTCGAGTGTATGTGATCAAGATATAATACGGCGTAAAATTTACCAGCTATGCGAGGAACGAAGCTTGCCTACATTAGATATCTTAATTAATAGGCTTGAAAAAGATGAAACCCGGGTTAAATGTGACAGAACTACCTTATAGAAGTGTATTCAACACATGGGTTTTAGATTTAAAAAAATTGGACAAAGGCAAGTTTTAATGGAATCTTTTAGAATTCGGAAATGGCTACTGGAATATCTAGAAAAAAATAGGATTTACAGAGAACAACAAAGGCCAATTGTTTACTTGGATGAAACCTGGTTCGACACTTGTGATACCCTGGAAAAGGGTTGGGTTAACTCAACTGTTAAGTGTAAAACAAACGCGCCATCAAAAAGAGGTAAAAGAATAACTATTTTGCATGCTGGCTCTAAAGATGGTTGGATTCCAAATGGACTTTCTCTGTCTGCGAAAAATATTAAAAATTCTTTTCTGGATTACCATGAAGACACCACCGCTGATTTATTTGAAAGTTGGTTTAAAAACAAACTATTTCCATACATTCCTCCAAATAGCGTAATTGTAAACCCCTTCCTCATGTGACACAAAAGCAACAATCCAAAACTACATGTATAATAACGACATTTATATTCACGAATATTATACCAAAAAGCAATTAATTGAGGTTCTCCAAAGCTTGAACCTTACCACTGTATATTTAATCGCATTGAACATGTTTGGCACCAACTGAAATCTGCCATTCGTCGTAACAATGTTTTTCGCCGTGTTAACTCCAATGTCCTCAAACTTATAGAAACCGAAGTTTTTAACATCCCTCCACAAAGTTGGGGAAATTCTGTTAAACATATAGAAAAAGCAGAACAATCGTATATCCATATTGCAAATAATATAGAACAAATAACAATTAGAACAGGCGATGATAGCGATAGTGATACTGATATATTATGTGAATAATTTTAAGTAATTTAAGTAGGTAATAAAAATAATTTGTAATTTTATGTTAGATTTAAAAATGAATACATACATAAATAAATAAATATTGTTTAGTATCTTTCCTAACAAAACCCCAAATAATTAACTTCTAAGCAAAGTAAGGACATGTTCGGCCATATTTCATTCTTACAACTTTCACTTTCTTATATCTAAGAACAGACTTTACTTCGATAAACTTGTCGTGTTTACTGTAAAATTCTCGCCGGGCGCTTTCAGAAGATGATGAGCTGCTACAAGAAGTACTGGTTCGTCTTGGAGGGCAGACTCCTGCTGTACTATCGATCGAAGGACGAATACGAGGCTATATCGCCATGCAAAGGGTCCGTCAACTTGGGGCCGACGTGTGCCGTCAAGCCTTGCGCGAGGATCGGGGCGTTTCAAATCGTAAGCAGGACCACGACCATCACCCTGGTAAACCCTTTCGGTTTTGGCATCGACGCCGTAGCCAGACGATGGTGCGTTTTAGAGGGCCGAGACCAGGGAAGATCAACACAAATGGATGCAAGCGTTGACGGGGGCGTTGCGGCCTAGCGAAAGTCCCGCGAGGCTGAGCCATTTCCGGTATTCCTTAGGGGAGTTGAGTCCGGAGCCGAAGAAGCCGCTGGAAAGGCAGAACACCATGCCGGAACGACTGAACGCGCCGAGGCGCGCCAATCCGGGGATCATCGAGAAATTGCAAAAGTTGGGAGCGCACTCTTACTTAGGTACGAGAAAGTTTTATTACACATCATAATAATTATAACACGAATATACGTGTTTATAGAGCTGGCAGATGCTTGAGATGTTAATTATTCTAAGATCGAGTAAAACAACTTATACGGGGTGTCAGTAATTAAGGTGGGGATTTTTCGGTACATTTTTTTAAAAAAACTTCATTTAAACAAGCTATTATCTTGATTCGGGTTTAAAGGCCGTCGTCGATTGGAATTACTTCCTAACGTTTCGCTAGCACGAGTGGCGAGCTTTTTCAGAGGTCCTTCCATCTCCGATATTGGACGTAGACATCTACGAATCCGAATCCCGAATCAAGATAATAGCTTGTCAACGGGCCGCGAAAGCCTTAACCAATTTTTCATTTAAACATGTACCACTTTAGATATATTTTAGTAAAATTTGGCACTCATGTAGGAGGCATTATTTTGTGTACCACTAACAAAATTAATTCTCTGCACAGTCATAACTTTTTATTTTGTTATATTATTTCATTAAAATCGCAAAAGGAAAAAGGACAGTCTTCTAATATTCGTAGGAGTTGACAAAAACGATAAGGAACCACACGGTAATGAGCGTTTTGACGACCCTCATTTTAAAAGTGATGTCGCGACCTGCTATTACAATTGAGCCGACGTCCTTTTTCAGCAAATCTTTGTCTTTTTTTTTTTTTTCAAGAAAATGTCCACTAATCTTTATAGTTCAATAATGATTTATAATTCTCTAACATTAAGAAATATAATATTGCAACCACGAGGCAGAATATTTAGTTTGTGTTCGTCTGAGCGAAAAATTACAATATTTTTAAAACGTTGAAGGATTTGAAATTCAAAATTAGCTTACTAGCCAGGGAACTTTATAGATTTTTCGATGACCAACGTTTACAAGAAAACTCAACCTTCGGCGCGCTCGAATGAAGACGTGGCGATCAGCGATCCCAGAAATACTCTACTGATTGATAACGGGGACTATTCAGCCCAATGGGACACCGATAAATTTTACGAAAAGATACCCCAGGAAGCAACAGTCCCAAGGTATATTAAGTGGCGTCAAATGTCGGAAATATCCACCTTCTTCCTTACACTTTTTCACTCGATGAATTGTTGGACAACGGGACGACACTGGACTTAAATCATATTTCGATATTTTAGGTCGGACATCGATGCACGCCAACCGTCGCTGCTGATCGAAAACGTCGAATACGTCAGTATTTCGGAATCTAACGGCCACAAAAACGAAGAAGAGAAAATTTACGAGGAACCGAAATACGACGTCATCGATTACAACGAAAATTCCGTGACTCTGGGCGATTCGCCCGCTGACAAAGAGAACCCTTACAGCGTACCCATCTTGAACGGCGAATGCGAGGTTTCCGAAAATCCCAGAATCGGCTCCGCGTCCAGCGAAAGTTTAAACGAAGGTACGGAATACACGGAAGTGCCAGATCCATCGATGTGCGCTTTGGAAATAAAAGAATGTTTTTTTTTAATGTTTGCCATATTTAAATTATAACAAGTACAAGTACTTGCACCACATTAACTTAAAATTTTGACAAACGAACATTTAATTTGGCGTTTTTATGTACGCCCGAACCAATTATATATTAGGACAGCGAAGCCAAGTTTGCAGTCTTCCTCCCAGATGTCGCGACTTTTTTATTTAAAGCGGCATCAAAATTGACTATTCGTTTCCCGACGTAGAAAGGACCACCGCGAAATTCTTCGGGGGCTTTGTAAGGAGGAACAAAAAAGACGGCACGGAAGGCAGAAAGGCGCGCCTAAAAAAGTCCGAAAGCTTCCTGCAAAGGGTCTGGAAGAAGAAGACGAAAAACCAGAAAAACAAAACCGGCGAGCTGCTACTGGCGAACAACAACATGCTGAACGAACTTGAACTGTCCGACGCCGGTACGATTAAGATGCTGAGCGCTTTGCAGAACGTGCTGGAGAGCAAAAAACCCATCATTCAGGTAAACGACGTACGGTAACCTCAATTTTACCGGTTAACGTGCACTTTGCTTTATTTTCTTTCAAAACTGACGTACAACGAGATGAGAGAGAATATTTTCATAAAATACTGTCAAATTTGTCATCTTCTAGTACTAGTACAAACTTACAGTAACATTAAGAATTAAATCGCTAAAAGTTTTTTTTCCGTTTTTTTAAATATTTATCGCATTTGGCATTTAAAGAATGTACAAGATGGCCTATCGGAAAATTTCGTGGATACATCAGCAATCAAACTTTTTTTTCTACTCCCGTCTGTAAAATGCCTAATTACACACCGATCTAGCGTGCGGCGAGCGTTACTTTACTACGTCGGTTTTGTTTCCCGGGGATCCGAGCCACTTCGGACATTTCCGGGATTTTACAGCACGGGTTTTCGGAGATATATACCACACCTTGAATTTTGACGTTCGTCAATTCTGACCGTCATGTCAGTGAATGTGTTCGTATTGTTTCGCGAAAATATACCCAAAAACTAACCGTCGTAAAAAAGTATAGCATGCAAAACGTTCGGTAAAATTTTTCAATCACCATTTCCATTATAAACATGACGAAAAACTTGTGTTTGATAGTTTTTTGGAACCTAAATTTAGTCATTATTTCTTGTTAGTTATTTTACTGCAAAAGAAAATTGAAACAATTTAAAAAAAAACAACAAATAATGCAGAAAATACCAATATGGGAAATAAAACAAATTGGAAAATTAATTTCTTATTTGCAACATTTAGAAAATATATAAAAATATTTATTTTTTATAATGAAACTTAATGCGTCACTCGGTAAATATATTGATGACAGGGTTCGAAGATTTACGACCATATAATTCGACGGTGATGTCCGCAAAATGAAGGGTTTGTTTACACAGGTGCAGACTATTATCGCCGAGCTTGCTCGAAGAATATTTTTGCGTTTTCGGTCTGTCTTAATACGTTGACCATGCCATGCCATTGACTGACTGTATTATGGTGTTTCCGGATAAATAAACGTTTTGAGGAGACTACGCCAATTATTTTCTTACACTAATATATACATAATAATAATATATACATATGTACATTTTTTCTGTCTTTATATTTTATTTAGCTATATAAATGTTTCATTTTTAGACATTAACCAAATTTATGTACTTTAATAACTATTGGCAGACATCATTTGTTTGTTTCGTTGTTTTTTTCTGCCACACTTCGTCGTTTTCTTGGGTCAGTTAATAGGTTCAGCATTTTTACAATTGAAAAACGATCTTTTGCAATTGGTCATTATATATAAAAAATGTTAGAAAGTTCCGGAAAATTGATAATTATCTATGCAAATAGTTCGTATTTGCGTAGATAATTATCAATTTTCCGGGAACTTTCTATCATTTTTTACATATAATGACCAATTGCAAAAGATCGTTTTTCAATTGTAAAAATGCTGAACCTATTCATCGTCCGTATATAGCAATATAACATTTTAAATGTCTAAGTGAATCCAAACAAACTTTTGTCTTCGCGCCGTCTACCAAGCTTAAGTGAGATTAGCTAAATCGTAGGTGAATTTCGTTTTGGTGAAAGTAAAAAGGCTTTTTTGAGTCTTCTTTTAATTATTTTGGAAGCGAACGGAATTTCTGATTCCAGCAAACCTTAATCGGCGAAACGAGAAAGAGCGAACTCGGTCGAGAGACCGCGCAATACGCGAACAGTCCCTCTTCTATCACAGGGGATGCCGGATGTCCGGAGTTACCGCCGAGAAATCAAAAACCTATGGCTGCATCCCCGTACCCCGACGCCCCGAAAAGTGACCAATTGATCGGCGAAACCGTAGACCGGTCGGAAACAAACAGCGAAACGAAGGAAGAGACGCCGCGAGAGGGCAAAGTTAGGAACTTGATCAAGAGGTTCAGCGAGGAATTCGAGGGCGTGGAAATACGGCACAAGAACGCGTGGAAAAAGCCGGCCACCGACAGGAATTCCGGGGACTTGGACAAGCTTCTGGACGAACTGTCCAAGGTGGCGAGCGCGCCGATCATGACCCCCGGAGTGACCACGAGCCTCGTCGATCCCGAAATGCCGGACTCCGAGGTAATCGCCGTCGTAGTTTCGAATATTTCTTTAATCGCGCCATCTAACACGTGCGTCCGTTGAAACCTCCGTTTCTTAACGAGAGCAATATCCAAATTACTAAACGAGGTAAAATTATATAAATGATTTTCTTTCGAGCGTTAAATTTTACTCGCATCCGATGAATCGGTAAAGATAATTTCAAATCCCAACTGGAGAGGGGATATGATAATAAAACTCGGAAATGTGAATTTTTTTAAAATTGTTTTTATTCACATAATTTTCGGTAGTTTTCAGAGCAGTCAGTAGGAAAATAAAGAATCAAATAGTTTTATTTTGTAATTTAAAGGTTAGGGCGAGAAAGGGTAAATTTATGATGGCCTATCAAAGATTTCTCGACGGCTTGTCGATTCCGATGAAAACTTTCAGTATTTGCTGCGACATAAGTGTGGAGTGTTTGGGATATGGAAACAAAATGAAAGTCATCTTAGATACAAACACTTCTGCTCTACTTCTTTTGGCCGCTTTCCTGATATTTCGGGAAGTTTGTCTTTCCATTGACTAAATACTCATTGCCACTTCAAGGCTAAAAGCCAGTCTTCCCTGCATTAATGTTTGTCAAATTAAGGGCAAGCAAGTGCAGTTATATTAAAAAAACGATCATTTGAGATAAATTTTATCCTTTTGACCTTTTTTTTTTTCATTTTACCGTGCGACGCCAGGTAGCCGTATGAGTCGACTTTTGACAAGGCGTTAAATGGATGACAATGATCCAATATTGCCGGGTCGACAAGCTTTGTTCGCAGGCAAAGATTTGATAGGATTCTGTGGCAATCAACATTGAACTACGGTCAAACATTTAACCTCGTCTTATTTCTTTTGAAAAAAGGGAAAGATAGGGAATATTTGTTTTCGGTTTGGCGAGATTTTGTAAGGATATCGGATCTCGTACTAAATTATTCTTAGTTTGTGCGATAGTTTTTAATTTTGAAGAAAGCGGAATCGCACACTATTCGCGACACATCGCATTTTAGAGACTAGATCGCGTCAAAAGTCGGCACCCTTGTTTTAGTTGCTAAAATTGATACCTATAAGGAGACGGCGACTGTCAGATCCGGATTACGACGTGCCCCGGTCGCACAGGCTCGTGAACTTGCCGACGCGCCAAGAGAACTCTGTTACCGGAACTAGATTTTTCGGTCCAGCTTTGGACCCCGTCGGTCTCGCCAAGTAAGAAAGATACGTTACTTGTGCTAAAGGAAAATGCATGTTTGGCGTTTTTCAGAAGCCGGAAGTACGACAGCATGACTCCAGATTCGTTAGAAGTCGATCCCAATCGGGATATATCGTATCAGTCGCATGATTATCTCAATATCATTAGGAGCAGTCATCACAGGATCGAATATTTTGTCGAAAACAGCTTGTACGCCGAGCCCAGATCGTCGGTCCGGTGCGATCCACTAAAGGTCGCAGAAGACCCGGCCAACGATAGCGTTTTCGATGACTCCTTGGAGATGCCCATCCAGATTGCACCATGAGTACCTCGCAAAGCGCGTCTATTATTTTCAACACCAAAGAGTGAAATGCCACTGTCATTTTTTTTTACTTTATTTATGAATAAATACGTATTCAGGAATTGAAAATTTATTAACGGAGTATCGAATAGATAAGTAAGTTGTGAAACTCATATGACTGTAATAGGACAGCATCAATTTGCTTCTTCTTTACTTCCATTGGCCACATCAAGCAGGATAATAGGTTCATTAATTTTAACAAATTGCAGTAACAGAAAGGTCATCACAAATATGAATTTCCTTTGTGCAACGTAGCCGGCTCGAAAATTACGAAAATTCCCGCAAGTTGAGATTGATTGCGTCATTAGCGGAACAAAAACATCGTTTTTTTCACTTCCCTTTGATGACCTCTCCTCTTTCGTTAGTTTTGGTTAGTCGACGTGCGAAATGCATGCATGTTCTATATAAAAAGTCAAAGTGGTCCTAGGGGGTTGATATTTGGGAGGATGCTAGAACTTGCCGATGCGCTACATATACATCAAGATATACACTTACAAGTACGTACAACAAATTTCAGCATTCAGATATATAAAATTCCCGACAGATCTTAACAGCGATTGCGCGGGATTACTTTGTTTCGCCAAAGCACTTTATTCATCAGACCAACCATTTAAAAATCAATTAAGCAATCGATCGAAACAACCCTGAAGATAACATATTTGCAATCCAATCGGTCGTTACTTTAAAAAGGCCTAATCTCTCACCCATGTCCAGTATTACCATGCTCTTTCGAGCTTATATCAAATAATTTCAAAGCCCCAACAGATAAACATGTCTCTAGTAGATGCATTTAAAAGGTTTGCCTCTGACGTTATTATGATAAATGCACGAGCTGCAGAATAAAAAGTAAAAATTCACTCCGGGCACTAAATAAGAATTGTCAACTTTTGATATTTCCTGCTGTAACGAAAAATTCGCGTTTGCCATCCTAACTGATCTCCGTCGAAAGCTCTTCAGCATGGAATACCGTGCAAAGATTTGCACAACATAGACTGACAAAATGTTACTCTGAAAGTATGCATAGATTAAGACGCCTTCATTTTTCTTATTTACAAGATAATTTTAAGGTTGATACGTTTCAGAAATCTTAAAAATCTCCAGTGACGCTATGACACTCTACAGCTGAGTTCCGACAAGAAACGCATTAGTTTAGAAAAATTAGACGCTTTTTTCAATAGATGGTGCCACGAGATGCAATCCTGCCTGAACCCGATGTGGGGAGTATTAATTAATTTTATTCCGAAACTTCAATTGATATATAGATGGCGCCACAAAGCATCCTGCTGTAGGGCTCGGGAGGCTGTCGTCCGATTACGATTAGATAAAACAAGAACTCGCACGACAGTATCTATTGGCGCAACTACGTAAAAATAAAATAAAATTGTGCGTAACGTCTCCTCTTCTTGGCGCAATTAACTTCTCTGTCAGTCCGTCCAATAAACCAGCGACCACGGACAACCAAAAAAGACTCCAAAAGAATCAGAGATCAAATCCCCACATTGCCTGTCCGTTCCCGCTAAACACGTTGAAATTATTTTTCCCGATTTTTTAAATTGCGTTACGATAAAATGCGCTCACTTCCAGGTTTGGATAAAACAGCCCGACTTTTTGTGGCTACGACAACTCGAGTCCATTATTTTTTGTGCAAATAATCGCACTGACAAAAAATAAAGTTAATTTTTAAAATGACACACTCTATATTAATTGCGCGGCCGTTTTATATGTTGGAAAATTGATTGAATAAATGTAGAAAATTATACCAAAAATTGTCAACACATTTTATTTTTTTAATAAAAAAATAACACTACTTAAAATAGGTCTCATTTCCTCTTTTTCTTCTTGCCACCCTTTATCCTCTTTCTCACTCCGAGGGCGCCTTCCGTATCGTCGTCGTCATCCCCGCCCTTCCTCTTTTTGCCCTTCTTTTCTGTCAAGTCCTTGAGCTCCGTTTTAGCTCTCTTCTGAGCCTCTGCCACCCGTTCTTGTAACGCCATCACCTCGTCCTCCTCGGTCTTAAAGAGAGGAAACTGCTTCCCGACCAAATGCTCTATTCTCTGGTAGAGTTCCACGTCGTACTGTAACCGGCCGAAACTTAGTCCACGTTTACGCTTGCACAAAACTTAATTACCTGAGTAACAAAAGTGATGGCCTTGCCGGATCGACCCGCCCTGGCGGTACGACCGACACGGTGAATGTAATCTTTACTGTGCGTGGGTATATCGAAATTTATCACTATATCTACGTGGGGAATGTCGAGGCCCCTAAAATTACAAAAAAATTTAACGTTCTGAAAGGAACCAGGAGTAATATAATTCATTTTATTTAAATATTACTCAGAGGTAGTGACGAATAATTTCATTAATTATCAATCAACGTTGTATCCATCATTTCAAAATTACAAAAAATATAAAAATTTAAAGTGACACAAAAAGTAGGGCCCCAAAGAAATCACACCTTATATAACCTCTTTTTCATAAAATATTACTCAGAGGTTGTGACCAAGCATTAGTTAATAATTTTATGAATTTTGAATTAATGTTGTATCATATTTTAACAAAAATTACAAAAATAGTAGGGTTCCCTTCAAATCATGCCTAACAGATTTTTTTTTTAAATATTATTCATGAATTGTGAAAAAATAAGATAATTTATCAATTAACGTTGCATCACATTAAAATTAAAATTACATAAATAGGGTTCCAGTTATTTTTTTTCATAAAATATTACTAAGAGGTAGTGACCAAGCAAAGGTTAAATGTTTCATGAATTAAAACATATTAAAATTAAAATTATACAAAACGTAGCCAGGAACCACCACTAATAAAGTTTTTTTTTCTTAAAATATTACTCAAACATGGTGACCACAAATTATTAAACGCATCATATCAAAATTAAAGTTACACCAAAAGTGTGGTTAGTTTTGGCTAGTTAGTTGTGAGGAACCAAACCTAATAGAAGTTTGTCTTAAAATATCATTCAGAGTTTGTTACCTGCTGGCCACGTCGGTCGATATCAGGATCGAACGATTTTTGGCTTTAAATTTGTTTAGCGCCGCGAGCCTCTTGTTTTGGGACATTTGACCGTGAAGGGGCACTGCGGTGAACCCCAGATAACGTAACAGTAAGGCGGTCCGGATCGTGTTGTTGCATGTCGAACAGAAAATCATGAAACTGTTGCCGGCCAGCTCGTTTAATATGTGCACAAGATAGACGTCCTGAAGATTGGGGAAAAATTGTTTTCGCAAATCCCGTTATCGACGTTACTTACCTTAAATTTTACGGGGATAAATATATAATACTGCAACAGCTTATCTACCGTTTGATACTTGGTCGACACTTCCACTTTGACCGGATCCTGCAAGCACGCCCTCTGCAATTTTTTAACTTTCTTAGTCATCGTGGCGGAGAACAAAAACGTGCGACGCTCCCTCGGGATAACTTTCAGAATACTGTCCACCTCCACCTCGAAATCCATATTTAAAATTCGGTCCGCTTCGTCCATTACCAAGTATTTGAGAGCCCTGCAAACGTTGCTCTCGCAAAATGTATATTATATAACGAGAAACGAACCTCAAATTAAATCCTTTGGTATTCTTCAAATGGTCGACCAATCTGCCGGGCGTCGCGATAATAACATGTGGTTTTTTGGCTAAAACCAGCGCTTGGGTAATCATGTCCATACCGCCGACGATAACGGCACTTTTAACTCCAATCCCGGCGCCTAAAAATGACAAGGGCCCGTGTTTTTTGCGACAAACTTCCCGCATAAACTCGTAAAGTCCGAACGAAACTCAGAGGTAGTGACGAAATGATAACCAAAATCATTTACGATTCATAAAACTTCAAAATTGCACATCATATAGAACGCTTTATATGCTTAATTAGTCCCTTAAATGGCAATTATTACCTAATGCTTCGAATTGCTCGGATATTTGAAACGCCAATTCTCGGGTGGGGGTCAAAATTAACGCAAAATGACGCTGCGGATGCTCCAGCAACGCTTGCAAAATTGGCAGGGCAAACGCCGCGGTTTTTCCAGATCCCGTTTCCGCCAGTCCTATTATGTCTTTCCCCTGAAAGGCGACGGGAAGCGCTTCCCGCTGGATTTTGGAAGGCGTTTTCCATTGCAACTGTTCGCAAGCTTTACAGAGGACTTCCACGAGACCCTAACGGATAACAGCTAACCACGTTAACGGTTTAGGTTAGTTTCAACACGTGTGCTCACCAAATCCTTCCAACTCACGGGTTGAGTTTCTGACGCGTCCCCTTCCTCTTGCTCCAATTTATTATCAACTTCCGCGTCGTCACGTTCCTCCATTTTCGATAATGACGGTGAAAATCACACAAAAACCCAAAATTAACGCGTAACTTAGAAATGGTGTTATCAAACGCAACCACGGAAAGTTGTATCGGCTGTGATCCAGTGTTGCCGGTTCTTTTGCTTGCTTCTCTCCATTTTATTTAGAACGCGCACGTGGGAGAGAAAGAAGGTGAAGATGCAATGGCAACAATGGAGCAGAGTTTAGCATTCCGTGTGAACAGTTTATGGACTGTAGGCACTTCTCGTTTCCTCAAAACACGCGCAGGAATTTCCAGTTCCATTGCGCTTTTCACGTACGCGGTAATTAGCGGAAAATTGAGCGGATATTTTCCCACAGCGAAGACAGAAGAAGAGGGGCGGCCTGTTCTGTGATCGAATAAGTCGTGTCCAAAAAAGAAGAAGGCGTTCTTTGGTAGAAATGTATAATTACAATAATCGTAACTGTAGCCGTAAACGCAAATCATGGGATTTAGCCAGTAGCCGTAAATGAATTCGCTTTTAACGTGTTGGCTACACTTTTTGATTCCGTCGTTGACGTTTCCGCGTCTCGAGTGTGGTACGCCTGCTGGCATGTTCGCAAACGGGAAACTATAATGTCCGCTACGGTTGGTAATTCTAAGGTCGATTATCGTTTGAATAAAGCGTTTCCGAACTGGGGTTAGTAGAAAACATTTCACGGGACGACGGTGTATCGTGGTCGAGCGTGTCGGCGGCACTCTGCGTTGCTATTTTCTGTAAAATTCGGCTCGGGAAATCAAGTTCCGCGTTCGAAACCGTCCCCGTCGGGTGACGTTTACGTCCGATCGCGGAATGAGAGTCACGTTAAAGGTCTGTGTCCGCGATCGAGTGAAATCGTAGTGTTTTTCTTCACGCGTCCTTTTTTCCGAGTGATTTTTTTTCGAAACATGTCGTGACGCGGCGCTTTGGTTGGTGATGGCCTCGACGTCGAATTTTGAGGCGAGGGTCCTCATGGCGAAGGGAAAACGGGCGACGGCGGCGTACATTCACGCGGACTGCGCCGCCGAACGAAACCCGCAACACCTCAACGAAGTCCTGGATATTTTGCTGAACCCGTCGAAATCCATAATCGACTGGGAGACCATCGACTGGTGCAAATGGCTCATGGCGGGTGGCAGGACCCCCAACGAATTCGCGAGCACAGGTAAGCGAATGAAAAACCGTCGGTTTAACCTCGCCGATGTCCTTGCCCGTTATTCGCTCGCCCCGAATGACTCACGTCCGAAATTAAGAGACGTTTTTTGACGTTCCGAAAATAACGCCGAGTTTTCGGCGTGCAATTTTGAGTTTTTGACATCGGCACCGCGCGTGAATAATTCGGCATTGGTTTAACAGTGGCTATAATTCGGAACGAACAAGTACATTAACCAAAGTAAAAATATCGCACCAGGACGATCGTTACTTATAATTTATGGCAAGTGCAAAGCTCTCCTTGAAAATAAACCATATAAATTACGCGGAAACGTAGTCGGACGCTTTATTTATTATTAATATTTTATCTGCATATTTCCCGATTACAGAACTGGACTGTGACATAACTCGCCAAGGAGACTAAATATACTCGTTTATGCAAATTATCGCGAGCGAGAGAGATATACTAGTAATAACGTAAGATTTATGGAGATCGAAGAACGTTTCGAAAATTAATACAAAAGTCTGCGTCCTCAGTACGAGTTCCATATCGATACAAATATCGAATACGTATCGATATAATTATAGCCCCGTTTTGTGTAAATCGTTACAAAGACATTCGAAAATTATTTAAATATATTGTAAATATACAGGGTGCCCCACTGCCTAACTGCCATAGCTTGGGAGAAACCCCTTTATTAATTAGTTGTTCAAAATGTCCGCCCAGTTGATGCATACAGCTCTTAGAATTGAAGGCTCAGGATGAGCACGAATAGTTTCTACTGCATCGGCAATTCTAGCTAACAGTTTTTCTCCGTTTTCAATACTGTCTGCATTAAGTTTTCAATCTTCCACATAAAAAGTAATCTAAGGGATTAAGGTCAGGTGCCCTTGCTGGTTTGTATAATTTTGATGAAGAAATTCTGTTACTTGTCGACCAAAGCGAGGAGGTGCGCCATCGTGCTGAGGTATTGGGAAAGGAATTAGAGGAATTAGTAACGAATTGATGACCATTAGAGGTATTAATGAATGAATATTAATATCTATTAAATTTTTAAATTAGAGAATTAGAGGTGTTAGTACGGGAATAAGTTACCTAAAATTTTAAATTTAAATGCATCGCCTAGTTACATGTTTTTGAATAAGGGAATTAGTATGTATTAGATGTATTAGCCAAGGAATTATTCGTTATAGAGGTATTAGTAATGATATTAATGTCTATTAGAGGTATTACTAAGGGAATTAATACGTATTATCCTTTTAAAATTGGAAATTTACAGATATTACTGGGAATTAGTGGAATTGGTGACTATTTTTGGTATTAGTAAAGGAATTAATGTGTATTTGAGGAATTATGTGTCTAATATTGGAAATTTAGACTCATCACCAGGAATTAGTGTTGAAATTTTTAAATGAAAAAGAATTAGAGCGGAGTAGGAATGAAATTAGTATGATTTAGAGGTGTTAGCAAGGGAATTAATGCTATTAGTTATTAGGAATTAGTGTACAGATTTGTGAATTAGGAAATTAGTACCTATCGCGGTGTCCCATCCAGTACGGATTGTTGCCCAACGTTTCGGAGGTCGTCGAGATTTGCCGCCGGCGACGCTAAAAGAAGCGAAAAACCTTTGTGAATTAACACCACATATCTTGGTGCATATACTTAGATTGGAATAGTCAAGGTTACAATACACGACTTGGGGTCGAGCCTACCGATACCTATTTTATAATTCTCTCAGGTGATATTGGAAAGAAAAAGGCGTTTCATTCGTAAACGCGTTACTTAATGCCGTTTGTTTTTTTTTTAACCGTCGTCGTTACTGTTCGAGCGCTCGCGCGCGCGGCGCTGAGACGTCGGAAGCCGGGGTTGAAAAATATTGTTATAAAGCTGACCGCATCAGCGGTCCCAGGGACGGCGGCACTCAATTTATTCCAGCCGGTGGCCACCGCTCTTGCTCCGGTTATATAATTAAACATAATTCAGACCGGTTACGGGCAAAAGGCACTGCTAATTAAAAGGTTCGCGAGCGAAAAAAACGATGTTAATTATTTCGGGTTCGCGGTGAAAATTTTACTCGTTCCAGGGGCGTGTCCCGTAAGCTTTGAAACGGGGGAGCGTTACAATAAAAAAAAACTCACATATGACCATCACATCTTACTAATACGGCTAATGCGCACTAATTCCATTATTACTAGCTTTATTTCGTTCCAATTCCCTAACTAATGCTTCTAATACCTGCTAATTCCCTAATTCAAAAACTTGCACACTAATTCCTAGTAACGCTTCTAAATTACCAATTTTAGATAATTAATTTCTCTAATACACATTAATACCCGTATTAATTGGCCCCTTATTAAAACGTCTAATATCTATCTAATACCCACTAATTCCATCTATCGTATCTATAACATTCTAATTCCCTAACTAATGCCTCTAACTCATAGGAATTCCATAATTCAACAACTCTATACGCTAATTCTTAGTAATTTTAGATCATTAACTCCTCTTATACATATTAATTCCTTTGCTCATACTCATTCCGTTATTAGTACCTCTATTACCCTCTAATTCCCTAACTAATGACTCTAATACCTATAAATTCTTCAATGCACATTAATTCTTTTATTAATAGCGTTAATAGGCACTCATTCCGTTACTAGTACCTATGTTGCCCTCTAATTCCCTAACTAGTGCTTCTAATATATTCTAATTCCCTAATTCAAAAACTTGTACACTAATTCGTAGTAACTTGTAGAAAGTTGAAATTTTTTTATCTGAATCGAAATAAAAAAATTACTATCTCCTTTCAAGCATTGCTAACATTATTCGATTCTTTTTTATCACTGTATATGAAGATTGGCTTGAGGCGTCAACGAATTTGTATTGCTAAAAACGCAAATATATTGATTACTGATAACAGGAAAGTTTGTGGTTTAGATTTAGACGGTAATGAATAATATGGAGCTCGTACTTAAACTGAGTTGATTTTTTTTACAAAGTTAAATACCAAGTACGTAATATTATTGGATTTAATGAAACTTTCTTCTTGGTTTTATTTTTATTTTGAGGTTATTAGATTACTAGGGTGAGCGTTTTGCTTCTGAATAGAATGATTAAAATTTTGGTAAAAAAAACCAAGGAGCACTTCGCTATTCTTATTACTGAGTTGGCCGCCGGTGCTTTCCAAATTATAATATGTAACTAAAAAAAAAAAGAAAATTGATTGACAATTTGGTTTTCAAAAAAATATTTCTTTTGAATATATTTTCGAGTTCGCCCAGCATTGCCGTCAATACAAGATAGTATAAATCTTTTTGTTTATTTTAAGATCCCAAATGTCGTTACCCTCGTGGTTACTTTGAACTCCGACGACAAAGAGCTAATGACACTTTCGTGGGACATTTTGATTGGTAAAAATATCGATCCTACTCCAAACAAACAAAACTGCGAGAAAGTGGATAACTAGCGCCCTTTACAAGCAATCTAAAAGCAACGTTCACCTTGACACCCAAAAACCCCTTCTTCCGAACTTTTACGTAGTTTTCTGCAAAACTGATCAAATTATTATAAAATAAATAATAAATTGAAAGTGGAATTTTAACACCCCGTATATCGCGGACCGCCCTGTGTAACAAAGAGGCAACTTTCTTTTCCAAAAAAATAATAATGAAATTGAAAAAAAAAAAAAAACGTAAAAAATTCGTCAATTCGTCAATTTCTAAAAATGCACACCTTTTAATGTTCTTTTTTCTAATAGCAAAGAAGCCGGAAAAAAATGAACAAATTGTTACCGCAAACTACTTATTACTATTGGTAACGATACATACGACTTTTAATCGCACTAAAGATGGCCATACACTACGCTCGCTCGTAACAACCGTGGCAACCATACTAACGGTTCTACTAACGTAGAAACCAAAGTTCGTGGAAAAAATGCCGATACATCGATTTCCACCCATGAGCAGAGCTTTCAATTTAAAAAATATATAACTTCGATATCCTGTGTATAGATAAATAGGTATGTAATACTAAGTCGACTAATCGAACCCTATTACGCGTTAAAGTCGATTTTTCTGAAATGTAAAATGAAGAACTGGACCAGTGACGTCATCGAAATCTTCACCGACAATAATTCCACTGGGGAAAGACGATATCCCGAATGGACTTCCTGTCCGAAATTCGCCTTCATTCGGGCCTGTTTACGCCGCCGGTCGCCGACCTCCGAATATTTTCGCTGGTCGATGCCGCTTCCCGACATATTTCGCGCAGATAATAACAATCCCAATATACGAGACTCCGTTTTATTTTTGTGGAGCTTCGTAAGGCATAAAAATGGTAAAATCTCGGAACCCAGGGCCAGTCAATGAATCTGTATAACAAGTGTTTGACTGCATTATTAAAACCTCAAATAAAAATGTTAAAAAAAAAATTGCCCGATCTCGATTACAACAATTTTTATAAACAATTTACTGAAAAATGAAAGGCGCAAGGGGAAAAAATGTTTACAGTAAAGATCTTAATTTTATATGTAATAAATTATGTTTGCAGAGTAATTTATTAGATTTTCGCAAAAAAAATGATTTACAAAAGAAAATTTAACCTTAACTATATCGATTATTGTCGTCGTCGATTTCGTTGATGTAGATTGTAGGTAAATGATTAGTACAGCTATCACCATTGCATTCTAAGCAAGCTGCAGTGCAGTTTGTTGAATGTTGCAGAAGCTTCATGAATTATTGCTTCTTTGTATCATCCGCAAAAGCCTTACATATTTCATTATTTTTTTGGAGCCAAATTTTCTATGAAGAGTAACAGCTAAAGCCACTTGCAGTGGTGATATAAATGAACGAGGCCTTACTGCAGATTATATCGCATGAGCTATTGAGGCGCATTTCGTTTGATAATGATTTATAAACTCTGGTTTACCTCTTTTGTCATTTAAAATTATTTCTGATAAAAAAAATGATAGAAATTTTGGTATTGTCTCATGAACGTGGTTAAACATTTTATCACTAGCCGGATACATTTTATTATAAACCTCCGTCCGAATGTGTCGTCGTAAAATTTCACCAGCAGCCTTCAAAATACAATATTCTTCTTCTTCATCATCTTTTGACCTCTGACTGTACCAGTTATCGGACAATATTTCATATTGTGGTTTTTTAAAACATATGATTGTATTAGATCCAAATTTACTGGAGAATACAATAGTATCCTCATAATGGTTCATTAACCTCATTTTTATCGTTTTATCATCAGGAATATGATCAATTGTCACAGTACTTTTTAATTCTGCTAGTGAAAACTGGCAGTCATCATTTTCTTCAATATATTTGAAAATCTGCTCCATTGCTGCATCTACTTGTATTGTGACCGGATGAATTTTTTTACCCCTCTGGGTCTGTTTTACGGTAGTTTTCAAACGCATATAACAATCCGCGTGATACTTAGGTAGCCTGAGCTAAGTATCGGCTGAGATCTAACACACCTACAATTCTTGTATGGATATTGCGACAATATTCGCTTTTCTCTTCGCTTATCAAATTTAAAATAGTTTGCTTGAACTCAGAAGTAGTTACGTAGCTGATTTACTGTCTTACCGTTTTGGACTTTACATTACATTAAGGAAAAGCTGCAAATGAAGATACCGAGATTTAGCACTTTTTACGATTGTTTTTCTTAGACTTGGACAGACACGAAAAAAAAAAATCAAAAAGTGAAATGGCGAAATTAAAAAAATACGAATGTAGCGCTGGAGGCCCAAAATACGCGCACCTTGGTACAAAAATTTTGGAGATATAATTTAAATCATAACTATCTGATTGCGGTTGTGAAAATAAAAATTATGCCCATTTCAGTTTGTCTTAGTTGAAGTAAAAAAAGTAATTTGAATAAAAAAAAACGGCGGATTCCTATTTTTAAATTAGATGCTAATTCTTAGAAGGGACGGCTGCGACCCCAAGGGTCGATAAAAATTATTAAAAAATGCCTTTAACTTTCCGAACATATATATCGAATTCCTTTGTCCCAATAGCTAATACTCTCCAAGAGTTATTTTAGATGTTTATTTTATTATAAACTAGTTTGATCGATTGAAATGAAGTTGTTTGTTTCAAAGCAATAAATACGTTTTTTCATTCCTGGTTTATGAATTTATTTGGACGGTAAATTAAGTCGTTTCATAATTTATCGGGGCAGCGCGCAAGTTTTATGTTTATTTTTCCATACAGCCAATTTCATTAATTATGTTTTTGCGATAATGGAACTAGTTAAGCCTAGGCCAGTTATTTATGATTGTAGGAAGTAAAAGTTTTGCAAACGTGTTTTTTTTTTAACCAAAGCTACGATTTAAAAAATCTTTTTACTTTCACCACTCCTTTCGGGGAGCGCTCATCTTTCGACGTTTCGAGAACAGTCGCGCAGGTCCTTTCGGTCTCCCGTACCAACGCGGGCCGGTTTTTTTGGCAAGGTCAACGCACCGAAGGCTAAGGTTGGGACGATAACGAAAGCGACGCGGGCAACGAGGAAACAACGCTCCGGCTCGCCGCAATACAAATATGCGCGAGCTAAAGCGGATCACCCGCGTAAGGTTTTGCCGCAAATTATCTTATAATCCTTAAACATAACCGAACTAACCTGCACTTTGCGCCTGTTCTTTGGAACCGGCGATCCTCGGCACGGTCGACCCCGGTTCGCGTGAAGATTTAACCGGTTCCAGAAGTATTTCGAATACTATGCAACTTGGAAACCCATAAACGGCGGCACCATGTCGTATTCTGGAAAACTGTTTCCAGCCGGGAGGACAAGATGGCGCACATCGATAAAAGAAATCCCTGTAGTATTAAATTTTAATTTCAATTAAATTTAAACATAATTTTGAATATTCGCCAAACAGGAGCGAAGAATTCTACAAACGACGATCGACGGGAGTTAAATCCGGTGTACCGATCCCGCGTTCTTCGTAACACACAAAGTAAAAGCGCTTTATTCTCCGGTCTCCTCGTAAAATTGCACAGACAACCGCCATTGCTATCAATCGGAGCATGTCAACTTAGGGGCCATCTGGCGTCGCGTCGTAAAATTAATATCAGGCACATATTCCAACGGATGCATGTTAGATTCCGCAACGACGCATTCAACCTTACCCAAGATCTGTGGTTGTGTCAACTAGCAATTTTAGTATCTATGACCGCGTATGATATATAATCAAATGTCCCCCCCCCCCCCGCTTTGTGTATTTGGAATGAATCCCGAATACCGCAAGCGTTTTATAAATTTTCCAAAAAACCAACTCGTTTTCAGTTCGAGCATACGACAACGCCACCACGTGCGGCCTGGTATGGACTCCGAATTTTGTGGCGTATCGGTGCCGCACGTGCGGCATATCCCCGTGCATGTCTCTATGCACGGAGTGTTTCAAAAAGGGCAACCACCAAAGGCACGACTTCAACATGTTCCTGTCGCAGGCAGGCGGCGCCTGCGATTGCGGTGACACCTCCGTCATGAAGGAAACGGGGTAACTTGCAGTCGTTCTCAAAGAATTTCGATGGTTAATCACGCGTGTGGCCCATAGATTTTGCGACCGGCACGGACCCAACAAGGTGTCGAGCAAGGGCAGCGCGCCCACCGACCTCATGTGCGTCGCGGAAGCGATGATGCCCAGGATAATCTTGAGGTTGCTGCAGCATCTGAGGGAGAACAGCAGGCACAGTTCGCCGGACGGTTACAAGGAGGCTATTCAGTTCGCGGACGCCTTCATCACCATGCTGTTGGATTTCAACAACATGGGGGGCCTCATGAGGCGAGTGATGACCTCGGCGCTCACGAATCCTAATGTAAGTTTTTTAATTTGATAGCAATGACTGTATATTTACAATATGTGCAAAGTCTTTCTTATTTGTATCTACTCTCATTACTGGCCGATGACGTCATTTTTTGCCCGAAATCCAATAGCCGCTGACGTAATTATACGTCATTTTTTATTTAAAATCCAGTAGCCGCTGACGTAGTAGTACGTTTTTTGACAGAATAACTTTGTGCCATCAAACAGTCGATTTATTTTAAGTGTTTTTTTATCATTTTTTAAATAAATGTAGATTAATTTATTATTCAACTTGCTTTATAATGCAAGAAGACGATTTTGAATGGAATATTATTTGCAATGCGACTAATAAGTTTTATGCTGATATATTATTATCTGGGGATGAGAATGATATAGGTGAGAGCGATGATTCAGACATTGTAATCAATACTAAAAGAAAGGTTTTACCTATTGTAAGTGATTCAGAGAGCAGCGATTCCGATGGTACAGATTTTAAAAACGAAAACAATACAACTACACACTGGTCCGTGGATGATAGTGAAATAAATATAAATGCATTTTTCGGAAATGATCGTGTTAAAGTGTTTCCAAAAAATCCTGAAAATATACAAGATACAGTGGACTTGTGGGTTTAGAAGCAAAAGTTTCAGAAGGCCCATTAAAAAGAACTTCTCGTGAAGATCCAGCAAGTAGGCTTTCAGGAAATATAAAAACACATAGGTTTGGAAAAAAAAAGTTCGGGAAAATTTTTTTTCCACAAAAACGGTGCAAAGGTTGCAAAATTCACGGCATAAGGAGAGAAACTTGCTTTATGTGCGGATATTGTGAAATTCCTCTATTTGTTGGAAAATGTTTTAAGGACTACCACATTAAAAAAAAAAAAAATTAGAAATGTAATTTTCAAATTTTGTACTTTTTTGTCCTAATAATTGTTTGAATTGTTTGTTTTATTTAGTTACTATAGTTTTATATGAATAAACGGATATTATTATTTTGTTTATAGCATTACTCTTGTTTAACCCTTAAAGAATCAATGGTATTAATTTAAACATAATAGCTTTGTATCGCGGCGGATAATGCAGGTATTCTTCGAAATTCAAACAGGGCCCGGTTCTGCGGCAGCTCGATTAAGAATTTTTAGCGGGAGTTATAAGTACTTTTATTATGTAGGTGATTGAAGCACTTACTTTTTCGAAAACTACTTACTGAGTTAAAAAAAGATAAAAAAAATTACAATTTTTCTTATTTTAAAAGTAATAAGAATTGTTAAAAGAATAAAATGCATTTTTCTCTAAAAAAAAATTTTCTTTGTAGATAAAATGTTATTTTATCTTTTCCTTTGTTTCACAAATGTTGCCTTTGGATACTCATTTTACGAAAATTGGAAGTTGTAACTTTTTTCACCTCATATGCAATTTTATACTTTTTTTACAATTTGACGCGATTATTTTTTGTTTAATGTAATCTTTCTGGCAGCGATGTGCGGAACTAACGTTGCTAAATAAAATTTGTAACTTTCAATTTTAATTTAAAAAAAGGAATTATTACTTTTTTTATTTTTTTAACCAAAAATAGAAGTTTTATTTTTTTATTGTGATTATTTGTTTTTTTGGTTTGGTTCTATTTTAAAAAACTTCATATGAATATATGTCCTAAACGTCTTAACTTTTTAACAGACAATTTTGTTAAAAATTATTAATAGCGGGTAGTGTTTTTTTATTGAAATGAGAATAATGGCATTACTGTAAAAGTAAAAAGAATAGTCTCTTTTTTTTCTGAAAATTGAAAACTAAAAACTAGATATTTTTAATTAGATAGATATCTAATTTTTCCTAAAAAAAAGTTCAGTGGCGATCTAATTAACCAAAATATTATTTATTCAGTTAATCACTGATTTCCTTTAAAAAAATAACGAGATTTGCATTCATTTATGAGCAGATTCGATCTCTTAATTTTTTTTTTTTTAGTCCATCGCGCATCATTTAAAAATAAAAACTAATTTCCGTCGTCCGCCGTCATATTGACTATATTGTTATGACCATGCGGAGAAGAGGTTTTTTATAATTTTTTTAAAGCGAAAACCCTACACCGGATTGAAAAAAATCAAGAAATCAAATTTCTGTCTGCCAAAATAAACATGTGAAATTCCGTGCTGGTGCATTAAAAAAAATCTCGGTACACTAAATACATAGTCCATGTGTGCCAAACTTCATTAAAATATTTAAAGAGGTATTACAGATATTTAAAAAAATATATTTTATTTTTGAAAACTTTACCATACCGTTTGTAAGTTTTCTTTTTAAAATCACTTTCTTCCCCTCACCTAAACCTTTCGCAATTGATTCCTTCACCACGCACGGGTGCAGTAAAGCGATTTCTTCCTTAGAAATACAAAAACCTGAACGAGGTGCCGGAGGATCAGAGCTCCGAGTACACGCAGTACCTCGTAAAGTCGCGGCAGATCTACGAGGAGGCGTTAAAATCGCTTCCGAACCCGGAACCGTGCGACGAGCTCAAGGACTGCCTGTCGCTGCAACGGAACCTGGTGCACAGGACCTTCCTCGAGGAGTTGGTTTTTTGGACGGTCAAGTTCGAGTTTCCGCAGAAGGTGGGGGAGTGGCGGCGAAAAGGGTTCCGCGAACGATAACCCACCCCGTCGTTTTCAGGTCGTCTGTCTCTTGCTCAACATGTTACCCGATCCCGACTACAAGGAGGCTCTCACCCGCGCTTTCGTGCTCCACTACAGCCGCATCAGCATCATGCTGGAAAATTCCGCAGATCCGGACACGCTGAGCAATCGGGTGGTGCACGTGAGCGTGCAGTTGTTCAGCAACGAGAGCCTCGCGCTCAGGATGACGGAACAACTGAACCTGCTCCACGTCATGGTCATCAGTTTGAAGTCCATGATGAGCAAAATCCTCATACGCAACACTTTGCACTGTAAAAATTGCCCCCGTTTGTCGATTTTGCGGACGTTTTTTGAGTTTTCGTATCGTAGATCCGGACGCGAACTGTCATTTCGTCGTGGACTGCGCCAAGTCGGTGATGAAGGACCACTGCTACTGGCCTCTGGTGTCGGACTTGAACAACGTGTTGTCTCACCATCCGGTCGCGCTCAAGTTCATGTCGGACGACACGTTGTTGGAGATGTGGTTCGGTTTCCTCGCCATGTTTCAAGGTATTTATAAAATTCTATCGCAATAGTCATTATTAATAGCGGTTGGCCGGTCGAAATGCGAAAATAGTAATAATAAAACAAAATAAATCAATAATTTTTTAAGATACTAACAATAACAACAATAAATACGAACCTCTCGTTCAAAAATAGGCACTATCTCCCTTTCGTATTGCTTACATTCCCATTTAAAGCTTTATTCCTTAATATAACAGGCGGCGTTGTTGATTATATTGTTTCAAACTCTTATAGGAGGACTCGTTATTTTGACGATAGTTGGTAAAATTTATAAATAGTTCTTACTAATCAAATTTAGTATGTTTGTTATCTTTACAACAATATTTTTAGTTAAATTTGTAACATTGTGATCTGCGAAGAGTTGAATTTGATGCCTTTGCGTAATCTTCCCGATTATATATATATATATATATATATATATATATATATATATATATATATATATATATATATATATATATATATATATATATATATAATGTTTCGATGTTTAAGGGATGAACGTGAACCAAAGGGAGCTGAACCAGCACATCGAGTTCGAGCCGAACACTTACTACGCCGCTTTCAGTGCGGAGTTGGAGGCGAGCGCGTATCCGATGTGGGCCCTCGTCGCTCACCTGACCGACGAGGGTACCGCCCATTTGACTAGGCGCGTGCTGTCCGCCTGCCTCCGCGAATGGTACGACTGGCTGGACGCGACCAATTACAAGGGTCCCATCGTCGTAAGTACTTATTTGCCTAAACTATTCATTTTGTCTGCAACTGTCAAACAAAAGTCAATATTAATGAAAAATAAGCCAGAATTCGTGACTTAAGACTGCATTTCCGAAAACAAGTCACAATTTACGATTTAGGTTAAAATTTCTGAATAATAAGTCAGAATTTTAGAAAAAAAGTCAGAATTTGTGACTTTCGTCTGCGTTTCTGAAAAATATGTCAACATTTGTAATTTAAGCCAGAATTTGTGACACCGTAAATAACTGCGTATTTATTGAGCTTTTGGATCATATCTTACATTAATTATATCTAAAACAAAAAATATATAGATTTATTTATTTAATTAACACATTTTTAGTTTTTTTTCTAATTAATTTAACGCTTTGTACATTCATTAATTCAGCTTGAAGAGCGACTTAAGTCAGCATTTCTGAAAAACAAGGCAAAATTTGCGATTTACGTCAGAATTTCTTCAAAATAAGCCAAAATTTCTGATTTAATTCAAAAGTTCTGCATAATAAGTTAAAGTTTCTGAAAATAAGAATAGGTTTCTAAAAAACAAGTCCGAATTTCTGAAAAGACAACTTCTGAAAAACTAGTCATAATTTCTGAATAAATTTTAAAGTTTTGAAAAATAAGTTAGAATTTCGGAGAAACAATTCCCCATTTATAACAACCTAAGTCAAAAATTCTTGAAAACAGGAGGGAATTGGTAATTTAACTTGGAATTTCTGACTTAACTCAGAATTTATGAGAAACAAGCCAAAACTTCTGAAAAACAAATCGGAATTTCTGGAAAACAAATCGGAATTTCTGAAAAGCACGTAAAAATTATTTAAGTCAAAATTTCTGAAAATAAAGTTATATTTTCGGACTTACCATGCAATTGTCTGGTTTTTGTAGGAAGACGGCATGCAAGTGTCTTTCCACTTACCTCTGCACCGTTACCTCGCGGTTTTCCTTTGCCAGGGCGTCGCGAAGCAAGGTCTCCGGGTCGAAGAAATTTTACCCTCGTCCGACGCTATGTTGACTTTGTTAATTATGCACCCTCTGAGAGTACAGGTAACAAATCTTTCATATTTTTTTTTCTTGCTAATAGTTTTTCATTTGGAATATCGATTTATAAAATACGAGTGGCGTAATATGAAAAGAAATACGCGTTTTTTAAATATTTATAATATAATAATCACTTTATTTGGCACTTGACTAGCCAAATGTACGTGTTTTCTTTTTTTTTAAACGCCACAAACTATAACAAAGAATAACGGCTTATAAGAAAACTTATAAGGTATACAGGGTCGTTCAATTTATAACAGGTTCTAAGGCAGATAAAAATAAGTAAAAAAGTTCATGTTTTAAAATGCCTTCTTTTGAAAAATTTTTGAAATTCGGAAAGAAGCGAGCGCTTATTTATAATTATAATTTAATTAATAAAATTAATTTTTATCATTTGTTAATGGTTCGTTTTTTTGTCGAAAAATCCGAGGGACCATTTTACTTTGAGATCGATTTGGGTATCTGAATTTACTAATTAAACTACTAAAATAAAATAAAAGTAAAAAATGGGAATTTGGAGTGTGATTTAAATGGAATCGCTCTTCCAATTTTGTAAGAAACTCGAAAAAATCTAGATAATGGTCAGCGTGTTCACATCAAAAAGTTTGGACTATGACGTTAATATAAACCGTGAAATTTTTAAAAAAATCGATAACAATGCAAACTTTTTTTTTGGCCAATTTTGGTCAGTTTTGGCAAAAAGTGGGAAACTTAATAATAAATATCCAGAAATTAGTCGTTGTTATTAGTCTAAAGCTTCAGGAACTTCAACATGTCTATCAAAAATACTACTTAGTACTTAGTAGTAGTTACCGTTTGGATCAGCTCAGTAAATGGTTATAGGTGGCGTTTTACGAAATCCTCAACGGTCTGTGGGTACGGAACGGCCTTCAAATCAAAGGCCAAGCGATGACTTACATCCAGTGCAATTTTTGTAATTCCATGGTCGACGCGGACCTGTACCTACTTCAGATCTGTTGCACCCGAATCAATACCGACCGCTTCATAAATATGATCATCGATCAGTGAGTGTGAAACCATTTTGCTGGTTACGGCACCCTCCCATACGTCTCGATAATATTTCCAGGTTCCACGTCAAGGAATTTATGAGTCTCGTACCGTTCCGGAATCACCAGAACCCGTTCTTCGAGGGCGAGCACGACAGCCCGATGCTGGAGAGTTGTCTGACGTTTCTCGCCACTTTGGTCAGCGTGAGAACCAATTTGGGTAACTATTTCTTATCTACTTGAAGTTTGAAAATAAAACGTTTTAGAAGGATAAAAGGCTGACCAGTTTCTTTAGAACGTCGTCGACCCTATGGTTTTGGTATGGCACCTCGTATAAATACACATTTTTTTGTACAATTTCTGAGCCACAAGTAGCAATTTCTGAAAAAAAGTTTGAATCTGAGAAATATTTAGAACAGTTTCTTACAAATTATGACTTAAGTCGGAAGTTTTGTTTTTTTTTGTTTTTTTTTCTTCAAAATTGTTTTCAGACTCTCTGACTTGTTTTTTAGAAATCCTCTCAACCTTTTTAAAAAACAAGGCACTTCCGAAGCTACCTCATATGAAATTTTTCATTTTTGCTGAAGAAAATATATTTTTTTAACAATTAGGTTTATATGTACAGACTGGAAACTTTTTAAGTTAAAAATACATATTTTTTGAGATGAACGTACATAATTTTGAGAAGACTTCAACAAAGAACGGGTAAATAAGAATTTAGAAAGGAAATTCTTGTTTTTCCATCGGTCTCCAGGGCGTGTAAATTTTTGCAGGGTTGCCCGACACGGTCCTTAACAGATTGGAAATGGTGACGTTGCTCTGCATGGGCGACAAAACGCACTCGCAATTGATGGAACAGATGCCCGAGAGGTGCGGCACTCAGAGTCGCGACTTCGAGGCCCTTTTGGCCGAATGCGCCGATTATAGGGCCCCCGCGTTGGAGGCCAGCGGCAACATGCAGCAGGGCATGTACGTGCCCAAAACCAGCGTCTGGGAGAACCATTACGATCCCATTCACGTGCTGCTAAGGGCCGTCCACCGGAGGGACTTTCAAAATTCCATCGACAGATACACGGAATAGTAAGAACGATTTTGTAAATTATTATCCGGCGTTATTGAGGAAATTTTTATGGCATTGGAAAAATTGGAAAAATTTTCACTCATTTGAGGTGCCTATAGCCCTGTGAAAACACCTGTCGCCAACCTGCAGTAAAACAATGATTATAAACTACTTAAAAATGCGGTTTGCTGCATCTCGCGACATTTCAGCTGTCGTCAATCGAACAAACTGAAACCCGGAGTGAACCCGTGGCCCCCGTTCCGGACTCCGGCCAAAGTCGGTTCGGGATACAACGATCCGCGGCACATACTCACTTGGAAAGTGTTCCATTCTGTCGCTTTCGTGGTACTTTACAAGGCGGTCAAGGGTCTGGTGTCCGAACACGTCATGGCCCTGATAATTTTCCTGCTGGAGCAGGCGGTCAATGTTACCACCGAATCCGACGAGACCGTGAGTCCTCCAACGCCCGGTATAAACGATTCTTCATAGTTATATTCATTTTTTCCACGCAGTACTCGAGGTTGTGTTCGACGACCCCCCGACACTCCAAGCTCCACCAGATTGTCGATCTGGACCTGTCCAATTGGTTCGAGACCGGTTACGTGTTCGATAATTTCAGGACCGTCATTCCGAAAGTTATTTTCCCGACCACTGTGCCCGATATAGCACCCATACCCATATTTTGCGGTTCGGAGAGTAAGTTTTATTTGTTGGTGTCCTAGAGTGAATAAAATCCGGGATTTGGTGATTATGATCGATGAAAAAGCGTTGTTTTCCGAGCACATTAGGGCTACGGAAATTTTGTCATTTTATGATTTGCCTATCCCCCCTCATATCAGTTTTACATCTTGATCGAATAAGTACATTGTTGAAAATACTTTCTCAAAAATGAAATGTTGCAATAAAAATTGATATTCAAAGACCAGACGAGAATACAATTTTTTAACGATTATTATTTCACAATTTACATTATATCTTGAAAACTGTATATCTCATTGCACCCGACATATGGGGACGTATAGCAGAAAAAGTACGTGGACGTATAGCAGAAATTAATAACGTTAAGTATAATGGAGTAGTTCAAATGTACCGGGCTGCCTGAGCCCGAGTGACGTAATGCATATTTTTTTGCCTATATTTTATTTATTAACGACTACCAATGTCGCTTCGTTTTCGAAATGAGGGGCGTTGAAAAAAATAAAATTTGGTGCATTTTCTTTTTATTATTAATTAGTAGTTATTCCAGTGATATTAAGTTGGTACATTTGTTTTTTTTTTGTGGCGATTTTAAATTTTTCAATTAGTTCACTGGCGGAGGTCCGGGTAACGAAATAATACGGGCATTGAATATTTTTGTCTTGATGTATATTTTTTAAATTAGGTAAGTAAAAATGTTTTTTTTTTTCGTATTTTGATTTCCTTTCGAGAAAGAAAACAAAGCACGTCCCTAATTGGCAACAAATTTCAATCGTCTTTTTCTATCAATATCATAAATAACCGTATCGAAAAATCCAGATGTCCTTAATTAGATTAAAAATTTTTTGTCCAGTGGCGTTCCAGGTAATTTTTTTGACACAACTTTTACTTTCTGGATTTTGAAGATTGTGCATTTTCGGGCCCACAATGAAAACATTTTTTATTTTTTTAATGTGGAATCTCTTTTTTTCCCGGATATTCTAGAATCTGGAATGCAAGGTTATTAAAAAATCAAGATAAAAAAAAGTTGCATTTTTAGTTGGCTTATTTGAATAAATGGCGCAGTGTACAGATTTTCTTTAATTATATAACATAGGGTTATTAAAGATATTAATATAAAAATTTAGATACAAAAAAAGTTGCATTTTTAGTTGCCTAATTTGAAAAAATATTAAAATTCCTAAGGAAGTCAGTGGCGCACATGTTTTGTTTACAATAGTTTGACCCGATGTAACCTCTTTTTTTTTTCGGGCACCCTATGAAGGGATTTTCTTTAATGTCTTCTATTTTCGCGCGACAAGGCGGGGAAGACGACACGAATTCGTCCGATTCGGACGACGTAGTCATGTCTTCGGGCACCCCGGACGAAGCCCTGATGATAGACAGTCCGCGGGAAGAGTGCGACCAGATGACGGACGCCATCGTGGTATATAGGGACGACTCGTCCTCGGGGGAGTCGGGTCCGCCCCGTTTGGCATTGCCCGCGCCTCCCGACCCGGCGGAACCCATGGAAGTCGACGACCGGCGGGTGGCCCTGCCCTCGGACAGGACCCTGGCGAGACGCACTCCCGAAAGATTTCCTCCTCCTCCTGTCGGTCAGTTGCCTGCGTTGACGGCCGGTCCCTCGGGTGGCCCCTTGGTCCATTGCCCGCCCAGAGTGGTTTCGGTCAGGAAGGCGGTAGCGTCGACATCCCAGGCCGGCGCCCGGAAGAAATTCGGCGGTTACAAATCCAAAAGGGTTCACCGTAACGTAAGTATACCACTCGGACCCATCGTTTCTTGTCATTCAATCTCCTTTTTTTTTCTCAAAGTTGCCGATAAAACTTTCTCTCACTTCCGAAATAGCACCAGAAAAAAAATTAACCACCTCGGTATCTCCATGGTTTCCAATACTTTCTCGATAGACATCTTTATTTTGGACACACTGTATACTTTATTAAAGATTCGTTTTTTTTTATTTTTGCATTCAGAATTGCAATTCTCGATTAAAATTGAAGAATATAAAAAAAGGTGAATTTTCTTCAACTTAAACAAAAAAATCTTGACGATAATATGGTTAAAAGAAAATGGTTAGGAGGATATCTAAATTAAAATTTTAGTCACCCCAGAAATTAGAAAAATGGCTTTGGTTTGTCAAATCATGCTTTAAAACTAATTTTTTTCGGACACCTACATACCTCTCCGATTCGTGTTCTAAAGCATGAGATATATATCGAAGTCTATGTCAGACAATACGAGTAGTTCAAATGTACCAACTTGTCCGGCTCAAGTTATCCGAACATTTTTGCCTTCGCTTTCATTAATAATTCTCCATCTCGTTAGGGATAAGCTCGAATCGCTCGGAGGTCGGTTGCCTACTCAAAATTGCAAGAATCGGCCTACGAACGGCATAATAATAGTTGTCATTTTCGGTTTTTCCTCATGTTTAGGAGTACGGCGAGGACCAGCCGTCAGTCGAAGTGAACGAGAGCATCATATCGTTGTTGCTAAAACTGCACTCGCAGCTGTCCAACATGCCGGACAGTTTCGACCCGGACGACGACGAAATCGACTATTTCGTGTCCGGGGAGGACAAAGTTCCATGCGGGGACGGTCCCTTTTATATCGGGAAATTGTTGAAAAAAATCGCGGGGTCGGACCAGGAATGTTACAGACACGTGCAACAGACTAGGAGACGGTTGTGGCCCTCGCAGGAAGAGAACGACAACGCGAAAAAATTGAAGGAGAATCGAGAGAGGGAGGAGAGGCGACGCAGGGCGAAAGAAAGACAGGTGAGGACAGCTATTTTTATCCAATGCATTTTTTTTTCTCGTTACGTATTTATTGCTTTAGATTTTATTTTTCTACTTTGAAAATGGGACATGATGAAAAAAAAATGTTTGTCATTGTCTTTTTTTTTTTAAATAGAAAATATGTAGAAACTCTTTAAAATACTTTGGATCTATTTATTTTTGTGTCATATACGAAATCACCCCCTTAGTTTTTCCCATTTCTTTTGAAACACCAAGTTAATATGATAAAATTCCAGTAAGAGCGAATATTTTTAATTTACTATCTGCCCGAAAAATATCTTATTTATTATTATTAGTAAAAACAACCAATGTTCTTTCTATTTTGTTTATTTGTTGTTGTCAGGTTTACCTTTCCCTTACCCAAATATAATTAATATACATCTTATTAATAATTATTACGAAACCGAACTCAAAAAAGACTTTGGGAATCAAAATTTCCTTCCATAAAAGTGTGCCTGGGCAACATTACATGCCTTGATCGCTAAAAATTACGTTTCTTTTTCGAAAAGAATAGAATTACGTCTGGGAATGATCCATGTTCCCGAATTGATGTTTGTAATTTGAAAATATCTGGTGCATTTTCTGAATCAAATCCCATGAAAAGACAATCTTCCTCCTAATCTGAGCCTCGAATGGAGAAAAGGAAAGGCTATTTACGGGTTACCAGGAGTTTTAGAAAAGACCATCGTAAACGATTCTGTTTTTAGGAAAAATTGATGGCCGAGTTTGCGAAAAAGCAGAACGATTTTTGGAAACGGGAAAAGGAAAGGATGGAGACCGACGAACAGTCGGAAAATATGGAACACGAGAGTGTGCCCGTCAGTAAGCAGGAGTACGACTGCGTGATATGTAATATAAGGTTAGTAGTATTGATTTAATTACATATTACATCCTAAGAAATTCTACTCGTACTTTTATTTGTGTTTCCATAATGATTGTGATCCTAACTACCCCATATAATTTTTAAAAAACGTAGTGTTTCTCATATTGGATGTGAATCGTTATCGTTAGCTTTTGGAGTTTTCAATTTTTAAAGAAATATAGTGAAGGATATTTTTCAAGATTTTGCCAAATTTTGTGTCTCTAAAAGTGTCAACAGGAAAAAAGGGAGTGTGACAATGGGAAACGGTTCATTATTTTGCAACTGTTTAATATTGTTAGCGGTAACACAACATTTTGGTAATCTCTTTTTAATTAGTGACCTTTGCACCATGACGATAAGCCTGGATTTGACCGTATAATGGGATACATATGCAGTGTTTCAAATATACAGTATTGCCCAGCCAGAGCGACGCGATACCTGCATACAACATATACAACATATTTTGTCTTTTAATATATATAGATTGAGAAGTATTGGTTCCAGTACTGTGCCCTGTGGAATCCCGACGTGTGTAACTTTCAAATTATTTATTTTTATTTTCCTAGCCCCGTTTTGGCAGATAGTTATGTTAGTTAAAATAAAGATTGCGCTGCGTGCTTTTTCCAGTTCACCCAGCACCGAAGATAAGCCCATGGGTCTGGTGGTTCTCATCCAGGCGACCAGCGTGATCGGTCACCGGAGGAGGTACGGCCAATCGGAACGGTGGGTTTTGCCCACTTGCGACGAAGAGCGAGAGCAACTGCAGAGGGACGAGACCCTTTCGGCCGAGTTTAACAGGAGGGTTGAAGAGTTCGACAGGCATTTTGATCCGGTGAGCCTGAATTACGCCTCTTTGTTTTGCGAGTTTTTGGAAGTGGAATGTAACCCTTAAAAGTATGAAATGTATGAAAATGAAAATGTAAAAATCGTTAGTCTATCACTCTATTACTAATTTTATTGTTATCGTTTTGTCAATTTTTATGTGCTCGTTATTTTTGACTACCCGATGATCTAGAAAAATTACTATTACATAAAGATGGGATGTTTTATGCCGCACCTCCTTTGCTCAACTTCTTTCGAGTTCTAGAATAAAGGCTGCGTTTTTTTTTTTTTGAAGTTTCTGAAAATATTTCAGCAATCGTGGTTTTTGTCCGTTAATACGGGCTGGGACGGCGGCGTCCACGTGCAAACCTGCGGCCACCATTTACATTTGGACTGTTTAAATTCCTACTTGACTTCGCTGAGATCTCAACAGAGACAGCAGACGTTATCTCCCGAAACGTGAGAGTCGTCGATGTTTGGAAATTTTCGCGAGATGATGTTTTCTCGTTGCAGGGGCGAATATTTATGTCCGTTGTGTAGACAACTGGCGAACTCGGTCCTGCCTTTGTCCCCCCAATATGGAGACAAGTCTCAAATGGTGAGGGCGCGTCCCAACGAGGGCATGTCCCAATTGCTAGAGGAGATCAGCGATTTTCTCAGGGACAACGATCAGAAACCCGTAAGTGTTTCAATGGGTGGTGTTTGGGGTGAGACGCAATTCCCCTACGTGTTTGCGCAGAGCTCGTCGAATATGGCGGAGGCGATCGGCAAAGTGATGGAGGATATGTCGAACAGTATCCAACTGAAGCCGCTGTTCAAGCCGAAAAACGAAAAACCGATACCGCAGAGTTTGTTCCTGTTCGTCACGTCGATAGCGAGGACGAATCTGGAGGTGGAACTGGTGCAGAGGGGCGGATCTTTGGTCATACCGTCCGGCGATTTGCCGAACCCGTTGCTGCCCAAAAGGGATTGCATAGGTACCGTTTCTTTGTTTACAATTTCGGAAATAGTGGCGACAATCATAAGAGATGATAACCGTACACGTATAAAAATAATTATGTGAATATAAAATATTTTATAAACACACTTTAGTTCAGTCCTGAAGGAATTTAAAGTTTTACGGAAACAATCTGCTTGATATTTATTTACTTCTCTCTCTTTCTTTTTCTCTCCCACCCTTCTGTTCCTTTCCCCAAATCTCCTTCTCACTCTTCTCTTTGATTCTCTGTGTTCCACCCTTATCCTCTTTCTTCCATCTCCCCCTCTCTTCGCTATATCAACTCCTTTCTCCCATTCCCTCTTTCCCATCCTTATCTCCCCTTCAATCTACTCTATCTCTCTCCTTTTCCCCTCCTCACTCCATTCTGTCATTCTTTCTCCATCCTCCTCCCCACCCACTCTTTCTTCGTCATGCATCGCCTGCCCCCTTATCCCTTCAAATAGTGTGTCCACTTCCTTATGACTTTAACAAAGTTTTGTCAGTATCATTGTCTACATATCTTATAATATTCATTACATAGCACATCTCACTCGTACTTCTAAACTTATTGTAATGCAGTTCCTCTGCTGCACGTTTTGGCGGTGCACGCGCGCGTGGCCCGAAGCATGGCGATGTGGCCCGCGTGGACGACGTTCCAGAGGTTGTGCGGAATGCCCGACAAAACGCCCGTAACCGCCGTCGCACCCGTAGAAAACGAAGTGCCGGTCCTCTTGAAGGACCCAGTCGCCCTCCTCTTGCAGTTCGTCCTGCTGCTCCCCCTACACTTGGATCAAAGTAAACCGCGGAAAGGTGGGATCGGGGAACGTCCTGACCGACTGAGCGCTTGGTTTTCAGCTTACTTCACGGCCACCGTGCAGATGGTGTACAATCTGCTGTATTATCAGGTGGCGGCTCAGGTGTCTTGCGGGTTGACGGCGGCGGAACGCGCCTCCTCTGCCTCCAGGTCGACGGCGGACGGAGTCCGGGACCTGTGCGAAGCCCTGGGACTGGTCGACGATTGTCTGGGAGACACCGACCTCTACATGGACGACGAGGCCGAAGCGAACGGCGGCCGATTGAACGTCGTCGCCCTGGAACAGCAGGTAACGTCCACTTGTTTGTCCAAATATTAATATTCGTCATATTTTCAAGATTTTATCGTTGATTTGGTGCCATTGCAACCATTATATCGCAGTTAAGGATTTTATTGTTACGTATCTACGTTCCTTGAGACCTCGTCAGCGTTGAAAAACCGACATTTAATTTTTTGGCAGTTCTCTGTTCTATCCTGTCTGTTCTCTAGCGATCTAAGTCCTCCCAATTTAATTCTCTGAAGAACGAGTTGTCGACCGTTGCTAAAAATGGAAGGGATCATGAATTTGATCGTTTTTCTGTCAAAATGGAAGATGATAATAATAGTGCCTTATTTTCAATATGTATTCACCCAATTACAAAAGAAACTTTAAAAAAGCAAAATAACAATAAGATCATTTCTTAAAAAATAATATAAAGTTCCGAAATATTTACCTGCAAATTGCGTGTAAAAGGGAGGGGTGCACCTTTGAGGTGACGTAATAACAATAATCCAAAACAAATATTTTTTCCACTTTGTTAAAATCCGCATTTGATTTTTTCATTTTCTATCAATTTTATGGCGTTAATATTCGAAAAAAAAATTGAATGTTTCAGTGCAAAAACAGTATTTTATTTTTATATCTGTTCTCTGTTTTCTGACGTCTGTTCTCCGTTATTGATAGCATTCGAACGCTTATGCGAATTTGAAAATAAAATCGACGTTTTTACAATATCGTAATGACAGATTTTAAACAAAGGTAATATAGGGTAATTCAATTGCTATCCTTGAATATCATTATAATAAGATGAAATTTGCACAATATGTCATTATTAACATTCAATTTCCAAATATATTTGAAACAGAAAACAATTTTCAATTTTGCATGCTAAGTTTTGATATTAACGTTTAATTGTAATCAACTTTTATTAATAACATTATGCTCAATTTTAGAATTTTTCGTCCTACCCTATACGCTAACCGATTTTTGATAATATTGCCATTTTAGTTGTGCAGAGGACTAAACGCTTGCGCCCGTATTAAAGAAAAAAATGACGTTTCAGGTGCAGAGGTTATGTTTGCCGTTCCTAAGGATAGCGTCGTTGCTCAAATACCACGTCTACCAACACGCGCTGCCCGAGATCAGGACGGCTCAGAGCGAATTCGTCAGTCTCGTCTACTACCTGGAACTGGTCACCGAGTCCATGGACTGGGACCGTTTCAACGCTTCGGTCGCGTTGAATTGGCCCAGCGACACCGACATGTTCAGGTAACTTCAAAAAAGACGATACAAATTCTCATTATTATTAAACAGCACCACTTATCTTCAAAATTCACCTTAACTACATCCAAAATTCCGCTTTTCATTTCCATTTTTGTCTAACCTCTATTGTCGCGCGAAACTGAATTAGAAATAAGTTTCTTTCAGCAGTACTGTGTGTTAATTCAAATCAAAAAATAGAAAACTGTTAACCCGAAAATATATTTGCTAAAAAATATATTTAAAAAAAAAGAAATCCGCAATTTTTTTAGTCATATGAAGAACTGGGAATCGAAAACTGTTGCTACTACTATTACTCCAATTTATACTACGCGGGAATCTGAGTTGAATTGTTTTTTTTTTTTTTTTTTTTTTCATTTTAAAGGATGTAAATTGTAAAAATAAACGTTTCCAACTTTTGCAAGGGTGATCAAATATTACTGAGTTTTGCGTGAATCCTGCATAAAATACATACATTAAGTATCCACAAACTGCAAAAACTTTTTCTCTTGGTTTTACGTAAATGAAATACCAAACCTTATCCCCCATTTTCCCACTTTTAACCGTTCCATAAAACGTGGGCTTTCTGTGGTTTCGTCGTTTTTACGCGTCCTCCTCAGGGCTTCCCCGCAATCGTGGTGTTACGAGTTCGCCTCGTTCGTGCAGAAGAGCCAGATAGCGGCCCGGTCTTTTCTCGTCGACCATCACGTGCTGTGGCATCCGCCGCGGCTCCTGGCCCTGCCCAGAGAATACGAAAAAATATTTACCGTAAGCGTGAGTGTCAGAAATCGGGGGGGCGTGTCTACGTGAACTTTCGATGATTCTCAGTATTACCACGAGAGGCCGTGCCGACAATGTCACTCGGTCGCGCAGGAGACCAGCATCTGTCTGCTGTGCGGCACCATCGTCTGCCTGAAGCAGAGCTGCTGCAAGCAGCAAAACGTGTGCGAGGCGGTCGCGCACGCGCAAGAATGCGGAGCGGGAACGGGAGTCTTTCTCGTCGTCACCTCCACTTACATAATCGTCATCAGGGGTCATCGGGCCTGTCTGTGGGGCTCACTGTTTCTGGACGATTTCGAGGAAGAAGACAGAGACTTGAAGTGAGTAAATCACGTTGTTCGCTGAGTAAATATTTATCTTATTTAAGAAACGGGCAACACATTAACAATAAACGTTAAAGGTAGCAGCAAAGTGCGAGGGCGAACTGTAGGGGAGTGTTGGTATACAGTGTGAATTCCAGAGAATTTATAAGTAATTAAAGCATTAATTTGATTAATGATAGTGCAATTGCGTTGCTCGATAAGAAAATATTTATTTTCTTACTAATTATTTCATAATTGATTTAAAAAACCTTTATCAAAAGTTGAACACACTAATAATAAACCTTATACGTAGCGAGCAGAGTGGGGAATGACTCATAGGGGAATAAGTGGTTAAAGGGATTACAGTTTAGACATGATTAGCAATTTTTGGTGTTCATACATACTATATTTAGTTATGGAATTTCCTATTACAAGATGGAACAAAATATTACAATATTATGCTAAGTAAATATTCATTTATTTATTTTATTACTAAATAATAATAATAAAAAGAGTTATGCAAAATATTGTTTTTGTCTTTTCCGGAAAATGTCTTAATTTCCCTAACTTTATCAAGAGACAAAAAAAATGTATAAAAGAACTAATAATGCCAATTCCCTGTAGATGGCGCTGTGATTGCAAAGAAAGGCGATATATCGTATTTATCAAAATAATATACGGATCTTTTTATTACGAGTTACAATATTTCAATTTCAACCCACATACCCAAGTTAATTTTTTTTTATAATATTTAACTAAAGTTGGAAAGAAAAAGTAAAAATGAAAGTAAACTGAAAAAAATTGTAATTCCTATATATCATATAAAGACACACTTTTTGAATGACCCAAGCTTTATCAAGATGGGTATACCGCGGGGAACCGCTCCGAACCCCTTTATTATTTAATTTTTATGTAAATATTTGGACGTTTAGTTAGTTATTTTGTGGCGATTCTTAATTATTATTAGGAATCTATAACTAAACTTTAAAAATATTTTTGACCTTGCTTCGTTTTATTAGGGATTATTTTTTTTTAAATGGTCGATAATATCTTAAATATCTGTTGTCCGATTTTGTTGAAATTTGGTGAGGTTGCTGAAATTACGAAGTGCAGTGGCGTCCCGAGAGAAGGGACATCCTGTCGAATGCTTAAAAAAAACATGTGCGCCTCGGAACAATTTTAGTGTTTATTTCCAGACGTGGCAAGCCTCTGTACCTGAGCAAAGACAGGTACCAGCTCCTAGAGCAGCAGTGGTTGGCCCACAGGTTCGATCACACGAAAAAGACGTGGGTGCAGCATCGCAACGCCCTATGATACCCGAACGGGACACGTAACAAACAAATTCTATATTTATAAAGTTTCGATGGACGTTTTTGTTTTGTTTTTGACTGTGATAAGAAGAGACCGCCTCCAATTCGGAACCGCCGCCGTGGTCATCTTCTTTCGACTTTGTGTACATAATAAATGTGTTATATATATAGACAAACGTCGCGGCCGTCGCTAAGCGTATATGCCATTGAAAGAGGGTTTATTTTTTTTGCGGTAAAGTTTGCTACCCTTTTTAAGTCGCACCAGAGGTACTATTGTATATTTTGCGAACTATTTAAGCGCCCGACAGTATTTAACCCATCGTGATCAGGAAAAAATTGTGTTGGCAACTTTTTTTTATATGATGCGACGCGCCCGGAAAACAGCATAGCTTAACTACTTCCTTCTTAAAGTCTTTTTTTTATTGGTTATAATCACAATGGTGCCGACGAAATTGAGGTTGGGGGAAAATTTCCTGGCTGATTTTTTATTATGGTCGCTTTAAATTAGAACTATAAAACATTTTTTGCTTATATTTCCGTCAGGGTTTGAAAAAACGGTTTGAAAAAATACATGGTGTACGGAAATAACTTTCGAACAATTTAATTTTTTAATTTTTCGCATGAATGGTATAAAATATCTTTTTTTTTTAATGTGTGCCGCTGATTTTTTTACCGATTTTAATGTTGTTTCAAATTAAGCAACTAAAAGCACACCTTTTTCGTTTACTGACCTTTTTTTCGTACCTTTCTTTGTTTTCAAGAAAACAAAAACTAATTTATTGCATTTGGTTTCTATATATCTTTTTTTAAAATGGGCAATAAAAAAATATCTTGAATAACCCACTAAAGATTTTGTTGAAATTTGATGGGGTTGCTTGTCGTGACAAGGGGCTCGTTTAGGATTGATTAAATTTAAATTACGAAACGCATCGAATGCTTTTGTCGAAAAAAAGCGCGTCTCTGACTTTTTTTACCAATGTTTATATTATTTCAAATTAAGCAACCAAAAGTACAACTTTTTCATCTCTTGATTTTTTTTGTATTTTGCTTCGTTTTCCAAAAACAATTTTTAGAGATAGATAAGTTAATATTTTGTCAATCACATTTATTAACGATTAATAATATAATACATATATATTAATATAGTAATTAATTAATAAAAACCAGAACGTATAGAAATTGTTGCCTGATTTGGAATATAAAAAAAAATCCAATTATTGGGACGTTATTTCCGGACGCCCTGTATATCAGCCCAAATCCGCAGAACGCTTCCGGTCTTGATGAACGCTTTTTTTGCTATTTTTTCCGAAAAATAATTTTGACACAGAATCAATTCGTTAGATTTCAATTGGTCCTACACTACGGGGTGAAAATGAAAAGTACAATGATCTAACCGACGAGAACGTTACGATTTTGAGATTTTCATTGTGTTAGGTTTGTCGGGCCGCTCAAAATATTGCGAAAAATAAGGTTTTTATTCTCTGAAAATGAAATTATCCATTGTAAGGTCGATTAAGAGAAAAAAAAAACGGCTAAGCTCCATATACCTATACTTACAAATGGCGCAATTTTTAATCTCGTATTATTTTACGCTCGCGTTTTTTCGGGCTTTCCTAGCGAGAAGGCGTAGTTTTCAGCTTACCTCATTAAAATTTCGTCGTTTTACACTCGATCGTATTTAAAAGTAACAGTAATGGCGTTTAATATATCGACGACTAGTGCGATTCCGTCATGTACATTCGTAATATCGTTAGTTCCCCCTAAAGTCGGCGTTTGTAGTATATTTATTAAAAATCAAAAGTAATTTAATAGTGTAAGTACGTTTATTTCATTACTTAAAAAAATGGTTACAAATATAAATTGGAGATTCCACCTCAGGATAGCGTTTTGTACTTTGTCCTTTGCCCCGCAACAGCTTCTTTCCAGCAGGCTGAAACAAGTTCCATTTGGCGGTACTCGTACCGAAAAAATAAATAAAAATTGTTATATGAACAATCTTTGGTTACAGTGATTTTTATGTTCGTATTGTTTTTGATAATGATTCAACTCGCATTTATAAAAAATAAAATGCTTTCTTTACAGTTTCTTTTAAAATTGAAAGAGCTTCATTAGTTTTACCATCAACCATCAACCTTTGACATTTTTTACCTTTTCTTCGGTGGGAAATTTTAATTAACCGGGGGTACCACGCTCGGTACTTCGTCCCTGGTACCGACGTCCCGAAAACTGGTCAGGATGCGGTCCGAATAATCGTACGTCAAGATTTTCGGGGCCACGAAGCCCCCGTATCCCTTGTACCCTTTGTAAAAGATGCCGGCACCGCTCAACGGTACCGCAGGGACGCCGAACACCGGCTGAATATCGAAAAAGGGCACCGTCGTTTGGGCGGCGTCTTTCGAGAAATCCGTGTGCGTAAATTCGACGTAAAGGTCTCGACCGCTTCTGTCCGGGGACGGGTTCGAGGTCAGGGTCGGCACGTCGACGTTTTCGAGGTCCACCCGCGTCCTGAACTTGAAAAACATTAAAATATGAATGGGCTCGTCGCCTTCGAATCACCTTCCGTCGGAACTGGAGTCGTATATAAAATAGTCGTTGCCCAAAAGGGACCCGTTGTTGAAATCGAAAGGGCTGACGTTGATTTGGAAACGTAGCTTGCCGTTCAGTCGTTCGAATCGGACGCCTTGAAGCGCAAAGTAAAAAATGTTAACATGCCATTTTTTCGTCTGTTGTATTTTTCACTCGACCTTGTGATTGTGCATTTGGTATAAAGAAAAATAACATGGTCGTTTTCGAAATTCTAATGTTAATTTTAATGGGTGCAAAATGATATTTCAGTTAATCCCTGAAGAAGTCGACAGGACGATTGGCGAAACGTCGTCATCAGGAGGAATCCACAAACTTTTTGTAAGACTAGAAAAGTGTGTTTTACATAATGAAAATGAATAATGAAAATAATTATATTTACGTGAATGACTCCAACAGATAGAGAAAACGCTAATATTGTGTTATTTCAAAGAGATATTTTGATTTCCACATCAAAAATTAAGCTGGAAAAGAAACAACTGAAAGTATCATATCAAAATTAAACTGTATTCGTGATTAATCGGTTGAGAGATAGACCATTCCATCTAAGAAAATCCTCCCTATTTCTAAATATTTATCGGTGTTCTTAAATCAGCAAGGAATCACTGAAGCATACTCAGACATGACCAACGCAGAAGTGCTCATCAGAATGACCAAAGAGTTCGAGGTGTTAAAGGAACTAAAAAGAACATGGTTCAATGTCAAAAATGGTGTTGCTGGTACCCAAATATTTACTTCAATTTCGATAATTGAACTGAGGTGGCTTTTACTTGATGAAAATCCATTTATCAAAATAAATAAGAACTAAAAGTTCAGATTTTCACAAAATTATATATTATATATCATAATATAAAATTTTGTGAAAATCTGAACTTTTAGTTCTTATTTATTTCAATTTCGATGTTTAAGACTTTTTGTAGTTTTTTTTTTACCGGTTACGACGTGGTCGGAGTTGCGAACTTTCACTTCGTCCAGAGCCAAAGATCGGTCTTCGTGGGTCAAAGTGGCAAAGTCGATTCCGCTCAGTACGCCTCTATCGGTTAGTTTGTATTCGTCCACGGGAACCCATCGCACCGTCTCGTTATCGATGTACCCGTAAGGCAAAAGTTTCCCTTCTTGTATTTGCAAATGGAGTATCCTATTGCGTTTTACAATTCTCAGTCCTGTTACCACTCTGAAAAAAAAAAAAAAGATCCATTATAATAATTTTCTAAAGATTAGCTGGGCCGAAGCTCTCGATTTCAAAAAAGGATTAGACAAGGCTTCGGACCAAAAACTTAAGAACACGCACAAAGGTAAAACTGTAAAGAGTGGTTGACCTATCTGAAATGAGGAGAATTATCACAAGTGTAGACAGAATTAAAATAAAACAACCTTTATAGACCTAATGGTCAAACTCAAAATATGACACCACTTAAATACACAAAAATACAATCACACCGATAAATATAAAAAATAAAAACTGGAAAGCGACCAAAAATAAAATATAGGTTTTCATTATTTTGAATGTTATTAAGTTATATTAAGAAATATGAGAAAGTTTGACTTGTTTCTGACAAATTCGAATTTATTTGTCAAAAATTTGCCAAAATTAAATTAAAACCTATATTTAATTTTTGGTGGCCTTTCAGTGCTTTCATACAATATAAATGTCCACTTTTCACAATATTTTAACCCCAGATAAAATGTAGAGCCTAGAAAAAAATAGTAAACAAAATGCGACGTGAATGTTGATGTTTCCAAGTTTTAGTTTCCCCTCGCAAAACACGTAGTCACCTGGGCAGAGTATACATGCACGCCTTAAAAAACAACACAGGCCGGTTAGAAAGAGACAGAAAATTGCAGATCAATTTTAACAATATTTTCTTTACTATCGAATGGCAGGGCAGTCTGTTTTTTTTAATGCAAAAAAAAAACTCATTTCACTATGTCTTATTAGCCTTTTTTTCGAGATCGGATCTACAATAACTTTTTTTCAAATTGTTAGAAAAGCCTAATTGACTTTTAGTAATTAAAAAAAAAAGTTACCTATTATTTTTTACGTCGGCCATAACGGGTCGCATGTTGACGTATCGGTCGGACTTGGGTCCTTGTTCGTCGCACAAGCACATGCAGTACGAACAGTGCACAAACCACCGGTACCAGCTGTAAACGGGCCTCGTCCCGCATTGATTTTTCTTGCCCAGCGTCCTTCCGCTTTTGTATTCCACATAGTCGTATCTCCTCAAATGGGTCTCCTGCAAAAATTCGGGTGGCATACGACGCCATCTATTCGATGCGGGACGCTTACGGATATGCAGATCTTCATGTGCGATTCTATGAAACGGCAACCGTGAAGCGTGCCCCGGCAACGTTCCATTTTGCGGCAGTACTCGCTCTCGTAATCGTAGCAGCCGTGACTCTCTGTGTACGGGTACGCTGCGCAGTTGGCCGTACACGTGCCGCCAGAGTTCATGTCCACTTCGTTCTGGATATGGCCCTGCAGGAGTCTCGTTATTTCCTCGTAAGTCGTGCCCTTGATGTGGTAGGGCGGGTCGCATCTCCAAATTTCCGTCGGCACTATTTCCATCGCGCCGCGAAACACGCTCATCGTGTCGTTCACCCGCCGCTCGAAATTTGATCTGGCCAACAGCGACAAAGTCGTGTAATTTCCTGCAACGAAAACGAACAACGTCTACTGGACTCGGTGTTCGAAGTGAAATTGTTAATCGCCCACATCTTTTATCGACCGGCCCGTCAATAACAACACTAACACGACAAACTTTGTGAATACAATGCCTACAAAAGAACTTAATCATACGAGCCACGTTCACCAACAGGCCGTATGATTGTCAATTTGTCGTACTGTTAAAATCTGTTGTACTGTTCTAGTCCGGTGTGTGAGACGGCGACTTTTTTTGGTCGCAATGGACATAAATACTCGAGTTTATGTATGTTAATTAATAAACTGTCCCACAAATGATTGATAGCGCGACCGTACAAAACGCAGCCGTTAAACGTCAAAAATATTTACCGGTTAACCCGTTTACATTAACCGAATAAAATTTACGATGCCTACGTAAAAATGTAGGAGCCACATCCACAGGCAGGCCAGATGCGGGGACTTTCGAAGCGGCATTTAATACGCGCACGCTCCGCCGATTGAAATTTCGTTTCAGACCAATGGGATGCCGCAGCGTTCGGCAATATGGCCGTTGATATTTTGTACGATTAGGTAGTGTTTATAACGACAGTGTTTTTGCAGTAGCGTTTTCTCGTTAAATCATTCAAGTGCGACGTCTAGAAGGAAATACGCCATTTGCCGTGTATGCAGGTTAGCTTGTAATCCATCTCTACGAACATATCATAGCACCCTATATTCCCTTTACCTGTTGTGGCAGTGGTTAAATAGATACTCTCTCGCTGCAGTAACGCAGTGCGTACAAAGTAAATAATTCGTAAAACTCTTTTAGCACACCCTAAACTTTGAAAGTTTCTTCCGATAGTAACTCCCTAAAAAAACATGAATATTTAGACTGAAAATACCGGATTCAGTGGAAAAATAATCGGTTCAGGTTCCCGTTCAGAGATGGCGCCAAGAGTCTGAATTCGAACAAAAGTACCTTACCTTTTTCTTCCAATCTGTTCGTGAGGTACGCGAACTGCACCATCGCGTAACTTTTGAGTCCCGCCAGGGCGATCACGTTGTAGAGGTTGTAGTACACTTGCTGAGGCGATTGGTTCGGATTTTGGCAGGAAAAATTTTTCAGCAACAACTGAAACGGCCGTTAAACGTGGTACCATGATTTTTATTTTTATTCAAACAGCTGGTAAGTATAATACGGGTAATTCAACCCATACGTTTTTAAAAGATGACGATAGATGAGCAAAATTTGAAGAATTTGTCACAAAAGTAGGATTACATGAAAAAGTATATACAGAAAATAGTTATTTGACATCTTAAAGTTACACATTTTAAAGTGGTTAGTGAGGGGACACTGTGACATATACTGTGGTGCAAGAGAGCATGGAATTTTTAATAATAAAAACTTCCATACTTGCTTCCACCGTTAATTTGGAAATTTCAAAAATGTGAATCTCAACGAAAATTTGACTTTTCTCCACGAATGCATAAACGTGATACTATCACGACGAAACTTGGCGAATACTCACGGTGAACACTTCGAAGACCATATTTTCCCGGCCGAAGGACAGATCGTATATGTTATGCACGGTCTTGTTCGCCCCGTGATTTTCGTTCAGTATGTCGTTGATTATGTCGTCGGTATCGATGCGTCTTCTGACGCTTGCTTTATCGAAACTCTCGATGTCGTTCGCGTTAAGACGCTCTTCGTGATACTGTCGGAATTTTCCGTACAGCCTGTCCAAGTGCGTGAGCTCCGAATAGAGATGCAAGAACGCGCCGATGCTTTTTATCGGGCCGAGGTCTCTCAACGTATTTTCGGGCACCTGAAAGCGACATTTATTGCGCGCTCTTGGCGGATTTTTTATGTCGTAGATGTCTGTCGAAATTTCCTTTCGTTTTTTATACATTTTAAAAATATATTTCAACATAGCCACAAAAAAATACCGCGTGATCGCAGAAAGAAGCGTTCTGCAGTTGCTCTTGACTACTGAGTAATAAAAGACAGCGAGAGCAGAGAATACTAACTTGCTTTAGTGGTCTGTGGCCAAAGTCGATCTCTACCCGACACGCGCAAGAGAACATTGGAAACTGGTAGATACTTTTTTCTTTCAATTGAAACGCATGTTGTTACGAGTTTTCTCTAATGGTAGTACCAGCTGTGTGTGTTTGACTTTTCGCCTTGTTTGATTTGATAAAGTTACCCAACACGCAGGGCGTTGTAATAGATCCACGTCACATAAAAATTTTACAACTAACCAACGAGCATTTGTTTTTTTGTTACGGCGAGCTTGTTCACAGTTCAATTATGTTTTAGTATATGGACCGTCTCACCTATTGAAAATAGATTTTTAATAATAAAAAGACGATTCGCAGTTTTTATGGAAATGTAAAATTTTCATTGGCCAAAAAGTTGCGGCGATTTTTTGGCAGTGAAAAAATATTATTCGTTATTCGTAGGCCAAAACTTTTTACAGAAAAGTGGTGCGGTTCTTTTCTCTATTATCTTCCGAACGTACCGATAAAAACGAATCTCGAATAATCGTCATCGCCATTGCCTTGGAAAACAAAACATTGTTTATGATATTAATAGTGCCACGACATGTTATAATTTTTAGAAAGACAGTAATGCGGAAGATACAAAACGTGAAATAAGCCTCGTTCATTCAGAATTTTTGAGAACCAAGATGGAATTTCTGAGAAACAAGTCAGAATTTCTGACTGTTTTTTTTTTAATTATTTACATTTAAAAAGTTCAAGGTATTTTTTATATTTTGAACTTCTGATTTGTTTCTCAGAAATGTTGACCTTTGACTCAAAAATTCGGACTTGAGTCAGAAAATGTTAATGCTTCTCAGAAATTCTGACTAAAGCCAGAAAATTTGTATTTGTTTCTCGGAAATTCAGACTTGTTTCTTATAAATCTGACTTGAGTCAAAAAATGTTATCAGAAATTTCGACTTGTTTCTTAGAAATTGTGACTGCTTTTTTAGAAATTTTGACTTAAGTTACTTACGTTGCGTTCTGAAAGAATAGAGAAAAAATCGTACAACTTTTATGTACCCCGTACGCACCTGCTTTAATTTTTGATCGAACCCGTAAAAATTCGTAACCAAATGCAGTTCGGAACCCGATGGGTCTTTGTTCGAGGCTTCGGTGAGCACAAAATTCCACAATTTCTCTTCCAGATCGATAAAATCCAGCCGCAACTGATCGACCAACAGGTGTCCATGGCAGATAACCAGCGATCCGATGGCCGTTAAAGTCATCAACAGCCGAGATGACATCATTTCGCGACGGTTTTGGAGCGACTGTCGACCGTTGCGGTCAACATCTCGATAAACTCTTCTGGTTAAAGACCTTGATAGAGATAACAAGCCGTATGTTTTTTTCGATATCTTTTGGGTAAACAAACTATATGCTTCTTTCAAGAAGACGCATTAAATTTTGTCCGGAGTTAAAATCATCAACAATAATTTTACTTTGCCTCATTGACGTTTCGCCAAACGTGGTGCTGGCTTCTTAAGAGCGCCGCCTCAATCTTCATCTATCCAATAAAAACTCGTGAAATAAGCAAGCACCTCAATAATATAAACCACAACACCGGTTTTTATCTATCTTCCATTTGAACTTCGATCATCCGAGAAGTAATTAAAGCTTCTCCTGCCATTCGATCCTTCCCGGCAGGTATTTATTATATCTTGTTAACAGTCGTGTACTTACACGTTCCTTCATTTCTTTTTTCAAAAAGACTATTTGAAATTCTTCTGGATTCCTGTTCCTCTTGGCTTCTTCAGAGCTTAAATTAAACTTAAACTTAACTTAAGCCGTCTGACGGAAGCAGGGCTAAAGGAGGGGCGTCAACGTTATCTCGAAATTATCAACATAACTGCTAAACCACCAAACTGCTCTCGATTTATCCACCTCAGTTCTTCTAAACTCTATGGTTAGTTTTGCTTTCAAGTCCTAGTGAAACGTTTATATTAATCTCTGCCTTAAATTCTCCATGCAAAAATGCTTTTTTTAACATTAATGTGATAAGAGATTAAATTGGATCACCATTTGTTGAGAAAGTGATGTGAGTTCTCAAGTATCACTTTGAATTCGAGCATCGATTTCTTCTTTCGTTGATCCAACATACTCCCGCAATAAAGTGCGAAAATGTCAAGTCATATGTGTTTTCTCACTTAGGTTGTTGGAACTAGTTAGAAAATCTTTCAGTTTTTCCAGGTTAAATTGCATATGTTCTCATGGTCCAAAAATTTATACCCATAACACATTTGATTGACCTTGGGTCGAATTTTTTCTGTAGAACTTGCTTCGGTAATTTTTGAGGCAGTTACTGTGGCTTTAGGACTTCCGATTTTGATGAGTCATAAGAAATTGGATCTACAGGACCAACGCAATTGACATAAATCGATATTTGTCGTTTCTCGATACCTTTAAAGTTTAAATGTTCCAAAGTTAGCATTCAGTTTGTTTCGTAATCTGACTAGCCAGAGCTCGTTACGTTAATTCCTACAGATTTGATTTCCTCGACCTTTACTCGCATATCTGACAACTCATATCCCTTTTACCTTCCCCAAAGTCAGCAACTGCGGATTCTCATGATGATGAAGACCTCCTATTTAGGACGGACGAATATAACATTCCGCAGCTCACACTTAAATGCTATTGTGAGCACAAAAGACCTCTCCGAAGTGAAGAAGAGTAGAGAAAAAATAAATAAAACGCATTATAATTTTTCTCTCGTTTATTGGAACATACTTAGCTAAAAACTTAACTTACCGATGACTGATTAAAACGCGAACGCGCACCGCTATAGCGCTAATCACAGTACAAAAGAACATGAAATCCTTACGAAGTCACACATTCAATCACAAATTTGACTAAGTGAACGGTATGGAGGTGACGGACTCAGTTGACCTGCTCGGAGGGAAACGCGGCCTTCAAGAACTTGCTCACGTCGTACGTGATGATCTTGGGCGCGACGAAACCTCCCGAAAAGGGGCGACCCTTGTGAAAAATTCCGGCGCCGGCCAACGGCGTCGGTCGCAACGACTCGACCTTTTGGGCGTCCAAAAAGGGCACCGTGGTCTGAGCGGCGTCTCTGTCTACGTCCGTGTGCGTGAACTCGACGTACTGGTCGCTCTTGGACGTCGGTATCGAGGAGGTCGGTATTCTCGTCGGCACGTCGGGGTTTTGCAACCTCACCTTGGTCCTTCGAAGGTAACTTTTTGGCAAAAATTTGTAACGACGACCCGTATACTCCAGGACTTTTACGGTTGGACCCGGGAGAAATTTCCTTAAAGCTGAAAACTAGTCCTTTGGGTACTATATAACATACTAAAAGTGAAGATATTCGTCAAAAAGTAAAAAAATGTGCCTTTGGGATGGTTTTTGGGGAACTTGCTCAGCTTTAAGTGCATTTATCCCGGCTGCATCATGTAAACGAATTTAAAGGTCCTGGAGTAGTATAGTAAATAGAGATATATAGACTCTGCCTAAAGAACCGACTATGAACGACCTTTTGCGAATGCGCGGGCTTTAAAATCTTCAACACGGCCGCTGACCATAAGGTCCAATTAAATTTTCAGACTGCGCGATTTATAGAACATGGTAGGGCCGCTGTATGATATATAACTGTTCGAATTTCTGTTGCATTCTACTCTCTATGTGTACCGATTGAATGCTATTAAATAAAATTATTCCATGTCAACATAGAAAAAACTAAATATATTACCGCAGGAAGCGCCGGCAGAGGCTTTACGGCTGAATCGGAAAGTGGGAGCGTCACAATAATCAAGGAGTCTGATGTCAAAGAGTTATCGGCAATATAAATTAGATATTGGCAAAGATGTTGTAAACTTACCTTACGTTACAAGGCAGAGCGAGAAATGTTCATATAAGAGAAAAACGCAAAATGGTTAAATTAATACGGCCAAAGAATTATTATGGAACGCTAATCAAAGACCAAACCTGGAGACAAGGCGTAAGAAATGATAAAAAACAACCTGAAAGACGAAGATCGGAGAGATCGGAGATTGTGGAAACTCGGATGCGAATATGTACCAAGCAAATTTTTGCGAGTTATCAGATCCACTGTGCTAAAAGACAAATTTTTGTTAACACTATTTACAAATGTTCTGAGATCTTCAGAGCTCAACCAAAACTGATTTGCATTCTCCTCTGTACTTGGCTACTAGCTCAGGGGGCGGAGCTAAGGAGGGACATGAATATTGTCTGCAATGAATTATCGGATATTATGCATGGTCCAATAAGATTGGACATTTATGTACGACAATTGCTGATGAGTTTATTCTTCGTAGTCTTTGATATTTTGACATTGTATTTCTTAACAAAATTTGTTATGTGGTCATTGGTGTTTTGAGTGTAAGGACGGATACAGTACAATGTGTGAAGTTACTGTCGGTCTCATTTTCTTTAAGAGGTTGTGGCTGAAGTGTATTGAAACGATTAATAAAGTTAATAAAATTTGCAAAGAGAGTTGTTAAATAATCAATGACTTCCGAGTCGGATGGTGATGGTGGTGAAACTGAATAACCTAATGTTAGGTCTGATTTTTTATTAAGGAAAAAGAAAAGTTTAGCTTCACTGTGAGACCAAATAACCAAAGTATTATCAACGTGGCGCTCCCACAGTTTGTCTTTTGGATGGAAAATATTGGATGGACTTTTTTCCCAAAAGCTGTTCCAGACGAGCGTGTTTCAATTAGAATGAGAAGATTTCATTACAGATTTTCAAATTTTAATATTTCTATTATTTTCATTTGTTCCTTTTTAATTCAGTTTTTTATCATTTATTAATATTACTATCGTCTCAGGTTTCTTAGGTCTCTTACCATTTGACATATAATATCAAGGGAAAAAAATATTATACAATGTCACCACTTCGCATCTCACGGGAACATTTTGTAGTACTCAGTTTCGACGAATTTCGATAATAGTTAACGTTTACCTGTCGAAATTGACATTAAAAAAAGAAGAAATCCGCACCCACAGAGAACGTCACAACCGGAGCTTAAATTAATTTATCATCGTATTATGAAAAAAATATTACCTGGGGTTAGAAACAGAGGCGTCCGTGTTTGGATTATCCTTCCAGACGCTCGACGACGTCGGATTGAGCAGCTTGCCGGTATCGAAGTCGAACTTGGTCATGTAGATCTCGAAGTTGAGGTGGCTGCCGATCAGCTTGAAGCGGACACCGGTGAAGACGTATCCGTCGTCGACTTCCAAGTCGTCCAGGTCTATAGCCCGTTTCTCCCACGTGAGGGTGTGGTAGTCCTGACCGTTGAAGATCTTCCGATCGCTGATCTTGTAGTCTTCAGGCGGTTTCCATTGGACCGTGCTCTCGTTCACGTTGAGTCTGGGCAACAGTTCGGCCTCCTGTATCTGAAGGTGGACGATGCGATTGTGCTTGACGAAACGCAGGCCAGTTACTACCCTGCGGCGAAAAATGGCAACCCTTGCCGGTAAAAAGCTTTAACGCCATTAAAGCTTCTTATCGATTAGAATCCGTAAAAAAATCTGTCACCATTCGCGACTCTAAAATTCAACGCACACCTATTGTTAGCTCGATTGGTTCTGCGACCTATTTCCTAGCAAAATATCTAGTTTCTAGCTTAAAACCATTTGCAAACGATATTCTGGTTAGTACCGACGTAGAGTCTCTCTTTACCTTCCTCTGAAAATTTCAACGGTAGTTCAGCCATCGATGTTCGTTTCCTTAATTTGGCTGAGCCCCCTTCAAACCGTATATAGGCAGGTGCGAGCCAGTTTTACATCGGCTCCGAAGAAGCCAACGTAATTAATGAAACATCTCATCAACAGGCAAAACCTTACTGATACAGTTGCTGAGAGTATCTGTTAGTCAGCTTACCAGGGAGTACCTCAGAGAAGCAACTCTCTCGTTTGCAGATGACTTTAAACCGTTCAAGATTATTAAAAGTGTTGAAGAACTATATATACCTTTACAGAAAGGTTTACATAATAGAATGGTTTAGTGAATACGACCCAGTTTCTAAATGCAAAGAAATGTCATGGCATAACTCTTACACAGAGAATAAAGATTACAATTAATATGAGAATTACTCACCCGAGTCAAGCTCCGAAGAAGCCAATAGGACGATTGGCGAAACGTTCGAGTTCAAAAGAAAAAAATGGAGAAGAGTCTAGGTGAAACGCAAAAGTGGAAAAAACCACAAGAACACTCGAAAACAACTTTTTGAGAGGAGGTGCTCCAGACTTGCGTAAAAACGTAGAAGGGAAAGAAGTTCTTAATTCGGAGCGTATTATTTTGCACATATCCCTGAATGGTTTACCGTTTAGCCACCAGGCGGCGTATCGTGCACCTTGAAACCTCGATTATCGCGTTCACGTTTTGTCCAGTTAAAATTCGTACCTGTTGTTTTCGATGTCGGCGAAAACGGGTCTCATGTTGAAGTACCGATCGGACATGGGTCCCTGTTCGTCGCAGAAACAGAAACAGTACGAACAGTGCCAGAACAGCCAGCGCCACCAACTGTCCACTTTGGTCGTGCCTCTCGCGCAACCCTGCTTGCGACCCAGCACCCTCCCGTTCTCGTATTCTATGTACTCGTAGCGCCTCCCGGTGGCCGGATTCTGAAACCCACTCATTAACGTATACCCTGCAGTAGTTAGAAACGGGTTTTTGCGGGAAATCTGGCAACGCCGCGCTCTTCTACTTACGGAGTTACAGATCCACATGTCGGAATCGTAGAATCGGCAGTTGACGATTTTTCCGTTGCACGAGCGCTGTTGCCGACAGAACAAGTTCTGATAGCAACCGTGGCTTTTGGTGTAAGAGTATTCGGCGCAGTTATCCCTACAGGTAGCGTCCGGGTTGAGGTCGACCTCGTTCTGGACGTAGCCCTGGATCAGGTTCGTGATCTCCTCGTAAGTCTCTCCTGGTCGAAAAAAAAAAGGCAAAACGCCTTAACAAAGGGAAATCCTTCATTTTCTCTTCTTCAAGTCGTACGATGAAGTAAAAAAAGAAGAGAACACCCATGTACAATTGTCTTTTTGAAAATTCGTCGCGTCAACCGTACGATCTTCCAGTTTACCGGCTCAAGAAATGCATCTACATAAATATCCGCTCTTCCGGCATTTAGAGTAGCGAAAGCTACATCAAAGCTGCACATATCAACTCGACGCCTCACTCTCCGGATCAAATTGTAATCGATTTCGATTAAATTTCAGCAGATATCGATTAGCTTGAGATATACTTTTTCTTGCATTTTTCGCCACCTATTTTGATAAAATATTCATCAAACTTGCATACATAAACTCAAGACAACATAAAAGAACCAAATGGATCACATCTGGACCGACTGTGACTCAAAATAGATGCCTGAACTAAGACCGATAAAATTCAAAAAGGCTATCACAAAATCTACAACATACAAATCCAAACGATGCAACATTCGATGGAATGTAGACACTCCAACTGCGCGAAACCAAAGCAAAGACGAAAATCGATAGGCTCGCTGAGATTTCAGCAATGCAGATCTTTGCGCAGAGAATGTAGGAAGGCTAAATCTACATACTACAAGCAACTCGCAACCAATCAAACGACCTTTTCATTTCAAACCAGCTTCAACTTCAAGGTAGAAGATGTACAGGGCTTGGGCAAGACTCCATTGCAGCAGAAGTATTGAAACTTCTTGGTGGAAATTTCCTATCTGTTATGCAATATACCAAACGGGGGAATGGACCGATCTAACTCACTAATCGTACCACTCCATAAGAAAGACAGTGCGAGAGTATGTAACAACTCTAGACATACTACACTCATATCACTTTGTTACCGATCAGACAACCAAGGAACGCGATAGATGGAGTCTCAATGTCACACAAGCATAAATGGTTTGACGGCGATGAACGAACAACGAACGATTAACTTTTTTGAGGAGGGGCAATCAAAAACCGAGACCGCTCTGCGAGATACTCCACCTTTGACGTGCTTCTTGGGGTCGCAGTTCCACAACACGCGAGATACGTTCTTCATGGCGTCCCTGACCCTCTCCATGGCGTCGTTGGTTCTCCGCTCGTATCTATCCCTACTGATTTGGGCCTCCTTGGTGAAATTTCCTGCGGAGACGACGACCGGAACGTTTAAGCGAAAACTTGCCGTTTCTTAAAATTACCGTTGCCGTAGAGTCTCAACAGCATGTAGGAAAATTGGACCATGGCGTAGCCCTTGAGCTCGGTCAGCGCGATGGCGTCGTAAAGACCTCGAAGGACCTGCTGGGGGCTCTGCTTTGCCGTGCATATCATGTCGCCTTCGATCTCCTGCGAAACGGATTTCCAGAGACCTTCCCGACTAACATTTTTTTTTTCGTTTTATAAATATTTTGATAAAACCCGTCGTCGCCCTTATAAAACCGCACTTGGAACGAAAACCGTTTAAAATGAAAAATTGCCGTTTTATAAACCACAAATAAGTTTCATAAATCTACCTGTAGTGTTTATAATTGCCTCGTTGAACTGTCAACAACGGATTTTAGACATAATAACTCAAAAACTCAGATCACTTTCAATATTTTTTGAAGAAATACGTCTTCAAATTTCAAAAACAAAATTTTTATAAATGTCGATTCGATAAAAGAACAATGGCCGCTGCATAAAAGAACGCCAAGTGCAATAGGGTCGCTTTTTTCTTTAATTGTTTTTTTCAAGTATTATTATACATCTTTTATAAATCTTCCCTAGGCGTTATCGAAAAGGTATTTATAAAAATTTTCGTAACCGTTATAAAGCTAAAAGTTGTTGGTTATATTTCACGGAGTAACCTATAAAATCCCCAGGGTAAAAAACGTTACAAAGCGTTTTTATGAACAGCATAAAACAAAAAGTTTTTAGATAAAACAAACAAAACATTCTGAATACGGTATTATAAAAAGTGTTTTTATTGAAGTTTTCGTATTCATTCGATGTTTTACAAAAACAACACATGTCTTACATCATTAAAACTATTACAAAAGCTAGAATTTCTTAGGTTCACTTTCTTTTAACTTATAATTTTAAACTGATTTTCAAGTGATATTATATATATTTTATAAAACGTATCTAGGTGTTTACAAAAACCTCCGTAACCGTTATAAAACTAAAAGTAACCGGAAAACCAATTGAAAAATATTAGCGAGCAAATGTCAAATGTCAATTATCATAACCTCATTTTTCAGTCGACGGTTATTTTGGTAGAATATTTTTTAGGAGTTGGAAGCCTTCTAAGAGCTTCACGGGGCAATCTATAAAATTCCAAGCATAAAAAATAGTATAATATGGTTTTTATGAATTAGTTAAGGTTTCTTATAAATATACCAGTTACCATATATTAAAACCTCAGCTACAAAAAATATCAGTTCGGTTCCGAAACGGGTAATGTGCAAAAGTATTTTTTTTAATCGCCCGGTATCCGTTTACCTTCGCCGCCGCCCGTAAGAGGTCGTTGGTCGTTATTTCCTCGATCCTGCTCGTGGCATCTTCGACGTTGTTCGTGGGATCGTTGAGAACCGCGTCGGCAATATCGATCCAGGCCTGTTTAGGCGACGGGATCCTCCCGACGTCAGTCTGTTGCCTTTGGAACCTTCTGAAGGCCTCGTATAGGGCGTAGATGGCGCGCAAGTCGGCGTAAGCAGTCTGCACCGCCCATACCGAGTCGAGACTCTCGAGGCCGTACGTCAAATCGCGATCGTAAAACTGCGCAGTAATTTACCCAAATTACGATTGCGCAACTCCACCTTCCACAATTTTGATCAATATTTTCCCGTATTAAATCGTAGTACCCAAATATTTCCCGCATTTCCTCGTGTAACACAAATTTTACCCGTATTTCCCTAAATTTCCATATAATACCCGAATACTTCACCGTATTTTGTATTTTGTTCATATTACCCGAATATTTTCGCCCATATTTCTCTATATGTCGCCGGAATTCCTTATATTTCCTTGCATTACCCAAATGTTTCCTGTATTTCTTTTTGTAGTATAAAAATATTTCATCATATTTTCCCAAATATTTTGCCGTATTTCCTAAATATTTCCCTATATTTTATTAAATTACCCAAATATGAACCGAATATTTGGACGTGTTTTATATTTCCTCGTATTACCCAAATATCTTCCCTTATTTCCCTGAATTACTCCAAATATTTCGCTTATTTACCGAAATTGTTCCTTATATGTCTTCGAATTACGTAGTAAGTTAAGTTTTCTCAGGTGGTTTCCTCCGTCGCGATTACATCGTACCTTTTTGATATAATCTCCAAAAATTTCGTATCTCCTAATGAGGACCAGTTCGGGCGGTTCTTTCGACTCTTTCGAGCTACTCGTCCCATCTCCCGCATCAACCACGAAATTCCAAAGTTCCTCTTCAAGTTTGAGGAACTCGTGGCGCAGGTGATCCACGGGGAGGAGTTTTTGAGGCTCGCGGCCGTTAACAGCGGTTCGAACGAAAATTACGAAGCAGATGATTATCGGCGACATGTTCGCTTTCGACTTCCGGGTGCGATATCCTACGTTCGGTTCATTGCGGGAGAAGAATTAATTGACCTACGAAAAGGAAGAGGTCGCTAAATGAGCATCGTTGAGCACGGTGAGTAAAATTTTAGAACTAAATCCTTCTTCTCTCGCGGACAAAATTACATTAATAAAAAAAAACTTAAAATATATTCGTTGCTTGGGACACCGTCATTTTTGTCTGTCTTTTGTTTTATCTAAACACAGGTGTAAATATTCTATAAAGAAAAGTACTCACAGCAATAGGGTCGTTAAAAGAAGAAGAAGAAAAGAAGAACCTTAATTTTTCTGATATTTTTATATATACAATCCACCTATGAAGTTGGCGCCAAAATTTCGCGGCCTGACATAGATGCAGCTCCAGTATCACGATAAAACTTTGTCTTCTTTTAAATATATATCTTAGTAGGCTGCGAAAAAAATTTTTTTTTAAAGGGATTGAGTTGTTAATAAAGAGATGTAATAAGTGTATTGACGTTAAGGGGGATTATATAGAAAAATAATAAAAAATTGTTACTCTACTTTGTTCCTTTCATATTCAGGCCGGGAAATTTTGGCGCTGCCCTCGTAATACCTATTGTTTTCGTTGCAACATAAATTCTTTGCAATCTAAATCCTTGATTCTTCATAACCCAATTAAAATAATATCGTTATGAATAAGAAACCAGTTTTACAGAAACGAACCACACCTTGAAGCATGATTCCTTTTTTCGTATTACCTTCCGGGAAGGCAATTACGTACCTATTATCACACGAACGGCAATTTGGTCCAGGTTTTCCGATAAATTATGACCAAAAGAACCGACATACGCATGACATGTCGCACTTTGATTTTACTCTAAAAAGTATATTTATTTTATTCTTCCCTTTGAATAGAAAACATTCGTAAATTGCAAAATATATATCAATTTATATATATATATATATATATATATATATATATATATATATATATATATATATATATATATATATATATATATATATATATATATATATATATATCATTGTATCCGTATCCGTATCCGGACCAGATATAGCGAGTTTCTATTTTTTCGCCAATTTTCATTAACATTGTCTAGTCGCTGTAAGGTCGTGCGGTGTCAAATAATTCTAGCCTGAACCCATCGTTTAAAGGGTTAATTAATATTTATCCGGGTATACGGCAATAAAGAGAGAGATTACGGCAGAAACGACCACAGGGCAAACACGAAAGTTTAATGTTTTTTATCTCCATTCCAATAAACATTGCGTTATCTAATTCATGGTAATACCAGAAAGGCAGCTAAAAAAGTGGTTTTTAAAATTGAACGAAATTAAAGAAAGGTTTACGAAAAATAGTCATTTTTGGATTATGGAAAACAAAAACATTCCATATCAGCAAATACTGATACGAACTTGATAAAAAGTACCCATCGTTAATTGATAATTGAGACTCGATAGACTATAATCAAACTACCTTATACTTACTTATCTTATACTCCGTAAATATAAACCAAAACTACATTATTTTCATTGTTTTTCTCCTGAACGTTCCAAAAACCATTGAAAATTTTCTCGAGAATTAAGTAAGAATAATTTTTATTTATATTTAAATTGAAATTACGATAAACGATATTCATATTTTCATAAAGTAATTTGCAGAAGTCATTTTGAGCTCTTAGGCTTCTATATAAGCGTAATACTATTTTTTTTACTTCGTTTGAGTTTTGTTTTTACGATTGTAGTTAATTTTGTATACCGAATACTTTGCTCGTCATATAATTTTATATTTGTGTTTGATTTGAATTGACGAATTTTAGATTGGTCTTTAAACAAAAAACACCATATTACACATTTGAATATCTACAGAATGACAAAAAATATAACGTTTTGAAGGTCACGTCAACATTGCGATCGTTTTTCTAAGTCTTATTGACCTTGAAAAAAATGGCTTAAAATGGTCAGACTGAAATTATGTGTTTTGGTAAGATAAAACCTTTATAAAAACAAAAGTAGCTGCGACCACTTGCGACCCTGCCAAACAATAGTACATAGATGTTAGGTTTCTAAGTACAAATTGCTATGAAGATAAATAATAAAAAAAATTAGAAGTACATTCTCTACTTTTGAAATACCAATTTTTTTTTGGTCCAACAAAAATTCATTGAAAGTCCACTTCCCACCCTCCTAAATGTTTATGTGACTGTGGATTTTACTCTATACACTGTACAAGGTGAACCAAATTACTTGACTCTTATGGATTATATTGCAAAATCAAAACTTTTATTGAGGTGGATTTTTTTTAAAAGAAGTGACGCGTTACTAAGAAAAGTTGTCTTTTAAATTTCTTTGATGATGTACGTCACTCCACGGCAGATTTCGTTATAATTTTGGTTTTGAGAAATTTTTTTCATCAACGATTTACCAATAAATAACAATATCTAGTTAGTTAGTTTAGTTAGCTTTTTAAATTTGATTTTTGACGTTTTCTTTATTTTCATTTCCACCTACTTTTCTTTATAACGTTTTGCAATGTCAGTAACAAGTTTCTATCCCAAAGAAAAATATAAAATGAGAAAATCGTCGTTAGCCAAGTACCTTCCGATTTGATACGGAGGGTTAGACGATGAATCTAAACAATTTTTTATTGGTGAAATTTATTGGTATGTACAATTTTCAATAAAAAATCGTCGATTGACCGTTTTAGACTTATAGCGATGCTAAATAAATAATTAATCCACTGTGCATCGCGTCCGTATCGTCCTTGGGCGCAAACAAAAGACCTAATTTACCGTCATTTGCTTGCGGGACCGTTTCAAGAAACGTCAATCGTTCCGAATTAGGCACGACGAAACGTTCTACCGTATCGCACGAACAAAAATCGCAACGCAAATCGACTCGACGAACAACGTATCATACCGGTCTCTAATTAGTTTACTTTCTATGAAACGCGTGTTTGCATAACGTGCCACTTACCCCGCAATAAAGAAAAACGCGAAGTTAACCGTTTTTCGATGTTGTTTACCTTTGAAATTGAAAACGAGCCGCGTTCGTAAACGGTATCGGGCTAAGATATCGGACACGTACGAAAATCGCGATACTACGTGACAACGAAACGATTCCTCGTTTAAAAAAATTTGTCGTGGTCGCGCCGAAACGCCGAAACAAGTGGGACAAACGAGCAAACGCACGGCTACGTCGCACGATCTCGAACGAAGACTGAAAGCTTCGGCTCGCAGCTTAATAATTTTAATGACGAATGTCGCGTCGTCGCAGCAACCTCGCTTTTAGAAGTGGGATTGACCGGATATTAATTAATAAGCCGGGGTGTTATCAGACTTGAATGAATGACGAAAAAAAAAACGGTTATTGATCTAAAAAACAAAACAAAAACAATGGGTTTCATCGTTTCTCGGCAGAAGTCGACGGAAACTTTCGGCATCGATTCACGTTTGTGTACATTTAAGTAGCGAACGAGATCGAACGTACAAAAAAAAAATGACAAATTTTGCCCGTAATATTCTGTGACGAAATTTCTCGTTTTCAAATATATTTCTGTTTAATTGTTATTTAACTTTTGATAAAATTTCTACCCTATATTTTGACGACCATAATAACAGCTCCTTGATTCTTTGAGTGGTTGGAATTATAATTTAAATATCTTTTATTTTTATGTTATTTTCGTTAAGAATTATTATTAAAGTTGAGTCGAGGAAATTTATTTTTTTCTTTACGAATTTTAATAGTAAACTGTAATTAAGAATGACGATTAGGTAAATTAACTACACCCAAGAACAACTGCAGCACTATACAGGGTGTTTCCTAATAGAATGTCGATTATTGTTGAGTCTAATTTAAAAAGAAAACGTCTGAACTTTTCAGATCTCCAATCGTTTCTAAAGAAACTTAATTTCTTGATTTTTTTCAATCCCAGGTAGGGTTTTTTTTTAAAAACCTCTTTTCTGCATTGTCATAACAACAGAGAAATTAGTTTTTTTTTGTATAATTGCATGCAAAAGTCATCATTTTTGTTAAAGAACTTTTTTAAAACAAAATATCTAGTTTTTAGTTACCAACTAGAGTCCTTCAGAAAAAAAATTATTAGAAGACTGTTCTTATTACCTTTACAGTTTTAATGAATTAAAAAAAAAACACTACCTACTATTAATAATTTTTAACAAAATTGTCTGTTAATAACAACCTTTTCGCAAGAAAGTAAAATACGGCAACTAGATAAGTTGTTGAAAGTGTGACATTCAGTTAGAAAACACCCTGTATATATAATTAAATATAGCGTTCGGACGTTTTTGGGCTTAGATTGTTCTCATAAATCTCAAATTTTCTATAAACTTTTATATTTTCACAACGTCTCGATCTCAACATAGATCTTGATAAAGAAAAAAAAATACAAACTGAAAATGTAAAATACAATACAAATACATCATTAAAAAAAATAGTTAAAAACATTTATACTATACATACCTTGGTGTTATTTTAGATAAACTATTCAGAAAGAAATGATTGGAATAATTTATAACCCATAACATTTTATCAAAATAATTTTATATAAAATATTTGCATTGTCTTTTGTATTTCCGATTTGGGATATTGGAAGCCATACCATGATCGTTAAATTAGGAAAAAGTTGTAAAGTTTAAACGTAAAATGAGAAATTATTTCGACATGAAGAAATACTTTAAAGCCCCGAGCTTTTTCGAGATATTTCGCAAAATTTCAATCAAAAGATTCGAATTTTTTTCATTTTTAAACGATACAACGGTTAAGTACCGTTTTGAATGATTTCGCGTCCGTCAGTTTTTGACATGAAACGATAACTATTACAGTTTTCATCGAATAATGCAATTTTTTCGCGCGACTGTCTCGGCCCGAATTAAACTGCGACCGAAAAATGAAACTAACCAAAGTTAATTTCGGTATCCGTATCTATAAAGCTCGCCATTACAGACGCAAGGAGTGGGGGTGGCCGTTTAAAGAAAACAGCATTGGGAAATTTTTTTATGCCAGGTAAGCAGAGATTGTTAAAAAATCGCTAAAAAAGAGCATGATTAATATTTCTGCTTGTTCTTTCCTGTCAAATCGACCTTTTTTTTTGCCGTCCAACGACACACGTTAAATATTTTCTTTGCATTAATTTTTTGAAAGGTCCAAAGATAAACGCTTCCATTTTTATTTTCAGGATAAGGTAGAAAAACAACTCGCGAGTTGTTAAAGTAAATAAGACAAAACGCGCAAAGTCAGCGGCGTACGCACCTATTTTCGTATTGTGAAAAAAAAAAATTTTTCAATATTTTCGAAAACTATGGATATCCGGAGCGAAGTTTTAGAATATTTAGCATTTTTTTCAAACGCCCGGTATAAATTTGTCTAATATTTAAGAAACAGAGTGACTCGGATAACCCATTTAAAAAAAACCCGAGCAAACGAAACACTTCTGGGGAATCGAAAAATATGGCGCGATATTTTGTATTTTCACAATCAGTGGCGGGTTTGGATTTACGTATATGCTACATTTCAAGAATATTACTTACTATTATTGCTGGCAAGACCGGGAAAACCATTAGACGCACAAATTTTAATTAATACGCTTAAAAATACTTTTGCACATCGCGTTTCGTTTACGATACCCAACGTAAATTTCGAGGATGCGCTTTTGCACGGTCCCAACACGATAATTCAATATTTGAAATATCTACTTTGCTAACGAAATGGAAAATAATCTAAAATCGATACGGTCCACGAACAACGAAGCGTTTATGAACCATCAAGTTTTGAAACAGAGAAATTCAGTTGTCGACCAAAAAAAATTTATTGATTAGAAGCTTTTTTTTTATTGGAATTTTTATGTCAAAATTGAATATTTTTATTAGTTTTTAGCAGGGAAAATTGATAGCAAAAATTTTGGAATGAAAAAATTACATGTAAATTTTCAATTTTTTGTACTATTTTTTAGAGTGATAAAAATTTGAATATTTCGGTTCATTTTGTTATATTAATTATAATTTATATGTAAGTTTTGATACTGTGTTATTCATTGTTATTTAAAAAAATATTCCATTACATTTGTTGAACGACAAGGGAAGTCCTTGTCTGCCTGTGGGAAAAACATATTTGGGATAAAAAAAATTAAGGTAAATTTTATCTATTTCTTGGAAAATGCAAAATTTTTGAATTTTGAGAAATTTTAGTGGGCGTTTTTTTAATTTCGAGATGATTGTATAAGCATTTATTTTTATTTAAAAATATTATTTAGAGTATTTTTATTAAATTTTAGCAGGTAAACTTGGCTTAGTTACAGGAAAATTTGTAATCTTTTTTATGAAAAAACTATATGAAACTTTTGAATTTTTTATACTGTTTTGTAGGTCTAAAATTGAAAGGGCGATAAAAATAATATGTTTTACTACTGTCTGTTATTTATGTGATAAAAATTAATATCAGTGGCGTCTCATAAAGCTTTAGCTGACTCCGAGCACCATTTAAAGGTTCCGCCACCACGTAAGGCGTAAAGAGTAGTTCAAATGTACCGACCTGTCTCGGTCTTCAATGGTACGAAATATATCGCGTTTCCGAGCTCACCTCCGTCGCTCTGGCGATGAGCTCCATGATGCCGGTGTTGGTGATGTCTCTCGCGTTCGGTACCACGAAAGCGTGAATCCTCTCGACGAGGTTAACGATCGAGCTCGCGTCGTGCGAGACCACCGATTTCGCGAAATCCTCCAACGTTATTTTTTCGAAATCCTTCTGGTGCTGAGCGTAGTTCTCCATCCGTTTGAAATTCGTGTCGACCCGGGTCAGGTAGTCCAGGAGGTCGTTGAGCCGGAGCTCCAACCGAACCCGCTCGGGTAAGTTGTGCATCAGCGTGTTCAGGGAATGGGAGCCTGAAAGCGATTAAAATGTCGCGAACTGGGAGAAAAAATGTGCCTGGGTCCCCAAAAACCAAATACCGGAACGCAAAATGGCACACATCAACCTCTCCAGAATCCTGTGTTCATCGATCTTCCAAGAACCTTTGAGACCATCGATAGAGGAGGTCTGATGGATAAACTGTTCGCATATGGGATCAGAGAGAATGTGCTTGTGTGGATAGTTGATTATCTAGGTGATAGATTCCATGGAACAAGGATTAATAACGTGGTGTTTGACAAATTAGAAAACAATACAGGTTTACTCCAGGGCAGTGTATTAGGACCTTCGATTTTTATTCTATATGTGAACGATTTAGACAAAATTTTGAAAAATTGTTTTGTCAACCTTTTCGCGGATGACACTTTGCTCTCAATTTCTGGGAAAAATTACTTAGAAGTGGTCTGCTCTGTTCATAGATATAAGAAAGTGGCCAATTGCATTTGAATGGGATTATCCAAGTGTGGTCATTAACATACAATGCAACAAGATTATTACCTAAAGTTTCGGAATTTAAATTCAGGTAAAATTGGGGTCCGTAATAGAAAATAATTTTATACCTACCTGTGTTTAATATTCTTTGGTTTGGTATACTACTCAGTTTAAGTTTATTAGTAATCATTCTTATTTCGTGTGTAATACAGCGTGTGTTGAATTGTGTGCGAATTATGCAAAATATGTACGAGTCTAGGAGATGCTCCCGCCCAAATGTAGAAAACACTATTCTATTGAGACTAAGGAAGTTATAAACAATGTTTATTTGACTCTCATTGAACGTAGTGCCGGCAAACAAGCAACTTTAGAAGAAACGGCCACATTGACGAAAATTCCAACATCAACTGTATGGAGAATTGTGAATAATCCCATTTCAGCGAGGAAAAAAAGAAGCGATGCTGACATTTTCTCGAGTATAAACGAAATTGATCAAGATTTAATAATTTCCATGAAATTTTGAAAATTTTTATAGGTTGCCGTCACGTTTCGACCAAAACTCGACAGACAAAAAAAATACGATTCGAATCTAGCGCCCTCTAGGAGCAACGTCCAAATAAGTTTCGAATTCCATTGAATTTTTTCGATATCTCTTAGAGACGTCACAAGTTTGACTTGTTTTTCGAAAATTCTTACTTATTCTTCAATTTTCCCAAGTTTAACCAAAACCCATATTTAAAAAAAAATAAAATCCTATACATACAGACTATCGCATCTTAAAAAAGTGTTTTTTTTTTCAATAATAAATAATATTCCTCAATTGGAAATTTTTTGCTAGCGTAGATCATTGACCCTAAACGAGTTTTCCGATAACGGACCATCGATGATTGTTCACCCTAGCGGCATAGAACGAGAATAGGTTCGAATCCTCGGTGAGTCACACATTTCGCGTCCGCATTTTTCAAAAATGAAAGCGCACGTTGACCGAAATCGCAAAGTTCAAAGACATCATCCAAATCGCGGGATTTGAGTATATTTACTTTTGAATGTTAGTAACGCCCGGAAACCTGATGCAAAAACGATACAGAGTTTGCCAATAGTGAAAATTTCATATTTTCAAATAACTTTTGAATTTTACGTACCGCTGTTGTCTACTTTGAAGGCCAACTCGTCCAATTTCCGGTTGATCTTGCCGATTCTGCCGAACAGTTTCGTCTCGGTCCGGTCAAAAATCGGAATGGGAACTTCGGAAAAGTCGACATGCTGATCGACGATATCCCAGGCCTTCGCGAGCGCGATCCCTACGTCTTTAGCTATTTTTATTATATCCAAAACTTCAGTCAAACCGATCGCGTCGACCCCCAAACACATGCACGTCGCGAACAACAAAGCCAACGCGCATCGGGAACTCATCGCGGGAAACGCGACGCGTTATCGCATGTGATGTAGCTAAACGACCGGATACCGAATGCCGACGCGAAATGAAGAAGGAGAAATACAAAACCGCACACGAGACTTAATCGAGAACGGGTTTTAGCACGGAGTAAACACGGTCGGGTTCTGTCAAAAATTTGTAGGTGGGGACCACTGTCAAATCACGGACCGCGAACAGACATATTAAAAAAAAAAAATGAAATACGTACACTTCCATTCTCCGTCCCGTGTCGTCAACCTCTAGCTGACGCCTGTCAGTCACCATCGACTCCAGAATACCGCCACTAGTATAAATACGTATATGCTATCTCCTCTCGTTCTCAACTCCACACAATTATAACAGAAATTTTCCGAATGCTTGCCCATTTCTATAAACTTAATATGCAGAAAACCAACAGCCACTTCTGTGTTCTGTGGTCAAGCCGACTGCTTATTTCGATTTCGACAGGTTTTTACTTTTCGTCGCGAGCCTGTTTCAGCCGATTCGTAACAAAACCATCCAACAGGTGGTTTAAAATTATAAGTGTACGACCGCTCTCGCAAAAATCAGCTCTGCATCCGGATACAACAGATTTTCAGTAACAGATAACCGACAAGCTCCAAACAATTGAAATTTTAGTTATAACCTATAATTTCGTGCCGTCCGCTGTCAACACTCAGCTGTTTCAGAAAAAATGACGTACGTTTCGCTTTCCTGAAGAGTAAATCGTGTGTTCAAATTTCGAATACGTTGCTATTGTTTGAATAAAAAAATGACGCAATATGCGTTTGAGTTTGTACTTTCCGATCTTATCTAAATGATAACCTGGTAAAATGAATGAAAATACGACCTTAGTTCGACTGGGGCGATCCGGTGCGTCAGAATGGAGCCCGTAATTTTGGTACACGGCGGCGCAGGCGACATACCGGATTCGAGAGTTCGACCGAAAATAGACGGCAACAGGAACGCCGTGCAAGCGGGATACGCCGTTCTACAAAATGGCGGCAGCGCACTGGACGCCGTCGAAGCAGCGGTGAAACGCATGGAAGACGACGAGGCTTTTAACGCGGGTAATTTGTCGATTCGCTTGCGCGTATAACTTAAAATGTGTATGGTTTTGATTGCAGGATTCGGATCTGTGTTGAATTTAGACGGGGAAGTCGAGATGGACGCGAGCGTCATGGTAGGATCGGATTTATCAGCGGGTGCCGTGACCGTCGTGAAAGATGTATCGCATCCTATAAGGTAGCCGGCACGGACCACTATCCCATATTCTGTGCTACCGGCATTTTGTGACTTATGATGTATAGATAACGGAATTGGTGGTTGGTGCACTAAGAGTATTTTATAGTAATTTTTAGTGCTTCGTTGCCATGCTTTAAATCATTATTGTGATAATTGTTTGTCAATTTGGATTTTTTGCGAAGTTTCTCGAGTTTTCATGTCCGACTGGCTGAAAATTGAATTATTTTGAATAAAAAAAAAGACTGCAAATGGTAGACTTTTGTAATGAACGCAAATGAATGCAAAGTTAGGTTCCAATTTTACCGCCAATTAAGAAAAGTAATTGTCGTTTAAAAACTGATGGGGAAATTATCCAGAATATTCGTAAATAGGACACATGTTGCAGTTTAGCACGCATGGTTATGGAACGGACGCCCCATTTGTTACTAGCTGGAGCTGGCGCGAACAAGTTCGCCAGAGACCAAGGCGTTCCGGTCCTGCCCAAGGGAGCTTTGGTTTCAGAGTATGCCAAAAAAGCCCTGGAAGAATTTAAAGTTCGCGGGTGCGCGAGTACCGAAATCGGAGAAAAAGTATAGCAATTTTTGAGGGTTGTTTACGGTTGTTATTAAAGTGTTGTCGATGTGTAGAACCCGGGGGACGTAGGCACCGTTGGCGCCGTCGCGATCGACGCCCGCGGCAATTTGGCCGCCGCGACGTCGACGGGAGGCATCAACGGCAAAATGGTGGGCCGGTGCAGCGATACTTCCTTAATCGGTAGCGGCACTTATGCCGACAACGATATCGGGGCAGTTTCCACAACGGGTAAGCTTCTTTTTTGAATATGACGTAAAACGATATAAGAACCATCTTCTGATTCCTTGAAGACCAATTTTACACTATTTATGTAATAGAAAATTGACCGGCAAAAAAAACATTTAGATGGTTACCATAATCAAATTCTCAACAATATTGGCATCAAAAAATTGTAAATTTTAATGGGCCTTAGGTGGCTGCTTCTCATGGTACAACTCAACGTTCATAACATATAATTTGTTAATTTTAATGTTCTTTAATTCGAGCATTTGGATTTGGTATTGAAAGTGTTACAAAAAAAAAAGAAAAATTGAAATTCGTGCATAAATGTTCTGTGTCTGCAATTTCATTAGAGGGTGAACCAAGGAGTTTTATGGTTATATTTCGCGTCTAAATTGTAACGTAACTGAAGTCGGAGAATGTAAGAGTGTGAGAAACAGGCTTTAACAAAAATAGCCGAGTAAATGAGAAAAAGTGAATCTATAATTAACTACAAAAAGTCAACAAAACACACCAAATGTAACTATAAATTTCGATATATTAGAAATATAAGAAATATTTTCATGTTTTTTCTGAACGTGACGAATAAACTTTTTATTTGTCTTATGTACTATCGGTATTTTCTCCATAGTTTTTTTTTTAATAACCTTGTACAGTCTTGGAATTAATTTTATGACTTAAATAACCATAACAATAAAAAAATGGCTGAATTAGATAACGTTGTTGTCCAATCGAACAAAGTCGACCTTTTTGTTCATGCGAAATAGAATAAAATTATAAAAATAGCAAAAAAAGATTTTAATGGTACTTTTAATTTTGTCACTATTTAGGCCGGCAAATGTTATTTTCGACATAAAATTCAAGGCAAGTAAGAAAAGGTAAGACTTGTAGGTATAGGTTATTATATACGAAATATTATGTTTACGATTCTCTTCTATCAAAACATATTTTCAAAGATAAACCGCAAATCGCCATCAACATCGTTGTTTTAAAAGGAACACCCTGTACATTATTTGATATTTGGATTTCTGAGAAAATTTTTCGACCATTTCTCGGATACTATGATTTTTTTGAGAATTTTTACAAATTTTCCCGTATTTTTAACAGTGGTCATTAGATTATTTTCAAAATCAGAAACGTTCACATGAAATATGCCTAGAATTCTCCAAAGACTCACTGAACCCATTTTTAAAATATTATGTAATAAATGTTACAAAAATAATTCTATTTTCCCACCTTTTGTCGTGTTGTACTTTTTCCAGATGAAAAGAAAACAACAATATTTTCAAAATTATTATTACACATACGCAATTGCAAATATTTAATTATAAAGTGTTTTTTTTTTTTTTCAATAAACCATTAAAATGTATTTAAAAAAAAAAGTTCCACTTCAAAGTGAATATTGATTGATTCGATGGGCATTTTAGTCCTCACTTAATATTTAACCTTAACAATATTTTATTCAGTGTGCTGCGGATTTACTGCATAAACAAATATTGAAGACTTGGTCTACCGACTCAACCGTTAATTTAATTAGGCAAATTTTTGAGGCATTAGTCAGGATATCTGTGAAACAAGTGAGAATTTATTAAGTCAGAATTTCTGAGAAACAAGTCAGAATTCCTGACTTTCAAATTCTGAGAAATAAGTGAGAATTCAAGTCAGAATTTTTGAGAAAAAACGTAAGAATATCTGAGGAAAAAGTCATAATTCGTGACTTAATTCAGAAGTTTTGTGCTGCGAATGTACTGCATAAATAAATATTTAGGCCATGGAGAGTCGATTGCCAAATTTTGCCTCGCCCACGCCATCATAAAAGAAATGGAACACGGCAAGTCCGCGGATAAAGCGACCAACGAGGCGCTCGCCAAAATGACTGAAAAACTCAAAAATACCGCCGGTACGCCTCAAACTCAAAAACCGAAATCAAAAGGAATAACGATGATTTTGCTGCAGGTGCGATAACGCTATCGAGGAATGGTGAGGTAGGGGTAGGATTCACTAGTCAGAGGATGTCTTGGGCCTACAGAAAGGGCGGGGAGTACCATTACGGGATCAACAAAGGGGACCACAACGTGGAAAAAATTAACTGAGACTTATATTATGCGACCTATGTTATTCTGTATCGGTGTGGGTTGTTATTAAATCTAAAAGTGAGCCTCTCATTTTCCCAAGTTCCATAATAAGCCTCTAATCCTCCGGCGCCCCGGCGTCCGGGACGAGATCCCCGTAACAGTGTTTCGCTGTCGGGTCCCTGTAAGAATTTTCGTGTTGCACACTCTGGGAGTTGGTGCGGCACTTGGCCAGGCACAGCTCGAAATGGTCCGTGACCGACGCGAACAACACACTGTTCCGCTCCGTCGCTTTGTGCAATATCGATTCCAAAACTTCCCTCTGCGAAACGTTACCCTCGCAACCGATATATATAAAGATTCTGGCGTTTTTCTTACCTTGTTGGGATGCAGACAGCAAGATATGCAGTGTTCGTAGATTGCACAGCAGTTGTTCTGTTTGCACGTCTCGCACAAATATTGAAACGCGTTTTCCGATTCGGCGTTGCAACATCCCGTGATGAGAATTTCGTTTCTCGGGCAGACGAAACCTAAAACAGCGAAAAATGCAAACCCGCGGCGCTCGCGCGAAACGCGCACCCCTCTCGTCGGCTATTAGCACTTTGCCCTGCACCGAGTTTCTGCAATTTGGTTCCGTTTCGCCGGTCGTGTTGTGCTGCTGCAAAGTGCGCCAGATGAAAGGCTGCGTGCGTTTCACCGACACAGTCTCGTCGCTCTCCAGGAGTTCGTTCTGAAACGCAAACTACGAAACGTCGCACCCATTCGACATCCCCCGCGCGCTTACCTTGTCCAGATAATTGAAAATGCAATAACAAAACGACAGCGTCAGAATCAGACCTAAGATGATGCGGCGTCTTATGAACCTTACGAATGCCGCGTACCACATTTTCCGAGTTTTCGAAAAATCATCGTTAACTTAACAGCATATACATTTTTGTAAACATGATAAATTTAATTGAATCCTATTCTATTTTTAAGGTTAACTTGACCAAACCACAGAATGATGTAATTCTGGTTACACAGCATATTCTCCTCTTAACAAACAGCTGTGCAAGGCACTATGATCATTCGTCCAGGCACAACACAATTACTAAATTAGGTTTTATTACAAGCTGATAAATAAGACGCGAAATCTTAGACTTTGGAGTTTATTATTTGAAATATATTACATATTACACGTATTATTTAAAATATAATACTAGGAACACAAATGGCTCGGAGCAAAATAAATTAAAAACACCCAATAAAGTGACTTAAAACACAAATAATATGCATATGGGTAATAAGTAATGATAATATTAACTCAACGTAATAAATTTCATATGATTGATATAGTAAACTGTGGGTTCAGAGAGATCAAAACTAAGAAGCGTTTAGCCTGTCGATTAACTTGGATTCTGAATTTTTCCGTACGCTGCCTTCGTAGCCCGGTAGATGTAAATTTAAAATCTATTTTCTCTAATTTTTTTGTTGGTGTTGATCAGTTTTGGTTTCTAGCGAAGCTTGGTGATTTCACAACCGGTGCATGTCGACCGGCCGGCTAGAAGTCAGTCCGAAATCGACCAATTTTTTTGGTGTGCCGAAGATTTCTTTAAATATTATTTTCGAATGGTTTTTCGTTTTCACTTGAAGTAAAGCGAGATATGGGTGCGATAACTCGCGGCGCGTTCATCGTTATCGAGGGAGTAGATCGATCGGGTAAATCTACGCAATGTAAAAAACTAGTACAATCGCTGCGAGCGAAGAACATCGAAGCCGAACTAATGAATTTTCCGGACAGGAGTACGAGCACGGGCAAAATCATAAGCCAATATTTAACCGACCCGACCACGAAATTAAACGACCACGCGATCCACCTGTTGTTCGCGGCCAACCGTTGGGAAAACGCGGAAAAGCTGCAGTCTTTGCTTGGTCGGGGGATAAATTTGGTCGTCGACCGGTATTCTTATTCGGGGATTGCGTTTTCGGCCGCCAAAACCGGTAAGGGGTCCGTTTGGGGCGACTTTTAGATGTTTATTGTAGTTGTCGAAGGTATGGACATAGAGTGGTGCAAGCGGCCGGAGAACGGGCTGCCCAAGCCCGATTTGGTGATGCTGTTGACTTTGAACCCCGAGGAAGCGGCGAAGAGGTCCGGTTTTGGCAACGAGAGGTACGAAAACGAAACGATGCAAAAAAACGTGGCGCGAATCTACTCCGAACTCTGCGAGGAGGGCGATAATTGGAGAGTGATTGACGCTTCGGGGTCTATTCAACAAGTGCAGGATGAGTTGCTCGATATCGTTCTACCGAAAATCGATTTCGTTAAGTCCTTGCCCTTACAGTATTTAAATTTCGATAGAAAAATAAGATAAAGATTTTTTAAAAGATTTCTGCGCTTTTTTCAAAAAGGCCACCAAAAACAAAATGCAGGTTTTAGTGTGAGCCAATTTTTGAGGAAAAAAAGTCAGAATTTCTGAAAAATAAGTCAAAATTTCTGACAAACGAAGACAATGCAGGTACAGATTTTGGTTGGACATTTTTAAATTTTTATTTAGCAATTTCTAAATTTAAATGGTTAAAACATTTTATTATTACTTTTTAAATGATTGGTACGACTGTAAAGCTCTTATTTTACGTTCTCTTCTTTCGTTTGATTCGTTTGCGCACTCTCGGAACTGGCCTGTGGATTATCATTAGTGATAGTTGCGGTCGAGGTCACCGGCCTCTCATTTCTGGGCCTGTTGTATTGGGACAATCTACATGGTGGGCAGTATGGGGTAAACGGAGGTCTGATGGGGACCATAGGCATTCGCATGTGTCCAGGAATGACTCCTGTGGGATAAAACCAAGGGTGGTAGAAAGCGGGGCCCGGAAATCCAGGTCTAACGGGACACGACATGCAATATTCGCCCTGAAATTATCAATTCTAACGAAACCTAACACTCTTATTAACTAACACACAACATAGGGGCTGTATTCAGCGGCTCCGTGGTTACAGTAGCCCGGAGATAGAGTTTTTCTTCTCAGGCTTCTGCTCCTGTAACGAAATCTACGCATCCTCTTATTGTATCTAGCCGGTGACCTGCTTCGGTATCTGGATGATCTGGATCTGGATCTCTCCCATTTGATATATTGTCGGGGCGGGGGGCTTCGCCTCCGAGTATCGGGACTCCTTTTCATAGCAGCACTACCGGACCTATCTGAAATAATTGTCACGAACGTTCAGTGGGAGTACTGCTGGTGGTGTAGAATCGAAAGGTTTTCTTACATGAGCAGGAGTATCTATTTGAGAGGGAACAAGATCTCCTTGAGAACTGTCTGTGCGTCCTCGGGGAAAACACTTTTTCGATGTCTAGAAAATTATCTCCCCCTTTCGTAATAAAAAAATAAATAACACTTTTTTGATATTTTCAACGACTGTTAAAAAATAAATAAAAAATAAAAGCTTATAAAGAAAGAAATAAAACACTTATAAAGTTATCTCTTGCTTTCCTGTTTAAAAAATAAAAACTTATAACGTTCTCTTTCTTTCGGGCTTAAAAAAAATAAATAATTTTTTATATCTGCAAAAAATTAATAAATAAAATCTTATAAATAAAAAATACATACATATAAAAAAAGTTATTTCGTGTTAAAAAAATAAATAAAAACACTTGAAATCCACAACGCCTGTTAAAAAATAAACAAAATATAAATAAAATATAAGACAAAGCTAACCTCTTCCTTTTGTGTTAAAAAAAATAAATAAAAACATTTATTTCAAATCTACAACGCGTGTTGCAAAAATAAATAAAATATTTAAATAAATAAATAAAAGCTTATAAAGTTACGTCTTTCTTTCGTGTTAAAAAAATGAATAACACTTTTTTGAGATCTTCAACGTCTGTTAAAAATTTAAATAATTAAAATCTTATAAAGTTACCTCTTGCTTTCGTGTTAAAAAAGCAAATAACACTTTTTTGAGATCTTCAATGCCTGTTGAAAAAATAAATAAAAACATTTATTTAAAATCTACAACAAATTAAATATTTAAATAAATAAATGAAAACCTATCAAGTCACCTCTTCCTTTCAGTTTTAAAAAAAGCGAATAAATAAAAATTTACAAAGTTACCTCCTGCTTTCGGGGTTAAAAAAAAGCACTTTTTTATATCTGCAAAAAATTTATAAATAAAATAAATAAATTAAAACTTATGAAGTTACCTCCTCATTTCGTGTTAAAAAAATAAATAAAAACAGTTTAAATCATAAACATAATATTATAAATAAAATGTAAAGGGCAAAACAATAACACTTAGAAAGTTAACCTCTTTCTTTTGTGTTAAAAAAAAAAGAAAACACTTTTGCAAAAAGAATGTATAATTATGAAGTTACCTATTCCTTTCATGTTGGAAAAATAAAAGTTTTAAAACCACCTCTTTTGTGTAAGAAATACATAAAAGCTTAAGATACCTCTTCTTTTCATGTTACAAAATAAGCAAATAGAAATTCTTTGATATTTACACGGCCTGTTAAAAAAATAAAAACTCATGAAGTTACCTTTCGTAATCCTCCTGTTTGGGAGAGGGCTACCTTTTTTGATTATAACGTTTGGCTAAATCGGGATGCCCGGGATGATATTCTCCGGGTCTCAGAGAAATAGAATACTCCCTTGAATGACTCCTTTTGCTAGGAGATTCGTACAGCGGGTAGTCATGTTCGCGACCTTGACTTCTACTTCTGCTCTTACTAATTCTTCGATTAGTTCTCGATCTAGTCCGACTTCTGCTTTGCGACTACTTGATGGCACAGAAACATTCGATCGAGTGAAAACAGCGGTTTTCCTCAAACTTTTGGTTAACTTTGATGCCCGCTCCGAAAATGGGAAGTTTCGTAATCTTAACGGCACCTGACAGTAGCAAAAAAACCGAAGTCAACGTTTGATACAAACTCTTTTTTTAAATAGTTAAACACTTGCCATCCTCTTTGGATATTTTTGGTGTTTAGCCTCATTGAATAAAAAATATCCTCAAAAGAAAAAAAAAGATATATTTGAGATTACTTACAAACCACAAGGGGAATCCCGAACAAGTGGTCTTTTCATGTCTTCTCGACAGATCACAAAAACAAGGAACTAATTAAAGTTTAATGAACGGTGCAATAGAAACAAAAATTAAACAATTTTCTTCTTAAACTGCTCTTCATTCTTATTAAAACGTTAATCTCGAAATTATATTTAACAAAAAAAAAAAATTACTGTTGTCCTTTAAAAATTGGATACGTCCTTCTGTTCTTCTTGTCTTCCTTTTTCTTTTTTGCATCTGTGCGATCTTTGATAGTTTCAAGAGAGCAATTGTAGAAACAAATTACTTTATTAAGGTATTACCCACATATTAATTTAAATGAAATTATCAACTACAATTAACATAAATAATAATTTTCATATCGAAGAGTTACTTAACTATAATTATTGAGTATTGCAAAATCTTTGCTCGCAAAACATGATGCTTTATAAAGACAAATTATGATTATTACCATTTCGATAATGAACGTGAGCGCTAATTTTGGCCGAATCGTTTATACTTCGTTGTAACGGAGACTGAGGAGTGGTTGCATTTACATTATCTCTGCGTATCTGTCCCTTAAGTTTTCTTAATTCGTGTTTATCTTTCAATATTGGAAATTCATCCCTGAAATCAATATCAACGATCGATTTGGAAAGAGCAATGTACTCAAACTCAAATCAACGACTTATTAAGCAACACTAAATATTAAACAAATTAATGTGTTACTGGTACAACCCAATACGTAGCACCTATTTTGATAAAATCAAGATTCAATAAAAAACAGAACACAGCTAAATATACTAACTAGAACAGAAAACATAACATATAGACACAACAATAATTCAAATTCAAGGGAATCTGAATGGTCGTGCGGACGTTCGGATTCAGTGGCACTATTGTCGCTGTTGGCATCAAAAAGTATAGAAATGAACGATTGAAATGATTCGGTCGTTTTCGAAATCGGTCACTGATTGATTCGGTCCTCGTAAAATGAACGATTGAAACAAGACTAGGCGAAAATGGGTGAATGGCCATTTCAATATTGACCAGCGGAGAGAAAATCTTTTAGCGCTCTCTTGTTCTGTGACTAATGGGCGAATGGTACCAGTCAATTCGCCTAACTATTTGATGGATAAAAAGTGGGAACTGGAAGTTGTTCTGTGGGCTAGCAGTCTTGCCCAACTGTATTAGTGACACGCATTATTGAATTGAATTGAATTGTTCTGTGGGGACGATCGGGGTTTCATGCTTTTTGTTTACGAGCCCAATAATAAGAAGAGCTGCTATTTTTTTTTGGCGCCAAATGCGCGACGAAAACGCGAGCAGAATGAACGCCAATGGGCCGACATAAAACGCTCAGCGTTTGACGGACGTTCAAAACCCTTCAGCATGATTAGGAACATCGGTATCGTTGTTTTCTGTTCAGCGTTGCGATTTTCCGACGGAGTTTTTGATGCGTGTTCGGCCGGGGTTAGTAACCGCCAGCCCCTCCCACAATTTACGAAGCTATAAGGGGCACCTGTTCTTTCAGTCCCATTTTCACGAAGGTGTGTGGGCGCACGGAGTGTTATCCGAAGACTGTTTGGCGGTTCACTTTGCGGAAAACGAAAAGCTCAACGCGCGCTTGGGTTCGGTCAGGGTGAGCGCCTATCCCGACAAGGGGTACCTATCTCTAAACATATCTTTCATCGACGTGAAGTGGACCGGTAAGATCGCGACGTCCCCTCCGTCCCCCCACCACAAATATTATCTACTATTCCAGAGGCGTTGTTAAGATTGTCGAGGGTCGGGGACGCTGGCGAGAGCGTTTGCAGAAAGTACTCGGTTGACTTCGGGAACCCCGCCGGAGAGGCGCAGGACTCGTGCCTCGCGATCGACCGGGCGGGGAGTTACGTGCTCGATTTTAAGGCGGACTTTAACGCGGACACCCTGTACAAAAAGATTACGTTCAGAACGCCGCCGGCAGCGTCATTCGACGACCGCCTGCCGCTTGCCGAACGCGCCATATTTTCGAGCATCGATTGCAGCAGCAACTACAGGATAGTACTCGAGATCCAGCGCCTGCCTCGTTCCTACCGGGTGACTTACTACAAGGTCGAGGTATTTCGTGAAAACGGCGACCGCGCGCTCCTCCTGGACGTGAGGATGTTGCCCGCCGCCGGCGACGAACGCGTGTCTTTCGAATACATCACCTACAACGACGAGGGCGTTTACTTTTTCGCCGTTTCGGCGATCGGCGACGCCTGCCCCGAGGACGCGTGTACGAAAACGGAATCGGCACGGGTCCACGTCAGTGAGTACCGAAAAATTTCGCGTTAAACCTAACCTCGACGGGCGGTGTTTGTATTGCCGTTACCGTGGAAACGTCGTCGGTGACGGTTGCCATGGAAACTTCGACATTCATGCCAATGCTGTCGGGATAACTGCGCTAGATTCCTTAGTTTAAATATAACGAGGTTATGCGGTGAGGTGGATAAAAAAAATCCCCATTGTGAATAGGATGTTTTTTATTATTATGGTAAAAATTGTGATTTGGTTGCAATTAAAGTGTCTCAGTACATTGATTACAATTAAAGTGTCTCAGTATATTGCAATTAAAACTAACCAATGTTATACTGTTTGTTACTGTTGCTTTGTAGGGTTATTTAAAAAAAGTTTTTTTATCTAGGTTGTTGCTCTTTTTGTTAACATTTATATTGGTATCTTTTTGTTTTGTAAATAAAATGAATAAAATGGGTTGACCGCGTATTTTTCTGATTACAGAAAGAAAGTATCCGCCCCTAGTGATCGGGATCGTGGGCGCGAGTTTTCTGATCCCATTCGTCTTGTTCGTGATCCACGTGTGGACCAGACGAAACCGGTCCGCAGAGGAGTCGGAAGGGCGTCATCGCGACAAATTGTACGTGGTGTGTAGCCAGACGCCCCAAAAACATTATTTGGTGGTGAAATCATTGGAGAAGGTTCTGAAGAGCCTGACCGGCGTGCAAATGGTGAAAGAGGTCGGGCAGGCGACTCACGTGCTGTACGTTTGCGGGGCCCACGTTCCCGAACCTGACCCGTCGGTCTACAAGTACCTGGTGACGGAATTGTCTAGGGGCGTGGTCCTGTTGGACGTGTTCGTGGTCCTGTTTCCGTATTCGGCGCGCGACACGCCTCCTTACCTCAAAAATTGTCCCCGTTTCGAGCTAATGGAGGATTTCGGAAAGTTCGTGCAGATTTTCAACTGCGAAGCGGAGGACGTTTCCGCGGACCCCCACTACGCCGAACTGGTCAGGAACGTGAAGATCGCGCAGGTGCAGGCGGAACCGGCCAAGATCTCGCTCAACATGCCCGTCATAATAATAACCGAACAATCGGACGGGTCAGACGCGGAGGTCGACGATGGTCTGCTGTGACCAGCAGGCCTATCAAACGGGCCAATTTTTTTTTAAATGGTTGATGAAATCTGTCGGAATGACGAAACATCGCGAAAGTTCGAGTCTTCAGTGTTAGTGGGACGAAGTCTAACGTCTGTCTAATAAACTTTAACTCTTTCATTATGAAATATTGTAACTAACAAACAACTTCATATCCGAAAAAGAAGAATATTCTATTTACAGATCTTAGTACAATACAAATCAGTTTGCGTTCTACCTTGCATCTGCTTATATACGGTCTGAAGGGGGGCGGAGCTGAAAAATCTTTAGATAAAATCAATCGGAATAACGAAAAAAAAACATATCCCGATAGTTTGAGCTCTTAATATTAATAGGAAAAATTGTGTGTTAGACTTAGGAAACGGGGTTCTTTGTAAAAAAGCTCTTAACTTTTCACTTTGGAATTTTCATATATGAAGTTGTATATGAAAAGGAAGAATATTCTATTGACAAATCTTCTGGGCTCGTCGCACGAGAAACTCGGTAGAATTCAAATCAGTTTGCGTTTTAGTCTATACCTGCTTGTATACGGTCTGAGGGGGGCGGAGCTGAAAAATATTTCTATAAAGTAAATCGCAATAATTAAAAAAATATATCGCGCAATTTGGAGCCCCAACATCAATTGGACGAAGTGGCGATGATTCCTGGGAAACATAATTTTGTGTAAGAAAGCTTTGATTGAAAATTCGAGCCTGTACATTAAGAAGTTTTGGTTGTTCTGGATTAAACTTTTTCATTTGGCGAAAAACAAGATTCTTTAATTTTCAAATCTTCTAGGTTCCTCCTAAATTGTACTAGATATGGGAATCGGTCATGTCCCCCCATTAGATCCGCCCCCCCTCAGACTCTATATAAGCAGGTACAGCGTAGAATGCAAATCGGGATCAGTTAATTTGTGAATAAGCCAACAGAAGATTTGTAGTCTGTGGAAATTTCTTTGAAAAATAGACTGATAATCGTTTTTAACTGTGGTGTACTGTAGTAAGGCCTAAAAATGTTTTATATATATATATGTATCTGTTTGTACTAAACATATATATATCCGTCTTTGCAGGGTTATTTTCGATTATCCTTTATCCGTACGCTTGGTCCGTCCGTGAGGGTAGTTCAAACGTACCGGCCAGGTTTTTATCAGTTTTGCCGACGAGACGCCTATCGAGAAGAAGGTAGCTTTTAGTTTTCAAAATTTATGTTTGTAGCATTTGGACATAACGAAATCGTGTTAGAAGGGGGTTAAGTTAATTTCTTTGCATTTTATGCGATTCATTTCGATTGAGTATAATCAACAGAGAGCAAGGTTAGGTCACTTTTCGGTTAGCAATATTTGGTAACTTGTTCTTGAGTTGGCTTGGTCACTACAACCGCGTTACTTTTACGAAATCGATGAAGTCGACTTTCCTGAAAGTATCTACGCATGCTGCCCCCAAAACTAGGTAACAGTTGATTGTACGACGTCGGCACATTTTTCATCTGTTCTCTAAACAGACATTCAGGAAGTTTTTGAAGTGTAATAATATTCGAACGGTATACCGGGTAACACAAAGTGGGAAGACTCTATAACTTTTAAACGGCGATAGCGATTCGAAATTTGAAAGAGTTAATGTAGGCTGAATGTACAATTTATTGACAATACATAGTCAATAGTTAGTTGTACTTCCGGTTTGAAACGACAGTAACTTTCGAATTTTAAATTTATATATTTTTTTTTATTCAGGAGATCGTTCTGCGTAGGATAGAAGAAAAGTTTCATTTACAATTTTTCCCATGATCAGGTGACTTGGTAAATAGTATTTATGTTGGTCACAGCCTCCTAGACGCAATTTTCAAAAATTAAATAAAAATTAAAAAAAAAACAAAAAAAGAGAGAAAACCATCCTATCTTACGCAAAATGATCTCCTGAACCACAGAAATGCAAAAGAATATAAATTTGAAATTCGTAAAGTTGTTACAAAAGTGAACGTTCAGCCTATATTAACCCTTCGATATTTCAAATCGCTATCTCAGGTCGTTCAAAAGATACACTTTCTTGTGTCACCCGGTGTAAATATCGAGCCGATCAGACGCCGGCGGCCATTTTGGCCTTAAACTGTGGCGTACCGTTAATAATGTTTTTTTATATATCTGTTGATTTAGTAAACTCTCTTACGTTTTCGCGGGGTTATTTTTTAGCGAGAGGTTCATTAAAATTAAAACGCCGAACCTTTCGTTTTTACGCATTTTTTTACCCTTAGAAAAAGAAAACGTTACAATAAAAAATATTTCAACTTTGGTTCGCGCTTAACTAATATGGCGGGGACATCGGGCGCCTCTACTCCGGCTCCAGTGAGGTCGCGAACTTCTCGTGCAACTCGTGCAGTCTGTCCTGGAATTGAGCCAAGAGCTGCGGCGCCTTTAGCGGCGTCACGTCCTCCCTCTTAAGCACGTTCGTCCTGCAACGGGTCGGCATTGTTACCTGACTCTGAGAAGGGGGACCTTCTCAGAGTCTTCCCTTACCCGATTTTTAATCGGTTACGCGTCCTCACGTCCCTCGATGGCGGCGTCAGACCCGACCACGATGCCTCCTCCGCGCCAGAGGACTGATTGGTCTCCGGGAACGGTCCCGGGACCGCATTGTTCTTCACCTTTGAGGCAATAGTCCATGAATAACGCGGTAGTTCAAAGATAGATGTGCAAAAATCCAGCAGCGAGCAAAACTACTGTCCAGCAAACAAGAGAACCCATCCCAACACCGCACCCCAAAAATTAGCCCTGTGCTCCAAACTGTCTCATGATCCATTCCCTAGCACTTAGCAGGTTCTCTCCTTACCAAACCAAACCTTGCCGGGTAACTTTTCAAATTATCTTGTACAATTTTCAATTTTTTTTGTCAACCTCAATTCAGTTTTTATAAAACTCCCGTTCTGTAGTGGCGGCATTTCTCCTCTCCCTGATACCAAATTATCTGCATTTTCTTATCTTGCACACCATCCATCATCTGTCCAGCCTGTCTTAATCACCCATTTATCTTCCATTCCATAATTAATTAGATATTCTATCGTTCCTACGAACTAATTTTCTTCATTTTCTTCTTACCATCATAATCGTTTCATCTCCCCTTCCTCAAATTTCACTCTCGCCTTCTTCAAGTGCTCTTCTTATCGACCCTCGTATCCCAGGTATCCTATACTATCCCTCAGTTCCGATCTCGCCTTCAATCCTAATTCCACCGATGGCTCCCTGATTCTTCTACCTGCCCATCCGCGCAAACCATGCTCTCTTTTCTTATTCGCACCACCCCTCCTTATTTCTAGGCTTATACAATGCGGACACGCTCTGAACACCTTCCACCTCTATAACTCTCTCATTCATCAAATTGACACATACCCTTGCACTTTCTCAGTCCTGCCAAGTCCTCCCCTGTCGTTCCTCTCTAACGCCTCCCCACCCGTCCTTTTTAATAGAGAGTAAGAAGAACTTCTTATCCTCAATTGTTACCTATCCATTCACACTCTTTCATTTAAACTTCCGCAACAAGTTTCGTACGTTCTCTGTAAAAATGGCGGCACTCACCTTGAGCTGACCGACGAAATGCTGACTCGACACCGGCTGTCCCACCTGAAAGTTGGCGGCCGCGGGCGGTCGGGAGCGGTCGGAGTGGCGGGCGTTGATCTTCTCGGCGATCCGGACCCCGTTGTGCCACCGCCTTACGAGGAACCGCATCCGCGCGAGCGACACGACGACAAACGCCGCCGATCGGAAACGGCCAAGCGGGTTAAGATGGCGGTCCGAATCGGGTCGCGTGCGGTGGGCGTGGCAGTAATCCGTCAGGTAGCGTTTCTGCCATATCAGCGACTTCCTCAGGCTCTCGAGCTTCAACGTCTTGGCGAACAGGTAGTCGCACTGAAACGACGCGTGAGGGCGCACCGAACGGCAGAACTCAAAAAACCCCGCGAAAACTACGTATACAAAATTATCAATTCACAAAAATAAATCGTTCTCCTCTATTAACAGGTTACCAAGTTCCAATTTTTATACGCTTAATCTTGATCGCGAGAAAGTGGTAGCTGTTTATTTTTAGAAATAACAATATTAATAATAATACATTTATTCTGCTGTATTCAATATACAACACAATAAGATGGATGGATGGATGGATTGTCGAAAAACTTTGTAAAAGTTGCAACTAAAAGACTTTCGTATTGAACTGTTTTGAAAACAACTAAATAAAGTGCTCGCTGGAACTAGAGATTCAAAATTGATAATCAACGGGAATTTGTACATTTTACCTATAAAGTAAGTATTTAAACCCATGCCGAAATAGACCTAGTTCTGTGCTCAATCTTAATTTCTCAGGGTGTTCATATGTAAAATTTTTTCATAAATTGGTTCTGATGAAAACATTTCTTATAACATTTTTAGTACAGCTTCAATTGATTTCTGAAGATATACACTCAAAATCAAAAAAGATTATTTGGCAGAATCCGAGACCAGGGAAAATCTTATCGGCATACGTTTCGTGAAAGAAACGAAAAAAGAAACAACCACAGAGATAAATGTACACTATAACCGGCGCACCCGCCACATATTTAATTGTTTCCAACGGTTGTATATGTATGTTGTTGAATTCAGTGTATTTCGCTTATTTACGTTGCCACCATTGTATATAGAATATCGTATTTAATCATCAACGGAACAGAATTAAATTATACAAACATGACGTGCATTAATAAAATACCATAACGGCTGAACACTGCACTACACTAGGAGACCATGACAAAATACGGTGAACGGATTTCGCGAAAACTTATTAGAAGGCAAACAGTATTTTTCGAAGACTTTTGTTATCATCTGACCCGTTAATATCCAGTTTCGGAAGGCTACCAAAAAACGAAAACGAAACCCTTCGATAAAGAAGTCAGAAGATACCACCCATTGCGAGAATTACTTATACTATACTTTTGGGCAGGTTTTCTACCGTTCGGTGCGTCGCCTCTTACCCGCGCCTTCAGGTGCCTGAACTCGACGCCGTTGTCGAGCTTGTCGCGCGTTTCCGACCTCAGCTGCGCCTCCAACGCGCGCTTGTCGCTCTCGATCAGCGCGATGTACTCGACCTTCTTCCGGTTCTCCTCTGTCTTGGTCTTCAGCTCCGCGATGAGCTTCTCGAGCGTCTCGGGATGGGGATCGTGCGATACGCGCGCCCGCAGCGCCCCCGCCAGGTCCGCCTTTTGCCTCTCGAGGAGCGCCTTTTCCGCATCCAGTTCGTCCTGAAATCCAAGTACGGAATCAGCGTCGCCTCGCCCGAGACCTTCGATCCTCGCACCATCGAAATCTTCCTCTCCTCTAGTTCCGCGGTCCTCGCGTCCAACTCGAATTTCGTCTGGAGCGCCTCCAGCCGCAGCGCCTTTTCCTTCTCGCACAGCACCCGGATCTTCTCCTCGAAGTTCCGGTTCCGCTCCGTCTCGAGTGCGAGCACCTCGCTCGTGTACTTGAGGTTGTTCTCGAGCTCCGCCCTCGTCGCGGTCGCTTCCCGGAGATCGACGCGGGCCGCCTCCAGTTCCCGGCTCAGTCTCGCCGCGTCCTCCGTCGGCAACGCCCTGTACCGCGTCGCCGACTCGGAACTGGAGGCCGCCGGCTTCTTCAGCTCTTCGATCTGCGCCTCCAGCGAGCGCCTGCACGCGCGCTCGTCCGCCAGGAGGCGCTCCAGGTCTTCGCGAGCGTCGAGCGTCGCGTCGAGCCTTATGCGAAGCTGCTCGATGAGGTTCGCGTCTTCTATCTGGGTTTGCTTGAGGAACGCGCGCTCCTTCTCCAACATACCCTGCAGACTGTGCAGCCGATGCTCCAGCTCGGCCCGATCCTTTTCCAGCTGCTCGCTGCGCAGCCGCAGCTGTTTGGCGCGCGTCTTCTGCCGCGCGAGCGCCTTCCTGCGCCGCAAATCAAATTAGTTATGGTAATAATAATAAATAGCCTTTATTCAAATAAGAATACACCACAATACGCAGGTGGCAGCGCTCCTCCACCTAACCACTATATAGGAAGTTATAATTACATTGATAAATTAAATGTAGTATAATAGATAAATTAACAGTAATACGGAACCATAGAAAGTTATTAAAAGTAAAAATAAAATAATGAATGAATGATCTGGATCTCCTACGTTTGTTGGTCCAAGAATTTTAAACGGTTTTTCGGAAAATAATTTTACCAATTCACCACTGGCACTAATGTTCAAAAGAACCATTCTTTTTTTTTTTTTTGATAATATGAAAAAGATGAATCTGACACACAAAAACTAGCTGCTAGTTACCTCTCGGAAGAGCTTACTACGCCGTTAATATTAACGTGAAGATCATTCTCGTTATAGTTTTGCATTAAGCCAAATTTATTGATAATTTGTATAGGAAGTTGAACGCTCTCATACTTTTGCGATAAATCGAAACGTTTCGAAGATTTAAAGAAAAATAACTTTTTGTTCTGAATTTGGTTATGGACTGAAACATAATTATCGCGAAACGTTTACAATTATTCTCATAGAAAGTTTAATGCTTTACAAAACAGGTCTGTTGTAGTTTATCGACTACTCGAATCATTTTCAAGATATTTTCCTGGGAATCCCAACGGGTATTTATATAAATATTTTCAATTTATTCATTGAATCGCAAATTTTAGGATTATTTATTATCTATTATTTTATCTATATATTATCTTAGACTATGGTTGCCTGTTTTTGTAAGCTGACCAAATGACTGTATATAGAAAGAAGAGAGAGAGAGAGGGAGAAAGGAGAGAGAGGGTGAAGTGAGAGAGAGGGAGAGAGAGAGAGGACAGTAACTTTTCGAAAAAGCAAAAAAAAAACACTCACCCGTAGGCGTCCGGGTCGCGGGCGTCAGAGGCGGAACTCGCGCTCCGCTCGCCGACCGCGTTCAAGATGTCCGAGTCGATCCGCACCGAGCGCTCCAGCTCCCGTTTCACGTCGTCGATGGGCGCCGGGTCGGCGACGGCCGCCTCGTAGCCGAGCAGCTTCGCCCTCAAACCATGCACCTCGACCAGGAGGTCCGCGCTCCGCCTGTGCTCCGCTTTGAGCCGCGCCGCCAAGTCCAACACGTTTCCCGTCTCCTTGATTTTCGCCTCGATCGTCTTGAGATTGGAATGGACGCGGCCGTGGTCCTCGGTGATTTGCGCGACAATCCTGTCCTTCTCGCGGACCGCCTCCCGCAGCCGCTTCAGGTCCTCGACGAGAACCTCCAGCTCGCGGTCTTTGTCGACGACGAGCGCCCCCAGCCGTTCGACCTCGCTCCGCAGCTCGTCGTTTTGCGGCCGCAACGTCTCCAATTGTTCCTCGAGCCGCGCCCGCTCCTCCATCGCGCCGTTAAACATCTCCATCGCGCTCTTGAGCGACTCCCTTTTCGAATCGAGATCCGCTTGGAGGCGCCGCGTCTCGTCCGATTGCCCCCGCAGCCGCTCCTCCAGGCCCGCGATCGCGACGTTCTTCGCGTTCAGCGCCGCGTCCAGGTTCGCGAAACTGTCCCGTTTGAATTTCGCCAAGTCGTCTTCGAGGTCTTTGCGTTGGCGCGCCAGTTTCAGGCACGCGTCTTCCTTGCGCACGGCGTCGCGCTTCGACTCCTCCGCCTCCCGCTCGAGCTCGGCGACGCGCCGCGTCTTCTCCGCCAGCTCGACGCCGAGTCGCCGCTCCCTGTCCGCCGCTTCTTCCCGTTCCTGTTGGAAAGCGCGAGTTTCTTCTTCCAGACGCGCCCGCAACTCGTCCACCTCGAAGTGGACCTTCTTCTCCGTCGAGTTATAAGGCACTTTGACCGGTTCTATGGCCGAAATCTCCGAGCAACCCATGAAAACCGTGTCGTCGGGCGCCTTCATCGGCGACAACTCGACGCTGGGGTCGTCGGCGTCGCGTCTGCGCGCCTTCTCCGTCGATCGGCTCAGATCGATCGCCGTCAAAGGAACGCCGGACTTTTTGAGGTCGGCGAGCGCGCGCAGGTCGTCGACGTCGAGGCCGAGGTCGGCGAACGCGCGCAGCTCCTCCTCCTTCTTCTTAAGCGCCTCCTCCAGCGCGTCCTCTTTCTCGTTCGCTTCACGGAGGCGTTCCCGCGTCTCCCTCACCAGGTGGTCGCGTTGCTCGATCGCTTGCTCCCTGGCCCGCGCCCTCTCCCTCAGCTCGCGAATCTCGGCCTGCAGGTCGTCGATTTTGCCCTCGAGCGACGTGCTGGTCTGCCTCTCGATGTACTCCGCCCTCAAGCGTTGCTGATCGAGCCTGATCTGGAGGCTCGAGATCAGCACCACGTGCTCGTTGATCTCCTTGCGGGCCTCCTCCAACGCGTCGCGCGTCGTCTTCAGCTGCATCTCGAGGTCGCGAATCCGTTTTGCGGCCGCCTCTTCGGCCCGCGAGTGCCTGATCAGTTTCTCTTTGAGTCGGGCGAGTTGGCGGAGCGGCACTTCGTCCTTGTCGTCGTGGCCCCGCCCCGCGACGTCCCTGACGGACATGTCCTCGGACGGCGAGCTGCAACTGTTGCCGGTGGACGAGTGGAGCAGCTCCAGCGTCTTGGTTTTCGCGTCGAGCTCGTGTTCTAAATCGGACAGTTCGCGTTTGACGTCCTCGCCGCCGCCGGCCAGCTCGCGCACCGTGCGCACTTCGTGCTCGAGCGCGGCGACGTGCTCGCGCAGCCGTTCACGCTCCGCCTCCGAGCCGCGCAGCTCTTCGATGACCTTCTGTTGATCGTCCGCGAGCCGTTGCAGCCGCTCCGCGACGTCGAGCTGCGCGCGCAGCTCCCCGAGTCGCGAGTCGTTCTGCGCCTCGAGCTCCCCGATGATGTCGCGCAGGTACTCGATCTTGTCGACGGCCTCGTCGCGCTCGCCGCGCAACTCCGTGAGGCGGCGCGAGTGCTCGCCGATCGTCCGCCCCGCCTCCTCGAGCTGACGCTCGAGGTGCTCCGCCTGAAACGGCCTCGTATAAGTACTAAAGGTTAACGGTATATACCGTCACCTCCTGCGTCAGAACTCTTGATATGTGATCGGTAATGTTTTGAATGTAAAAAAAGGACAACGATGGCAAGTGTGGAGTTATTATATACGGTCTGAGGGGGTCGGAGCTTAATGACATTTAAGCTCTATAAGCCCTAACATGCTTAAATGTCTAAGAAAATCTACTAGGGATTCCTGACCATGAGGTCAAAAGAAATATTATGTTCTTACAACCGATCCCGTGATTAACTTTGCCTACTGTTTATTATTCCAAAACCGCGAACCCGCAACCATTCCAGGACCGTTTTAAGAATTTATCTACCTACACTAACGATCTTTTTCAAAAGAAATAAGAACTAAAAGTTCAGATTTTCCCGAAATTATACATTATGACATGACAATTTGTCCGGTTTACAAGCACGGCGAAAGAAATGCGGTGCACAACTATCGTCTACCTTGCTAAGATCTTTGAACAAAATATTTTGTTCAGGTTATTCACCTTCTTTAATTAAAGAAAGCAAAATCATGGCCTTAACTTTCAACAGCCATGTCATCGACTCTAGATATAGTTGCTGGTTCTATCAAAATAAACTGCTACTCAACACAATCTGTTTTTGTCTCTTTTGAAAACTATAGAGACTCTGTTCCACAGGACTTTGAAATCAAAATTAATGATGGGATTCTAAAACAATGAAAAAAAAAAACACAATACTTAATATTTTATCTCTATCTTTATCTTTATAGACTCAAGGAAATACTAAGAAGAAAGCGGTATAGTGTGGCTGTGAATCCAAAAGGCAGGAGAAGTGCATAGAGAGGTCCTATCTATGCCGACCATATAGGAACTTATAACCTATCAAAAAAAAAAAAAATGCCGATAATACAGGAACTCAACAGGAACAAAATGCTGACAAAGTCGCCTTTGACTAATGAGTTTGCGGCGTTCAAAACCAAACAAACATGGCCGCTGACAGATGCGGCGTTTTCTCGAAATATGCTTTGATCCCGTTAACAGTTGCGGCAAAACGAACGAGTTAAGTATGTGGAAATCGCTGTTTATAAAGCAAAAGACACAAAGTGCGGGTTAGTGGGTGTAATTTAGAGGCATGCGCGGAAAATCGTTACCTTCTCTGCGAAAATATCAATGCCACTATATTATCTAATAACTATGCGGCTGGAACACTTCGGGACGGGGAGGATTACTAGCAAAGAGGTAAAGTGTGGGAAAAAAATTGTTCTCTTGCCGGCAAGTTAAAGAGACCTTCGGAAACGTCCGGACTGCGAGAGACGAGGGTCTCCGCCCGAAATAGCCACGACGGGACTAAAAATAAACCGCGCGCCAGACACAGGAAACGAGGAAAGACCGCGATAAAAACAACCATTCGGTAGAGATACGGTCTAACATTCGTTCGTCTTCGTTTTATATTTTGTTTGCACAACGTTTCGGGCAGATATCGGTTATCAAGTGCAAATTAATGCACTCGATAATGCCCCAAAAGTTTCGTAAACAAAAAATAAAATAAAAGCAACGGAAGTTGGGCGATCACTTAATGTTTCTAAAATATTTGGCTTATTTTTTGTTTGAGAATAAATGATTTTTGAGAAAATACTTGTTTTCTGAGACCATGCGGCACGTCGTAATAGTAGTCCGTGTAGATTGAGCGCGAGAAATGGTGATTTTCGTATGTGATAGACGAAAATCGTAAATACAAAAATTGTGGCTCCCGATGTGGCCTATAGTACTATTTAAACAGATTAGGCGGAAAAGGGCAATTTTCAGGGTGTTTCAGATTTTCAAAAGAATTTTGCCGATCGGATAAACAGTTTTGGCGAAAATAGTGTTTTTTTTGGAAATCAAAATAACCCAAAAAAATCCATAAATTAAAAAAATATATTTGGCCATTTACAAAAAATTGACATACTAAATACAGTCCATTAGTCACACTAAATTTCCATTAATAGGGGAACCTATTTTTCAGTTTTTTTTTAATATATTTGATTTGTTCGTAATACAGAGTTTCGCTGTATATACTCTATCACCCTCAATACGGTGACTTATAATTCGGCGTTTCACAGCCCTGCTATGCGAGTCGTACCTGCCCGACAAATTCCCAAAATAGTACAAAAAATTGTTTTACATTACGATTACTGGGGTTTAATACGCTAATATCGCTACAAAGTGCTACGAATTCTACATTAGTCAACCTAATGCGAAAGCGGTGCGTGCGCTTAAGGGGTGGAGTTGAGGGTGCGGGGGGTGGGGGAAATCAACGAATCTAGCGAAAGCCAACGAAACCGACAAACTTTCCCCGCGAGAAACACTCACCTCGCGCGACATCTTCTCGCAATTGGCGCGCTCCTTCTCCTTGTCGCGGAGCTTGTCGCGCAGCTCTTCGATCATCTTCTGCGCATCGTCCCGTTCCTGTTCCCGTTCCGCAGCCTGGTCCTCCAAGAAACGCGCGGTGTTCTTGTACTTGCGGTCCGCGACGTCGATCTGGCGAGACGAAGCTAAGCACCACGCGAGGGACTCGAAAGACACCAAGCCACGCCCCCCCACACTAACACCCTCGAATTGCGCACGCACGCGACTCACCTGCTGCAGAAGGTCGCAACGTTCGCGGTAAGCGCTCTCCACCAGTCTAGATCCCGCCTGGCACAGTTCCTCGATCAGCTGCAGGAGGACGGGATCCGCGTTCGACGCCGTCGCCAGAGATCTAGCCCTCTCCTGCAGCGTTTCCAGGGCGGCCGTCGCGTCTCCTGCTCACCAAATCAATAATTTCATCATGCCATTTACGAATCTTCTGACGTTTCGCGTAACCGTCTGGCATTCTACTCTGTACCTGCTTGTAGACGGTCTGAGGGGGGCGGAGCTAAATGAGGGGCGTGAGATTTTTGGACAAGTGGTAAATCTGTTTTTGACATTATATTCTTAAGAACTTCAGTAAGTAAGGATAACAGTGGCAAGTGGGGAGTCGCTTTCGTACTCGTTGTCTTTGGAAGGTTGTGATGAAGTGAATTTTATGATGGAACGCTCTTAAAGCCTTTTAAATTTTCACGATTAGCATCTGATTCCCTTTGTGCTTATTTCGTAAGGAATCAGTCATCCTAGATAATGTTCCCTCCTTTAGCTCCGCCCTCCTCAAGCTCTCTGTCAGTAGGTACAGAGTAGAATTTGGGCCAGTTTCAGTCAAGCTCTGAAGAAGCCAACAGGACGATTGACGAAACGTCAACAAGCAGATATGTACCGTGCGTTCAATTTATGTTGATAACATTTTAATTGGCTGTAACTTTTTTATTTTTATATACATCAACTTTCGTCAGTCCATGAAATGTTTTTCAAAAAATTATCATTCTCATTAGGTCTATTAAAAAAATCCAAACAAAGCTCCTCCTTTGACATTGTTCTCCGCTTAGTTTTTGAGTTTTACGAAATTTAAATGCATTATATTTCTATTTTTTCAAAACTTTTTTCAAGATCGATCTCCGAGAAATACCGGTCTTTAGAGGAAACTGGATGTGCTTCATAGAATCCAAATATGTTTGCCTTATTTTTTTCATTTAAAATATAAAATATTATGGTTAGCATTTAATACATTACCGTTTCTTTGTCAGCCTTGGAAATATCTGTTTTGACGGAGCTCCGCGCTCTGGATAAAGTCTAATTTTTTATTTTTATTTTATTTTATTATTCCGAAAGTATACTTGAAGCATATCACTCCTTTCACAAGTGCAAAATTCGCGAAAAACCATTTTAACAATAACAACTTGGACAATAATTCGACCATCAATGTTGTTTACTAATATGTCAAACATAAACAATTTTTATTTGTCACCCTTTGAAATTATAATAAAATTTTCCTATTTTTGCTGATTTGTCAAAAACGAGTGGATTAAAATATAATCGACACATACATAATATACAGGGCGTTCCGTTTAAAAAAAATACGATGAAGATGTTAGAAAATTGACGGTGTTTTGTTTTGTACGTCACTTGGGAAAAAAAACTTGGCTGCTAACTCCACATTTATATCTCTAAAAACGAAAAATGTAATCAAGATAAACGCACGGTCCGTGGAAGTTTCCTTTTCGTCACTAAAGTTTACAAACGATATGGTCTGAAGTGTGGAACGTACGAGGTTAGCGCCAAAATTTCCCGGCCTGACATAGATGCAGCTCCAGTATCACGATAAAACTCTGTCTTCTTTTAAATACGTACCTTAGTAGGCTGCGAAAAAAAAATTGAAGTCTTGCGTCAAATAGTTTTTTATTGACAGCATTTTAAACAAGACGTGTCAGAAAAAATGTCGCAAATAACGCAAATTGAGTATGGAGCACTCATAAAGTTTTTAACAAAAAAAGGGTTAGCGCCTAAAATTATTAAAGAAAGGCTGGATGGTGTGTACGGCCAAAGATATTTGAAAAAGGACTTACGTGGACGGCGGTTTAACAACGAAGTTGCGTTAAATGAGGCTGTTTTAGCTCATTTTGCAGACAAACCAAAAGAATATTTTTTTAAAGGGCTTGAGTTGTTAATAAAGAGATGTAATAAGTGTATTGAAGTTAAGGGGGATTATATTGAAAAATAATTTCTTTCATATTCAGGCCGGAAAATTTTGGCGCTGCCGTCGTAAGGCTCACCCAGATCGGCACCGAGACCACGCCCCGCCTCCCCGTACGCCTCGGACACGACCTCGTTGCGACCGTTCTCGATCATCTCGGCGAGCCTCGTCCTCGCCGACTCGAGCTCGCGCTCGAGGACCGCGATCCTGTCCGGATCGTCGCCGCCCCGCCTCCTCACCTCCGAAGTCATCGCGAGGATCGCGTTCGCGTCTCGCCTCAACTTTTCGAGGCACGAGCTGAGCTCGTGCCTCAGACCCGACGAGACGTCCTGGACGCCGTCCTCGCGCCCCTCCTCCTCGATCCTTCCGATCAGCCTCGCGAAATCGGGCGTGAGGTGGACCCGCGACGAAGACTCTTCGTGTCTGACCAGCTCCTCGACGAGGGTGTCGTTCAGGGCGTCCTCGCACTCCCCGAAGTACCTAACCAGCTCGGAGACGAGGCCGCGCAGCGACTCCGCCTGCTGACGCAGCGCGTCCCTACGAGGTACGACGAGTTTAATTACGATTTTAGACATCGAAAAACATCAACATTTTGCCTTCATTTAATTTACGTCGATAAGCATAGTTTAATTTTTCAAAGAAATTTCCACAGGCTGCCGTAATACTTTTTACAAAACTTCTGGTTTCCTCCTGCGTCGGTTTTGCCGAGCGAAACTTGCCAATCATCATGTTGGCTTCTTCGGAGCTTGACTAAAACTGGCCCGCATTTTACTCTGTACGTGCTCATATATTGTTTGAAGGGGGCGGAGTCGAGGTTAAGATTATTAGGTTGCTATATACTCTCGGATTTTTCCTTGGTTCATTACATGCATATTTTCTTTGAGCCTACTTGATATTTTTCGTCCGGTCTCTCCAATGTATGGAACGGAATGCTGTATACTCCTGTCATCTCAAATGGAATTTTGTCTTTGACCAATCGAAGATATTAAGATATTTTTGAACAAGTGGTAAATCTGGTTTTGACGTTATATTTTTTTAGAACTTATGTGATATGTGATGTTTGCTATTGGAAGGTTGTGGTATTGGTATTGGTATTTTGTGATGGAACGCTTAATATCTTTAATGTGGAAATTATTAGAGAGAAGAGCAGAGGCAAGGTGTTTTAATTCTGGGTTCAGTGACTCGGGCTGAGATAGTTTTACGGCTCTGTAAACAAGAGAGTTGATAACCGATCATTTTTGGACCGGATGGTGATGTGACAATGCGTAGGTTTTCTTGCATGTAATCAATTCATCTATGAAGGAAAAATCTGAGAGTCTATAGAAACCTATAAGCACCCCAATAATCTTAACCGTGACTCAGGTCTTCACCTGTCACCAATATGAGAATCAGTCATCCGATACGGTGTTTATGCGCCTCATTTAGCTCCGCTCCCCTTAAACAATATATAAGCGGGTACAGAGTAAAATGCGAGCCAGTTTTAATCAACCTCTGAAGAAACCAACAAGATGATTATATGTTATAAAATTTTGGTGCTGTCTTCTCTTTTAAGAAAAATTTACCATAACTAGAAGACTGTGATTTAGAAGTTAATTTATTTAACACCGAAATATTGCCTGTGTAGATACCTAAAACTTTTGTATTTAAGGTTTTTACCTATTGGATACGGTGTTCGCGATATTCCGTGCAATATTAAAAAAAGTAATAGGTGCCCTCAATTTGCAGCTACCGACTTCATATTTGGCAGGCAAGCAGAAGTCGAGAATCACATTTAAACTCGTATATACCGCAAAGTATTGTTTAACAATTTTTGATTTTTTTTCGTTGTTATTTTGATTTTCAGAAAAAAAAAACATTTTCTTCAAAACTGTTAACGTAAACGGAAACATTCTTTAACAATCAAAGGCAGAAAATTCAATACTATGATTTTTATTTTAACCATTTTTCGATCATATACAGAGTTTTTCAATTATTTAAAAGACTCTGAAAATTGTCCTTTTCCAGATTAAATTGTTAGTTAATATGGCCAATTCTTTTGGATTTACGGTTATTTGCATTGCGGTTGAAAAAATTCAATCGTTCAATGACGTCATTTATTATTACGGTGTTCTGCACGGTTTCAGAAAAAAAATATTTTCTCGAAAACCATTTACTCGATTGGAAAATTTCGTGGGCTACGAAACGTAGGAGATTCATGGTTATAACCTCTATTTCAAACATTGGTTGAATTATATACAGGGCGTGTCGTTTATGGGCAAAAAATCTAAAAGATCCTAAAAATTTCCGTTTTTGCGGGTAAATTATTGGCGATAAATGGAAAACTATTAAAGATGGGATAATTGATTTGAACAGTATCATAAACTGTGCCGAAAGAGAGTTTCATGAAGGGTGCTAGAGATATTTGAAAAAATATCATTTTGAATGGCAATTACCAATAGAAAAAATTGCTTCTTGCAGTCTTAATATGCTATTGATTATTACAAATTTTGAGCGAAAACGACACTTATATTAAAAAAAATAAACGTTTCTTACCAAAACTATAAAAAAAAAACGTAAAATTTTGTGATTTCTGCCGAAAAAAAAAGAAAAACTGCCGTAGTTTCTAGAACGGGAAACTTTTTTTTCTTTGTTTTTGATGTTTTGAGAAACCGAAATTTAACACATAAGATTCTGACCCGAAAATCGCGTTGACCGGTGTGACCGATGCGAGCATACCTCTCCCGCAAGAGGTCGCTGCTCTCTCTAGCGTGCTCCTCCTTCAGTAGACGGAGCTCCGCCTGCCGTTTGCTCGCGAACCTGTCCCGAAGCACTCGAAACTCGGACGGCCATTCGTCGTCGTCGACGTCGTCGGACACGATGCGCTGAAACTGCGCGTCCAACGCGGTCACCATGTCCATCTTGGCGACGGCGATCTGCTCTTGGAGGCGCCGCTCGTAGCTCTGCACGATGTCGAACTCGCCAGAGCTCCCCTTTACAAACAAACGTGCGCCAATCTTCGAGTCATAACGCAGTAGTTCCGACTCTCACCACCTCCTGTATGGCGGCGTGTCGCTTATGGCACTCATCCAGCTGGTACTTGAGGTTCGAGATCTCCTCCAGGTACCGGTTCTCGATCGCCTTGATCTCGAGCTTCTCACCGATCTTGAGCAGGGCGGCGAGCTCGACTCGCAGCTCCGCCTCCATCCGACCGAGTTGCTCGTCGTCGTCGAAGGGCCGGCCAGACATTTTCTCGAGCAGCGCGGCGAGCGTGTCCGCCATCTTGGCCGCGTCCTCTTTAGTTCTGAGCAGTCTCGGGTTGGCGTCGCCGCCCGGGCCCGGCCTGTTGGACAGCAGCAGGTCGTCGCTGAGCTCGATGTCCGAGCTCGAGCCCGACATTTTCCTGCTCTGCTGGCTGAACACCTCCTCCGAGTAGCTGAGATAGGGAAAACACGATTGAATGATCGCCGACTACATTGCTTATAAAGAAATAAAGAACGTTGTTACAAGTTACAAGTCGATTAAAGCCACTATTTCAAACTTTAAGTCAAATTCTGCTGGTGTTCATTGTGTACCTGCTAGAATGCCTCAGATGACGCTCCATTTTAATGCGCTATACGTTACACCTATTATTAATTGCTGTTTGGAAGTGGGCTATTTACCTAGTAAACCTAACATTGAACAAGTATCCCACATGTATTTATTAATTAACGGTTTGAAAATTGTGAATTGTAATAAAAACCTTGGTGTTATATTTGATTGTACTTAGATTCGTGAAATATGTATTTTTTTATATATATTTTATATTTATCAATATTTATCAATGTATTTATATTTTTTGATAAAATAATTATTTAAAAATTATTATCTAACATTTTCTTTTTTTTTTCCTACCGAGGATCGAACCCGGGTCCCATCCGTTGTTGAACGCCGACTTTAACGCCGAGCTAACGACCGCATTGAAAGAAAAACCTAATTATGTGTTGGATATGAAGGATGATAATGTCATGTTCTTTCTTTAAAGGTTACACAAATAAACTGGAGGGTGCGAATCCGTATTTGGGAAACGCAAAGTAAAAAAAATTGTAATATAATAATGCAGCATATAGGTATATAACAGCGACTCCTTTCTTTGTATCAATGTCATTTAGCTCCGCCCACTCAGACCGTATATAAGCACGTACGAATGTGGTAGTTTCAGTTAAGCTCTGAAGAAGCTAACAGGGTGGTTAACGAAACGTCAATAGAAGTTTTGTAAATGGTATTACGGTAGTACGTCGAAGTTTCTTTAAAAAAATAAGCGTTTCGCTGTCACGAAAGTCTAGGCTCCTGTTTTTTAACGCAAGGGAATTATAAAATACAATGACAGTGATCATTAAGCAGGACGAACATTCCCCGATACATTGCTGTGGTGCAGGCCTATACTTTTAATTCCAGGGTTGGTTTCACCGTTTCTGAAATTTGATTTGAAAGGGGTGGCCAGGAAAAATTAACTTTATCACATATATACTATTGTATATCTAAATGAAGTTGCCGATACTATATTGAAATCAATCAATACGAGGTGTGTTCAAAAAGTAAGCTATCTTCGATGTTTTCTTTAAATTATGTTGATGATGACGATCTTGATATGCTCAAAAAGGTCATAACTTTTGACGAATCATGGGTATGTCGTCGATACCAAAGCCGAGTCGTCGCAATGGAAGAAGCCAGAATCGTCAGAAGCGAAAAAAGCAAGTCAAGTTCGATCAAATGTCAAGATTTTTACATCAGCCATCATATTCACCGGATATTGCCCCCGCGGCTCTTTCCTGTTCCCAAAACTCAAGAAACCCACGAAATGCAGTAGGTTTGGAACGATTAAGGAGTAAAGAAACTAAGGCGTACTTTTTCTCCAGCTCCGCGCACTTTTTTTCGAAATAGGTGCGCAGCTCCTCCACCTCGCGGGAGTGTTTCACCTCGAGTTCCGTCTTCAGGTCGGCGAGTTCCGTCGAGCCGCATTTCACAGTTTCCAGGAGGTTTCTTAGACGAGCCGTTTCCGCGTCGTGTCGTTCGCGGTCGGATTCGAGCCTCTTTTTGAGCTCGCTCACTTCGGCCTTTAACTGGACGACATCGTCCGGGTTCTGCGAGTCGCCTCGCCGATCCAACGTTTCGGACGCTTCCGTCAGCAGCCTGCGTAGCTCCGCCACCTCCGATTTGAACGACTCCACCTGACCGAGCAGGTTCTTTCGCTCCTTCACCGACTGCTCCAAGGACTCTGTGAGGTCGCGTATCATGTCGTTTTTGTGCTTGAGCACCGTGTCGCATTCTACTAACTGATAAAAAAAAAGCGAACGTGTGTTTGAGATAAAGAAATCGTTAGTAGATTTTAGAAAAAAAAATCTCATTATTTTTTGTTTTAAGTTTAAAACCGACAACTTTTTTCTAATTTCATCGTCACCAATAACCTTAACAATTAGCAATATAATTAATTGGGACTCGCTATACCCTACACTACACAATGTGTTTAAGATCTATCATGGGGATATTCGAAACCATAGGATGAGAAAACGGTTAATTTAGAAAAAAGTTGCAAAAAATAACGTGCTGTGGAGAAAATTGAAAAATTCCAATCACTTGAGAAATTCTTATTAGATTATGTGTAAAATACTTTTAATTTTAATTAAAAATATTCCATAAAAAATAGACTTAAAACTTTTTTTCAAAAAGTGGGTCATTGTAAACTTCATAAAATTTCAAAACGGAGATAAACATAAACATAAAAAAACATAATGGCCCACACTGCCTACCTTGGCATTACAGTCTTGCTGAAGCTGTCTATATTCCGTGGCGGACACCATGCTCGACGTGAACGTGTTACTCCACTCTTTCAACGACTCTATTTCCGAATTTAAAGCGTTTATCGTTGTTTGTTTCACAGCCACCATGTCCTCAAGGCACTTGATGCGTTTCTCTTTGTCATCGTCTTCAGAGTCCGTCCCCGACGGAAGTTTAAAACCCTCGTCCCCGACGGGGTCTTTTAAACTGGCGCCGGGGACGTTTGCCAGACTATCGTCGTCGAAATTAACGTTCGCGAACAGGTCAAAACTTTGGTCAGATCGAAACTGCTCATTATTTAAAATTTCCTCCAGGATACTCTTCACGCCGCCGCCGCCGAGCATGACGCCGTCGCTCTGCTCGAAAGAGTCGGGCGTCCCCTCGCGGGAGGATGCGTCGCCGCCGCCAGTTGGCGAATTCACCTCTAAACCAGGCGGATTCGTTATTTCGATTTCGCGAAGCGAACGGTCACGTTCGACGCTGCCGCTCGCCGACGTAATATGTTCCGATATACTTTCCTCTGAGACGATGTCGAGTGTGGCTTGGGACTCTTCGCCCCCGATCCCGGAAACATCCTGAAAACGGAATTTAAATGTCTAACCTATAAGACGCGGTAACGTTACGTTGTCTGGTTCCGCCGCGCTCATTTTCGATACCGCTCACGGCATCGGTACAGCTCATTTAGCTGTAAACGTAATTATTAATCTAAAACAATAATCTAAAAAAAAACGGTTCTTGTGTTAAATTAACCAATCACAACAAAAGTAGTGCGGCGAACATTCGGATCTTGACCCAGAAAAAGTCGTTAGTGTGTCATGTGTGTTAGCATGGCCACAGATCAAACACCATGCTATCAATGTGTTGGTGTAAAGCACAGCGCAAAACTAACTATGGTTATTTTTTGCGGCAACTCGACACGTGTCAGTTTAACCTCCTATTGTGAGCATTGCACTTGGTGGGTTAACGTCCGCTAGCTCCCGACAGAATCCTCTGTAATCCTCCTGTATTCGTCCTAAAAGCTTCAAATTAAAAGGTTTTTGAATTAAAAGTGTTTAATTTAAATGTCCGAAGCGGAGAAGCTTTTGCTAATTGTAATCCAATGTCTGTATTCCGTGGCGGACACCATGCTCGACGTGAACGTGTTACTCCACTCTTCTTAAACTTTGGTTAAAGTTTAAAGTTATTTTGGATTTAGTGTGTAATAGTTGTAGTCGATATTCTATTGCGTAATTTGGTTTTCATAATAATTGTAGCAGAAAATAACCTTTCCACGGCGGCGCTGCTATATGGTAGGCACAAAAGCTTTTTTACCAATTCACACAATATAGGGAATGTTTGAGATTCGTCTCCATTTCTTAATTCTTGTACATGTTTCCAAAAGTCGATAATATCGGGAGTTTTGTTTTGGTCAGTTTTTTTATCAAAAACTTTGTGATTATTATTTTTTCAAAATAGACGCCGCAATTCAAAGAAACTGTGACGTGTGACTATAAAACAATACCTACGCTACGCAATACAATAGGCGTGTAGCTGTTATTCGTAAATAGGGATTTCCCTGTGCATAAAAATATAAAGAAGATACTGCCATCTAGTATCAATGCGTTTTATTACGTAGTGGTTTGTCATTGCGTTTTATTGCGTAGTGGTTATCAAAAAATGTTTGCATAGTAGTGTATTAGGTGGCGCTGAACGCGAAAAACAGTAGAAAATAGGAATGAAACAGAAAACGTGGTCATCAATGTGAAAACAGGAAATCTACTGTTAAAACAGTAGGGTTGGTAACGCTGCGCTGGATACAAATCAAGGGAGATTGCATCGAGCAAATTGTGACGTTAGGCCGGTTCTTAAAGCTGGGGAATAATTTTAGCTCATATTTTTCTGTGTTTGCTGTTTACGCTGTGAATTAATGCTGTGGAAAAAGAAAGTAGTTGGGACAAATAATGTTATAAATGGAAATAATTTCGATAAAACACTGTAGTGTTACTTTCACATATATTTTGGTTGTGTTAAGCTACCTTTATTCTCTGTGGCTAGGCCTACCTATGGTCTAACAGTGCTCGTTCTTAACCAATGACATTTCGACATCGGACAACCAACATGGCGGCTGACAGATTGTCAATATGTCAACTGTTGTGCGAAATTGAGTAAAGTGTGTGGAAATCGCTGATCAGAAGGAAAACTGCGCAAAGTCGGTGAAAATTTTTATTACCCGAAGGAAGGAAACTTCAATTTTACTAAAATATTCCGTGATGTATTTTCAAAACTAAACTTAACACAATACAACTAGGCATATGGACGTTGTTAGTAAATAAATCCTATTTTTTTTTTCAAAAACCAAAACGTCTACTCTCCGACTAGAATCGACTAAGTTATTTCCCATAGAATTGGATATTGACACGTCGCGAGGGTCGGCGATTCCTTCGATTTTTTTTTCAGTCTTTCGGCGACACAAACGCCCCGCCCCCGTATGAAAAACCTAAAAAACGATGCACGAGTCTCAGGGATTGTCCGGCAGGTCGAGCACCTCCCCGATAAATCCCGAAATGTCCGAGTCGAGGTCGCGGTGCTTCGTCAGAAACTGGTGCTGCAGCAGCTGATCGTAGTTCCACCTAATCAAACGTTTCGCGAAAAATAAGCGTACCAGTAAATACGACGTGGACATTTATTTATCGCCCCTTTGAAGCTAAATCACGCACCTGTCCATGTATTTCTTCTGCAAACACTTGACGATAAAGTCTTCGAAGTCTGCTGTAAATTGACCATCGGACGGCAACCGGGGCGGGTCGTCCGTCACCACCTGCTTGAGCTGCTCGAACGGGGTGCCCCATTTGTTGTAGGGGAACGCCCCGGTGGCGAGCTCGAGCAGCGAGATCCCCAAGGACCACACGTCCGACCTTATGTCGTACTGGGAAGGGTTACCCTGGGGGTCTATCCGTTCGGGCTGAAACGGGGGGCCTCGAAATGCCCGACTCAGACTTCGGCGGGAAAAAACTCACCGCCATGTATGGCTTGCATCCCGCGTCGATCGTTTTCGCCACGGAATCCACCAGATAGCCGCTAATGCCGAAATCGCACATTTTCACCTCACCCTGCCGATTCACCAAAATGTTTGAGGGTTTGACGTCGCGATGGATCACCCTCAGTCTCGAATATAAATAGTGCAGGGCGCTCACCACCGCGAACGCTATCTTTCCTGCGGAAGAACATTATTCGAATTGCGTTCCGAAAGTTCCGTGCCATCCAAACCTGATTATCTTGATATGGCATACGGCTCTCCGCTTACAAATTTACAAGTATAGAACGTAAAATGTGCAGAATGCTCGTAATAATGTAATGTAATATATAAGGAGTGAGGTGCATAAAATATCAAAATCAAAACACCACAGTTCGTAGAACTACTATCGCTATTAACGATGACAAATGGATACCACAGTACCGAACAGTTTTGTAAAAATTGTTTTTGATATGCCAAGTTGTAACGGCATTAAAAGTCAACAATGTTGGAGTGCCTCAAGGCTCAATACTTGGACCAATATTGTTCATCTTATATATAAGCGATTTGTTGGTTTTGCAAGATACCTTAATAGCATATGCGGATGATACTGCAGTACGAATGAACTCTGCAGTTTTTGGTGTTATAAAAAATCTGAAAAATCTCAATGTCCACAAAAAACTGCTTAAAAAGAAAGTTAGAGTTTTTTATGTAAAAGTAATTTTTGGCAATAAATATTATTACCTCTTTTGTCATAGTAGTTTTATTTTTTGTATTTTTAATAGTGCAAATACATTACCCAGCACAAACTCGGGGATTTTCCGGCCGTTCCTATACACTTTGACGTAAAACTTGTCCAAGCTAGCGTCCATAACCTCCATGCATATCCAAACGTCCCCCTCGCGGAACAAGGCGCCATAAAACTGGACCGTGTACAAGCAATCGCTGCTCCGCATAGATATATCCAAGTCCATCAGTAGTCTTTTTTGTTCCTGAGAATTTACGGTGGCCGTTATCCGCTGCAATAAAAAAAAAAACGCATGGAATCGTTTCCGATCGCTCGGGAGGGCAAAATCTCGCCTTCACTGCCATAATTGTACCGCTCGGTAGGTGCCTCATCTTCTCGACGATGCCGTAAGCGCCGCGGCCGAGGTCGCAAATCTTCTCGAGATCGTCCGCTTCGACGTCGAAAGTGCGGTCGCATATGGTTATCGTGGTCCGGGAATCCAAATTCCGCGGCGGCACGCTGAAATTCGCGCCCGCTATTGGTGGCTTTTTTTGCGTTTCGGGAAACACGAGAGGAAGCGATGCTTACATGGGCGCAGTTTCTTTCTGCATCACGATTTTGAGGCCCGGCTTCTTTCGTCTACCAGACATTTTTATGGTTAACGTCCCCTGCTGAATAGATGTAACGAGACGGCTAAGCCGCTGCGACCTCGTTCGTCGGGAATCGCGCGACGTTTTCTTTCCCTCGTTGTTTGGTTTTTTTCTATATCGAAATCGGCACGTCTCGACCACAATCAAACGCCAAACGTGACCCTAAAAAGAAATAAATTAAAACCGCCACAGACTGCAAAACGGACCCGTCAGGCATAGAAAAGATCGACCGGTAACGTAATTTACCATCCATCCAAAAAAGAGGAAGACGTGTTGATTTGTAGAAATTCGAATCGTTGAACCGGTAGCTGTCGGTGGTTAGTAAACAGGCGAGATGTTCACCTAAAAAAAAATAAAACCGCTACAGACTACAAAAAGGCCCTGTCAGGCACAGAAGTTGCCGCAATTTGTTCTTTCCCGAAAAAGAGGAAGACGCTTCTTGTATCCTTGTATCAAGGCGAATGCTATTGATGTGGTGCAATGGCCGCTGTGCAATTAGGTTGTAAAAATCTAATTCGATTAGTAGAAATTCGTATCGTAGAAGCAGTAGATATCGGTGGTTAGTAAACCAGGCGAGACGTTCACAAAAAAAAATTAAAACCGCTACAGACTGCAAAATGACCCCGTCAAGCATAGAACTGACTGAAAATGAGGAAGACGAGTCTACTGTCAACGCGAACAGTATTGATGCGGCGCGATGTGAGCTGTGTAATTGCGATGTAAAAATGTAATTCGATTAGTAGACATTCGTATCGTCGAGGCGGTGTTTAGTAAAACGTTCGAGATGTTCTCGTTTGGGGAGACGTTTCTTCCGTTCGGGTTTGGCGCGTTTGCGGGCGGGGCTGCGTTGTGCGTTTTCGGCTTTTACGTCTGCAAGCGACTCTGCGGCGAGGGAGATGTATCGCTTAGAGATTCGAGCACAAACCACACCTGGACACCCATAAGGGTAACCGACAAGGTAAATGTGTTTAATAATTACCATCTTTAATAGTATATGTTAATGTTAACCTTGCATTTTATCGGCAATTTATCAACTGACGGCAAAATTTTATAGGCAAATTATGTTAATATCCGTTTTTTAAAACACGCGAAACTACAGGGTGTCGGGAATAGACTAGGGAGTGACCAAGTGCTCCTAAGTAAACGATGCGTCTCTGATTGTTGCAGTCATGGTACTGTTCTATATGTGAGTCCTTTCTCATCCATGGCGCCGGCGTCTATTGTGATTGTTGCGGGGTCTGCGCGGACCCGCAGTGCGTTAAAAGGGCGGATCAAACTTTGAGGTGCAAAGTGGTAGCGAGCACCTGCCAAGTCCACCTTCATCATTGGGTGAAAGGTAAAGAAAGGGAAAAACGAACCAACCAACTGGCCGGTACACTTAGAAAACATTCTGAAAATTTAATACAATCAATTGATCAAATAATTATGGGTTACGATAGATAATATCAATTATCTGCACATTTTAAAAGAATCGAAATGCAAGTGCAAATGTATGTACTTACGATTCATATCCTTCGGAAAAATATCAGATTGTTTAAACATTTTTTTTTAAAACGTATTTTTTTATTTTAAAACACAGCAATAAAAAATAACGGACAGTGCAAAAATAAATAGTTAAACGGAAAAACATTGGTGAAAGACCAGTGCCAGTATATACGGATATGCGGTCTAAAAATATTACAGAAGAAAATAAAATTCCTGCAAAAACAATTCCTGCTCAAGAACGCAAGCAAATCAGATAGAGAACACAAGAGAGCATACATGTATTTAATGAATATTTAGCATTCTCACTGGCAAAGATAAAATATTTTTGTCAAGATGTTTAGAGAACATTTTTGTTATTTTACAGTTGATGTACATTAATAAGTTTTGATGTATAAAACTTAGTTCCCAGTATTCCACCTATGGAGGTGATAGATTTAGTAAATTTCACACTAACTCGGAAACAGGTTAACCCATTGCTGAAACAAGATTTATTAGATTGCTTTAGACCAAAATTATTTTGAATTTAATTGATAGATTTATATCTCTAAAGAAGGTTTGATTATGGGAAACCCACTTAGTCCTCTGTTAGCCGAGATTTTTATGGATAATTTGGAAAATATCATACTAGAACATCCTTGAAGTAAAAGTTTTTTATGGTGGTATAGATACGTGGATCATGTCTTTGCTTGCTTTGTTTTGGAACGGACAGACAATTGAATTCTATTAGAAGAAAACCCCTAAGTTGGGAACACTGTCCAGATTTTTCACTAAGGGTTCGTTTTTCTCCGGCACAGAATGCTAACACGTCAAAAACGACCACAGTTAAAAATGGCGGTAAAACGCACACGACACGGACCACGGAACGAATCATTCGGATTCTTGAGGTTAGTTTTTATGCCGCAGGCAACTTGCCCGGGGGGGCGGCGTGCGCCGCCTGCGGCGATGACTGTTCCGCGGAACCCGGCCTCGTGGACTTCGAATGTTGCTGGTGCCAGAGGACGGTCCATGTCGAGTGCTTGAAATCGATTGGCGAGGTATTAAAAAAATAACGGGGTGGCGGCTGGGGACGTTGTTAACGAGTCGGGGTTGTCAGGAGTGCGATTTCGGACGCTACCGGTCGATGATCGTGCCGCCGTTTGCCGTGCAGGTCGTCAGACGCAAAGGTCGCTTGAAAAAGCAGTTGCTACTTAAGGCGGTGACGGACCCGGGCTGGGACGGCTGGACGCCCCTGGTCGTCGTAGGTATTGTAACGGTCGTCGGCGTTTTCGCGGACGATTTCACGTATACTTCAACCAAAAATATAATGCTTTTACGACCGACCCCGTGATTAACTTTGCCTACTGTTTATTGCTTCAAAACCGCAGCCCCTTACACGTAACGATTCCGGGACTTTCCTAATAATTTTAGTACCTACACTGGCAAGCGGGATATAATCTTTTTCGCCGAGCAATTCTTGAAACATGTACTTAAAAAAATTAGTACAAAGTAACAATTTATCATGTTCTATTTCATTACATTTAATATACAAAATGTTAAGTACAATAATAATAAATTGTCAGTCACTTAAAAAATCGTCACTCTCGCTACTGCCGTCACCTAGTTCAGTGATCAACTCCGCCACTAATCATTCTCGATAAATATTTTATTTTATTACTCGTTTTTCACAGTTAGGCCAGCTTTGTACTGATATTTTAGCGACCTCTTGCCAAATTACGTTTATGGTACTATCACTAAATTTTGGTGCAGTGTTATTTCTTCTTATATGCCCTTTCAACTCAGACCAATCAATGTTATGCTATCGAATCGATTTTGTAGTCTTTATTAAAGTGTTTTATTTTTAATTATTCCAGAAGTTGTTTTTTCGTGTAGTTCTCTTCAAGATATAAATCATTTTATTACAGAAATTGTTTAATTTCTTCTTTATTCGAACAAGTAACAACGATACGCGGTATTATGCAAAACAACGACAGTATTTGGCCATAGATTTTATTTTCAAACCAGTCCTCAAATTTTCAATGTAATCTACACTTGAATCTTTGACGTTTTTGGCAGACAATAGTAAGGCATCTTCCACCCAGCATGAAGAATTATCATGCGTTTTCCATGTGAAGGCGGTACGTCTAGTACACACTTGTTACTGTTATCACACCATCCCTTTTTTTACTGTGTCGTGAGTGTCGACCCACGTTTCGTCTATTTTGCTCTCGAAATTTGTCAATTGCATTTAAATAATTAATAATTAGCACTTGACGTAATTAATTGGAACAGGAAATCCATTTTCTTCAAAAAAGTACGCAACCACTCTTTGACACAACTAATGTTGAAGTATGTCAGTACTTTTTTATGCAGTTCTCCTAGGGTTAAGACACTATTCAGTTCATAAGCGTCGTAGATTATACGCCTAATTTGATTTGCGTCTTGCTCTTTAAAAACTCGCGAAGTACCAGCATCTTCTCTCACTTTCCTCTTGACTTTTCTTACAGTTGACTTCGGAACTTTGCAATCAAAACAAGTAATGAGAAATAATAAATTAAACTTTTGGCATAAAGAAAGTATCAATTCGAGATTGATTATCAACTTCAAAATTTGGATCATTTACTTCAAAAATGTTCATGGCATCCCCCAAATTTGCAATTATCCTATGCCGCTATTGCTGCTCCTATTTTCCCTTCCGAATTTCTTACGAAATTCTAAACATATAAAAAAATACCCTGCAGCATTAAGTTTAAAACGGTCCATTTACGTTCGAAATAAAAGTTTCTACAAATATTCGTTACTTAATGCAGAATAAACATCTGTTGGAATGTGTTTTACCACGTTCCCGCGAAGGTCCGCGGTTAAGGTACCGTAAAATACTGAAAACGTCAATGAAATAAATGCACTATATTTTTGGTCGTGTTATAACCCCCGCGGTTCCAGGCAACACGCGGTCCGGCAACAGCGATGGCGCCGCCGTCCTTTCCGCTTTTCGGAAATTTTTGAACCCCGTGCAGGTCGTCGACCTTACCGACCGGCAGGCGATCGCCGCGCTGCAGTGGTGCGTCCTTTTGGCGCCCAAGGTAAACGTGCGGATATCGATTCGAATGTTTTTCGCGGATCGGTTGGGAATCGATTCGAATCAGTAGTCGCACGGGTGTTTCAGGCGGTGAGGCTGGTGGTCGCGGGCGGCGACGGTACGATAGCCCGCGTGTTAACGGCGTCGCACAAGCTCGACTTGGAAGTAAGTGGACTGTTTCGATTATTTATTTATTTATTATATATTATTTGCAATATGGATATACGATTGTTCTGCTTTTTCTGTATGCCTAACTTTGTGGAGGGATGTTAAAAACTTCGGTTTCTATAAGTTTGAGGACATTGGAGTTAACAGGGGGAAAAGATTGTTTCGCCGAATGGCAGATTTCAGTATACAGTGGTAAGGTGGAAGCCTTAAAACTGTATGCCCTAGATTTTTTGCATAATTATCACAGACGTATCCCTTTGTCGGTTCAAGCTTTGTTGGTTTTCGGTATAATCTTCGTGGAAATAAATGCCAAGGTCTATATATTTCTTTAAAATCTCTAAGATCTCTAAGATCTCTGAATCATTATTAAGGAGATCGTTTTGGCTTTTGAAAAAATAGCACTTGAAAATTTGTAACCTCTAAATGACATCAACATTTTACATCTGTACATGGGTTCATGATAAATAGTATGCCTTCTACATATACAGGGGTAGTTCATATTTGACCAACGAAGAATATAAAAGCCGAAGATCTGTAGGAACTGAAGCAGGTGTCAGATAATAATGAACGAAGTTGCGAATGTATATATTTAATCCAAATAAACAAAATAAGCAAGAAAATAAACGTCTGATGTGATGTGATCACTTATACTTTGACGTTTCACGACCTTGTGACGTAGGCGTTGCGGCCTCGTAGATGACGAGTTTCTGTTTCAGCCGGAACCGTTGTTGGGTATAATACCGTTGGGTACCGGTAACGACCTGTCGCGGGTGCTGGGGTGGGGCAAAGAGAACCCGTCCGAGGTGGACGTGGCTCGAACCCTCGACGATATCGGCAACGCGCGCATCTCCGAACTAGACAGGTTCGTATTATTCAAGTCCCGTGTCGACCGTTCAAAGTATCGAAAAGCTCCAAAATGTCGAATGTCAAATAGAAAGGGACAAATATAATATATACTGCCGGCCAAGGTAAAAGTTGACGTCTGCCAAATCAGATGTATCTAGATTTTATGAACGGCAGCATTGACAATTTTGTACGTCTTTTAAACAAGCACCATTTTGCTAAAGTATTATTGTTTATTATCCACAATTACTCAACCTATGCCTTATTGATTATGAACCCATCTGTATAGAATAGACGAAAAGTAAAATTTCCACATTTCTTAAACTTTGTTATGAAAATGAAAATTCACTTTTTACCAAAATACGTTGGGTTTTTCACCTGATGATAAGAATGAAACTGTCGCTAACAGTTGAGAGTGAGCCTCGCGCCTTCTTTATTCGGAGCCCGATATTTGTGTTGATTGTTCGTCTTTTCCCATGTAAAACGGTTTAAATGGTTGAAATGAAACAAAAAAACATTTATTCGAGGCTTCTATTAAGGTATACAAAGGCTGCCGAAAAAATTACTTGCTAATGATTAAATAGCGCACTTTAACCTAAAATTAACCGAATTCCTCTTTAAAAAACGTAATAAAATGTTATCTAAATAAGGTAAATCATTTAAAGCCGGTATTAAATTTGATTGCCCTATATAAATCGCTCTATCGCGTATAATTTCGTATATCGTTTCGTACACTTGCGCCAGAAATATAGTGCTTTTACAACCGACCCCGTGATTACCTTCGCCTACTGTTTATTACCCCAAAATCGCAGCCCCTTATAGAACACCCTGCCGGACAGACCCTTCCACTACCGTCCTAGGAATTTATCTACCTACACCAACAAGAGGGATGTAACTACAGTCGAAATTCTATGTAGCGAAATTGAAGGGACTGCTATTTTTTTCGTTATTAGGCACTTGGAAAATAACAATACGCATATGTGTTCTGTAATATTTAATTATTTTATATACATATTTTAACATCTACTTAGGAACATTTTATATAAACATTTAAGAACTACATTTAATGTTTCAAAAAATCGGTCATTTTCTTTTGATTTTTTTTAGTATACCAATACGCATCTCATACTTTGGTTTGTATTTTCGCCATTTTTTCGAGAGGGGCATCTTCCCCATGATATATAAAAAAAATTCTCAAGCAGCTTAACTGAATATAGGGCGTGTTGAATGGTTGGTGGTGGTCCCAGATCAACTTCTTCATCTTCTTCTTCCTCTTGGTGCTCTTGCTCTTCCTCTCACCCTTTCTTGTAGTAATATGGCTTGCAACTTGCAACTCCTCACTTGTAAATGTAATTGTTGTTTGAAACCGCTTTATCCACTCGCTTAGTGGCTGATCATCTTCCAAGTCCTGTTCGCATTCTGTCTCGGTAATAAGTCCTGCATGACGATAGGAGTGTTGAATTGTTTCTGCTGTCACCTCTTTCCAAGTTTTACTAATAAAGTTGACTGCATCTAGCATATTAATGGAACATTTGTCTTGGGACTCGATCATTTCCATTAAAATGTTTTTCCTGTATCTACTATTTAGACTTTTTATTAAGCTCTGGTCCATCGGCTGTAATACACTTGTTGTTTTGGCTTATGGGGATATGGGGATGTGCAGAGCGGTTATCTAAGAGCAGTAATATTGTCCTGCCCTTTAAGTCTGCATCCCATTTCCGTATCTCCTCTTCAAAAATTTGTCATGTCATCCATGCATACTTGTTTGAATTGTAAGTGACCGGCAAATGCTTGATGTACTTAAAACATCGCGGGTTAGTTAATTTTCCAATCACGACTAGCTTTCTTTTTTCTCTCCCACTTATATTGGCAGTTACTAACACTGTTATACGTTCTTTAGAAAGTTTTCCACCCACACACTTTTCGCTTCGAAATTTAAGAGTTTTATCTGGCGTCATTTTGTAAAAAATACCAGTTTCGTCAGCATTCAAAATGTCGGCTGCAGGGTACTTTTCTGCTAGTTTTGGCCACGTCCTCTCCAGCCAATCGTTAGTGACGTTTCTGTCGACATCACGGGCTTCGCCACTTATCTGTCCATAATTTCTACCGTGTCTCTGTTTGAACTTCCCCCAACCATCCTTCCGAAGCCTTGAAATCGATAATGCCAAGCTGTTCAGAAAGCTTTTCTGCTTTTAGTTTTACGATAGGTCCAGAGAGTGGTACATTTTGAAGACGTTGGAACCACTGCAACATTGCCCTACCCAAATCTTCAAATTTTGGGTTTTTTAGTTTTTTACTAGAACTCCCTACCGCTTCAGCCTGAATGATTTTTTCTTTGCACTTCCAAATCGTAGATACAGTCGACGGTGTAAGTCCTTATCGACGTCCCACATTACTTTTCTTTTCTCCCACTTCTATCTCCCGAATTAAAGCGACTTTAACATTTAGAGATAAAATTTTTCGCTTACTCGCCATGCTCGCCGTATTCACTAAGTCTAATTAGAATTAGAATTAGAAGTTCTTGGTAGTTAGTTGACTTCAGAACTTTGGTCATGTACATTAATAGCTTACTACTGGAAGGATCACAGTCAAATATCTGCGTAATATATACGAACATATTGCAATTTAGATTAAACTCTTAAGAACGGTACATATCACCTGATGTTAAAAGAAACCCTTCTATTTATTCGAAAATAGCCCGCAGCATCAACGCTTAATCAAATTTAAGACGGTCCATTTACCTTTCAAATAAAAATTTCAAGTTTTTACAAATATTCGTTGCGGCAATAAATAATATTTTTGGTCGTATTCGATGACACACGAACTTTGAACGTTCTACGCTTTGACGCTCGTTATTCCGCGGACCCGCCACGGACCACAGCGGTCGTCGTTTCAGATGGCGCGTGGACGTAACGGCGACGAGACACCTGCCAATCCCCCTGCAGAGCAAGGTTCACTATCTCTACAATTACCTGAGCGTCGGTGTAGACGCGCAGGTCGCGTTGAGTTTCCACAAGACGAGACAGAGCGCGTTTTACTTGTACGGCAGCAGGCTGTTTAACAAGGTATGCGCGACACGGATCGCCGCGGAGTAACGGACCACCGCGGTGTCACGGACCGCTGCGTAGTCACAGACCGGATTTCATTTCCAGCTGTTGTACTTGTGTTTCGGGACTCAGCAAGCGTTGACGGCCGATTGCAAGAACCTCGAGCGCAGGCTCGAGTTGTACCTGGACGGCCGGAACGTCGCGCTTCCCGAACTGGAATCGATCGTCGTCCTCAACATTGCGTCGTGGGCCGCCGGGGTCGATCTTTGGGGTAAGTTTCGAGCATGGTATACTGAAGATATGACATTGGGTCACGTCGCTGACGTCACGCGGCGGTTAATTTGCGGGATTCGTAGAATTTCAGTGCTTTTTGGTGGTTTGGAGTAATTAGTTTTTTATCTGTAGCAGACCGTGATACGGAGTCTGTTCTAGACATTTCGATGAATCTCCATTTCTTTTTTAATTTGCCATTGCAAAAATCGACTGATATCAAAGAGAAATTGGCTCGAAACAGTCGGACTGATAGAAGAAATGGAAAAAAAAATTAGTCCAGACTCTTTTAGAAAGCAGCTAAGTTTCTTTTTTTAATGTATTTGGTTTACCACGTAATTGAATTCCAACCAAAAAAAAAGTTTTGGAAGCAAATACTTTCAAAAAATATACGCAGTGTGCCAAATAAAACGATCCACTATACGATCTGGAAACTCATAAGAGATACGGAAGAAAGTTTCCTGGATTCTTCTGAAGATTTAAAATATTAGTTTTGGTTAGTTTTCGACATGGACTTTGTTATTTTAAATTTTGGAATTTTTGGAATCCTTGGTTAAAATAAAGGTCCCTTTTCTTAATAAATTTCTATTCGAATTTTGCATAGTTTAGGCAGAAATTGAGATTACGTGTTTTTTTTTCCATATTTTGATTGCCCCATATAAAATTGTGTTGTGACGGTATTGCAACGAAAATTTAACGACAGACTAAGGAAGTGATACACTGCTCAATCAGTTTAATAGATGCCCCTCAGCTTACACAGGGTGTTCCAAATAGGTGGTGCCGTTTTAGCGAAATGAATTAACAAAATCTCAAGATTTGCAAATGGAGCACCCTATATTTTTATTCAAATATCAATTCTAGGAAAAAAAATTAGGTAAGTTTGTAATTTATCTTATATTTAAATTTTACTTACTTTTTGAGATATTCGTGTTGAATCAAAAGCTGTCCACATTAGGTCAATTGTTAGGTATTTTTTTAATAGCAAAGACATGATACTACTTCTTTTAAAGATATTATACTCCATAGTTTTTAAATAGAAATATGAAAAAGAACGGAAATAAACAGAAATGTCAAAGTTTGTACCTTAATGCGCAAAATAAAAAATTGTGATGTCATAGCCAACTACATTTTTAAATATTTCTTTGTTGTTTTGATGCCAGATGAAACGAGAATTTTAAGAGGAACATTTTTAACTACATTTTATTGATCGAATTAACGAATTCTTTTTAGTTCGCTTTTTGTTTTATAGATCTATTTATTCAAATTCAAATTACATGTGTTTGTTATTTGGTATTTTCAATCAAGTGGACACTTTTAGGACACCCTGTATCAACAAAATTATAATATTTTAAATATTCAGGAGAGTCCAAGTAACTTTTGTGGGAAACTTTTTTTCGTATCTCCTATGGGTTTCCACATCGTATAGTGGATCGCATTTGTTTCCAATAGATTATTTTCCTTTAATATTTTGTAAATCTGAGAATGTTTTGTTATCTTTTTGTTATGAGATTGCTGATCCTCCTCTGGCGAGGTTTGGAAAATGACATGTGAGAAATACATTATCGTTAATCCAAATGTTTGTATCATGATATATTGCAAAAGGCTGCCGAAATTTTTATCTCAGCGTGACGTCATGCGTGCGCCGGACGAATTTAAAACGGCGATCTGTCATATCTTTGTTTGATGTGTCGGGAGTTTCGGACGCTCGGGTGGGCGGAGCGCTGACGTAGTCGGTGTCCGAAGGTATGGGCGACGGTGGAAACTCGCAGCAGTGTCACCGGGACGGCGTCCTCGAAGTGGTCGGCATCTATTCGTCGTTCCACATCGCGCGACTCCAGATGGGCGTGTCGGCGCCCGTCAAGCTAGGTCGGGCCCGCGAGGTCGAAGTAAGGACGGCGCGAAGGGGGCGGGGATTGAGGACGTTCAACTTTCACATGACCGATACCGCATCAAAATTGATCCGACATTTAATTTTTTATAAAAATAATTATAACCAAAGCAAAAATTATTACATTTTTACGACGATTTACGAATCTTCTGCTGAACCTGCTACACGTCTTGGTCTCTCCAGAGCTTAACGAAAACTTACTCGCGTTTTACTCTGTACCTGTTTATACGGGGTGGTCGGAAACTTTGAGGAAAATAAATTCTAAAAAATTGTTACTCTTGTTTTGAGTCGATGATTGATATCGTCTAGCCACACTTCTAATTTACAGTAAGGCTATACTGGATTTCGCAAAATGCTTTCCTGTTGCGGAAATGCAAGCCAGCATTATTAACTTGCAAGCGACGTGTCAAAACAGTATGCTACAAATCAAAAAAGTGAAAAAATGGTATAAGTCAATGCAATAACATATTTAATTTAAGTAACATAAATACATTTGAGATTTTCGAAAATAAAAAATTTATAATAAAGGAAAATCTTGCATTGACCGCATGTTTTGTCTCCACCGCAAGGGTATTTCTTCCAGCATTAAGCGATCCGTTAAAGAAATGAGGTCCTATAAGATTATCTCCTATCATCCCCGCTCATACATTTTAAAGAAAATCGGTGCTGATGTTTTCCTTCAATATTTGCACGACTGAATGCAGCCTCGTCAGTGAACAAAACGACATTTAAGAATTGCGGGTAATTTTGAATTTTTCCTAAAATTTGATTACAGTGCCTTTGAACATGAAAGGGCGAACGACCACTTTCATGCAAAACTTCCCAAACTGTAGAGCAGCAAGTTTTCTCGTTGACGGGTCAGCCTCCACATTTTGCACTATTCTTTCTTCTCTTGCCGCGGTTCTTTTATACCTTGGTCTCCCTTTATTCATATTATCAGGTTTAAATGATCCTCTTTTACCAAGTCTTCTGTGTATGAATGTCTTAGCAGATAAAGCCGTCGTATATTCAGTATTTGAATATTCCTTACGGGTCATCACAGTAGCAGTAGGATAATAAGCTGTTTTAATAGAAACTGATTTTTAACGGATTGCGACAATAACTTTTTCAAATTTCATTAAGTCCCGTGAGGTAAAATCAACCCCTGTCCTTACATTCAAAATATCACTGACCACATTATAAAAGTTCTTAGGAAATATAAATTCAAAACCAGATTTACCAATTGTCCAAACATCTCTTGACAATTTCCGTTTGAGAAGCCATTAGTTTACAGCATTCCATCAACGAGTCTCAAAAAACATGAAACTACGACACTTCTACCAACGTAAAATCCGATAATGTATAGAAATCTATAAACAACAATCTTAACCGCGACTCAAGCCTTTACCTTACACATCCCTCCTCTAGCTCCGCCCCCCTCAGATCGTATATAAGCAGGTACGGAGTAGAATGCAAGCCAATTTCAGTTAATAGTACTGAAGAGATGGTGTAGGTTTTACAAAGATGGTAGCTATAGAAAGTACAGGAAGAGGAAGAAGAAAGGATTGTGTTGTCGCTTATGTTGTGTGAAATATCGACAAAAATATATTATTTTTGAAAACTGTTCCTTTCTTGTATATAACAATTATTTTTCTATAGAAAAAAGCCGAATTAATTTAGTAAACCTAGTAGAAAATTCAATAATACCAAATCATGTATGTTTAAATAATAAAAAAGAACGTAAATATAGAAAAATAAAGTTTTATAGTGATTTCAGTCAGGCCGTCGCTTTCAGATCAGGCTGACCGCGGCGGCGCCTGTGCAAATCGACGGCGAGCCCTGGGAGCAGCCGCCCGCCATCTTGAAAATCTCCTTCGTCAACAGGTGCCCCGTTTTGGTCAATAAATAAAGTTTCGTCGTTTGTTGTGTTTCGATTCTCCTGCTTCCCGTTAATTTTAACGACCTCGCGTTAGTCGCCGTCGCGTGTGTTCGTTTATCTCTTTAATGCAATTGATAAGGTTACCGCGAGGAGCGCGTTTCAATGGTCCGTGGTTTCGACGAGGTGCGCGGAAAATTAATTACTTCTTATTAAATATTAAATCGCGACATTTAATCAGTATTGCCCAAGAAATCGTGCGATTAGATAAGCCCGATCAAGATCGAAAGGAAGGAAAAAAATTTTTGTATCCTTCAGTGTTCGATTTTCGTTTGTTTTGCAATGTCGGCGGACGACGACGACGAAATTCGCGTCGGTTTAAACGGAGCCGTCGCTAAAGAGGCGACGGGAAGAGAATCCGAGGGCCGAACCAGGGAATCTCCGTTCTTGTATTTCGCAGCTTTCGTAGGTAAGCCCCCCCCCCCAGATTATCGCTAACGGAAAATCCCAAACATCCAAAGATTAGACCATTTCTATTGTTTGTGACGCGATTGAAAATAAACGATATATGAATCGCGTTATACTTCGACCAGAAATATAGTGCTTTTATTTTTTATTTTATTTTTTATTTGAAGAAGTATTTGGAATTTTTCTAATTTCGGCTGAATGATACGAGAAATTATCCAACACAATAACAGTATTTAGCGATATTTTTGACAACAGTCCTCAGCATGAAGAATTATTATGCGTTTTTCAAGTGATGGCGGCACATCTAGTACCACTTGTTACTGTTATCCCACCATCCATTTTTTTCTGTGTCGTGAGTGTCGAACGCAACGACTCTTTGGCACAACTCTATCACACACTGTCAAACACCATTCACTTTATAAGCGTCGTAGATTATACGTCCAATTAGATCTGCGTGTTGCTCTTTGAAAAATCGCGAAGTACCAACAACTCTCACTTTCCTCGTGATCATCCCATTTGCAACAATTTTTCTTACAGTTGATTTCGGAACTTTGGTCATGTCGCTTGTTTTTATTGCTGCTCCTACTTCCCCTTCTGAATTTCTTGTAAAATTGTAAACATGTTCGCATCCGAAGGCAAATGGAAAAATATAATCTATAGTCTTAACCTGTTTACAAATCGAAGAACTATGTAGAAGGCACGAAAACACAAGAAGAAGAATGTTGTTAGTCGAGAGGCAGACAAGACAAAAATGACTATTTTCAAACTTACCTGTCATATAAATAAATTACAGGTAAAGTCTGTTCATAGATATAAGAAAGTGACTAACTGATACGAATTAAGGATAGACCCGGGCAAGCTGTAAGAATGAAATATGGCCGAACAGGTCCGTACTTTGCTTAGAATTTAATTATTTGGGGTTTTGTTAGGAAAGATACTAAACAACATTTATTTATTTATTATTTCTCGAAAAGCGTTTACGCGATCAAAAGAATTCTCGAACTAGAAGATGCGGAAGATTCGGCACCACAAACTTATTCTTGACGCTTTTTCAAAAACGGACAGTGTGAAACTAAAATACGGGGCTTAACATGTCAGTTTCTTTTACATGGTGATGTAGTCCGTGTCGACTGCTAAAACTTTTGTATCCAAGGTTTTCACCTGTTGTACAGGGTGTTCGAGATATTCCGGGCTATATTGAGAAATGTAATAGGTTAGTGTAATTTGGCAGAGAAACAAAGTCCACGCCCACATCTGAACTGTAGAAACTGGGAGCTATTAAATTTTGGCAAGTATTTTGAAAAAAAAATTAAAAACATTTTTTTGGGTTAGTTTTGGTTAGTTTATTAACCCAATCGGCAAAATTCTTTAACCAAGAGACGAAACTATAACTTTTATTTCAAGCATTTTTTCGATTATTGACAGGGTGTGTCGGTAATGGGCAAAAAATCTATAACTCCCTGAAAATGGCCGTTGTTTTGGGTAAAATATTAGCCGTAAATGAAAAACTGTAAAAGATGAGTTAATTTGGTTTAAATAGTAAACTGTGTCGAGAGCTATAATTTTAGTGTTTTCGTTTATCATACGGGGTGCTCGAGATACACATTTGAAAAATATCTCTATTACTAAATTGCGAGCCATCGAGTCGAAAATGAGCAGGAATTTCGATTTTCGCCTCCATACGGGACTCGCCGAAACTGGGCGGTATCGGAAGTACTTTTTTTTTCGAAACCAGAAAAAACGATTTCCTCGAAAACGCTACGTTCGATCGGAAAAATTCTCGAACGACGAGACGCCCGAGATTTGGGGCAATAACCCAACCCAAGTTGACCCAAGAATATACAGGGTGTCGCGTGATTATGAGCAAAAAACCGGAAATTGTAATTTTTCGAGGTACATTATTGGGCGTAACTTACAAACCGTGAAAAACTGCGCCGATTGGTTTGAACGTCATTTGCCCTTTTCGTCTCTCATACAGGGTGCGCGAGATGAGGACCAGAAAGCGTTTGGTTCAAATTAACGGATGGGTCAATTTGGGTTTAACGGTCACCAGGACTAGATTTTTTGCAGGATTCATTGGACCTAAACACACAGGACAATGGTTAAAACAATATCCGCAAAAAATAGCCAATCGGCAACATACCGTATAGGTCAGCCGGTAGGGCGTTGGGAGCGACATTGAAGATCACGGGTTCAAACACGATGACAGATCCTTTCTTTTTTTTTAATATTTAATTTTATTACTTTCTTACGTCGTGACTGTTTAAATTTTGTAAATTATTGTAACTCAAGTTTTTCAAGACGCAAACTGGATTTTTATAAGCGTGACAACTTTTCAGCCAATCTTTTGGGATTCGCCGCTGGGACGGCCGCCTCGTGGACATCTCCCGTATTTCCGAAACTCGACGATCCTGACGGTCCTTTGAACGTGCCGATCGGCACCCTGCAGAAAAGTCTCGTGGCCGCGGCCCTTTGTGTCGGACAAACGGTCGGCCCTTTCGTCTTCGGCGACCTTTCCGAATCGATTGGTCGCAAAAAAACGTTGATTTTGATTGCCGTACCTATGAGCCTCGGACTCGCAACGTTGGCGTTCGCCACTGACGTCAGGTTATATTATCTCGGAAGGTATGGCAACAGCGCCTCGAACTATGCTATATCATTTGTTTTCAAAGAAACGTCCAGAATTCTATTTACAAATATTTTGGATTCGTCCTCATTTTGACTCCTTCAGAGCTGAACTGAAACGCGTTCTACTATCTATCTGCTTACATACGGAAGTTGCAAAATCTGGTTTTGACGTAATGTTTCTTAATAACTTACCATTGGTCAGTGATATTTTGAATGTAAGGAAGGAAACCAGCGTGTTTGGACTTATTGTCTTTGGACGATGGAACGCTTAATATCTCTAATGTGGAAACTATTAGAGAGAAACGACGTTGAGAGTTTCAGGAATAGGGAATTTAGTAGAGAGATGCTATGTCTAAAACGAACCAGTGTATATAGATATATAGACTTTTGGGCAATAACATAGATGACTTAAGATGAGATTTTAGGGCAATGGAATATAAGATTTAGGTTTGTTTTTTAAGGACTTTTGTGGTTTTTAGGTTGATGGTTTCCCTAGTGTTGATGTTAGTTTTTCAAATATTAAAATGTGATTGTGGGTAGAAGATAAAGGATGGGAGTAATTTTAAGATGCAGAGACAGAGAAACTTATTTATTTGGTTTATTTCTTTACATGTACGATGAATTTTTTTTTCGGAGTAAAGCAAAACTAGAATAGGTTTATGGTTATGGTCTCTACTTATCAGTTTACAGGATTACAACAATCACAGACCCTCCGAGGCAATGATCACGCCCCTCTTTTAGCCCCGCCCCCCTCATACGGTACACTAACAGGTACAGAGTAGTATGCAAGGGCGTAATTTCGCTTTCAGATTCCTACACGGCCTGGGCGTCGGCGGCTGCTTCACCGTACTGACGACCTACACGGCCGAAATTGCCGAGCAACAGAACCGGGGCAAATTCAGCTGCATCTCGACGATATTCCTCTCGCTCGGCATCCTCTATCCTTACCTGGTCGGTAACGTACTCGACGTCCGTTCGTTTTCTCTCTCGTGCCTCGCGCCGCTGCTAGCGTTTTTCGCGCTGTTTCCCGCGTTCGCTCCCGACTCCCCCCTCTACCTGGTGAAAGTCGACGAAACGGACGTCGCTGAGAACGCTTTGATACGGTTGCGGGGCGGCAACGTCGCGTACGCGCGTCGAGAACTCGCCCAAACGCGCGAGTTCGTCGACGCGAACCGGCAACGTCGCCGCGGATACCTGGAGGTCTTTCGCTCCGCCACCTTGAGACGACCGCTCGGCATAGGCGTCGGGCTGGTGGTTTTTCAGCAGTTTTCTGGTACCGGCGTCGTCGTGGCATTCATGAACGACATCCTGCTCGAGGCCGGCAACGTTATCCCCGCGGAATACGGCACATCAATAGTCGCCTCGATGAAAGTGCTTGTAATATTCGTCACTTCGACTGTGATCGAGCGTCTAGGACGCAGGATCTTGCTCCTAGCGTCGGCCGCCGGCTGCGCGACGGCCAACGCGTGCCTCGGCCTTTATCTGTCTCTAAAAACTTCGGACCCCATCGCGGTCGAAAGGTTATCTTGGTTGCCTCTCATTTGTCTCGCCGTCTACGTGGTCAGCTTCAACTTGGGCATCGGCTCAGTCGTGTGGGTGGTAGTCAGCGAGATATTTCCATCCGGTGTCAGGGCTACGGCATCGGCCGTCGTCACGGCCTGCTGTTTCGCTTCCACCACCCTCATCGTTTTCGTTTTTCCCATCGTGACCGAGCGGCTCGGCATGGCCGCGTCCTTTTGGATATTCGGGTGTTGTTGCGTGACTTCGTTCGCGTTCATTTACAACGCGGTGCCGGAAACCAAAGGCAAGTCGTTCGCTGAAATTCAAAAGATACTGTCCCGCTAGCCGTTTACGAATAAAGCGTTTTTTTCTATATACGAGTCGTTTTATTTTTGCCGTATTTTCTTAATAAAATAGACCTATTTCCTCACACCGCTCGTTTATTTTGTACAAAACAATATAAAACAATTCATTTCCCTGCGGCGATTTGTTCGAATCGTACATCGTACATAACCCACACGTGCACAGTGTATCGATCGGTCACTGACGAGATCACGGAACACAGAGCATAATTATTTTCAACAAAGCCTACATCATTTCGAAATATTTGTGATGCACAATCGCAGCTGACAATTTTAAATACATTAAATATAAAGAAATATGTAATATTAAAGCTTAAAGGTGCATTTACGATAGCGTTCGTTAGCTGGATGCGAAATAAATTTGTTATTCAACACGTGTACGGAGCAAATGATCAAATAATAAAACTATCCTGTAGGACACCGTTGTTTAAATAAAGCGGAATAACGCGACCTGAAGTATAGTGAACATTTGTATCTATTAATTAGCGAATTTACGTTTTTGGCAGCGTTACGTAATTATAAATTTTAATCCAAAATTATCTCTTACTAATACCCCTCAACACTTCCATTGCGAAGTCCACGCCTCGGTTGGGTCGGTTATCTATGAATATTACCTCAGAATCTAGATTCATCGATTCGAATCCGGAGCACGGATAGTCTCTGCGTCGCAACCAACCAAACTAGCCCAAGCGCGTCATCCGTGTTTCGTGAATGGCGGCGGCGTGTGCATGCCGAAAGTAGGTTTGTATTGGTAATTTGTGAATCAGCACGCGAATTTTGAAGCAACTCGAACACATTTGGTGCCGCGATGAGTTACGGCAGGCCCCCGCCCAGAATCGACGGCATGGTGTCCCTCAAAGTGGACAATTTAACGTATCGCACAACTCCCGAAGATCTGCGACGCGTTTTCGAACGATGCGGTGAGGTCGGCGACATTTACATACCCCGCGACAGGTTCACGCGGGAGAGCAGAGGTTTCGCGTTTGTCCGGTGAGTCGTGGAGAAGAAACGCTGCATGTGGGAGTTCAACTGACCTCTGTTTTCTGTTTAGCTTTTACGACAAGAGGGACGCGGAAGACGCGCTCGACGCCATGGACGGCCGTATGCTGGACGGGAGGGAGTTGCGAGTGCAGATGGCGCGCTACGGGCGACCCACGTCGCCCCATCGCCGTTATCGCGGCCGTAGGAGGTCCAGCTCGCGGACGAGGAGCCGAAGAAGCAGGTCGAGGAGGAGATCGGCGAGTCGAAGTCGATCCCGCTCGGGCAGCAAGAGTTCCAGGGCGGCGTCACGCTCGTCGAGGGACGATAAGCGCTCGAGGTCGGCCAGCAAGTCGCGATCAAGGTCAAGGACCTAAGGTAAGTCTCTCGTGAAGGTTGACGAATGAAAGGGGCAAAACTTATTGTCATAAAGACTTGCAGTGGTTGAAAAAGAGGCTAAGTGATAATTCTGGGAATTACTTTGCTTTAAGTATTTCAATTTTAAATCCCATTTTTTGAGAAATCATCTCAGATTACACATAGTTGAATAATATAATACAATAATATTTGTGCTTGTATCCCCGCTAGAGGGCGTTTTGAGAGATCACTACAAATAAAATTTATTCTCTTTGTTATTAAATGCAAATATATTACAAATGAAGGTCTAAGATGCTCGTGAAAATCTTTCGTAACTTTTAATGTCAGTAACAATATAGTGCAATATTCATAATGGAATCAGTATTACTGTTAAAATGCCAACATTATATTTAAAATGTCAATAATAATTATTACTGATTCCCTTATGATTGAATGTGACAATTTCCTTAAATTTTATTGATATGCGATTTAGCCTTTCAGTTTTTGAGGTTAAGGTAAATGTCACGTGTACTTCTATTTGTGTAATTTCTGAAAATTTGATAAAATGTTAAAAACAGGTTTAAGTTCACGTTTTTGTTGTTGTTGTTTACTTTTATACAGAGTGTCCAAAATTGGGCTGCAAACACTTTATAAGTCGCCAAACTCATTTGTGGCTTTAGGTGTTACCAAGTCGTGGACTTATTTCTCTATCAAACTGCTCTAGGTTTTACCTACTTGGCTATAGAAAAACAATAACCCCAATAAAAAGCTTTAGATTTTAACAGAAACAGTTTTCAATGTTTCATAAATAAACACAAAATATATCAAACACTTCTACAGATGGAAAAGTTCTTTTTTTACAAATAAAGCGACCAAAATACACCTCATGCAGCTGCAATCTTAATATGAAAGACAGTTGAGCACCACCACTATTTTTTAAATTTTCGTTCATATCTACCACCTCATTTTGCTAATGTCAATAATTTCCAACAAGTTTAGTTTTTTACTTTTGCTTCATTATGTAAAATATCAAAATTATGTTTAAACTTGTGCACTTCTGAATTTAAATGATAGTATAGATTTTGAACTTTTATTTAGTTTTATTGTTATTTTGAAAGCAATCTTAAGACCAAATTTATATAGATGTTTCGAAATTTTTGTTGCTAGGTTTCCCAATGTGTTTTATTGTTTTATAAATTTTGGGTTCGGTGTTTCGATATGGCATAGAGATATGGTTCAGAGTTATATGAAACTGTTTTTTAATTTTGATCGTATCTATCGTAGAGGGATTGCAACAATTGTTAAAAACCATTTGTTTTATAATATTTAATTCCTTTTCAAGATTTTCTGTGGATAAAAGAATAAAATGCAGCTGTTTTGTGTGCGTGGGAGTTGATTTGATTTATTATGTGTTACTTGTTCTGCAATTTGCTTATAGTTAAGTCCAGAAAGTTTAAACAGTTGTCTAGTTCCGTCTCTGTGGTAAATTTTATACGATTATGTGTGGAATGAATATGATTCAATAAAGACTGTGTTCGTTGCACTAATTTTATTATTATTATTATTTTGAAAAAAAATTGTATTGGCTGTAATGTCGCAAAACGCTCTCTAGTTTATTTCCAAAAATGTTGTATTTATACATAATATATACAGGGTGTTTTCTAATCGAATGTCAATAATTAACGGGTCGATTTTTGGGTCCATTTTAATAAGAAGACTTCGTGTGAACATATGTTCTAAACATCTTCACTTTTAATATACAGGGTGGTAAAATTTTCAAAAATAAAACATATTTTTTTTAATATCTGTAATACCATTTTAGATATTTTAATGAAATTTGGCACACCTGGCATCAAGAGGCATTATTTGACCTGTCATTTTGGCAGACAAAATAAAAATTATTCTTACAATCTCCGATCATTTTATATTAAATATAATATAATTATTATTATTTAATTTATTTTTTTATTTGATTTTATAAAAATTTAAAAATGATATAAAATTGTTTTTCAAAAAACGGGGTTTAAAATTCAAGAATATGAGGGGAATACGCCACCCGATATACACCTTATTTTTCTTTAGTTTCAGGCGTTTCATTGTCGGAGGCGTTCCCGAGTTCCGAGACGCCCGCCCCTTTAAAAAGGTACATATTTTTAAAAACAGTTTCGGTTTTGCTTCTCGTTTAAATCCGTAAGACACGCGAGCCCCAAATCTCTGTCACGTCGCCAGTCGGCCTCTTTATTGTAACGAAAAAAGGAATGTGTGGGTTTTGTTTTTTTTTTTTAGGTTAGTTAAATTGTAATCTGTTCCCTTCTGTAGCCGACGAGGTAGTTTATTTTATTTCTTTTTCGGGGGCCCTCCCCCGCGTGTGTCCGCAGATTGTAGCGCCGTTTATTTAGTGCATTAAACGACATTGGATTTTTAATACCGACACGTGATCGTTTATTTTCGCGCGAGATCCCCTTTACCGGAAAAAACAAAAATGGCCGCCCGCTTTAATCCCCCCTCTCCGATCTCGAATTCGGAACGCAGGTCACTAATCCGTTTTCTATGTGTAAAGCAGGCGCAGAGTTCGAGTGTACGAGAATGGTGGGGGGTGTTGGAGTTTTGGGAGAGAGAAAGAGAGAGAGAAAAAAGAGATCACGGGGAGCCGAGAGTTAGCGGTTTGTCTGCGCCCCGGTGCCCAGCCGTGCTGTTTATACCGGCCCGTGATCGTCTTAGTCTTTAGGGTTGGGGAGGGGTGGGGGGTATGAGGAGGCGTGGTCGGGGCGGTGACACCTCGAGTGTCCTGGGTTCCCCTAAGTTCCCTATGTCCGAGATAGAGAGAGAGGGCGTAAGTGCATTTTGGTCGGATGGCGGTGAAAAGGTAGGTAGACGCTTTTCTTTTGTTTATTAAATATAAATAAAGCGATTTTCTAAACGCAGCGTTTTATTATTCCCCCCCCCCCCTCCAGCGAAAGGAATGGTTGCCGTTTGGTTTGCATTTTTTTTCTTTATTTCCAAGACGAAAATTACAAGTTTCTTTTGCCACCTGTGGCGCCACTGCCTACCGAAATATATCTACACACAAGCGTCCAGGTACCAAATAAATGAAACATACAATGTTGAAAATGCTGTTTTTTTTTTCTTCACTTAATTCGTCACATTTTGTCATAAAAACAGACCACGGACGTTCAGGCTTTTAGCTGCCTCCATTTTGAAGTTGCTCAAGATTCTTAGAATCGTGACGACATTCTCCTATAAACAGTGGATTTTCAATAAAAGTTGTTTACAATTAAAAGTTATGCCATTATGCAGGAGTAATTTTTTTTTTTTAATTGTGGAAACAATTTTCTTATAAATAATTTTTTTATTGATGTACACTATGTTTAAAAAGTCAAAATAAATAAGAACTAAAAGTTCAAATTTTCACAAAATTATATATTTCGTGATCGTCATGTAAAAATATATAATTTCGTGAAAATACGAACTTTTAGTTCTTATTTATTTTGATAAATGGAATTTCATCAAGTAAAAGCCACTTCAGTTCAATTTTTACACTATGTTTAAATACTCTTTAAAATAAATAATAAAAACCGCTTCATAACTACACAATTTAACAAAAAACGAAAAGTAAATTATGAGTAAAAACATTAAAAATTGGCAAACAGCTTTTTCCCTGCGGTTTCTAACAGCTGCCTGAAGTATTGTTGGCTTGATTTTCTTCACTACGCATAATCTGAAGAGAGTTGAATAATGAATTTGTTTTTTCATGTTTCCTGTGCAGTTTTCTATCACAAATTTAAAATATAAACTTTGAAAATTAAATGAATTTCTAAACATGCTTATTCCAATTAGCAAGATTTTATAAAAAATTTGTAGTTATTAAATATCAGTTTTGCAGTTCGCTAAAAAATTAAAAATTTTAGTTAATTTTACGAATTAGATGGAATTTTTTCGAATAAAAAACGTTTAATAGGCCGGGCATCATTTTTTATTGTATACGAGCTTCCATAATAACATTTTGCTCAATTTTTTTGAAATGAGAGCATATTCGATTTTATTGGTGGGTTCGAAATGACAAGTGTTATTCGCTGCGACGAGGAGGAATCAAGGCTTAATATTTTGAGTCCCTATAATTACGGAGAAATTTATTTTCCTATTGCTGTCTTGTCTTAAGGTGACAGTTTTCATGACTCCTAATAAGAAGTGTGCCGATCGCATTATTAATAATAAATCGGCATTTTCAGCGAAGAATGGCTATAGCGCAGCATCTCTTATTTCGAACGAAGCTTTTGTCGGTGTTGGTCATTGGCCCTCAATGAGTTGCGTATCGGCGAAACGACCGTTCAAAAATCAAAGACGGGCTTTAGGAATGGGCGAATGCCTTCAATGTATATACCCGTTTTAAAAACGAAGAGGAGATATTATCTGCGTCCGTGGCCATACAACTTTGATTAGATTATAAGAATCCGGATACTCAATTTTTGAACTGTTGTTTGGGTACCCGGATTCTTACCTGTTGAATCAGTTTCGTCAGCATCGGCATGTTCATTTATTTAATACCAGTACGCAAACTGGCCAGCAAAATACCTCCAACGTAAATATACAGCGTCGTACGTCTAAATAAATAAGACCGGTGTAAGTTTTACGTAATGTTTTATACGCAACGAGCCAATTATCCCATCGAGGACCATCGCGTTTTCTTGAGCGCACGTTAACAGTTTGAGCAATTTTGAGCAAAACCGGTCGGTTTGCGCGAACTAATATTTTGAGCGGATCGCGCGAGCAATTACCATATGTTGAAGCGACCGTCGCACAGGAGGTGCAAAACTAGGTTGACAAAGGTTTGGTATCAAAATTATATTTGTAATGTAATATAAAAAATATATGTGTGGCATTATTTGAAAACCACGTTATCGATATTTCAAAGTCCCGCAGTTTAATTTGAGGTTTTGTATTTCACGGGAATTTTTACTGACGTGGGTGATTTTCGTCTTTATGCATTTTTCCGCTAACGAAGGCGATACTGCCGAGATCTTTTTTAAAAAGAAGTAAATATATGCAATTTTTCTAATGATGAAGGTCCTTTGTGTCTCCACATACAAAATTTACAAACACGGGTATGCCAGATTGCTTTCTCTCTCCTTATTACAAAAATGGATAAAGAAGCAAAAGAAAAAGCTATCCAAAAAAACAAAAATATTGGATATTCGCTAGCTTTGTTCTTTCCAAAGGTCAAAAAAAATTTACAACGGAAAACAGTTGACAGCTGCCAAGATTTGCTGTCAGCATATGATGTAAAGGTTCTTTGAATCGTCCTAAATAAAAAAACATGCATTTTAAAACTCATTGGTCTTCTTTGGTATTAGGTAAAGGTAAAGATATTTTGAGGAGGTACAAAACCTATTAAAAAAAATAATGTGTTTCAAACTGAATCAGGTTTTATGTTGAATAGTAATTTTCAAAGACAACTTTAGAGTTCCGTAAAATTTAATAGTTCTTATTATCTTAAGAGACATGTGACTTATAGATTACTTTTTGTAGTCTTGGATAAGTAAATTAGGCGCCATTTTATTTTGTGTGTTTGACAATTTCCCATAAAAAGACCGTATTGGTCGATTTGAAAATAAATATTATTATTATTATTAGTAGATAGGATCATTGGTATCTCCAATAACGTTCTAATGAGATCGCTTTTTATAGTTGATGCATTACCTTTCTGAAATGACGTCACTTTTGGTTATTTTTGTTTAACCCATGTCAACTGGCAGAGACAAACAAAATTGAAACAAATCATTGTGGTTTCTTCAGGGTATATTCGTCAAGAATTTAGTTGTGATGTGGGCGTTTCAAACAAGGAATGCAGCATGTTAGTAACTTATTTGCAGAAAATTTTAGCTCTGAAAGTTATAAAATCCTTTAAGACCAACTCTGGTTTTCTTATACCTCATCACTGTATACGTTTTGGTTATCATCGGGTCAAGAAATACTTATTTGAATCGTACGTCGCGTGACGTCATTCCAAAATGGTATTACGCTAACTGTAGCTGCTTTAAAATGTAAAGAATCCTTTTCCCGTGACGTTTTTAAAATTCCGTTCAACTTTTTCTAATCACGAAGCTAATTCCGCTTGAAATGAAATTTTTCTAGCTTAAAAAATGTCAACCTAGTTGTACCATCCGTCCCGCTGCGCGTCGCTGTCGTCGCGCACACCACGTGTAACAAACCACGAACCCCTTTCGATACCTGCCGTATAAAATCCGTATGTAAACTATGTACAATTGTAGATCTACGTAAATAGACACTCCGGTGTTGGACAAAGGCACAAAACACTCTGTGGATTATCATCGAATGAAAAATATTTTTTTTAAAGCGAATCCAGCAACGAGTCGAGCATCTCGAGCTGGCAGTCGTCCCAGCCGTTGGTGGCGAGCAGTAAACCGGTCAGGTCGTCTTCGGTGACGATGGGCGGGGCGAGCGCCTCCGCCAGGGGCGGCTCCTGGGGCATGGACGGGGGAACGGCGATGGGGGCGGGCTCGGGTCGCGCCTTGACCGCCTTCGACGCCCTTCTGGCCGCCTCCTCCACGTTCTCGATGTCGGTCGAGCCGCAGATCGATATGTTGGACAGGATGTTGTGTTTGCGCTCGCCTGGCACCGAAGGCGGACACCTGAGCACCGCGATAGCAAAATTAATAAAAATAAAAAAGTCCTTTTCCTTTAGCAAATAAAGCGTCTCGTTATCTCGAGCCTTTAATACGCAACCGGGAAAGTTTCTTTTAATTGATGTTTTTAGGTTATGTGTCACTTTTTTTTTTAGGATTTTCGAGTACCAGTAAACACAAAACACTCGGACCAAGATGTATTTTCGATATCCGAAGGTCGCAAAAGATTTAATTAAGCACTTAAACGGTTATCAACTTTGTATTTTGTATTGTAAAGGTATTGGTGAAGTGCAGTGATCACAAAGTTTGTGTACGCAGTGATGGCTAAGTAGGTTATACTGCTCGACTAAGAAACGCCTTGTAGAAACTGCGAAGAGAATTCGTATATGTCCTTGAATTACACTTTTCAATAGGCAATGTATTATTACAGAATATCTGTTTAATTATTTTTAGGATCCGTTACTGATGTACCCAGGACCAAGAGATTATCAAAAGCCGAACGAGAAACAATTGTCAAGGAAACCTCCACAATATACTAATAATAATAATAACAATGCATAATACTAATACTATTTATATCTTCTACGCCATTTAATCATCCTGTTAGCTTCTTTAGAGCTGTGGTTCCTTGGTATTTTACTCTGTACCTGGCTCGCATTCCACTCTGTACCTGCTTATATACGGCCTGAAGTGAACGACACTTATCACTACAGTGATAAGTGTCGGGTAGCTTTTGGTAGTCTTTGGAAGGTTGTGGTGAAGTGTCCTTTATGATGGAACTTTTAATGTCTCTAATGGGAGAGAGAAGGTGGGTGTTTATGTGTTTTAATTCATTTGAGATAGATTCACATCTAGGTTATTAATGTTTACTTTGGTAATAAAAAAAGGACATTATTGAGTATAATAAATTTGAAAAAGCAGATTTTTGATTCTCACTTGTATATTTATTGAGAACGATTCGTGGCGGAGTCGAGTAGGGATAGCGACGATTTTTTAAGTGACTGATACCTTATTATTAATATATTGAATATTTTGCTATTAAAAATGATACTATACAGAAAATGTAATGAAATAGACCGTAATATGTTGTTACTTTGTACTTTGAAAAATTGCTCGACGAAAAAAATTAAAAAATACTTATATCCCGCTTGTCAGTGTAGGTAGATAAATTCCTAGGACGGTCCTGGAATGGTTACGGGCAAGGGTCTGCTTGGCAGGGTGTTCTATAAGGGGTCGCGGTTTTGGAGTAATAAACAGTAGGCAAAGTTAGTCACGGGGTCGGTTGTAAGAGCGCTATATTTCTGGTCGAAGTATAAAAAGATCATAACGCTCAATTTTTTTCTATATAATCGGAAAAACTACTCGTATCATGTCAAAAATAGGTTTTCTTTTGAGAATTATAACAATAAATAGTCGTCAAAGAGGAAAATATGGATATTTATAACGCGGAAACCTTATTTACAATGAAAAAAAATTTTTTTTTATCTTGCACCAACAAACATTTTTTTTAGAAGTTTCAACAAAATTTGGCTAAAATTTAGCCGAAGTTAGTCAAAAATAAATAAAATTCAACACAACAAATAATAACAAGCTTCAGTGGACCTCCTTGCCCTCCCTCTCCTTGTATGGTCTGCTAAGTTAGAGGGGAAGGTCGCGTATACTGTAACGAATGCCATGTATTATTTGTGTCCAAGTACTAATGGCGATTTAAATTAATGCGTCACACTGACAATACTACAGTAGCTTGCAACGGATAACAGCACTTTATTTATATTTTAATAAAAAAAATTAAAACTATTTCGAAATAGTTTTTTTTGTTTCACATTTTACATTTTAAACTTTAAATTGACTTGAACCGTACGGCCCGCGCGTTTTCCGTTTTCATGACTGGGCTCACTCACTAGAGAGCCTTGAAATTCGTGTATGCTTTTTAACATTGCCACTAATGGGAGCCTTGCCCTCTCTATCTTATACTCTTCGGTCTGCTGGCTATGCTTTTAATGATCATTATAGGCAAAGATGGCGCTTTTATGCACAATAATGCTAGATTCCGCACTGCCAGGATTGTCAGTAAATATCTGGATGTGTTTGTCTTTGGGTCACACGACCACCACGGACCATTTAGGATTTAGAGAAGTTACTAAAACACTTTCCCTCACCTGCGCGCCTTTTTCGGCGACTTGTTCACGTGTTTCGGGGCGTCGACGGTAGTCGGTCGGTTCTTGGGCGCGCGCACCGTCAAACTCGACCGACGTTTCGACCTGCGCGACTCCTCCAGTCTTTCTAGGTCCAGTTTCCAGAAACCTCCTTTGCCCGGCTCGTCCCTCGACCTCGCCTGCTTCACGAAACACTTGTTGAGCGACAGGTTGTGCCTGATCGAATTCTGCCAGCTCGGATGCGCCTTACGGTAGTAGAGGAAATTCTCCCTGATCCAGTGGTAGATGGCGCTGAGCGTCATCTTGTTGCCGTTCTTGCCCATCGCCATGCAGATAAGGGTGGCGTATGAAAACGGCGGTTTTTTGTCGCCGTTTTTCTTGTACGACGTGATGTCGATCGTTAGGTCGGCAGGTTTCGGGGGCGGGTTGCCGCCCCCCTGCGCCGTGTTCTGGGGCCGGCGCGCCTTCGGTTTGGGCGAGACGGGCGGCGTCGGCAAATTCGGAACTGCGGACAACCAAAAAAAACACCTGAGGTTGAGGACATTAAAAAATAAAGACACTAAAGAAACCTTATCGGACGGACGTTTTTTTTTTCACAGACCACTGCATTTCACAAATCGAACTCGCTTTCAGTTAAGCTCTGACAAAGCCATCAACAACCGATACGCACGAGGAACTAACCAAATTCTCTCATCAGAACCGAAAAAGTGAAGGGAAAAGCTTTTACCCTTCAAGGTTGTGTCGTTAATGAAACAAAAGAAATTGTTTTTGTGGTGCCTCATTAATTTATTGATGAATGTGGATTTGCTAAGAGCCAAAAACTATTGGGAAAATAATAAGTTTCGCCGATGACACTCCGATCGTCTGCGAGGCCGAAAAACATTTCAAAAATATAAAATTATGGTTCCAAATAAATAAAGAAATACAGTGCAATACAATCTGCAAAATCATTTGCCAAAAAGTAAACAGAAAATACAGAAAAAATTCAGGAAACAGAATCGATAAGGTACTTAGATTTACAAACAAAAAGCGTATCAGCATTTTGCTGCCTAAATTTAGAAATCTTAAGGAATTTCTGGAAAAATGTCAACTTGGATTGCTTTATCTTTGCTTAAGTAAGAGAAGTAGCTAATCCACAGATCAACTTTTCCAAGAAACAGTTCCATAGGGCGTTCGTTTAGGGAACATAACCTGTTCTTTCTTTAGCATCAAAAATGGACGTAGTTAATTACTGTTTGCTTTTAAAGTACTCGTCTAATTCCCAAAAAGAAACATCAGAGAAAAAACAACTAACAAACTAACCCGGTTTGGCCGAATGGCCCATAGGACTCCTCCCGTGCATAAAGTTGCTGCATATAAAGGAAGAAAAGTAGACCGTCACTCTCTCGGTATTGGGATTATCGATTGTCCTTATATACCCATGTATATGCGTGTTAAAAACAGTTTGGCATAAAGTTTAACCTAACAAAGGCTAAAACGTATAGTTTATCGTTAAAATTCCGCCAGAATAATTAAGCCTATTTTGCGTTGAAAAAATTGCGTCCTACATGTAGAATTGGCATCGTGTGTACAAGGCCTTTGATAGATAAAATTGTTACAATTAAGAAAATTAATTATGTTATTATCACTGTTAAAGTTGTAAGTTATAATATTTAGTAACTTCACTAGCATATTCACGCTTTTGTGACTTTCCACGCTTATTTATACGGAATTGCATTTTCGATTTGTAAAACTTTCCATGTCTGTACTACACAATTTGAATCGACGTATCTTCTCGCCGGTTCTTCTTCTTTCCACTCACCTCCCATGATGTTGGTGATGTTGTGGAGCCAATTGAGACTCGTCAGATCGGTTTCGTTCTGCTGATCGTCGGCGGATTCGCTCTCGGGCGACATCAAACTCGCTTCGCCGCCGCGACTCGAGCCCGAATCGGACAATTCGTCGAATCTGACGTCGAAGTTGTCGGCGCACGGTTCGACAATTTCCTCGTACATCTCGTAACTGTGCTCGTGGACAGTAAAGTTTTGGTCTGGTTCGAGCACAGTCAATTGACTGGCCAGTTCTACGTCGAACGCGTAGCGGTCGTCGTATCGCGTTGCCGTTTGCGACGAGCCGGACGATTCGACCTCGACGCAGCTCTGCACCTCGGGCACGAAATCGGAACGCGGCCCCAATTCCTCCTCCCGAAGGTCCACGTGGTCCACGTCTTTCGCGGCGACCGCTGCAACGTCACCTGGTCGAGGTTACGCTGAATTTATAATCAATTCCTCGCTAGGCGGTGAAACGTGAAAGAATAAATGTTGTGTGTTCGTTTATGCCATAGATATGCCGATATATTCTGTTTCTACTGTTATAGTATATGGCTGGGAGAGTTTTGCTTTTTAGACAACTTGTTTATCTGGTTGTGCTTTTTACCTATGAGAAGGAAATTTTCATTTATATAAGAAAAGCTCTTAAATTTTATTAAGCATAAATATAAATATAAACTACAAAAACCACCGCCTGCTTAAGACAACAACATTACCTAAGTGTCAACTGTAGCACTGTGGCCAATGACATTTCCGAAATTTCTACATTGTTATGAACATGGTAAGTAACAATATTGTTAAACGATAGAAACATGGCTATGTAAAACAATAAAAATAGTAGTTATCAGACGGGACCGTAACTAACACTGCTAGTGGCAAATGTCTGATCGGTTTCATTTTTAACATTTGTTTCGCTAAAACGAAAAAGAAGAAATTCATTGACCATAACCTATCGTAATTAACCTACGTCCTAGCCGCGTTTTATTTGTTTCTTATTTTCCTATACCAGTAGGTAAAATGATATTTTTTCTATCGAATTAAGCTATAAGATTCTGTATTTTTAGATTTGAAAATGTAGGAACAAAAAAAAGTTTAGTGGAAAACAAATAACTTGATATATCTGGGCAAGAGGTGAACCCTCATATAATTAGCGGCTTCTTTAATAATTTTGCTTACTGTAGGTTGGCTAACTGTTCTGGAACATGACGACCACCGCGACCATAAATATTGACACCGACGAAGAAATAAAAACTGCTGAAATTGTTCCATAAATATACCATTTATTTCCCCGCAATTTTTAGACAATATTTAGACTGCAACACAGTCATTTTAAGTTGTCCATGGAACGCCGTGTTTCGTTTTTAGTTCTTCGTCACATTCTCTCCCAAGAAAACTGTGCATACGTCGTTTCACACAAATGGGAAATTTGTTATTGAACATAGTCGAAATTGTACCCCCTTAAAATACAATATATTAAAAATGTCGTATTGTTGCGCTAATAGTTTTTCCAAAAATTCGCTTTATAATACGTCAGTGCGAACGGTTCGGTAAAATATTTCCAAGCATTTTCTAAAAAGTAAAGAGGAGTTTATAAAAAAGAAACTGCTTGAATACACTGTACAGGAGCAGAGAAACAGGAACCAAAATGGTAAAGATCTTGAAAAACGACGAGGACATGGATAGAAGCTGAAAATTTAGCTAGGCTTGAAGCTTTTGATAGATAATTAACTAGATTGTATGTAAAAATGCCTCCCTTACACTCTGTGGGTTGAAAGGGACTAAATACTAGAGTTGTGTCAATCGCGATTAATTCGGTCACTTTGATTCAATTACTTCATAGGATCGAAAGACCGAACTCCGCTTGTTCGTAACGATTCGATCACTTTTGCCGCTGTCGCTGCCGCCCCGACCGGTCTGAAGTGACCGAATATAGGACGACCGTACCAAAACATATCGAATTCGCCTTGCGGAATACGATTGATTTAAATGGTTTAAGATTTAAATAGACCGCGGAAAAGGAATGGCAGTATTGTTATAATTATTCTATAGTATCGACATCTATTGGTAGATTTGCTAATGTGTTGAATTGAATATTGAATGAAATATCTATTTCCGCACAGGTATTTAATTTATACAAATTAATATACTACTAGTACAACCCAATACGTAGCACCTATTTTGATAAAATCATGATACAATAAAGAGCAGAACATAGCTAAATATTATACCAACTAGAACAGAAAACATGACATATAGACACAACAACGATTGGAACTCAAATGAATCTGAATCGGTCTTTCGGACTCTTCGGATTCAGTGACTATTGCCACTTATGTTGGCAACAAAAAGTATTGATATGAACGATTGATTGAAATGATTCGGTCTTTTTCGAAATCAGTCACTGATTGATTCGTCCCTCGTAAAATGGACGATTGACACAACACTACTAGATACGGTGTTTTTCCATCGTCCCTCAGTCATATTTATTATGTAATGACTCATACCTAGCGTTTCACAGACTCGTGATGTATGAAATATCGGCTTGGTGAGCGAATTGATTGTAAATGCGGTTTATACGAGGTGATTAAATTAGGAATGTGCAAGCCACGCGGTGCTGGGCGATTGACCGACCTTCCAGGCTAAATTCCCGGTTTAAGGACACGAGCCGTTCGGTCGCCTTCTGGGTTTCGACGTCGTCTTCGGCGTCGTCGTCGAACGCGACTTCCATATCGCAGCAGTAATTCGCGTCCGTGTCGTAGTTCGTGCGGACGGCCTCGCTGTCGAGTCGCATCGTTTGAGCAAATCGTTGAGTAATTCGATCGCGCGAAGAGCGTCGCTTACTTTTCCGCGACGCCTTTAGTCGACCATCGCGTTGGAAAGCGGCGAGCCGCCGCTGCAGATGGAACGTCACGAGATTTTTGACAGGTGGCCCCTGGTTAAAAATATCGGTTCTGTAGTTCGTGGTTGGTTTTGGCGCCTAACGGGGCGCATAAAGCAAATTGATCGGTGATTATCGTTTTTGTACAACTTCTGGCCATTCAGTCGCGAATATAATATAAAATAAAATACAACGCAATATAAAATGATACAAAATTTTGGGAGCTGTTTCCGAGGTTAATTTGTACGTACACGGTTGCCGGTTTATCTCGAAATCTATGAGTGTTACAGAAAAATTTGAATATAAAAAATGATCCCAGTAAATTGACTTTTAATTTTTTCGCATTATTTACATAGAGGGTGGTCAAATAAAGTTACTTTTTTTTTAATCCAACGATGCATAACATATTTTGCAAAACAATACTTGTTTCATACGATATTCGAAACTGAAAATGTTACTTTTCTCAATGTTTGTAAAGATATCCGCTAATAACGCTTCAATAGAAACGCATATATAGAACGTTATATATATAACCTTAGATTCGGCTTTTAAAGGGTTATTAAAAATATATTAAAAATATTGGGTATTCCATTTAAAAAAATATAACTTTATTTGACCACAATTGAAATAATATAAAAAAATTATAGATCATTTCGCTAGAAACATCACACGCCAGGTATAAGAAGAATCGTTACTGACCAAAAATCAAAGTTCATATGCTTTGATTAAACCTTTATTATTATTTTTGAGCGCCTTTAGCATGTGAAGTCTCCGCCTAGAACTATTATACATGCTAGGAATACGAAGAATCGTTAATAACCAAGAATAAAACTTTCTATGCTTAGATGAAACCTTTATTGTTATTTTTGAAAGCAGGTATCATGTGAAGTCACCGCCTAGAACGCATGCAGAGAATAAGAAGATTCGTTACTAACCAAGAACCGAAGCTTATACGCTTTGATCAAACGTTAACATCTTGACCAAACAATTTCTGGCATGCCATTTTATTGTATGGGGCTTGTAGTAAGCAAAAGTTAATTAATTTATTTCTTAAAAATACCTTTCGAGAAGAAGTTTTACGCGTGCGATTTCCAAAATGACTTTCGGAAGTGTGAAGCAGGAGGTTTGTAGAATGACATCGGAGAGTGTGGTATTTGGGTAATAATTAGAACGCAGGCGCCGATTTTGTACGTTTTTCCTGCTGGACCAAGTCAATCGTCGATTTCCGGCTTGATTTCATCTATTCATTTATTTGTTTAATAACGAAAACAAATGGGGCGCAATCGGGTGACGTCACAGCGTGCCCTTAAGTTTTTACCCGTTTTTAAAAAGAGGAAGGCGTTTTTCGAATGCCAGCGGATAATTTCGAGATTTTCATCGCGTATTTCTCGACCACCAACTCTCCCCCTTGGTTACGTTAGTCATTTCGTTGATTGTTCGCGGAACCCGAGACGTTTTTGCGAGCAGGTACTTACGTGGGTCGAAAATACCGTGGCAGAGGAAAAATATCACCCGATCACCACCGTCGCACCAGGTCACCACGATCACCGCCCCGCGACGACCGGGAACACGATCGACCGCACTGACGTCACCGGATTTCGCCGGGCAATACTGACCGCCGCCGCCGTCGGCGGCACGATCAATATTTTTCCCACCCTCCTCCCCCTCGCCGCGACGAACGCCGACGATATAATAATACGTCGAACGAGTATTACGGCGTCGTCCCTTTTTCGGGAACGAGGAAAAAAAATCGATTTTATTTTACGCGGAAAAATATCCGGATCGGACGTGGCGGTCGGACACCAGGTGTTCGTCGTACCTGCGACGTCGAGCGACTAGTTCCGCGTGTTTGCAATCGCTTCCGTTACCCGCGTGGTTAGGGTGGACACCACCTGCCGCAAAAGAGAGGTCGGCGCCGCTGTCCGCGCTCGAAAACCGTTTTTGTTATGTCGCGAAATCGCATTTTTCCAAGGTGTACGACGGAAAACGTCTGTTCTCTGTTCCCCGACATCTGTTCTCTGTTCCCCGTCGTCGAAATGCGAATAACCTCCGAACGCTTTGAACTAGAGTAATGAAATTTGGTCAGTCTTTAACGGCCCGCCGGACCCACGAGCCTGAAAGAAATAGCGGCGATCGGACGGCGACGTCCATCTTTTTTTCGCGATTTTCGAACGTCGCCTTCTTCTTCTCCTTTCGATCTTGTGTAGCTCTAAACAGTGCGTGCTCATGGAATTTCCATATCTATGATGTTTTCTTCTTTTTATTATTGGCAACAATTCTTTTTCTCTGCCCATTCGATTTAATAATCCGACATTTGTTGTGTGATCTGTCCAAGGAATTTTGATTAGTCTAAATATCCACAGCCTCCAGTAGATTCATCACGTTGGCCTTTATGGTCCAGGTTTCTACACCATATAGCAGTATGGAGCAAATGTAACATTTTACTTTGTTGTTACAAATGTTACAAATGTAACATCGAAGCGTGAAGTTAAGTCCACTGTTGCTTAGCAAAGTTCTCATATTAATGAATGCTGTTCTGGCTTGCTCGATGCTGCTACGTATCTCTAAGTTTGGATCTAGATCTTCAGTTATCCAACTACCGAGATATCTGGTGACCTTTTGGATGTTCTGGTTTTTTACTCTTATTATTATTTACCTTCGCCTTGTCTGTATTGATCGTCAGTCCCAGTTGTTCTCCTTCAGTGTTTATTCTATCTATTTATCTATTGCTCCAAGAACGTCGCAATTAAACGAAAAAAAGTGGCCGAAATTGAAAATCATAGACTTGAAATTTGGCAACGCGAATAGAGTTCCGAACTTATTTTTTAAAAACGTACAGTTTGCGTCCGTAAATCGCATTTACATGAATTTGTTTTAACGTTGGTATATGTCTATTAGATTCTTTGATGTGCCAATTAGATCTGCATCGCCTTGTAATATAAGTTCTTAAAATCACCGCTAGAGGGGCTCGTATTTGATTAGCAAAGCCTCTTTTAGAATTCAATCTAATCTGCCGTTCATTGCAAATCGCTCTGTATATCGACGCGGTTTCCTTATATTCGTTATCCGAGCCCGCAGGTCGGCCCTATCGCACGCGGATAAGTCCCGAAGGGGCCAGGTGCGAGCAGACGACGGACCCACATAAACCCGTCGAACCGTGGAGTTTCTAGGGCACGTGCGTCCTAGAAAAATAAAAAATAATACCCACGCAAGAAAGTATGACGACAGTCATCTTCAAAATGCAGACAGAACGATATTAGCGCCTCGTTTACACACTCTCTTTTGATCACTATGTAAAAATGACAAACTACTAAAATCAGATTAGAAAGCCGTATTAGTGGCGCCGTCTAACCGCGCTGTTGAGACCAATTCGTTTTAGAAGTTTTGGTATGTTCAGGCGGAAGCGGCTAGAGGGTGCTCGCACCAATGTCAACGTGTTCCGTGAATTGCCTGTCATCGAGGATTCGGTGGTTTTCGTTTTACGCATTGCATTGCTGAAAAGTGGGAAAAGAAAAGTGACAACGTTGTAAAGTCAAAGAAATATAGTTCATAAGCATCACGACAATGTTTTTGTGTCCAGATTGTTTGGCAAATGTCCCCAAAATAACAGAAGAAAAATTTCACGGAGAAGAGAAGTTTGCTTAGATTTTTTTCTCCTTAAATAAGCTTTAATGCATGCCCTGCAATTAAATATGCGTGCAACTTTTAACCGATCCGGTATCTTAAAAGGTTTAAAAGTTACTCCTTCCTGCACGAAAAGTAACATTAAATTTGTCCTCCTGATCACGAGGTCTAATTTTGGTCAGGAGGCTTTGATTATTAGGTATTAGGTAGAGAGAACTTTAATAAGCAACCCTTAACAACTTATCGCGTCTGATTTTGGCGGGAACGCAAACTGCACCGGCTTATCAGCGTGTGTATATACATAAATTAATTAAGTTTTTCGGTAAACGTGAGCGCGAGGAGCCGAAACAACATCCTTGAGGGCCGGGCCATAAATTACCTCACAAGCGTTTATCGTTCTTTAATATTTGCACTGCAATTACACTTGGGAAAATATTGTAGACCGAGTATTTAGTTTTCAGATTAATTTTATAGACGATAAGGTTTCGCGCGGACGTGAAGCGCGGCCACCGAAACTGTCGCGTTTTTCAGTTGTTTCCGACGCGACGTCACGAGTAAGTACAGAATCCGTTTCGCAGATTCGAATCGAAAATCATTGATTCGCGGACTATCGATATCCGATAACCACGACGGATGATTTCAACTTAAAGCGATAGTTTTAAAGACCGATTGTGAATAAGAGTTACCATAATTCCCGATTCAGTTTCATCACATTGATGAAAATAGCGTCCAGAACGCCAAAAAAAAACACGTTTTAATTACTTTAAGATGTTGTGCAAATAATGTAGAATAGGTAAAAATGGTCTAGAGATTAGGCGTGGTGTATGGGTATTTTAAAAATTTCTTTCGCTGTAAATACATTTAGGCTTAGATAAATAAATCGGACAACCTGCTCTCTATCGAACGAGGTGTTTTTAACTAGGATTCCCCTATTCATTCATCGCTTAAGAAAATTCCCACTCTTGGACCATTTTTCATAACGCGGTTTTCTTCACTAATAAATCTTTTGCGAGGACTACAAACTAGTCGACCTTTTTGTAATAGGAACAGAAAAATCTGATAATACTCGAAACACAAAGTTTTATAGTTATTGAAACGACGTATTTTAATTTAAATAGTTAGCAATTATCTCGTATAGCCGTAGACACAAGACAAATAACATAAATATTTTCATTTCACACACGAAATCTTAGATTGTGAAGAGTCTATCCGTTTCCTTCTAGCACCAGAAATTTAATAAATATTTAGCAAACCCTGTATGATATTGGTAGTGTCCAGAAATAACACCGCAGTCAACTATTACGTTAGTACATATTAACTGAAATTAAAGACCAACATTATTTTGTCTATGACCTTGACGTCAAGCACATCATCTTCTTTTAAGTTTCACCCCAAATCGCCTTTATGAACTTAGTCACAGACCACAACACAAAGTATAGAGTAAACTGTATTATACAAAGCCTCGTTTAGAATATTTGGTGTTTCAGTGCCGAAACGAACAGAGGCGGCGGCGGACGAGGAAGACCCCGCCCCGCCCGTGCGGCGCCCCAAAATCAAAAAGGTCATCACCAAAAGGATCCACATCCTCGAGTGGCTGCCTCGATATACCCGGGGCGACGTGGTCGCAGACTTCATCGCCGGCATTACCGTCGGCATGACCATGATCCCGCAGTCGATAGCCTACGCGGGCCTCGCCGGCCTCCAGCCCCACTACGGTAAGAACACCAAGGTTATAGTCGTTTCAATGGGAAGTTTTTTTACGCTGATTTCAAACCTATGTAACATGTTACGTTAAATTGTAGCTTAGTTGGTCGTGCTTCAAGTCTTTAGTTTAATCATGACAGTTGAACATTATTCGTATCGTATTTAGGTGGGCAAATCTACTCAGGGCACTCGCCCGTTACCGACATCCGGCGACGAATTTTTGATTTGGTCACTGACCAACACATATACAATGACTTAATATCACCAAGCCGATATTAAAAATTTTGAGACGAACACAAGAGTGAGAGGAGGTTAGACCGAGATGCACAATGCTAACCACAGAATCCAAAAAAAGCATATAATGTTTGGTTTTAGTAACGGTTCTTCTTATCCTGTGCATATTAATTGAAAACAAACTATAGAGCCACAACTATAACGTAACAGATTCTAATTTTATCGGTGCGAGTTTAATTGTCAAATTTTGACTTGAAATTGGCTTCTGGCTCGCCTTATAGTAAATTTTCTGTCTGCTAATCGAAATACAACGGTTTTCGCGTTGGATAACTTTATTGAAACACACATGGAGAATGGCAAAACCTACACTGACAAACAAAATTTACGACATCCGGTAATGATAAAGATGTCATGCTATGGCGTAATTGCGCAACCACTACAAGGCGAAAGGAGAAAACTGTCTGGCATTTTGATGTCCTTTTCCGAGTCGCCAGGCATAGAACGACTCCCGCCACAGACCACTAAAAAAATGTAGGTTTCTGTGCTCTCGCTGTGACAACTTTCTTCTTTGGCACTTCCGACAGTGTATCTTTAAAGCACATCCAAGGGATGTCTACGAATTGTAGACGTGTAGAAATTTTGTTTCTAAAAATCGCCGTTTCAGGTCTCTACACGTCCTTCATCGGGTCGTTCGCGTACGTGTTCGTTGGCACCGTGAAAGAGGTGTCCATAGGGCCGACGAGCCTCATGTCCCTGCTGACGTTCTCGTACGTGGTGGGCTACCCCACCGAGTACGTCGTCTTGCTGACCTTCCTCGCTGGTTGCGTCGAGTTCGCGATGGGCCTGTTTAAACTGGGTGCGTCGCGAAAATCAAAATGGCCGCCGCGCTAGACCGTGCCGTTACAGGTTTCCTGATGGATTTCATATCGCCGTGTCTGACTTCGGGTTTCACGTCCGCGGGTTCCGTGATCATCATCGTCGCTCAGCTGAAGAACTTCTTCGGCGTGCGGATCCAAAGTCACGACACGTTCAAGGCGATCAAGGAGTTCGTGGGCGTGCTACCGGACATCCGGTTCGCTGACACGACGCTCGCGGTCTGCAGCGTCGCGTTTCTGCTCGCGTTCAAGCGACTCAACGGCATCAAGGTGGAGTCAGAGAACGGCAAGAAGGTGCTGTGGTTCCTGTCGATATCGAAAAACGCGATAGTGGTTCTGATCAGTTCCGTGATAGCGGCCATATTGTATAACACGCGCGGCAGCACGCCGTTCAAGCTGACGGGTGAGCCGGGGCCCGCCATTTTCTCTACTTTTGTTTTAACGCGCAAAGCGCAGGTCCGGTGCCGAAGGGCCTGCCCGATGTTTCGCTGCCGCCGTTCCGCGCCCGGTTCGGCAACGACACCGTGGGCGTGGTCGAGATGGTGTCGTCGCTCGGTTCCGGCATCGTCGTCATCCCGGTCGTCGCCATTTTGGCCAACATCGCGATCGCCAAGGCATACAGTGAGTAATTTTTCTCGGGTTTGGCGCGTCGGCCTTTGTACATTCTCCCACTTAAACTACCGAAACGCGGGTTCTGTGCCTTCAAATTTGACAGATTGACGATGCGCTCTGAATCTTTTGACTTCGCGCAGTCATTTAATAGTATATTTTTTGAATTATTAAGAAACCACGGGGTATATTTTTTTTTTGTTACCGGTACTCTTCAGAGGATGTCCTTATCCTTTACTAAAGCTTTTGTAGTTAATACTGTATTTTAGGAACAATACATGTAATATGAACTTTTATATTTAAATATTACTTTTTGGAAGCACATATTGTTTTCGATTTTTTTGACTTTGTTTTTTATTATGAGGAATATTTTTCTTATTTATGAGTCTGGATAGATTCATAGCACTCTGTGCACCTATCGTCTTTAATTTTTTTTTGCTTCCTAATATCTAAGTCTTGGATTCTTCTGTTTGGATTCTGTTTAGATGAATTTATAACATTTACCAATTTTTCTTTTTTTGTGGTCCGGTAACTAACAAATGCCAATTAGATTATTTTAAATAAGTACCATTACGAAGCCCATAACCATAAAACACATATACAATACAATTAACATCTTTTGCAAATTCGAAATGATGTTATTTTTGACACACTGAGTTGGAAAATTGATTGAAATTGAATAAGTTAGACTTATAAGAAAAACTGATCTCTGACTTGAAAACATAACTTCAAAATCAAAAGATCCATATTATCGGTCTGTTATGGTGAGTGTTTTTGTGCAGGCTCGGAAACGATTGTGGACGCGTCGCAGGAAATGATGTCGCTGGGTCTCTGCAACATCCTCGGTTCGTTTATAAAAGCGATGCCGAGTTGCGGCGCTTTCACTAGGTCCGCGGTGGCGAGCAGCAGCGGCGTCAGGACACCGCTGCAAGGAATATACTCGGGTTAGTCAACAACGCCAGCCTTTACAATCGCTGAAAATTGTTGTGCGCCATGTTTTTCGGACACTTTACAAATTTACAAAGCTCATTTTCAAGGAAATTACAACAGACTACTGTAATACTATCTGCACAACTTGTGGATTTGTCCTTATGTTGGTTCTTTCTTAGTAGTACATGTAATCAAAAAACTAAGCGCCAAAAATTTTAATTGAACATTTGGACAATAAGTGCATAAACTTTTTGTGAATGTTCTCAAAAGTATAATCATAGCGCATATTTTAAAATATATTATTACTCGTATATTAGTACCTGCCCATTATAAATTTTATATGTCATTTGCGACAAGCGACTGCACCCAGATCATCGATTCTGACCTGAGTCACAGAGTATATTATTCTTCTGCTTTTACGCTTCGTACTGAATTGGGCAGATTGCTGGGATCATTTGACTATTACCGAAAACATTTCGTTAAACACGTACATGATCACAAACCAGTGGCAACTTTGCTTTGCATACTATGAACCATTCATCGTTCATATTAACACTATATACTAAAAATATTTTAGCTGCATCCACTCAGTATATGTGACGTTAATGTTAATTGAATTGATAATGCTCGATAATTGTGCATTTTTGCCACCGTTGCAGGTGCTGTCATTATGTTGGCGCTCAGTTTCCTAGCGCCGTACTTCTTTTACATCCCCAAGGCGACGCTCGCCGCGGTACTCATCACCGCCGCGAGCAGCCTCATCGACTATGAGATCCTCGTCACCTTGTGGAAGTGCAACAGTAAGTAATCGCGCAATGCATGTTCGCTAGGGCCAAATCGCACGGGCCGCTCGCCCATCACGCGATTATAGTGTTCTGTGGCCGTTTCAGAGGTGGACTTTTGCATGACCCTGATGACGTTCATAATCGGCGTCGTGGTGAGCGTCGAGATGGCGATCGTAGTGGGGGCGCTGCTTAACGCGCTTATACTGCTTAAGATGTGGTCGAGACCTGAAGTCAAGATCGAAGTTCGTTCGGTAATTTAAAGTTCGCGCCTCGCGTCCGGATCGTATGAAAAAATGAAACGACCGTTTCAGACCCTCAAACTCCAGGAGTACGTCTACATCAAACCGGCGCTGGGTTTGTTTTATCCCGCTGCCGATTACCTTACCGAGTCCGTTAAAAAAGCTCACGGAGACCGCCCCACACTGCCCATTGCGCTAGATTGTTCCGGATTCGTCCAGATCGATTATTCGGCCGCGAAGGTTTGGCCGTGTGGCCAGTACGCCGCTGCCCAATTATTTTTTTTAATTTTTAGACGATCGAGAACCTCCTGAAGACGTACAACTCGAAGCACGTCGGCATGGTGCTCGTCAACGTCAACCCGCGTGTCAAGAAAACTTTAAGGAACGTCGCGAACGCCGACAATCTCGAACTGTGCCAGAGCACTGAAGACATCGACTCTAGGGGTCTGCTCTTCAGGGTGGCGGAGGAACAGCCGCTGGTCGCCGGTAACGGCGACCGCCGCTACTCCACCAAGCTGGAGGACATACGCAGGGGCTCGCTGTGCGACGTGGAGTGATTGTTTATATATTTATTGCTTAAATAAACGAATTTAAAGTATTTGTTTTTTTTTTTGCGACGCTGTTATTATTCGCGTGATAAAAACTCGCCATTTAACACTAAGAAACACTCAAAACTGTCGCTTATTGTACAAAAAATCAGAATTTAAAAACATAATTTCGCTGAAATGGTCAATTCCATTCTTATCGGCAATTTTGACCTGCTAAAAATAGGCGCACTGAAGAAACTGCACCGTGGCTGCAGTAATTAAGAAAAGATGATTGAATATTTGGCATCGAAGAAAGATCTATAGTCACGTCAACTAACAATTTTGATATCTATTGCGTCCATCTACGTTGGTAGTAGTCGGTTGGCGTTGTCGTCCAAAGCGTGTTGCCCATCGGCGACATAAAGAAGAAGAAGTGGAAGGTCATAACCGCGAAAACGGTTAAACAAACCCGTTAAAATGCGCGAAAATTCATGGGGCCGCTCTGCAACGCACTCGCCAAACATTCGTCGGTCATCGGGAGGCTGTTTAGTAAAAAACCGGACCGCGTCGCCATGAAATATCTCAACGTCGCGGAAAAGAACGACGCCGCGAAGAACATTGCCGCTATACTATCGAGAGGGAACTCGAACCGGGTAGGTGTACGGTGCACGAGGCGTCGAAATTACGCGCAGTTTATCCGCAGCGGGAAGGCCTGTCACCTTACAACAAGATCTACGAGTTCCGCGCGGATGTTTTCGGCGAAAACTGCGAGATGGTGATGACGTCAGTCTCGGGGCACCTCCTGAACTACGAGTTTCCCGCGTCGCACCGCAACTGGCAGAGTTGTAATCCGCTCGTTTTGTTCGATGCTCCGGTGGTAAAGACTTGCACCGGCAACTACGAAAATATTAAGGTACCCGAAGTGCACAGTGGAATCGGCTCATGTCCCGTTTGACATCTATATATTTATGCCAGGCTTGATGCATTCCGAAAATCAAATATGCCATAGTTTATTTAATTTGTTCACCCACAGTTACATTCTAAGCAAAAATATATATGTACATTTTTTGTAATAGTTATGTCATGGTTGTGCTAAATTTTGATCCAAAAATATTAGATATTAATTTAAAAAATGTCTGTAACTAATAACCTGGAGGTGCTAGAAGTGGACTGCAGCATATTCAGACTGGAACAATAATTCTGTCTGCAGAAAATATATTGAACTAATTATTGAAAAAAACCAACAGCATTTTATGCTAGGGATAATATTAAAAATGCAATATTAGTATTGGCAATGGTTTTACTTAACACTTGAAAACTAAGAACAAAACTGCAATTAAGTTTCACTTTATTTATTGCTCGAAATGTCACCGCCAGCATTTCATGTCCGACCCTTTGAAAGGCTACTCTTATATTTTGTTTCTTGCCCTCTTTTGTTATGGGGTCATTTTTATACATCTGCACCCACAGTAAATCGTCCAACTTTTCTAGATCAGGAGATCTAGGTGGCCATGTAATCGGACCGCCTTTTCCTATCCACCGTTGAAGAATGGAACAGTGTTCCAATTTTTTTTTCTGAAGTACACTAGTTGCTAACTAAAAACTAGATTTTTTTGTTTTAGATGGGTATTTTATTTTTCCCAAAAATAGTTCGCGATTTAACCAGTGCTATGGCTACCTAATTTACCAAAATATTATCTGTTTATAGAGAGTCAGTGGGACGCCACTGATTTCCTTAGAAAAATAATGACCTTTCAATTCGTTTTTGAGCAGATTAGATCTCTTAATTTTTTTTAGTCTTTCGCACGGTTTTCACTTAAAAACTAATTTTTCTGTATGCTGTCATATTAACGATATCGTTAACAGCCAATTAATTGAGAAAACTAATACAAAATCGACGGGTTTAAATTAATTATGAAAAAAGACGCGATCTGGAAACATTATTTTATACTTTATTAATATTTTGGGCTTTAAGAAAGGAAACATTTTTTCTAAAAATTAAAAATGTAAATTACTTATTTATTTTTATTTTTTCCGGATTATTGCGATAAAATGTGTATACTTCAAAAAATGCAAAGTTGAATTAATGAAATTGAAGGAACATTAATAGGAGAGTATAATATAAAGGATTTTCCTCATTACGTCGTGGGGAAACCACGTTAAAAAAATGCGTCAAGTATATAGGTGGAGCGGAAATGTGTCCACATTATGTAAAATATGAATTTTTTAATAGTGAAAACCGCGATATCTCACGAATGGCGAGTCGTGACAAAAAATGTGCCTGAACAATTTTTGCAGCGAATTGTATGACCTATAACTTTTGTCTGACCTATTTTCGCGGTAGAACTCACCGTTTTCGAGAAAAATGGAAAAAACCTCAATTTTATACGTTTGACCTTGATTTTTGACATTTCGTGTATAACGGTATATCTAACGGTCCTGCGAATTTTCAGCTCTATGCGAGTTTTGAATTATTTTTGTCTATTTTGACCGTATTACTAACGTTTTTTTTCTAAAACAAATAATAAACGTGGTTTCGCGTTTCTAGAAAACGCTCGAACGGGAAATCAGATCGTGCGGCGGCCTGATCGTGTGGACCGATTGCGACAGAGAGGGGGAAAACATCGGCTTCGAAATTATCAAAGTGTGCACCGACGTGAGGCCCGGTTTGCGGATATACAGGGCGAAGTTTTCCGAGATTACGGGGGCGTCGGTGTTTCGCGCGCTCGCCACTCTCGGACGGCCCGACAAGAACGTCAGCGACGCGGTCGACGTGCGCCAGGAGCTCGACTTGAGGACGGGTGACGTCATAGACGCGCTTGCGCGCCAGCCGCAACGTTCCGGTCGCTCGTTTCAGGTGCGGCGTTCACGCGGCTGCAGACGCTGCGGCTGCAGCAGGCGTTCCCGCAAAAACTCGCCGAAAAGTTGATCAGTTACGGGTCGTGTCAGTTCCCGACGCTGGGATTCGTCGTCGAACGGTACCAGGCCATCGAGAGTTTCGTGCCGGAACAGTTTTGGAAAATAAAAAGTATTTTCAGTTCTACCTTCTGATCCGGCAACATCACTTTAAAGTCTCGGAGAATTGAATCCGCCATTTTTCTTTGAAACTGTCGACGTTTGGGATCCATGGTGTTTTCTAATCGAACGTCAACGATTGAGGGGGCGATTTTTGGGTTTTAAAAAGAAACCTTCACGTGAACATACGTCCTAAATATACAGGGTGGTAAAAATTTTCAAAAATAAATATATAGGAAGTTAAAACAGTTATCTAGGTCCGTCTCTGCGGTAAATGACGATTCAAAAAGGACCGTGTTTGTTGCATTTTTTGCAAATTTTCTAAACTTTTATTTTAATTTTTTTTTAAATTTATTTTAAAATTATTTAAAAAATATATTTTTTCTAATATCTGCAGTGGTAGTCTAGTTCCGTTGTTGTGGTTAATGATTCAAAAAAGATTATATTGGCAGTGATGCCGCAAAACGCCCCTAGTTTATTTCCAAAAACGTCCTATTTATACGTAATATATACAGGGTGTTGTTTAAACGAATGTCTATAATTACGGCCGCGACTTTTGTATGTATGTATGTCCTAAACGTGTTTACTTTTGATATAAAGAGGTAAAATTTTCAAAAATAAAATATGTTTTTTTTTAAATCTTAGATATATTAATGAAATTTGACACACGTCCTTTGTATCACAACACAATTGTTTTTTTTTTGAGTCTTAAAAACGCTGATTCGATGAGCCATCCACCATATAGTCCTGATTTAGCACCCAATGATTTCTCTTTATTCCCATACATTAAGAATAAATTACGATGCGGCAAAAGTGCTGCTTTGACGTATTGATCATCGGGGTGGATATTTCGAGAAACAATAAAGTCGTATTTGTTGGTAGCTTATAGTTTTTTATTACAAATCCCGAAATATAAAAGGTGGCCCACGTAAAAATTATAAAATGCGCAAAAACCTTTGTTTGGATGCCAGACGTTGATAAATCAATGAAGTCTTGATATTTATATCGGAATTTTGTGTCTCTTTTTAATTAAAAAAATAAACCGAATGTATATGGGATGGTTGCCTGTCGTAGTGAATCACACACGAAACGATCTAACGACCGAGTTTACGTGGAAACGCGAGAGGCTCTTCGACGAACGGTCCTGCCGAGCGATTCTCGATCATTGCTTGGAAAATCCCCGAGCGGTCGTGGAAAGCGTGGACGGTAGGCCCAAGAGTAAATGGCGTCCTTTACCGTTGGACACGGTGGTAAGTTTATCTGATGGAGACGTCACAATACAGTAAACCAACGTTTAACGTAGCGGCTAGTTTTGTATAAATTTTAATTCTAAGGCTACGAGGCTTATATGCTAGACTACAGCTCTGGTAAGGGTTCCTAGGTGGTAGGTATTTTCAAGATTGGATTGCTAAAGACAGAGATCAAGTTAACCAACGAGGAAACCCACATCACCTTCTTGTGTACTGTGAGGAATAAAAAAAATCCAAGGAGTCAACGCACGACGTAAACTGTAAAACGCTAGTCGAGCATTGTTCCCAAATTAACTATCATTGATGTAAGAATTCGATTCTTTTAAATGACGTCCAACAAAAGTTTTAGGAAATAAAAGAACTGAGTTGGGACGAAGACCACATAAGAGGAGATCGATAGAGCTTGTGTCAAAATCAGAGGACATTCAACATATCTTTGAGGAAATAAAAGAACTGAGAAGGACTGCAAAGGAATCGTGACATCCAACAAGAAGTTTAAGGAAATAAAAGAACTGAGTTGGGACGAAGACCACATCCGTGCCAAAATCAGAGGTTTGAGGAAATAAAAGAACTTCAAAGGAATCCATGACATGCAACGGAGGTTTGGTGATATAAAAAAACTGACTAATAATAATTCAACCCTTACTAGAGCTGTAGTCTAGTATCTCTCAGTACACCATCTTCAAGCGAAGGCTAGTTTTGGTTTTCGGTGCGACGTCGTAATCGATGGAGCGGGGCGTTTTCAGGAAATGGAAAAAAACGTATCGAAAAAGCTGCGGATAAACGCCAAAGAGACGATGAGAATCGCCGAAAAGCTCTACACCCAGGGTTTCATCAGTTACCCCCGCACGGAGACGAATATATTCCCGAAGGAGCTGAACCTCGACAATTTGGTCGAGCAGCAACGCGCCGACCCACAATGGGGCCCGTTCGCGCAGAGGGTGATCGCCGAGGGCGGAGCCCGACCCCGCCAGGGCAAAAAGTCCGACCAGGTAGGTGAGACGGGCGAAAGAAGTGTGCAAACGAAAACTTCCGCGGTACGTTTTAAACGTTTGGGATTTTGTGCAGGCCCATCCTCCGATACACCCGACCAAGTACGCCGGAGGTCTCGCGGGCAACGAGAAAAAGGTCTACGAGTACATAGTGAGGCATTTTTTGGCGTGCGTGCACAAGGACGCCCAAGGTTTCGAGACTACCGTCGACGTCGAGCTCGCCGGCGAGAAGTTCACCGCCAAAGGTCTGATCGTATTGGAACGGAACTACCTGGACGTGTACGTTTATGAAAAGTGGAACGCGAAAGAGATAAACGAGTACCGGAACGGGCAAACATTCGAGCCGAGCGTACTCGAAATGGCCGGCGGTTCGACCACGCCCCCTAAACTGCTGACCGAGGCGGATCTGATCGCGCTGATGGAGAAGCACGGCATCGGTACCGACGCCACCCACGCTGACCATATCGACACGATCAAGTCGAGGGAGTACGTCGGACTGCGCGACATCTACTTCGTTCCCGGCAACTTGGGCATGGGCTTGGTGGAAGGGTAAGTAGAGATCAATATTATTTAAGCACCCAACAACAGTCAACAACACACGCTAGGCATTGGGGAATATGTAATAGACGATGTCGGATTACCGAGAGTCCACTGTAATCACATTTACCAGCGAACTCGACGCGCGAGCTTAACGCACGCCCGCGCACGATCCCATTTCCGATCGGCGGCATATCCCAAACCCAGTGTTTTTTTTTTTTAAATTAAAGAATAAAAATATATTTCGTGCCTTTGCAAGGTACAACAAAATCGGGCTCGAGGTGTCGCTGGCCAAACCGACGCTCCGCGCCGAGTTCGAGAACGACCTGAAGCTTATATGCGAAGGCGCGAAGGGGGCGGAGACGGTGCGGCGCGAGCAGATCGCCAAATACAGGGCGGTGTTTCGGACGGTGGCGGAAAAGATGCGCCTGATCGATGATTCCCTGTCCGAGAGGCTGGACGATAGACCGGTGCCGGTCAGGGCAGGCCCGGTCGACGAGCCGACCACGCTCCCGGTCGTTTTCCCCTGCCCCAAGTGCGGTAACGACATGTGCCTGAGGTGAGAGAGGGCGAGATGTTTCGTACTTGGTCACGCTCATCGAGGTTCCGTTCGCAGGAACAAGAAGAACGCCCCCGGCCATTTCTTGGGCTGTGCCGCCTATCCCGGGTGCAAGAACGCGCTATGGCTACCGAGTATCGTAGGCAAGGCAGAGCTATCGGGCGAAAGCTGTCCGGAGGTGAGCATGGTGTGACAACGAGGTGGAGGGAGTAACGGTCGCGTTTTTCAGTGCGGACCGGACTACAAAACGCTGAAGGTGACGTTCGTGGACAATCCTTTCCCGGGATACCCGAACTCTGGGGTGGTATGCGTCGGCGGTTGCGACCCGGACGTGATCGAAGCCCTCGGCATCGACCTGAGCGCCGTGAGGAGGGCAGCGGAGACCCGGGGCTTGGCGCCACGCCCCTTACCTCGCCACAACGCCCCAGAGGGCGCCGACGACGTAAGGATCCCGGCGCCACGCCCCTTACCTCGCCGCAACGCCCCAGAGAGCGCCGACGACGTGATGTGCGCGTGCAACGAAAAGGCGATCGAGTTAACTGTTAGAAAGGATGGGCCTAATAAAGGTACGCAAAAGAGAGACGGAGGACGTGGAGAAAATCGGGGACGGGCGTTTTTGCAGGCAAAAAGTTCCACAAGTGCGCGTCGCAGACCTGTAACTTTTTCCTGTGGTCCGCGGAGGGCGGGACGATGGGTTCGGCGACATCACCCGCCGCTAGGCCTGCGCCGCCATCTGGCGACGAGCCGAGGTGCAACTGCGGGTTGGCGGCGGTCGCGAGGACCGTGCAGAAAGAGGGCCCCAATAGAGGCCGCAGGTTCTACTGCTGCTCCAAGCCGGTCAACGAGCAGTGCCAATTCTTCCAATGGGCGGACGAGGTAAGTGGGCGTCGATGGGGATGACGATAGAGGGCGCTCCGGACGAGTTTCGTTTCAGCCACGACCGGCTGGCGGCGGCGGCGGCGACGACGGGTGGGGAGGAGGTGGCGAGCCAGGAGCGAACTGGAGTTTCAGGGGAAAGGCGCGCCGGGGGAGGGGATCCTCGAATGCGACCGGGCGATCGCAGCCCTACAACGCCGGTTCGACAGCGGTCAGGCGGCCCCGCAAGTGCGGCAAGTGCGGGCAAGAGGGTGAGTCGCCAAACCCGTAGATATCAACTTAAAAACCCTCGTTTCTGATTTAACTAGTGAATTTTTCTTGTCCATTTCAATCAGTTTGCAGACAGAATCGCATTTATTGAGACCCATTGTAATCAAAACGACATCAAATAATAGCTTATTCTGTGTGATTTCTATCAGACTTCAGTTGTCGATATAATTTCCTGTTATCTAATGAGTGGACCTCACTAAGATCACGAATTAAAATCTCATTGGGGTATACAAGTTTTTCAGTCTCCCATCGGTAATGAAAAATAGGCGGAGCATTGAGAGTTTAAAAGAATGCTTGTTCTATTGAACTCAATCTCTATCGACTGGCAAATGGAGAGTGGTTCGGTAACGCGGTAGTTGCCGTGGTCACAGCCTATACAGTGTGTTCAAGATAATGATTTCTATCATGGGGATATTGGACACCATTGAGTGTGACTTTGGTCTTGGTAACGCCGCAGTGGGCGTGGTGACAGTGTATACATATACTATAAGTTTTTTCCATGGTAAAGGATTTTGACCTCGGCAACGACGTGGTGGGCGTGGATAGAGTCGAAATCTCTTTCCCGATGAAGAGTTTTTGAGTATGACTTTTTTTGTCGTCAACGCCTGAGTGAGCGTGGTCACAGTCTAAATAGGTGCGCACCTATGTTTCATCCTCTTTTCCCCAAGACCCATCCGTTGGGCTCGATTTTGGACTCAGTCACGCTCACTCGCGGTCGTCGCAGATAATTAGTTAATCTCAAAATTCTAAAAACAGCGCGCCTCATCTAAAGTTATCGTTATTATTTTCAGGTCACACGAAAAACAAATGCCCCCGGTAGCAGAGAAGGCGCGTTTTTTCCAATCTCCATTGTAATTATTTCCTTTTTCTTGTAAAACAAAAGATACCGCCAGCGTTTTTTTTTATTCCCGATACTAAAAAAAACCACGCATATGCAAAACTAGTTTATTCGGAATACAGTTGCCACAGTGAGGCATCGTCGGCTGCCGTCCTCATCTTCAATTCGACGAACCTGTGACAAAAACAAAAGTGACGCCTCGGCTGGGTATAATACGACCAAAAATATAGTACAGTACCTTAACCGTAGACCTTCGCGGAACCGTGGTAAAGCCCATCCCGATAAATGTTTATTCTGCATTAAGTAGGTCTTGCCTAATTGTGGAAACTTGAAATTTCTTAAGAGTTTAATCTAAATTGTAATATGTTGGTATTTATTACGGAGGAATTTGACTGTGATCCTTCCAGTAAGTGTATTTATGTACCTGATTCTCGAGCTTTGACCCTGCTATGCTGTTTTCACTGGAAGGATAAGTACCTGGACTCTATTTATCTTACAGGTAAGTTTGTAAGTGTGTGTGTTTGTTGACTAACAACATCCTTCTTCTTGTATTTTAAATATTTATTAGAATCTTACAATTACATACATAGGAGAACCCAGTGAAAAAGTTTAAAAACATTTGTCAAAATGCGACTTTCAGACAATAGGAAAATTTTTTAAAATCTCAAAAATCAGGTGTCTACAGGTTTAAATGCGGATCTTGTCCTAAAATTTATATTGGACAAACAGGTAGATCCTTCAATAAATAAATAAAAACAATAGTCTAGGTTCTAATTATGATACACACTTAAACACAGAAAAACACATTTTTGACGACAATTTTGATATTTTACATACAGCCACAAAAAGTAGAAAATTAAATTTATTGGAAGCCATGGAGATTAACAAAATGAGAAATGTATTGCTTAACGATCAATTAGATTTAAATACCTCCCCATTATTAAACTTAAATCCTCACAACATTAATTAAGGTTTTAATGTCATTTTTCGGTATATATAGTATCAGGTAGTTTGTAAACATTACATTTGATAAAGACACGTTGTTGAAGAAACAATTGTCATGTGAAAATATATAATTTCGTGAAAATCTGAACTTCATATTTATTTTGGAAAATGGATTTTCATCAAAAGCCACCACCTCAGTTGAACTATATTTCTGGTCGCGCTATACTACCCACCTTCGTGCTCTTCCTTGAGCTTCGACCCGGACCCGAGCACCGTGTGCAGGTTATTGCGGAACTTTTGCTCGAGCGAGTTCATCGCCGGTATGACCAGCGGGAACTTTTGCACGACGATGTCGTTCTTCGTCACCATGTCGAAGATCTTGGTGTCGACGGTGGTGGCGGGGCCCCGCAGCCCCGCGTCCGCCTTCTTCTTGTCGTCGACGGCCGTCGCCCTCGCCGACAGCTTCGGTATTTGGAAATTCTTGTCCAGCGTCTTCATCATGCCCTCCATGACGAGAGCGGACGCGTACGGGTCGACCTTGGGCTGTCCCTTGAAACTGTTCTCGACGTCGTTGGGCGTCGGACTCGACTTGCCCCGTTCTTTCATCGTCGCGAAGATCGACTTCTCGGGCGCCGACCCTTTGCCCGGCTTCGCGGACCTGTCCTTGGGCGGCCCTTGGCCTGAGCCCAATTTCGGCGACCCCTGGATCGTCTTGGGGGTCGTTTTCGCGACGCTATTGGACGTTTTGCCACCGGACGCGTAATTGTTGATCGGCGACGGCTTAGACGCGGAGGCGGAGCCGCCCGGTTTGACGACCGGAGGTCGCGCGACCGACGCCCCGCCCCCTTTCTGCATCTGCTGCTGCGGCTTCTTCGAGGCGGGGCCGCTGTTGACGCCCGGCTTTAGACCGGTGTGTATTTTAGGCGACCCCGTGCCCGACGAAGGAAACGAAACCGCCCCCGCTCCTCCACCGCCGCCGCCACCCTTGTTTTCCTTCGTCCGCGTCTTGTTGATCGTCAGCTTCATGCCGTCCGAGCTCGGCTTCACCATGTACTCCGGGTTTTTCATCGCGGCGGCGGCGGCGGCTTTGACGGTCGCCGCCCCCGATTGGTCTTTGTCGACGACGCCCGCCGCCGCGACGAGATCCGCGGCGTCGAAGTGCTGCTTCAGCTTGTCAACGATGGCGGATAGGGAGCCCTTGCGGTTCCGCAGCTGATTGGGGTTGGCCTTGGGGTCGACGCCGCCCCCGGGCGACGTCGCATTGTCCTGCTGCGCGGGCGGCGCGTCGCCGCTCCCGTCCGTCGGCGGTTTGCTTTTCGCGACCGCGTTGCCGACGCCGAATACCGTGCGGGGGCGGTCCTTGTCCCTGCTCGACTTGCCCCCCGTTTTATCCGACGCCGGACCGCCCGATTTCGTCGACGCCGCCCCCGCCGTGCTCTTCAGCGCGCTCATGCTCGGCTTGCCGCCCGAATGCTTGCCGGCGGCGGCGGAGGACGAGTCGGCTTTAGAAGGGGGCGGGCCCATCACGGTCGAGCCATCCTCGCCGCGCCGCTTCCGCTTCTTCTCGGGCCGCCCCTTGTCGTCCCGGCCGCCGCGGCTGCCGCTCTTTTTCGGCCGCTTGTCGTCCGGACACTTGGCGACGGGAGTGATGGTCACCGAGCCGGTGGGCGGGGCCGCGACCGCGACGCCGCCGCCCCCGCTCGGCGACCGCGACACGGGAAATATCTCGATGCCGGGCGGGGCCTCGCCGCCCACTATCGCCGTTATGCTCACGCTCGCCACCGCTGCAAAAAAAAAAATGAATTCCACTCGGAGCGGTGTGTAATTGAAAGGCCCTTTTTCTAGTTTTTATTGATGGCATCAAAAATAATCTGCCGATCGTTACTTGAAGATCAGTCGAACGATGAGAGTGGTATATCTTCGAATATGACTAAAATAGAGAACCAAACCAAAAGTATTTTTATAACCTCGGTCCAGCAGCGATGAAAAACCTCATCAACAACACAGTATATCCCATCCTTTAGCTCCGCCCCCGTCAGACCGTATATAAGCAGGACAGAGTAGAATGAGAGCCAATCGCAGTTAATTTCTAAAAAAAAACCTACTGCGAAACGTCAGCAAGTTCGATTTATCATTAGCTCCGCCCCCTTCAGACCTATATGAGCAGGTAGACAGTAGAATGCGAACCAGTTTACGGTTACGCTCCGAAGACTCACCCAAAGTCTTCTCGTCCAATTTAGATCCCGCGCCATCTTCCGCGCACTTTTCCGTCGCCTTGATCGTCCTCTCGTTCTCCGAAGCGTTCGACAGCTCGTCCATCATGTCGTCGACGTCGACGCAGCCCTCAAAATCGCGTGCCTCCTTGTCCGCCGCAGCGTCTGACAGTTCGACGTCACTGTGCAACCTAAACGCCGGGCGTACGACGAAAAAATAATGATAACGGTAACGAATGGAACGAGACGACGCGTCCCCACCCAGAATTCGGCGTCGTCACGTCCGTCTCTTGCGACAACGGGGTACTCCTCGACACCGAATCGCTGCTCGACGTCTCCGCCAGCAGTTCCGGATCGTCGCCGCCGTCTCCCACCTTCCGTTTGCCCTCCCGCCACAATTCCTCGTCGGCTCTTCGTTTCGCGCCCCTCGAGGAATCCGCCCACGCGTCGGGCAACTCCGCGGCCCCCTCGGAAGGTGGGATCTGTTGAAAATTCGACCCCATCATCGGGTCGTTCCACACCACTGCGTGTTGTTCCTGCGGGACACGAAAGGACACTCACCACGTAGCAAAAAAACAGATTATACCTCGTTAATAATAAAAGACTTCACTCTAAGGACTACAAAATGCGAAGTTGAGGCCAGACCCTATTGAAGCAAATTTTATATTTGTATTGTATCTGTTTTGACGAAACCACTCCTGTGTTTTCCTTTCGAAACTGTCTAACAAATTTCTTATTAAAAGTTCTCGTACTTTTTCAATTCAGACATTAAATGAAATAAAATGAATGAGTACATTCGATGTCTGTACCCACTACGCTTTGGTGACATAAATAGACAACATAATAAACAAAAACCGAATTACACACTGTACACACGCGTAAAACTGTTTTCCTTGTAAATTATCATACACCAACCGAAGAAGTATATCGGAGAACATCGTCGTGGGTCGTACAGAAGTTTTGAGCAAATAAAAAGCGCAAAACTCCCCACTATTTAGAAGTGTGCAGATTTCGAATAGGTTGCGCTATAACCTCAAAGTGTCTCCTAAAATGACGGGGATCCTTTTTTTTTTTTCGTTAAATTTTGTCAATTTTGTGGACCAGCGAAATATCGCTGCTTCTAGATCATTACCTGCCACTCTCGAGAGCTTTGACAACCAACGTAAATCTATCGCATTGGGAAACGGTGTGTAATGATGGGGTTGGGAGGGGGATTACCTCGATCATCATGGCGCCGTGTTGGGTACCGTGGTTCGGCACGTGACCGCCCGGTTCCTGCTTGATCTTGTCGTTGAACCCGCCGTAGTCCGTATCGGGTTCGGGCCCTTTCTGCCCGCCGGGGTCCAGGGAGCCCAGGGGCAAGTTAAAATTTTCGTGGCCCCCCGAATACAGAGCGCGTCGGCTCGCCTGTTTCTCCCACATCTTGGTTACCGCCCTTATCGTGATCTGCACAACAGAACGACTGGTGAAAAAAACATCACCTGACCAACGGAAACGTGTGTGGTTTTAACGGCGTAGAACCACAATGCCCTTGCGCTATCTAAACACTTAACTCTTTCAGCAGCCATGTTGCTTTTTTTACTATCGACTCTAATAAAATGAATACAGGAATTAGTGGTGGTGAAATTAGAGGACGACTTTTAATTAGAAACCAAAATCCATTTGAAGGGTTCCTCTTTCAATCCCAATCCCATCCATTGTTGTAGCGATTTTTGGCTAGGTATTGAGCAGTCAAAAGAAAACGAATTTGTAGGTTATAATGGTGCCCTTTTTTACCATTAACTCCAACCCATAACTCCAAAAAATTACCATTTCATCTTAACCTATTAGGGCGACCACGCCCACTTTTGGCCACTTGCAAACAAGAACAGCGACCAAAAAAAAAAAGCCATTTTAGTTTTTTACTTACTTGGAGAGCTTTAGCTTACCGGTATGGAGAAACTCTTGTTGAGCACTTTGGTCGCGAGTTCCGAAATGGGGTCGGGGGCGTTGCCGCCTCCCGGCGACGGGGCTCCCGGGTTGTGTATGCGACACACCAAGTTGGAGATGTCCGACAGGTCGATGTCCGCGGTGGCCATACTCTCTTCCAGAGGGTGCTCGAGCGAGATCGAGATCTGGGTCGAAGACAGGGCGCTGATCTCGAACATTGTCATGTTCTCGAAGTCTGCAATGAGAAGACTGGTAAAGCGGCATTAATCCGAAAGAATACTGACAATGTATATTCGCGCTTATTATTTAGAAATAAATATATAAATACTGTTGTTTTAAACGTTAGAGACTTAAATATTTTATTACACACAAATATTATTTAAAAAATTCGTTGCTTCGACGCAGGAAGAATAAAAACGATTTGTAAATAATATTACAGCAGCCTGTGGAAAAAAAAAATCCGACAAATTAGAAATTCCGCCATGTTTCTCAGAAATGCTGATTTGTTTTTCAGAAATTCTGACTTCTTCTCGAAAATTCTCACTTAAGTTAGAAATTTCAACACGTTTCTCAAAAATTCTGATTGAAGTTAGAAATTCCAACTTGCTTTTCAGAAATGTCGACATGTTTCGCAAAAATCCTCACTTAAATGAGAAATTACGACGTTTCTCAGAAATTCTGACTTGTTTTTCAGAACTTTTGACTTAAGGTAGAAATTTCACCGTTTCCAGGAACTTTCGACGTGCTTTTCAAAAATCTTTACTTAACTTAGAAATTCCGACTTGCTTTTCCGAAATTATGGCTTGTTTCTCAAAAATTCGGACTTGCTTTTCAGAAATCCTGACTGATTTCATGAAAAGGCTGCCTTAAGTTAGAAATTCTGACCTATTTTTCAGCAATTCTCACTTGTTTCTCCAAAATCCTGAGTGAATTGAGAAATTCCAACATGTTTCTCATAAATTCCGATTAAAGTGAGACATTCTGACATGTTTCTCGGAAATTCCGATTTGTTCCTCAAAAGTTTTGACTTAAGTTAGAAATTTCGACATGCTTCTCAGAAATGTTGACTTGTTTGTCAGAACCACTGAGTTAAGTTAGAAATTCCGACTTGCTTTTTACAACTTATCATCTTTTTCTCAAAAATTCTGATTTACTTGTCAGAAATTTGGACTTTTTTCATAAAAATCATGATTTAAGTTAAGAATCCCAACACGTTTGTAAGAAATTCTGACCTATTTTTCGGAATTTCTCACTTGTTTCTCCAAAATCCTGACTGAAGTCAGAAATTCTGACATGTTTCTCAAAAATTCTGATTTGCTTCTCGAAAACTTTAACTTAAGTTAAAAATTTAGACGTTTCTTAGAAATTCTGGCTTGTTTTTCAAAAATCCTGACTTAAGTTAGACATCCCGACATGTTTCTCAGAAATTCTGACCTGTTTTTCAAAATTTCTCACTTATTTCTCAAAAATTCTGACTGAAGTGAGAAATTCTGACATGTTTCTCATAAATTCCGATTTGCTTCTCGAAAACTTTGACTTAAGTTAGAAATTTCGACATGTTTCTCAAAAAATCAGACTTGTTTTTCAGAACCACTAAAAACTTCAACTTGTTTTTTTACAAATTATCACCTGTTTCTCAAAAATTCTCATTTACTTGTCAGAAATTTTAACTTTTGTGATTTGGTCCTCGAAAATTTTGACTGATGTTAGAAATTTCGACGTGTTTCTCAAAAATTATGACTTGCCCTTCAGAAATTTCGACTTATCCCTCAAAAATTTGTCGGTCTTTCGACGTTTGCGTAAAATCACCGCAATTTATGAATAATTCCGAATTTTTTTTGCGACTGCATTTACCTTGCCTGCTGTGCGGTCTCACACAGCTACCGACCACGGTGTTGAAGAGCGCCTGCTCGCGCAGGATCGCCAAAATCCGGGCGACGTCCGCGGGATGCGTGAACGGCACGCTCGCCACCACCGTGCCGACCATATTTTTATTTTCCGTCATGAAATAGCAGTGAGTCTGGTCGGGCAAGGTGACGAACAAGCCGCGATTGTTCGCGCAGCTCAGTTTACCGTCGCTAACGTGAGCAACGACGAGATCGAGCAACGGCCGCGGCCTCTGTTGCGCGGAATCCATCTCGTTCGGCCACGCCTCTATCTGTTGCAGTCGTTTGACGAGGCCCACGCACACGGGCATCGGCCTGTTTAATTTGAGGACGAGACAGGCCGGAATCACGGCGCTGTTGGCCCCGGTCAACGGCGAGTAAGAGGGCGTACTTTTAGCTCCGCCCCTCGTCACCGTTATCAGCGTCGTGGTTTGCAGTTTGTGCGCGGCCGAACCCTCCATGCAAACCGTCACCCCGTGGCCCAACCCTTTCGATAGTATCGCGTCTATGTTGATCGGATCGAGATCGCCCCGTTCGACGTCGATCAGTTCGTAAGGGGAGACGAAATAAGTGAGTTTCATGGGATGCCCGCCCCTTCGTTTCTCCAACAAACCGACCGGACTTTTGTGGAGCAAATTGAACGGCTCCTTGATGAACATTTGGAGCTGCGAGAGGGCGCTGAGATCGGCCTCGAGCGACTCCAGCGCGGTGAACGCTTTCGATTTTACCTTTTTCTCGGCGTTCAGCTGGTAAATGGAGACGAAACCCTCGAGTTGGGCGGTGAAATCGGCGAAGTCGCCGCGCGAGAGACAAGCGACGAGTTCCGCGCAACTCTGGGGCTCCGCTTTGCCCTCGTGGTGGATCTTGACGTCTTTGACGACGCCCGACGCCTCCAGGACGATTTCCAAGTAAAACATGTCGGAGAAGATGAACACGCCCGTGGACTCGACGACGAACCTCAACCTACGGTTCGGGTCGGTTAGGGACATCGGCATTTAAAACGGACTATTAAAAACTACACCTCAGTTACCGCAAACGCGGATGTTAAAAGTAAAAGACGAATTTTTAAAAAATGAAAAATATACGAATTTTTCACTCTCTATAAAGTGATGTGGGACGTCGATACGGACAAAATTAGGGAGAGCCTAGACCAAAATGCCCTAATGCTTTATTATGCTTTATTTCATTCCCGCATATCATATGGCACAATATTATGGAGAAACTCTGCCAATGCTGTTCAAATATTCAGGATACAGCAAAAGGCTATAAGAATTCTTGCTGGGGCTAAGCACAATGAACACTGTACTCCATATTTTAAAAAACATATGATAATGACAGTGCCGTGTATCTATATCTTCCATGATCTTATAGAAATTCACACACATAATAATATATTTGAAGCTGTGTCTCATAGTTATCCAACACGTGCAAAAAATTTTATAAGAGTTCCAAAGCACAGCTTGTCACGTCAGACCAAAATTCTTTAAGTACAATGTGCTGTAAGATAGGTACAGACATATGGCTTTTGAGGTGTTCAAAACAAATATTAAAGTGTTGCTTATTGAAAATTGTTTCTATAGTGTAGACGAGTATTCCATCCAAATAAAAAATTTAAATTAAAATCCTTGGTTTACTGAAATGTGTGAAGATCATAGAATACTATCTTGCATTTTCTGTACGATTTTTATACTCCGTGTTAGTGTTTTTGACCTTTACATTTATTGTTCGCTACTGTGTTATTTATAAAATACTTTTTTTTTGCACCTTTATACTTTTTACATTTTGTTTTTGTATTTAGCTTATATTGACAGGCTACAATTGTATTATTATTGTACAATATGTGGTTAATAAAAAATTCTTCTTCTTCATCATAAACACATTTTTATAATTAAAAGTATTTTTTTTTAATAAATCAAAATTATATTTAAAAATTTGGAAAGTTGGAAAACTCCCTCTAAAAGCCTCGCCGACAATTTAACGTATTATAAACACATGTTCGGAATTTTAAAAAAAATGTGCAAAAATTAGTGTTACACTATAAAAACATTAAGACCTCCCGAAGGATCTTAGAAAGCTTCCTTTAAAAGTGAATCCCCCAGCTACCATAAACACATTTTTACAATTAAAAGTCTAAGAAAAAACATTTTTAATAAATAAAAATTATATTTAAAAATTTGAAAGGATTTTTTCGAAAGGTCTTAGAAAACTCCTTCCAAAAGCAAAACCCCCCCAGTTACTATTTAATGTATCATAAACACTTGTTCGCAATTAAAAAAAAAGGAAAGATATATTTTTAAGAAATCCAAAAAATGTGCAAAAATTGGTGTTAAAAATATAAAGAGGACTTCTTGAATGGTCTTCGAATGCGAAACCAGTCAGCTACCATCAAAGGTATAAAGTGAAAGCAGAAGAAGCCCAATTGTTAATAAGTCAAAAATATACAATAGAGCTTCGGTAATCCGGATAAGTGAAATGTCCAGATAATTGGAACCTTTTTAAAAGCTAAAAAAATTCACCCAATAAACAAAGTTATAGCATTTATTAACAAAAAATGTACATTAACACCTAAAAAATGAAAGACAAAGAACACCCGCGCCTAGTTTTGCGTGCTCTCTTTGGTGCCATGGTGCTTTTTAACTTCGCGACTCATCTTTTGCGGCTTTTTAATAATTAGAAGATTCACCTAGACAACACCATAAAAGTTACATGAAATTATTGAAGAACAATTAATATTTGAATTTTATCCGGATTACTGGAGAATCTGGATTAGTGGAGTTCGGATTAACGAAGCTCTACTGTAGTTAAAAATTGGTGTTAAAAGTAAAAGACGAATTTTAAAAAAATCAAAAATATATATAAAAATTAATATTGCGTTGCGGAGATATTTCGAAATCTGTTACCTATCAAACGCAGGTTTTGGAATTAAAATAAATAGAATGACCCGTCTTTCTTGCAATTTTTAGTTTTGATAAAAATATCAGTGCCAACGCCAACGTCCTTAATACATCCTCACAGATGCGTCGCTAGCTTCACAAACTAACCCCAATTGCCTGGTGAGGCTTTCCAGCCTCTCTATCATGCTCTGCAGACATTTGACTTTTATCGAATGTTGCAATGTGTCGAGACACTTCTGGTGTTGGCTCTTTTCGACGCTGTCCAACGCGTACCTTTTCTCCTGGAAAGCAAAATTCAATAAATCTATGCGGCCGCATCGCAGAAGCGCTTATTACCAAAAGGGTCATCCGCACGTTCTTGGAAATCTCAGGCAACGGTTTAAATTGCGCCGCCTTGGAGCGCAGTTTTTCCATTAAGATTTCCAGCTGCCATTTGTTCTCCTTGGCCACTTGCATCGCGGACGACGTTCAAAACTACAGACAAAGAGCGCACATTTATAAACGAGGATGTTGTTCGCGGAGGCCCTCGAAAATCATTGCTCGACGTCTGGAATCACACAAAAAATAAAACATTTCGTCCCCAACAGACATTTGTTTACTTTCTGTGCCCTAAATAAGTCAACTGCCATTTGTCTTCTTCATCTATGGAGAAAATTACCACGATGATTCGGCGATGTTGATCGTATATCCTTGTTCTATGGTTGGCCGAGTATCTAGAGTGACATCGCCCAATAAAAGTAAGAAGGAGTGTTTTATTGTTAAAAGCTTTTTTTATGAAAATGCAAAAGTTTAACTGAATTAACAGAAATAGCCAAAATATCGCAAAAAAAAACAGAAGTTATCGCTATTCACTTATGACAAAATTTTTCGTTGCCGTCGTAATACATTTGTGCATGTTTACCACGTCGGCGCTTAGGATACCGAAAAGTATGGTCCATAAAAAATGCCGAGACGGTTTGTACCCTTTCAGTCGCGTGAAACGTTTCTCCATTCCGGACTCTCTAGTTCCGTGGGCCGCGGTGTTCGAAAACTACAATCCTCCGGAATACGAGTCGTCCGTGCTGTCGAACAAGGACTGGGCCGATCCTCCCTTAAGTGGTGAGAACCCTCCGCGGCGTCGACAAGCTAAAAATCTTAACTATTCTGTTTAAAAATAAAAGACCCGAGTTTCAAACCGAAATGGAACGAGTTGGACGGCAAGGTAAATCGGAAAAGTTACGAGGGCGAGTATTCAATTTCGGACGGGCGACCGATGAACCCCGCAGGCAGGACCGGCGTCAAGGGTAGGGGTGTGTTGGGAAAATGGGGCCCCAATCACGCCGCGGACCCGATCGTGACCCGTTGGAAGCGGGTCGACGGCGCGCGAGTGCTCGACACGAAATCGAACAAGTACGGCCGATCCTAACTTCAAAATACCGACTGTTTTTGTGTTTTTAGGCCCGTCTTGCAATTTTGCGCTATTCAGAGGCACGACTGCGACGAGTGGGCGCTGCCGGGCGGTATGGTGGACCCGGGCGAGAGTGTGAGCGCCACTTTGAAGCGGGAGTTTATCGAAGAGGCGTTCAACGGCTTGGCGAAAGGTCCGTGACGGGAAACCGTTGTCCTAGTCTCTGACGCGGGATGTTTGCAGAACCGAGCGAGCCGGAACTGAGGATGATCGATGATTTCTTCGAAAACGGCATGGAAATCTACAGGGGCTATGTGGACGATCCGCGGAATACTGATAACGCGTGGATCGAAACGTGCGCCGTGAACTTTCACGACGACGACGGACGTCGCGTCGGAAAATTCAGCCTCGAGGCGGGCGACGACGCCAAATCGGTCCGCTGGACCGACCTCGACGCCGGTCTGAGTCTGTACGCGAACCACGCTGAGTTCCTAAAGCGCGTGGCGGAGATCCGAGGCGCGTGCTGGTGAACAGAAACCGATAATAAAACGCGACGAAAAAAACGAATGAGTTTATTTTTGTTTTATTGCGGGGTCAAATGTACAATCTGGAATAAATATCTGCGACGTGGAAGGGTCGATTTCGTGCGAGTACTACGATTGTGGGTCCGTGCCTGGCGGGTTTCATTTCAACTTGATTTAGTTGGCGTAGCGTTGGATCTTCTGCAAATCCGGGGCGGCGCCGTTAGGATACGCGTCGCTGCAACATTAAAACAAAAAAAAGTTTTATCGACGACGTGGGTCATGGGCGAGTGCCCGCCAAAGGCGAAGAAGAAAATTGCTCTCGACGACGGTTGTGTTCTGTGGCTTGTCGCGTAACGTCACGTCTTAAATAAGTGTCATATAGCTATAGTAAGTGGCCCTACTACCATGAAAATTGACTACGATATTTTTGTAGAGAATGCAATATCAATCTCTGAAATCCGAACATAATCGGCAACGTCGGACTAAGTAATTACTATTATCGCGGAACAGTCTGTGTCCTGGCCATAGTTGTTTTCATTTTTTGGTGCCGTACTTACCGCAAATGTGGCAAATTTGAGCACCTAATAGAGTCTTAGAAAAACAGGGATGCCTATATATTTGATATTTAACTGGAAAATATACTTTTAACTACACTTAAATAGCTACCGTTTGGGTAATATGTTTTAGAGTACAAAAATTACAGGAAAAATAGGAGAACAGTTAAGCTGCAAGTTGAATTTTTACTAGAACAAGCATAAGAAATATCCCTTGTCAATTAATGTCAATAGGAGTTTCTTGAACTGAACATTTTTTTATCTAGATGCTTCATGTGCGATATCTAGCATGTCAAACTTATTTCAATGTCGTTTAAACCTATGAGTTGACGAAACTAACGCTTTGCGCCGATTTACAAAAAAAAATAGCTTACATGTACATGTAGAAATTGCATCGTATCTACAGGGCTTGAAGAACAAAACCAATTCTGCATTGCTTAACTCGTTTTTGTCTGGAAATTTAATAGGGGTTGGAAATATTTTGAGAAAATACTGCCTTAAAAATGCCGCATCTAAATATCGACGATCTGGCAGCGGCCATGTTGTTTGTTGAAAGCCGCAAAGTCTTACGGGTCCTACGTCAGAATTTGTCATTAGAGCTGCCATCGGTCAAAAACGAAATCTTAAATCTCGCGCATGTGCACGTCGAATGGATCTTCTCAAAAAAAAAAAAACATAGTTTTTTCACGATTTCCTGTAATGACAGCATACGCAGGGCCTCTACATGTCTGGTACTATACGGTTGGAGTAAATGTTCACCCGTTAATTATTTCCTGACACGTGACGTCATCGACAAAACCGCGGTTCGTTCCGCGATTGTAACTTACTAAAACCTCAAGCTGTGGTCCCGAAACTTGGCCTTGGCGAGGTCGAATGGTCCGTCGAGGGACGGCGACGCCGCTTTGCCGTCCAGCGAAGACGCCATCAGGCGATTCCAAAATGGCGACCTTTTCCCCAGGCAGCCGCCGGCCATCAGCAGACAGCTCCGACTGAACCTTCCCCCTAAATAGACGACGATGACAAAAAATAAGGGTGGGGATGGACGAAACGCAAAAAACAAACCGACAGGCTCGTAATAAAATAATTTTATTTCCGTATACATTGCGCGTGCGGTCAAGTTAATTAAGTTTTTTCGTTTCCATTTGGCCGGCGCGTTTCTCGTTGTCCCAACCGTACTTCGAAATGGCGCCCAAGCTTCGACCGATTAAACTATTTCCGCCGATCCCGTCGAAACTTCGACCAACCAAACTTCCTCCACCAATTCCGTCCAAGCCCCGACCAATGAGGTTGGGTCCACCGATCCCGTCGAAACTTCGACCAATTAGGTTGGAACCACCGATCCCGTCCAAACTTCGACCAACTAGACTTCCTCCACCAATTCCGTCCAGACTTCTGCCAATTAAACTAGAGCCTCCGATCCCATCCAAACTTCGACCAACTAGACTTCCTCCACCGATCCCGTCCAAGCTTCGACCAACTAGACTTCCTCCACCAATTCCGTCCAAGCCTCGACCAATTAGGTTGGAACCACCGATCCCGTCCAAACTTCGACCAACTAGACTTCCTCCACCAATTCCGTCCAGACTTCTGCCAATTAAACTAGAGCCTCCGATCCCATCCAAACTTCGACCAACTAGACTTCCTCCACCGATTCCGTCTAAGCTTCGACCAACTAGGCTCCCTCCACCGATTCCGTCCAAGCTTCGACCAATTAGGTTGGATCCACCGATCCCGTCCAGACTTCTGCCAATTAAACTAGAGCCACCGATCCCGTCCAAGCTTCGACCAATGAGATTTGGTCCACCGATCCCGTCGAAACTTCGACCAATAAGGTTGGAACCGCCGATCGCGTCCAAGCTTCTCGCATTTGTATAAAAACCATGACGATCGGCGGAAAGACGACCTGAAAAATGTCGAATCCATCACGACCACGAATCGATCAACAGACAAGGCCACGTGACGTTTCACACCGGTGACGTAACGACAAAGAACACAGAAACTGTCAGACTCATACGTAAGCGCACGTTGACGAACAAAAGTCGCAGCTTAAACGATTTAAACAGCGCATACTTACTCGGGACGTTCGTTTGTAACTGCAGGCGGTCATACGGATGATCCTGCAAAAGGTACGCGCGTTTAGAAAAACGGTGCTACAACTCAAGCCAGAGTTGCGTCAATCGCGATTGATTCGATCACTTTGAATCGCAATCATTCATGGTATCGAACGACCGAATCCCGTACCAAAACAAATCTAATTCGCCTTGCAGAATACGGTTTCGTTTCAATGCTTTGAGATTTATATGCATGACGGAGACAGACCACGGAAAAGTTATGGGAGTATTGTTATAATTTTTGCATCGTACTGCGTTGCGATAACAGCAGAACATAGCTCAATATTATACTAACCAAAACAGGGAACAGAACATATAAAGACAAAAATAATTCGAATTCAAATAAATCTGCGTCGGTTATTCGAACTGTTCGGATTCAGTGAAATGAAATGGATTGTAATGGATCCTTTTCGAAATCGGTCACCGATTGATTCGGTGAACGATTGACACAAAACTAACTCAAGCACGTCGCCCTCTATCGTCCGACTCGCGTAACGTCAACGTAAACAAAACATTCGCGCAAACAAATCGGCGAGAAGGCTCAATTTAAATCGAGCACCGATAATTAAACAAACGTTTGCCGGGCGGTGTCGCGTTTCCTTCCTTTCCCGCGATAGTGATCTCGGCTTACCGGAAACCGAAGACGGATAATTGTTTCGACGTGTGAACAGTAGAAAAAGATTGCACGTGTTCCATCCCCGTAATGAAATCCCATCGCAGGTGGCGCGCGGGAGAGAGGTCGTGAAAAATTGTCCCGGTAATACGCGTCGCCCAATTTGGGTTCAATTTTCTAATGCGTCCAATGATAATAATAATAAGAGGCGGCACGGGGGCGGAATTTAATTTGGCGCGGCGTTTTTTGCGCGCGAATTACGCGTAACGACGTTACGTTTAGACGGGGCTAGCGATGTCGTTTTGTCGCTGCGATCGAAGAAATTTACGGCGATCCATATCCGATCCTCTTATCCGTGGATGGATGCACTGTTCGCATCGCGGGCGGCCGTGCAACGGAATGTCAAACCAACCGTCGTTATGTTGTTATGTTATGGCATCGGAAACGGATTAAACTGCCGTTTTTATATCGTCTTCCGATCCGGTGAGCGTTAAAATATGCAAAGTAATATTTATTCGCGCATTGAGTGTCGCCTGGATGAACGAGCTCCGGTGATTATTTTGCTTTTAGGTTTGTTATCGTGTAACATACAGGGCGTTAAGGTAAAAACCAAAGTCACTTTTTGGAGAACCCAAAATTTATTATGCCTCGTTTGGCTTATTTGACCATACATATTTACAGGTGTGCTTGTGTATCCTCTTTTTAGACGATAAAGGAAAATAAACAAATAAATAACCCTCAGAAGCAGCATTTTTATAATTCTCAAATAAATGATTTGCGTCATCCATCTTTTTTTCGCGATTTTCGATTGTTTTTTGGACATATATAAGATAAGTGTCCGAAATCTGAGGCTGCCGACTAGAAACTCTTGTTTTCCAGGGTCTAAGTAAAAAAAAATCACATCACATCTCGATCGAAAACGTTATTGGACGGAAAGATCCCCGAGATTCAGTGTTTAAAATTGTATTCTTGGTAATTTTCATAAATATATCAGGGGTGCACACGCGATGACGTCATTGACTTTCACGGAGTGCTGCATCAGAAAGAGAATATTTTAGCGAAAAACATTATTGGAAAAATTCATGGACCAGGAAAGGTGGGAGATCCAGGGCTATAACCCCAACATCGAACATTTTTGTATGTTGTGTAAATTATTGATATAAATAAACAGTATCGGAAACTGTGTCGACGGTTGCAATTTTATATTTGCAGTTTTCGTCCGTCATACAGGGTGCGCGAGATATTCGAAAATATATCAATAGAAATTGCCAAGTTTGACATGATTTTAAAATTTCGCTAAATGTGCTTTAACAAAAATGTTATTCCCAAAAATTTAGGTTGCAGCGTTATTTTTCGAAATATTTGTAGAAAACTATGTAAACCTAAATTTAATTTTTAAAATTTGTGAAAACGGACAAGGGTCCAGTTTTCTTTTTTTCGATTAGTTCAAAGTTGAAATGTACAATTTGTAACTGTAACTGACAATCGGGCAGTTTTTGAACGCTTATAACAATCGAACGATTGGAACTACGTTCTTCAATTTTTCTTCCGTAGTAATACCGGGTGACGTGCAACGGTGAGCAAAAAATCTAGCCGGCCGGACGTCGGCGGCCATTTTGTCGGCCATCAGTCGGTTTTTGCTCGGAAAGTGGCTGCGAAACAAACTAAGTGCTCCAAATTTCGAGCTATCGAGTTGAAAATTTCGTCGAGTGTAACTAATAATTCGCTCAAAATGGCGCCAATTGGTTTGAATGTCTCTTTGGGTCGCCGCGAAAGCTATAAATTTTGCATTTGCCGTTATCACCTCTTATACAGGGCGCGAGATACGGGCCGAAAAACGGTCGGTCGTAATTTTTTTTCCGCCGGTTTTGAGAGAAACAAAAAAAGTGAAAAAACAAGATTGCTTTCGAAAATCGTCACTGGGAAGGGCGAGTTTGTCGCAAGTAGCGCGAATCAGCATTTTATTTTAAAAAGAAGGCGATTCGCGGTTTCTTGTTCTAGAGGGACGCATTGTTTTTCTGTCGCGCTCCTTATTGTGAATACACCCTGTATAAAGTGTCTTTCACATCTCGTCGAACTTCAGACTTACGCCAAACTTCGTTAAATATTAAAATTTGTACTGGTAATTGCAATTTCAAATTATATTTTTTCGAATATCTCGCGCCCCCTGTATTATAGACGAAACGTTAAACTCTCTCTCTCGACACAGTTTACGATACGCCAATAATTCAGTCACAAAAACGGACACTTCTAAAATCTATTAGAATTTTTTGCCCACAAACGACGTACCATGTTTTCTGAAACCATGCAGTATGTGGAAAGAGTGATTTTCATTTGGATTTTTTCAAATATCTCGAACGGCGTATGTGATAGACGAAAACCGTAAGTACAAAAATTGTAGCCATTGATACGGTCTATAACACTGTTTGAACGGATTAGCTATTTTTTGTACGAATTTTGATTTACGGTTAACAATTAACTCTCTAAAAGAGCAATGTTCGGGGTTTTTTAGATTTTTGTCCATAAGTAAAACAAACACCTTGTATGTAATCTAAAAAATGCGTGAAACAAAAGTTATAGCGCCGGGTCTCCCACGTATTACGGATGTAAAATTTTTACGATCGTCTTTGGAGGAAAAGATGTTTTTCTGGATGCAAAATACCCACACACAATTTAAAGAGTCTAAATGCGGGTCCAGACTTCTACTTCTCTCCCAAGTCTGAAGTCGGTAGCTGCAAATTTGGAGTACTTATTATGTTTCTTAATATTGCACGAAATATCGCGAACAGCCTGTACAATACCAAAAAACCTTAAATACAAAAGTTTTGGCTGCCTATATGGGCTATATCATCATGTAAAAGAAACATACATCTAAAACACGTATTTTAAATTATTGCCAATTTTCAATAATAGGGGGGGGGCCCATTTTTCAGTTTTTTTGAATTTGCGACGCACCCTGTACATTTGTGAAAAATTGTCAAGAATAAAAGTGTATGGAGCCGTATCCTGTGCGTCTTCTGGTTCAAGAGTTTTTTCGGTCTTGTAAACGGTTTTTGAAAAATGTTTTTTTTTGTAGACCCGCGATTTTTAATTTTTTTAAAATACTTCCCGACCCTCCAGTCCCCCCATTTTCAATAGGTTCCGTCACAGGGAAAAACTGCATATATGTGCCAAATATGAAGTCGATTGCTTCAAATCTCGGACACTTGTTGTGTTTCATAGCGATGTTCAAAAAACACTCGAAAATCGCGAAAAAAGATGGATGCCGGCGCCGGATCGAGGCCATTTCTTACAAGCTTAAGTATCACGTACAGGGTTAAAGAGGTGGAAAATTTAAATTTTGTAGCTCGAACGGTTCAAAAGTTATTCAGGAAAAACCAAAAGACTAGAACGGAGAACGGACAACACATTACCGAGATATAAAATTTTTATACGAGTGTAGATACTTTTGAAAAATCGAATTTTGCACCTACCTCTCTGGAACAGGCGATCTGGACGAATACGGTCGCTGCCAGGCAGAAGACGATCACAGACGACGACGAAGTCCACATGGTTGTGGTCTGTGACGAAGATGGTTCGCGAATAATGCCCGCGTGTAGTCCGCGGATTTCTTTTATAGGGGCGACGCCAGGCGTCGTAGGTATCGCGGGAGGCGGCGTCGGCGTCTAGGTGTGCGCGATCGGCCCCGCTACGGATTAACGGGACAAATAGATAAGGTGTTAAATGGACGCGATTGGCCGTGGGTTGATTTTTCTCGATGGTCTCTTATTTTTTACGGCGTGTTTGTCCCAGGACTCATTCGGAGAATACACATACGTATTAGGTGTTATACTGGGCGCTTCGTTCTTTATTTTTACACGCCATCTAGCTGGTTAAAGCGATTGTTTTGTAAAATATACAGAGTGTTCACAGGGGGGGGGGAAAGATTCGACGCGGTAAAATAACGGAAGAAAGTCGTGTAACAAAAATTCGAAATCGTGATGTTTTCCGAGTTAGGGCTTGTCAAAATTCATTTTTTTAAAAATTGTTATTTTACACGTGTATTTATGTTACTTAAATTAAACATGTTTATTGTATTGCCTTATGTCATTTTTTCACTTTTTTAATTTGTAGCGTACTGTTTTGAAACTTTTAATGCTCGTCTTCTGCAGATTAATAGTGCCGGCCCGCATTTCCACTTGCTTTAACTTGCACGGAAGAATTACATGATCGACACAGTCGAAGGCTTTAGTGAGATCACACAATAATACAGTGCTATGTTGTCAATTCTGGAATGCATCTGTAATGTCTGAAACTAAATTGAGAATGCCTGAAACAGTGTTTGTATTTCTTCCAAAAACCAGCTGATTATTATTAAAAATGCAATTAATTTTAAAATATTGAACTACTGTTCAGCTATACATTTCTCTACAATCTTTGAAACAATTGAAAGTAGAGATATAGGCCGGTAATTTTCAACATCAGGGTTACCTTTTTTAAATACTGATATTGCTGGAGCTTTTTTTAAATGTCTGGAAGAGTGTTGGCTTGAATACATAAATTTATGTTTCATGAGAGGCATTCTTGACAGACGCGTGCTTATGCCAAATACGTCTCGACTATTTTTATTTTTGAGACTATTTATGATTTCCCTAACTTCAAATAGTTCAATTTTATCCAAATATGAAGAGAGAAATGCATATCGCAATATCCAGTCTCACCTTTCTGTACTGTGGCTTTCTTGTCAGATCGTCCAAGTTATCTGATTTGGTCTACTTATTAGTATCTTTTTATAACATTAATAAGTATTTTCCTCCTGGTAAAAAGATCCAACACCTTTAAGACTTTCAAAACCGGTTGTTTCAAGGAAATTGCTATTACCAAAGCACAGGCGTTTGGTTAGTTTTATTAATGTTTTTGAAAATAACTCGAGAGATTCTTGGTTATTAATAAATTACAACTGTTATTCAACATTCTGCTATTCTAACATTGATTGTGAGCAGTTTAACCTTGATTAGGGTGGCTGTAAATATTATTGATAAAATTATTGATGCACCCTCATAACTTGAAGTTGACGAAACAATATACTCTGCAAACTCTTCTGAATTCTCTTCTATTACGTCTAGTGTTTAAAAAAAATCAACAAGTTAAGACGTGTTTAATATTCAAAAAGTTAAAAGGTCGGATTTAGGTAATTATCGATCTCTTTTTATCGTCCCTATTTTTGGGAAAATTTTCGAAATAATCTTAAAAGAATTATTAGATTATTTGCGCAGTTCGAAAGGTAAAAGGTAAAAAATGTTGATGTTTTATGTATTAAACAAGCATTTTTGCTGTTCGCGCAATCAGAATTCTATAAATCTCAATTACCGAGAATCAAGTCGGCCTTATTTTTCTAGTGATCGAATCCGTAGAGAATGGGATGAAAAAAACTGTGCTATAAATCTAGTCAAAAGGATATTCTAAGTATATAAAGTATGTGAATGTGTAAACTATTTGTCAATATTTTCAAAATTGTATATTATATAATTAATTATTATATTACATGAATTTACTTCGCACATTCTAAGGCCTATGCACTGAACAGTATTTTTAACAGTGATGTAGGTTATGGCTCAGGTGTTTGTTCTTGGTATACCATTTTTTAAGACTTTGTGCGTTGTTCTAGAAACGTGGTTTATTAAGTTTTTTTTTTAATAGTACAGGCTCTATATTCTTTCATTTTCGAATTCGAAGGGAACTATCCCGATTTTGAACAAGTTTCAAACACGAGTGACGACGAGTGCCGGAAATTTATTTTAGGTGTTGGCTTATTGAGTGCAATAAAGTACTTAACTCAGTGGCATTATTGTGTAGAGAAGAGCTTGGCAATATAAAGGAGTGACGTAAAAAGGTGTCGCGCAGGATCCGGCTGCGGAAATAAAAAAAAAAAGTATCCTGACGATTTGCCGGCATCGAGAAATAAATGCATACTGCCATAAAATTTCCGCATTCAAACTTTTTGACGATCTATCGGCGACCATGTTGAATGGATCTTTTCAAAAATTTGATGGTTTCACGGGTTCCTGTATTATCAGCATAAGCTATCGCTATCTGGTCCAAACTGTGGTTTTCCAAAGAAACAACATTTTTCGGTTGAAAATATTACCGCGTTCGAGTAAACGCCCCGTATAGTCGCGTCGCGAATATCTGAAAAAAATTATGCGCCTTTTCAATTATGAGCTCCCGTGTTTGTTTGTCGCGCATTAGTTTTATCAGCGTTTTTGTTGACAATAATCATGGCAGAGTACTCGAGATTCGAGGGCCGCATATGTCGGCCCCGGGTCCCACGCCGCTAAAAAAAAACCACGAAATTTAACTATTGGGTACCAATGACGTCGACGTTTCTAATAAAAAAAAAATAACAGATTTCATGTCGTGGTCACGGATCACCTAAGAGTACGGATCTGTCAAATCGGCCCGGAATTTTTTCCACGTCGCGTAAATTATTAATAAATGACGTAAAATTGAAGAATTTTCGACAAACACGGCGAAACAGTGAGGGCCTTTAATTTTGCCGTCGCGAAGGAACGATGATAATAAGTACGTCGATAATGTAACGAGCGCGAAATACGCGGGGGGGGTCGGTCATAATTCCTACCGTTGCTAACAAGACGAAGACGTTTTGTGTCGAGTAAAATCCTATAATTTGTTCGGGGATTGCCGCCGCGGGACTTTGCCGCGGTTAGTGGCGACATCTTGTAGCGGCAGATAAAGCAAACTAGATTGACAACTTTGTAAAAAGTAAGGTTTAATGTCGAAATGTTATTGTGAGTTATGATATGTGGTTGTTTACGAATAAATTTACATAGAAATCTTCCAAATAAAGCATTGATGGTTCAGTGACGCAGTTTGATTTCATGATTTGTTTTTTGTAAATGTTTTCAAGTGTGAGCCACTAAGGTAAGTAGGTTGCTTAATTTACAAATTAACCGCGAAGGTGAAACATGAAACCTCAAGCAATAAAGCAACACGAAAGAAGCACTAAAGAAAAATTAAATTTGCCATTTTTTTTTTAATTTTCAAAAATTGCATAACATGTTTGGCTTCTTACGTGTGGCATTAGCATCCTGATATAAAATCACTTTCGAAAATTTTATGCAATATTTATTTATTCTATTTAGATTTGAAGAGGTATCAGAAGCATGCAATAAAAATTTCTGAATACTATAATAATTCTTCATTCAGAAATCGCCTCGGACTGCCTTTAAAATGACGTAACGAGAATGCCCTGACCTGTTACTTAACAATTATATAGACAAGCCAGTGCAAAATATAAAGAATCCTTTTCTCCTGATCAACTCCATCAAGGCAAAATAGTTGCCTTCTGACAAACACAAATAAATTCAAATTTTTGCTTTTTTTTATCGAAATCAAGAAAAGCTCGGTCCATGGTTAAGTTTCGGTTTAGCTTTTCCGAGCTGGAAAAGGCAAGTCAAGGAAGAAAAAACAAGGCACGTGGCTCCCTTTTCAATGTATTATATATTTATTATAAAAAGGCTCCAATACGACAGCCTACTCGTTGAGGGACGGGGTGCTCTGTTATCTCTTGTGACTTTCATGGGTCTTTTTTTCTAAAAAAAATCTGTTTTTTAGGTTTTACTATCTGGCAGGTCAAATTAAAATTCTCGTTTTTTTCAAGGACGAAGCAAAAAAAAAAACTAGGTCTAAAAAGATGTCAACGTAGCTCTACTAACAAGACCGTTGACGAACAGGATACTCTGCCTTATGGGGATCTCGATGGGCTTTTATTTTTTTTTTCAAACAAAAATAACGAATTAATTCAAATTGTTTCTTTTTTTTTGGGTTATAGTTCACCGCAGTCCAAATTCAAAGCCAATAAATCAAAAAAGCTAGGTCGAGGTCAAGTTTCGGTTTAGCTTTCCCAAGTTTGGCAGAAAGGTAAGTCGATAAGGAAAAATAAATGCACGTAGCTCCTTTTTAAACCTGTAAACTCTGTTCTAAAAAAAAAAAAGTCAACATAGCTCTAGTAGCCGGCCCATTGAGCGACAGGATACTCGGTCTTATGGGACCCGATGGGTCTTTATTTTTTTTCTAAAATGAAAATAAAAGAAAGCAAAAGCTAGGTTGAGGTTAGCTTTTCCAAATTCGGGGGAGGGGAAGGCGGAATCGGGGAAGAAAAAAAAACGCAGGTAGCTCCTTTTTCCACCTGTATACACCACAAACGTTTATATACAACACTAACTTCATTTCATTAATAACCATAAAATGGGGCGGGTGGGGGAAAATAAACGCAAAACATGATCCCAATCTTATGCTACTTAAAGTTACAAACTCAAAAAAATATGCGTCATCGTTATCATCATCAGTCCCTCTCGCGTTCCCTCTTCTTATCGCCGGAGCCCGAATGCCTGGAGTGCGATCTTCTATCCCTGTCGCGGCTACGCGATCTAGGCCTTGACGACTGACTCCTACGGACGATTAATAAAGACCAAAATAAGAATGATATTAATCGTAACAAATAAGAAAACGTCTTTTATTAATTACTTTTTTTAAAAGCTGTTCTACTGAACCACTAGAAATGAGAAAAAAAAGAAGTTAAAGATGATATGAAAGTGTACACACATACATAAATTATCATCAAAATGAGACCTGCCATCTAAATATGATTTAGAAATATTTTGGATCATGGTTTGCAAAGTTTCGAACAACTTTCTATTGTACCCATATCAAATTCAACCAGTCCAAGTGTTACTTCCCAGAGATTTTCCATTGCGTGTTAATTTTTATTAATGGTTTTTGGACAATATTGCGTATTGTCGCTCGCAACCACATTCGGGCAGATGAAAACCAACATGCAGTTGTAAGAATTTAAGCATCAAGAACGAGTTTTTGGAACAGGTTTGGACTTTTGCTTAAGGTGGTATCTTAAAAGTCGGCCTTATCGCACCCCAATTAACACTGAAGGATCGTATAAGAGCTTCCTGGAATTTCAAAGAGGTAGAGGACACTTTTCCCGCGGATCCGAACCACTTCGGACATTTCCGGGAGCGATCGGAGATATATACTATATCTTGTTAAAATGTCTCATTAAAACCGTAAGGGTAAAAAGAAGTCTTCTAATATTTTTTTTCCGAACGACACTAGTTGTTTTAGACAGAAAGCTCTCGATTCAACCAGTGCAATACCGACCACGCCACTGATTTCCTTTATGAGCAGATTTGATCTGTTAATTTTCTTTTGGCTCGTCGCACACTGTTTTCACTAATTTCTCTGCGTGCCGTCATATTAACGATTTTGTCATGACCACGCAGAGAAAAAAAAAACAAGAAATGAAATTTCTTTAGAAACGATTGTTAATTGAAAGAATAATTTCTCTTTTAAGAGAAATTCCGTACGTCCGCCACTGGTGTATTTTTAAAAAATATGGCGTTCTAAACAATGGTTTTTCATTGTTCGATGAAAGGAATTAACTACGAAACTATCAGTTTTCCCTATAGAGGGACTTGGGGTCTTTCACCAATATAGTGAGATAATGTTCATGTCCCATCTTAAGCTCCGCCCCCCTCAAACTGTATATAAGCGGCTACAGAGTACGGAGCTCTGAAGAAGTTAACGGGACGACGATTTATATGTTAATATAATATAGTGATCCCCCAGGCCCCGAAACTCACTTCTCCCGGTCCTTACGGTCCCTGGACTTTGACCTGTGCCTCTTGGACCGCCGGTCCAGCTCCCTGCCGCCGACGTAGTGCTCCCGGTGCCTCCTGTCCGAATACCTATCCCGGTCCTCGTCACGATCCCGATCTTTGAACGCTTTCCTGCGTTCCTCCTTGCGTTTGTCAGCAGTTTTCTCGAGCTCGGCGAGCTTCTCGCGTATCTTGATGAACCCCAGGTGCAGCTTGCCGCCGAAATGATCCGCCAGACGGCGATCGTTGTCGTGGATGCCCAGGTAAGCGGAGCACACCTCGCACACCCTCAACTTTTGCTGCTGGTAGCTGCTCGCCGGCATCGAGTTCCGGTACTCCTGTTCCGCCTCGAGTTTGCGCTTGCGCAGGTCGTCCACCTCCTCCATCAGTTTCATGCTCTCGTCGACGAAGCCTTCCTCGCCCAGCTGTTCCGCCTTGGCCAGCTTCTGGCCGATCTGTTCCGCCAGCTCGTGGACGCTGTTAGCTTTGACCGCAACCTCTGCGGACAATTCCTCCTGGGTCTCGGCCAGGCGCTGTTTGGCCGCCTCCGTACGCCTGTCGCAGTCGCTTATAAACGCCTGCAGGTGCTCCATAGCCTAAAGAGAAAGGGAGAGAGACGGACTTATGGGATACGAGACGGCCGCTTAATTTGCTTAGGCTTACGTCCAGGTCGTAGAAGTAGTCTTTGCTCTGCTGCGCCTTCTCGAAATCCGCCCGCAGCGCCAGGTCGTGGATCTTCGGACAGTCGCCTAGATCCATACGCTGGGTGATATACGAAAACACAGTTATTTATAAAGTGCAACGCAACTCACTTTGCCGAAAACGCTCTTTTTTTTTCAACTTTCCTTTGAACTTCTACGTAGCTATTAGATAATATCAAATCGAGACCTCGCCTGTGCCTACAATACAGGAACTCATCAATTGTTTTGAGATATCGAGTTGAGTGCGTGGAGATCTCAAATTTTCGGTTGATACTTATTGCGTTGGCAAACACTTTAAACAAGGAATAAATCAGAGATTAAAGAATTTATATTAGTAAATCGCTGTGACGTTATTTGCAGGGAAATTTTAGATTTTGAAATTATAAAATCCTTTCGACGCTTTTGAGCATCTCCAAAATTAAAAAGGCTTAAAAAAGCTTTTTTGAAGATTGATAAATAGAAAGTCGTCGATGTTTTAATCTATTTATGCATTTTCAATATGCAACTTTATACTTTTCCATCTTTTTTGTTTAAATTTAATGTGTTTCCCGTCTTTATTAACAGTTTTTGTATGTATGTTATTTTATACACGTCCTTTTAGTCAAAGCGATTGTCATATTTTGTTTTTTGATTTTTGAAATGTTTTGCTTTGGTTAAAACATGGTTTATTTATACTATTTTAAAGTTCATATTGTTTTATACACTCATCTTACTTTTATAATTACAGTTCAGACTGACCAATTTTATACTGTTTTTTTGGCCTAGGATTTCATTCAACTTATCTGTATATTAAATAAATATTTTATCGAAGACAATAAATATATTGGTAGAGATTACATTATATAATAATTATACGGATGCATGCAAACTTTTAGTAAATGACGCCATAGATACCAAAATTGTTAGTTGACGCAACCATAGTCCTTTATAGAATTTCTCGCTCCTTGGTGCCAAATATTCAGTTATTATTCCCTAGATAGGCTGCAATACTTTTATGTATGTTTTGTACTACTGTCAAAATCATCCTTTTGGCACATAAAATTGCTATCCTTGCTAATATTTTTGCTAGACCAAAAGTATCTCGCTAAAATTGATTTTTCAAAATAGAATTTTATTACGAAATTTTCTGTTTTCATGGCGCGTTTTACATAATCACAATTTCGCAATCTTACATAATTTCCAAGTTAAATAAAATAATATAGCAGTTTAGCAACACTGTGCAACTGGATGACCTAATCATTATTTTAGCTGGTCCAACGCCAGTGGTCATGGAAAAAATGAAAAAGCAAAACCATTCGCCACCCAAAAATACTCAAACCTACCGTGACTACAGAGAAGAATAATGTTTTGTAGGGGAACGAACCAAACAAACACATTTGCGTCTTAAATTTCGCAAATATTGTTTTTCAAAAACGTTTCTTTATTGGGCCCCTTTTATCGGGCTCCTTGTCTGAAGATGTTTTACGATCTGCGCATATATTGAGGAAACCCTTCTCTAAAATGTTGCTTAATAAGCTCCTGTATTACCGGCATCAAGCAGGGCCTCTACATCTCGAGTAGCTTTATGGAAAAAATCCTATCAAGAAAATTCCAGGGGGCCCCAAATGTTATTTCATTTATCTAAGGGTCGAGTAAGGTACTATTGCAAGGTCATTTTCATCATTTCATATTGCCAACTAGCAAGGTGAGACTGTTTTGCTATCGATTCAGAAGGTTTTATGGTGTATCACACTCAATAATCTACAGAGTACAAAATCTATTAACACATGGTGTCAGCCAAACATTCTGAAACTACCCATTTCGGAGGCCACAGTCAAAAGTGTTGGAAAACACCATAAAACCTGTTGGACCTGGAACCATATTCGCAAGAGAACCGCTTATAAAACAAAGATAGTGCGTGTCCGCAATCCCAAAAGTCCCCAAATTTCCCACCAAAAAAAGAACGGTTAACATTAAAAGCCTATTGTTTCTTTCCGTAAAAGTAACCTAAAGAATTGACTGTAATACGTACGTCATTGTACTTACATACAAACTAACATCTATTTTCCTCATCATTTAATAGATAATTGAAGTTTCTGAAAATACATGACTCCCATTAGTGTACCGAAAGGGGCTTTAGATATGGGTAAGGTTGCGTTATCTTCATCCGGATTAAGAGGTAAATGAAAGGCACTCACCGTAGACGACAATATCTCGTGGGGACAACAGCTCAGCAGGAACGATTTGCACACCCTCGCATCATTGAACTTCACATGGAACTTATTGTTCTCGCCTAAAACATAAAACCTCATTAAAAAATCGATAAAACTGCAGTCGCGATAAAAAACCACCGTTCCGGCCGGTCCCCATGAGTTGGTCCAACATTGCCCGCATTTGATCATGAGCGGACATGGTTGTATTATTTTTCCACGTATTTACGGAAACAGCATGTAAAGCGATACACCAACGCACAACAGATTAAAATGGAACAGCAAAAATCAAAATGGCGACGGGGCGACACTTCGCTGACAGATTGCCAACGTAACAAAATCTTCCGTTTTGGTTACTTCGCTGCGAATCAGAATAAGATTGAAAAAGAACGGATCACTAATAATATTTATCGATAAGTTAAGGGAAAAGGACTTAATAATACACTTTACGAATTTATTTCTCCAGTATATGAATGAAATTGCGTGGACTGTTTATAAAGAGTTGGAAAAAATTTTAGCAGACAGCCGGCTTTTGTGCGTTCGTTACCACAATCTGCAACGAATGTTCAACAAAAACTCCGATCTATGTTTTCCGTTTCTGTAATTTTCCCAAACTACTGTTCTATGGTTTCATATATTTATTTTACTTATTAAATCCATTTTAGTAGCGCTAAATATGTATTATGCATTAACTCTAAAAGGGGGACTTTTATTGTGCTAAATGAAACTACAATTTTGCACCAAACATATAAATAAAACTTGCTTAATTCTCAAGTTCATCTTCGTATCCATCAGGTAACGCATTTACTTTGGGGTTGTGGAATAGGCTTTTGTTGCCATCGCCCCAGGGGAATCTTTTTGTGCGGACCCGCATATATTCGTATTTAACGAAGGGCGGCCTTTCGTGGGGGTGGCTTGTCTCTTGAATGTAGCAGTTTACCGCGCACAAGATTATCGAAGGGAATGCTACGAAAAACGCCAAATTTTTCCATACTTTGTAACCGCCTAAAAAAATAACAGCAGCTCATTGTTATTTTCTTTTCTCTCGCGGTTGCGAGCCCGACGGCTTATGTAATACACTGAGCACGGGAATAACGCAATGATTATTTATACCTTCATGTCCCCCAGAAACCGCCGAAGGACCTCGTACCTGAACGGTGGAGGCGGCGGCCCTTTGCAAGGAGGTGTGCAAAAGTCGACGTAGCACGTAGTTCGGAATTCCGGCCATTATCACTATTTAACAAGGAAAAGTTAAATGCCACTCAACTTTGACGGGCCACAGTTTAGGTAGAGGAAAATATTTCACGTACAGACCATAAATAGGTTTTATATGGTTTTGTAGTGTGGTCTGTCACCACTCACAGATTTAAGAGCCATATAGAATATCTCGTTGATATTTTGGTATATAAATTATCTACAATGTTATTTAACCATAGGTTAGTAATAAAATCGTTGGTAATTTAGGACAAAGTTATAGTTACTAAAATTATTAGTTGGCGCAACCATAACTCTTTATAGCATTCTTGTCCCGTCTTTCCATTCATTCTGTATCATGAGACGTAAGCGATACTGTTTCCGCGATAATTTTGAAGCTACACCTGATGTACCTAAAGTAAACAATTATGAAATGGAACAACTAAGCGTTTGCGCATTTTATTTGAGCATTATTTCAAATCTTGTCGATTTTTTTTGGTTTGTCTAATTTTTTGAATATATCAGTCCGGCAACGCTGTGCGCGTATATGTCATTTGGCTAGGTGATTTGCATGCATTCCTTTTTAACTCTGCAAGACATTGGAATAACTTTCAAGTTTTGTACGAAGTCCTTATAAGACGTAAAGCCTTTATATTTGGAATCTGCTTGGTTTCCCGCAGTTAGCGTGAAATATGTAGGTTTCGTCGGAAATGGACGAATGTCCCCGGAAGGGGTACTTAATTAGAAGAAAATAAAGCCATTTCCTCAACCACCAAACTGTCAAATGGGATTATGAAGACGGCGGATATATTTAATAATCTTTGTTTAAAGATCGAACAATTGCAATCGGGTCGCACCGAGGTTGACAGGAATATAATCTCCAATACGCTCGATGGGTTAAATTCTCTTAATTACCTGGACAGCGTGGTGAAAAACCCGACGGTAAATGTAACCCGATCGAGAGTTGGTGTATTTACTGGGTATGTTTATAGAAAGCCGTGCTGCTGGTGAATCAGCTGTGCAACTACGTGCCGCCCGACGACGGTCCGCTGATCGCGAAATGCTGCAAGTTCGTGGTAAACGTGATAAAGTTGCAAAACGTCAACATCGAGGGCAGGACGTTGACCGTGTCGGTTCAGTGGGGCCTTCGGGCCCTGAGAGCTAACGACGGCGAGGTCGCGGGCGACATTTTGGCCGCGTTGGAGTCGCTCGCGCGGAGCGCCGCCCCGAATACCTCGCTGATTGACGGCGTAATCAGGGAAGTGAGCGCGTTCCTGCACCATCAGGGGACTCCGCGCGAGCGGGTCTCACTGGCGGCGCTGGAATGTCTCGGAGCGTGCGTCCTTGCCTTAGACGACCGCTCATCGTCGAATTACCGCAGGTGCGCCGACGTTTTTTGCCGTCACCTGAGCGACGCGACCAAATCGTTGGATTTTGAGGTTAGGGTAAGTCGGGATTCGGACGCGGGACGTCCTTCCGGTCGCTTTCAGGTCGCCGAGGTCTGCTTGACCGGCCTGCGGGACGTGATCGCGCGCCATCCCGACTATTTACGCGACGACCTCGGACTAGTTTTGGGCATCGCAAAGAGCTACATGGTGTTCGGCCTCAAGGACGTCGGCTTCGTCGAACCCGCGCGGCTGTTGCCGTCCGGGTTCAGCGTGCCGGAAATTTCGACGACGGCGGCACGCGAGAAAAAGGGGGGAAAAGTGACGAAGCAACGGAAGCACCGCGCATCTGTAGACAAGAAGGAGCGTAAACTCGACGGGCAGCCGGGGGCCTACAGGCCCGCCAACGTTTCGTTGCGCCACGACGTCGACCAGTAGGTTTATTCGCGTTTGAAAAGGCGTCGTTTAATGGTTGAACTGTTTCAGGGGCGCGAGGACGAGTGATTCCGATGTCTCGGACTGCGAAGGTGGTCGATTCGCGAACTTCAGTCGCAGGAACGCGCAAATACGGTGCGCCGCCCTCAGTTTGTTGTACCACGCGGTCGGGGTGAGTGAAATTCGGCAGTCGGTGTTGGCGAAACGATGACAGTTTCCGTAGCGTACCGACAAACCCGTCATGTTCTCGTACTGGGCCTGCCTAATGAACGGCGGGCCCCACACATTGACCATGTGCATCCTGAAGGATCCCTCGGGCAAGTGTCGGATCGCCGCGTTGAACGTCCTCCTCCAGCTGCTCAACATGGCCAAGGCGTATTTGTGCCACGCGGAATACAGGTATTTTTTTTAGCATCTTCTATATATTGTTTTATTTGGTGCTCTAAGAGTTGCAAATAATGATCTCCAGTTAACTTTTGATCTATAAATATTGGACCCACACCATACATTAATTGATCGGTACCCCTGGGTTTTTATTTCGTGTATTTGCCTAAGGATTATTTAAAGACCCCGGGCTATGACTTTTATTTTAGGCATTTTTTGGATTATATTCAAGACCGTGAAAGTTGTACTCTTTTGGAATAAATTCGTAAAACATATGGCCAATCGGTTCAAACAGTGTTCTAGGCCGTATCAAGAGTAACGATTTTTGTATTTACGGTTTTCGTCTATCACATACGCTGTTCGAGATATTTGAAAAAATCCATATGAAAAAAGCAATCTTGTTAGTATAGGTAGATCAATTCCTAGGACGGTCCTGGAATGGTTACGTGTAAGGGTCTAAAGAGTAGGCAAGGTTAATCACGGGGTCGGTTGTAAAATCACATATATTTCTGGTCGAAGTATACATACGCAACCATATATCCGTATAGTGTGAAAAATATCGTTAAGACGCGTGTCCGGCTCCTTTTTAATTATTCGATCGATATTTTCAAGCGCGAGGGGCGGATCGTTCACGCCGTACTCGGTCGCCCTCGGCGTGACCTTGTCCGACCTTCATCGGACGCTGAACCTCGCCCTTAGCGACGTCTCGGTGCCGGTACTGACGCAGGCGCTGAAGTGCGTCGCCGCGCTGGTCCAGTCGACGCCCTATCACAAAATGGCGCCCGGAATGATCGCGAAACTGGCACGGAACGTGCGCGCGCACGTGTACCACAAGGACACGTCTGTGCAGGTGCTCGCGCTGATCGTGATGGGTTGCGTGCTGACGTCAGAGCCTACCATTCCCGAAACGTTGAGAGTCGTCGTACGGGGCGTCGACTCGCGTCACACCGACGTCGGCGTCGACGGCATCGTAGTCGACGCCGACGCTTTCGAATTCGCCGAGTTTTCCGACGATGACGGCGACGTCGAAGAAGGCGGGACGACGCCGTGGCTCCTGAAGCGATGTCTCGCCAACTTGGAGGCGGACGAGCAGGTCGTGCCCGCCCCCGTCAAGCTGGAGTCGCTCCAGGTGATCTCCGCGATGACCCAAAACTATTTCGCGCAGTTGACGGCGCCCCATCTGGCGGCCATCGCCGCCGTCCTCGCCAAGGCCCTGGCGGACAAGTACGGGGACATCAGGCTGCACGCAGGGCGGACGGTGGATTTTATCGGACAAGCGATGCAACGTGTCGGTCGGTATCGTCGTTTCTTCAATACTTTGTTTTATGTTTATTATTAAGCCGGGTCCAGTCGGGTAAAGTCTGTTCATACATATAATACAGTGACTAACTGTACTTTGCTTAGAATTTAATTATTTTTTTATTTTTATTTAATTAAAATAAAATTACAAATTATGTTTATTACCTATTTAAATTACTTAAAATTATTCACATACACTTCCATAAAGTGGTTCTGTCACATTTAACACCGGTTTCATCTTTTTCAAGCCTCCTAATTAAGATATCTAATGTAGGCACGCTTTGTTTCTCGTCTAACTGGTAAATTTTACGCCGTGTTATATCTTGATCACTTTCATCTACACTCGAGAAAATGTCAGCGTCGCTTCTTTTTTTCCTTGCTGAAATGGGATTATTCACAATTTTCCATGTGGGAATTTTCGTCAATGTGGCCGTTTCTTCTAAAGATGCTTGCTTGCTGGCACCACTTTCAATGAGAGTCAAACAAACATTGTTTATAACTTCCTTAGTCTCAATAGAATAGTGTTTTCCACATTTGGGCGGGAGCATCTCCTAGACTCGTACATATTTTGCATAATTCGCACACAATTCAACACACGCTGTATTACACACGAAATAAGAATGATTACTAATAAACTTAAACTAAGTAGTATACCAAACCAAAGAGTATTAAACACAGGTAGGTATAAAATTATTTTCTATTACGGACCACAATTTTACCTGAATTTAAATTCCGAAACTTTAGGTAATAATCTTGTTGCATTGTATGTTAATGACAACCCTTGGATAATCCCATTCAAAAGTAATTGGTCATTTTCTTATATTTATGAACAGCCCATACCCCATGATGCACCAAGATGGACTCAGACACAGATTTCTTTGCCACTGTCCTATAACAGTAAACTATTCTAAATAAGGAAATAAAAAAATAAATTCTATGGAAGGCGTCGAGGAAACAGGAACCTTGCAGAAACTTGTCAGAAAATCATATCAAGGAGTAATGCCGTGCTAGATCGCCGTTTCACCTGTTCTTGCAGACCCGGAACCGAATTTTGGGGCCGTCGAACGTCGCCTCCAATTTTGGGAACCGCTGCTCGCGGGTCCGCTTATTTCACTCCTACAGGACGAGACCCACGCGAATCTACGCGCCGTCGGCTGCGACTGCTTGGGCAGCGTCGGTCCTCTCGTGTTTAATCATCTGCCTCGCAGCAGGCAAATCTTGTGCGTCACGGTGTTATTCGCTTGCGCCAAAGACGAAGACGGAACGGTCAAGGTTAGATTTTTTTTTAAACAATTTTTCACAAGCTACTGTAACGCTATTTACAAATCTTGTGGATTTCTCCTGCGTCCTCAAGATCCGTCGCAGGAGGAATCCAGAAGATTAGTATACAGTGTGTCCAAGATAAGGATGCACAGCATGGGGATCTCGGAAACTATAAGAGATACAGTGTCGGTTAAATTAGACAAAAGTTGCGCATTTTGATACCGAACAAGATCCCGTTTTACAAATTTGAAAATTCCAAGCCGTTCCGGAAATATCCGAGAAAAACCGAAATATTGCGATTTCGTTTTTATTATTTTTTAAAGCTATTTGAAAAGATATGAAAAAACGGAAAACACTTTTCCATTGGCACTTTTTAATCTCTCCAAATTGACGTTAACAAATTTTCATTACAGCGTTTCGATTCCATGGAACCACCATCAACTTTGATTTTTCTTATGGGACGGAAAAAAAGTACACACAGTATTAGGTTGTGCTTTTCATTGCGAATTCAACGATGTACGATACAATACGGTTACTTATGTTTTTATCCAGAAAAATGGCTTTTTAATACATTTCTAGTATTTTATTGTAGTAGGCCATGAGATCCGAACGATGAAAGGCAAAAGAAAATGGTTGACAAGTTCGAGTTAATGTGTTTATTTATTTACTAACTCTAACTGTTCATTTAACATAACAACTAAATCCAACAAGTTAATGAAAAACAAATTCTATAACAAATTTTCGAATAAATGACCTCCATTTTCTAGGCATAAGTACGCCCGTCTCACGGTAGACTCCAAAACACGACTTAACATTTCAGGAGTAATTTTATTAAACGCTGCTCGTACTGATTGACGTAATTGTTCCTCGTTGTCAAAACATTCTTTGAATACCTCATTTTTTATGTAGCCCCATAAGAAAAAGTCCAAGGGAGTTAAGTCCGGGGACCTTGGAGGCCAAGGTGTTTCACTGTAAGTCCCAATGTATTTTCCATCAAACCGTTCAGTTAAATATTGGCGAACTTCTCTGGAGTTATGGGCTGGGGCACCATCTTGTTGGAACCAGCAGCCTTGCACAGCGCCTAGCGGTAAATCATCTAAGGCATCTTCTAAATCGTGCCTCAAGATGTCAAGGTACCGCTCGGAAGTTAAGGAATTATTATAGAAAATAGGGCCTATAATCTTGCTACCAAAAATCCCACACCAAATATTAAACCCAAAGCGAACTTGATGTCTGGATAGTCTATTAACACGTGGATTTTGTTGCGACCAATAGTGTGTATTGCGCCTGTTATAAATACCGTTATTGGTCACCATACTTTCATCAGACCAAATCACTTTATATGGAAAATTAAAACTCTCATCACACATCCTGGTATACCACTCACAAAAATGTCTACGTCGTTCGTCGTCACCCGGTTTTAATCCTTGACATATTCTGAATTTGTAAGGCTTAAATTCATTTTTCCTTAAAATAAACTGAGCTGTAGATTTAGCTACCCCATTCTGGTCTTCAATTTCTCTGGTAGAAGTTTGTGGATTTTCGATAACAGATTGTAGAACAATGTATTGGTTTTCTTCATTGGAAGGTTTTTGTCGGGATAATGCAGGCTTCTTAAATGATCCATATTCTTTCAGATTAAATAACAAACGCCGAAAAATACTCTTGTCAGGTTGTCTCCGCTCTGGGTATTTGTTAGAATACCTACGCTCGGCTTCCACACAATTTCTTTGGCATCAGATGTAGCAAGACAGCATATCACATTTTTCTTCGTTTGTAAAATTACCTCCCTCCATGGTAGAACAAAATAAATTAGAAAAAGACAACAACAATAAAAATACAAAAACAATAACTAAAGGAATAAACTTATGATCGACTGATAACCAAGACAAATAACATTAATGTGTCATTGAAATTGACTGGATGTCATTTTGTCATGGCCTACTCCATTTAAATGCTGAAATGTATTAAAAATCCATTTTTCTGGATAAAAACATAAGTAACCATATTGTATCGTACATCGTTGAATTCGCAATGAAAAGCACAACCTAATACTGTGTGTACTTTTTTTCCGTCCCATAAGAAAAATCAAAGTTGATGGTGTTTCCATGGAATCGAAACGCTGTAATGAAAATTTGTTAACGTCAATTTGGAGAGATTAAAAAGTGCCAATGGAAAAGTGTTTTCCGTTTTTTCATATCTTTTCAAATAGCTTTAAAAAATAATAAAAACGAAATCGCAATATTTCGGTTTTTCTCGGATATTTCCGGAACGGCTTGAAATTTTCAAATTTGTAAAACGGGATCTTGTTCGGTATCAAAATGCGCAACTTTTGTCTAATTTAACCGACACTGTATCTCTTATAGTTTCCGAGATCCCCATGCTGTGCATCCTTATCTTGGACACACTGTATAGCGCGTTATTTTATTTTTGGTCCCTGGTTTCTGTCTCGGAAAAAACAATCGTTGACTCGCGACGTATTAGGATTTGTAATGGGTAAAGATTGGTTAAAGATAATATAGAGTGCTCTAAAAAGTATGAAGCTGCATTAATCCTTCACAGGAGTCGTTAACTCTCGGAGAACTCTGGCAATATGATAATTGGGCACTGTGCAGCACCAACACCAGAATTGTCCACAAAATATAAACCCGTATACACATCATACGCGTTGTCTAGATACTGGGGAGTCTAATAAACCATATTAACGCTTTTTTGAAGGATTTTATTAGTTACATGTATTAGCGAATATAATAAAATCTCAATTAATAGATAATAACAAACACCAAGAAATTGCCGAAATGTCACTAGTAAAAACTGTCAACTACAAAGCTTCTGAAAATAACATAATATTTACACGTGCAGATATAGCTATCGATCTCCCAGAATATATTTAAGAAACCATCAATTTTCTTAAACCAGAACTTTTCCAATGTATCAAACACACGAGACAAGTCAAGGAAGTAATTACTAACTCCACACTATTTAGTGACAAAGATAAGTATTTTTTAACAATTATGAATCCATGCCGATTAGGCCAGTCGTGTTTTATGTAACAGCTCCAGCAGTCAAACTCTCAACAAAATTCGTAAATATTTTAAGTTCTACACAGATTTTATACCAAAATTTGCAAAAAAAAATGCCTTTATCAAATTCATTTGATAAAGGCACGGTGTTGCCGAAACGGCTGTCATTTAAATATATTTATGTGAAAATCTGTTCTTATTTAACTATTTTAAATGGATTTTCATCAAGTAAAAGCCGCTTCAATGCAAGTCTAGATTCTAATTATGCTACACACTTAAACACAGAAAAACGAATTTTTGACGACAATTTTGACATTTTACATACAGCCACAAAGAGTAGTAAATTAAATTTATTTTAAGCCATGGAGATTAACAAAATGAAACATTGAAATGTATCGCTTAACGATCAATTAGATTTAAATACCTCTCCTTTATTGAACTTAAATTCTCACAACAACATTAATTATGGTTTTACTGTCATTTTTCGGTATATATAGTAGCCGGTAGTTTGTAAATATTACATTTGATAAAGACACGGTTTTGTCGAAACAATTGTCATTGGAATATATATAATTTCGTGAAAATCTGAATTTGTAGTTCTTATTTATTTTGATAAATAAGAATATTCGTAGCAATGTGTTGATGCCTCGCTACTGTTATACGTTTTGTTACTGTCGTGTCGTCTTCTGTATTAATATTAATATTTGGGAAAACCAACGTTTGTCGTACTAGGACGTTCAGTCTTTATCTATCTATTTAATTTTGTTTACGTGAATCTTATTTTATATCGGGCGGTTGGAACGTTGGTAAAAAAATAAATATTGTAAGGGTGCCGCAGTGCGTGCCCTCGCCATATGCGTGTTGTACCCTTCTCTGAGAAGCGATCCGGGTTTTGTCGAAGACACCGCCGCGGTTATCCACCAGGCTCTCACGGACGACAACCTGACGGTTAAGATTAAGGCTTCGTGGTCGCTGGGCAACTTGAGCGACGCCCTCGTTTTGAACAGGTACGATGGCGTTTCGCCAACTTCTGATATCCTGTACATCAAAGTGTCGAAAAGTTACGAATTACGAATGCGAACAACATTATACGTAACAGTGTGGTAAATAAACAGAACAAAATGTCAAGCATCAGAAAAGGGGGCAGAGAATGCTGTATTCATTCGTTCATCACAACACGCCAATGAACACTTGGAGGACGGGAAATTTGAGAGAAGCGCGTATAAGAAAGAAGTTGAGACATAGTAAAGAAATTATTAGTATGAATAATACTTGTAAGAAACCATGTAGGTGTTAAGAAATTAAAATTATATTAAAATGATCTAAGAAATGCCGAAAGTGCGTCACTAGTGTCCTTCACCTCGAGTATGTACACCGTGTGCCAAATAAAACGATCCACTATGAGATCTGGAAACCTAAAGTTTCCTACAAACTAACCAAAAGTGTCCTCCGACACCATTTTTGTTATTTTAAACGGAACCCCCTGTATATTTCGACATTTTTCGAATTCTTGGTTAAAACAAAGATCGCTTTCTTAAGCAACGTAGAGTTTAGACAGAAATTGGGTTTATGTCTTTTTTTTTTCATATTTTGATTGCCCCATATAAAATTGTGTTGTGACGCTACTGATGCAGGTATTGCAACGAAAATTTAACCACGGACTAAGTTTGACAGATGCGCCTCAGCTTATACAGGGTATCCCAAATAGGTGGTGCCGTTTTGCCGAATTCAATTAACAAAGCCTCAAGATTTTCAAATATTTTTATCAGATATCAATTCCAAGATAAAAAATAAGGTTAATATATAATTTATCTTATGTTTAAATTTTACTTACTTTTTGAGATATTCCATATTTAAAGTTGCACACATTAGGTCACGCAATATTAGGTATTTTTCAAATAGTATCCTACGATCCTACTTCTTTTAAAGATATAATACTCCAAATATGCTAATAAAACCCATTGCTAACAATACAGATTAATAAAACTTCAGAATTCATATTTAAAGAAACATTTAGCTTGATTAAAAACATCTAATAAAAAAATTAATCATTAAAGTTTATAGGCTGATTAATCAAGGTAAAAAATTTGAATAAATAAATATAAAAAAAAACTAAAAAGTGTTAATTCATCGGCATCAAGACAATAAGGATTTATCAAAATGTTTAAAAATGTAGTTGGCTATGACATCACAATCTTTTTTTTTTGACGATTGAGGTATAAGCAAATTTGACATTTCTGTTTGTTTTTGTTGATTTTCATATTTCTATTTAAAAAGTTCATAGTTATCTAGTTTTTTGTAAGTATATATTTTATTTGTATTTTAAATAAGTTATAGTTTTTTGGTTAACCTATAAACTTTAATTATTTAATTTTGTTATTTGGTATTCTCAATCAAGCTAGATAATTACACAATTAAATGTTTCTTTAAATATGAATTCTGAAGTTTCATTAAATCTGTTAAAGTGTGTAGTATAGAGTCGATTTTTCTCAAAATCTCCTCGTATTGATGGACACCCTGTATTGTTAGCAATAGGTTTATTCGTATATCTGGAGTATTTGCTATTTAAAACATACCTAATATTGCCAGCAAGTGACCTTGTTTTTTGTCCTAGAATTGATATCTGAATAAAAATATACGATGTTCCATCTAAAAATCTTGGTACGGTACCACTTATCATCTCCTTCGTCTCGTTGTAATACCTGGATCAGTAGCGTCACAACACAATTTTAAATGGGGCAATCATAATGTGAAAAAAAAACACACCCTCAATTCAAAGGTAGACGGAGTTTACTTTGTCATAAAAATATGAAATGTTTTTCCTACAGGTTTTTACTTGGATAAGGCACTGTGGGGCGCGCATCAAATAAAAATTTTCACTTATCTAGAACTTGTTATTTTTATGATGAAGCTTAAAAAATGTTAAATGAGCGATACACACCAAAAACCTGAACTGTTAATTTTAATCTATATGGAGTGGTCCATAATTAATGAGGAATAGGGCACGGATCTGTAGATTCCAGACGAAAAAAAAAAAACAAATACCATGGAATCCAAAACTTACCCTATAGCGCATTAATTATACAAAAGTACTTGAAAATCTGCATCGTTGACCTAGTAAAAGCCTGTAAGAATAACATTTTGTGTTTTTATGAGCAAGGTAACCTCTACCTTCTTAGGAGTTACCAATTTTGTTATTAATAAATGTCAAATGTATTAATTGAGCACCTTAAATAATGTTGATATACAGGGTGACACAAGAAAGTGGGAACAATATAACTTTTGAACGGCTTGAAATAGAGATTTCAAATTTGGATGGCTTAATATAGGCTGAATGTCCATTTTTTAACAATATGTAGTCAATGCTTACACTTCCGGTTTGAGCGGAAACGACAGGAATTTTCGAATTTTAAATTTCGCAACATATATTTTGTGTAAAATTGTGTCTAGGAGGCTGTGGCCATTATAATAGTATATTATGCAACAAGTGCGGTAAACGGCATTTGACTCACGAGTTTATTTGACACGAGCGGAGCGAGTGTTTAATAAACGAGTGAGTTAAAAAGTTTACCGAACGTGTTGTATACTATACTTTTTCTACGACCGTTATTTTTTTAAATAGCACCCTATTGGGAACAAAAACTTTTTAAAACCGGTACCTTTTTTGTAACATTTTGACACAAAAAAATTCAAAATACGTTAAATAATAATATCACAGGAAGGAAAAAACAGATATGTAAATATATTTTTATAAAAACAAAATATTAAGTTATAGTTTCCCACTTTATTGTGTCACCCGGTATATATTAGTTAATTATTATTTAATATTTACTGGTGACTTCTGTATAGAAAGATAGAGGCTGCCTACCGAAACAATAGCAGTTGCACCTGGCAATTTGGCTTGCGAGAAACTAATATCTAGGCGACTCACTTTTTTCCAGAACTTAAATCTTCTAGTTCTGCAGGTATATTCGATCGCCTCCACCTCTGCATAGAGGTACATACTGAGTTGAAGGACACTAGTAAGGCAGTTTTAATACTAATAATTTCTTCATCTTGTCGCAAGTTCTTTCGGTCTCCTTTCTTTCTTGTACACGCTTTTCTCACGCAATTCTTAAAATTCCTGTCTTGTTGTGTTGTCCCTTCCTTAAAATGAGTACACCATTCTCTTCCACGTTTCCTGATGCTTGACATTTTGTTCCTGTACACAACTACCTACAAAGGATTAAAAAACACTATAAAATGCGACGCTAAACGTGGAAAAGTGTTTTTTGAGCAACTAGAACATATTAAATTATTAATTAAATTAATTGTTTATAAACTAATATTTCTGTTTATTTATCTATGATCCATGCAGCAACTTTTCGACGTTTTGCTACCATCTCGGACGTTCGATTTCCGATTCGTTTTCCAGCAAATCGGACGACGGCGCCGAGACGTTGCCCGACGTCCTGCTCCTCAAACTGCTCGAGGTGGGGGTGCGATGCGCGTCGGACAACGAGAAAATCCGTACGAACGTGGTCCGGGCGATCGGGAACCTGCTCCAGCTGGTGGACGCGAGGCTCGCGCTTCGCGCCGACTTTAGGGGCGCGTGCGAGCGTGCCCTGACGTCCCTGGTCAAGAATTGCAGCAGCGGCTCCAATTCGAAGGTAAGACGAGATAGGTTAACTCTTACTAACTTCCACAGGCCAATGTAATACTTTTTATAAGATCTGTTCGATAAGGTTTGATAAAATTTTAATTAATAAACGAATATGTTTGGATCATATTTAATTGAAAATGCTCGATTTTATTAAATATAGTGTGCAATTATTATTTTTTTTAATTAAATATGTCATATTGCTATTATTAACACTTTGCTATTTATTTTAACTGTTCCATCTTGCGTCGGTTTTTGCTTAGTCGAAATTGCTGACGTTTCGCCAATCATCTTGTTGGCTTCCAGAGCTTGACTGAAACGGGGGGGGGGGGGGGCTAATGAGGGGTATGAATACTGTCTCGGATGACTGATTCTCAAATTGGTGACCTGGTGAGCCTAGTGGATATTTTTTGTCCGGTCTCTCCAATGTATTCTTTGCCGCATATGCGTGAAATGCTGGAAACTCCTGGCATCTCAAATGGAATCTTATCTTTGACGGACCGAAGATGTTGAGAGATTTTTGGACAATTATTATTATGGCAATACTTTTTAATTCACTTGAAATTTTCCCTAGAGAAGCGAACTGGCCCCTAGTGCTTTTATTTTTGAAATCATACAAAATTTCTCTTAGCCCTGATGAGGTAACAGTTTCGAAATTTAATAAGCTTGAGCGTATTTTGCAATACTTACCCGACCAATCTTTATATCCATGGTCCTGTCCTAATACCTTTCGGGGCAAAAATTTTTCTATACGCTCCATCTGTCTCGCTCTATTTTTAGGTTAGGTGGAACGCGTGCTACGCGCTGGGCAACGCGCTGAAAAACCGTGCCCTTTATGACGTGCTCGACGGCGCTGCCTGTCGTCCGACGGTATTCGCGACGCTGACCGACCTGGTGGTCGGCTTCAAAAACTTCAAGGTTAGGATCAACGCCGCGGTGGCGCTGGCGTCGCCACCGGAACGCGCCCATTACGGCCCGTTTTACGTATCCGTATGGGCGTCCATGTTGAAAGCGCTCGAAAACTCGCAGAACATGGACGATTTCAGTGAGTACAAGCACAGGGACCACCTTATCGAACAGGTGAGGCAGTTGGTGGAGACACCACATAATATAAGATTACGGATTGTGCAAATAAATATATATACGTAGTGCATTCAAAAAGCAAGGCGAATTTTGCAAATGGGTACATTCAATCTTCGATATACAGTCGAAACTCTATAGAGCGAAATTGAAGGGACTGCTTTTTCTTCGTTATGAAGAGTTATAGGCACTTGAAAAATAACAATACGCATATGTGTTCTGTAATATTTAATTATTTTATATACATATTTTAACATCTACATAGGAACATTTTATATAAACATTTAAGAACTACATTTAATGTTTCAAAAAATCGGTCATTTTCTTTTGAATTTTTTTAGTATGCCAATACCCATCTCGTTCTTTGGCTCATATTTTCACCATTTCTTCGAGAGGGGCATCTTTCCCATGATATATAACAAAATTCTCTAGCAGCTTAACTGAATATAGGGCTTGTTGAATATTGGTGCTCCCCGATCAATTTCTTCATCTCTTTCTTCCTCAGCCTTTCTTGTTTGTTGTAATATGGCTTCCTCTGTCAAGTCTGCTGTTGTATGCAAATCCCGATCTATCACCATAAAATCTTGCAATTCCTCACTTGTAAACGTAATTGTTCTTTAAAACTGCTTTATCCACTCCCTTAGTGGCTGATCATTTTCCGCATTCTGTCTCAGTAATAAGTCCTGCATGACGATAGGAGTGTTGTGTTAATGGAAAATTTGCCTTTGGGCTCGATCATTTTCATTAAAATGTTTTTCCTGTATCGACTCTTAATACTTTTTATTACGTCGTCAACAGGGTACTTTTCTGATAGTTTTGGCCACGTCTTCTCCAGCCAATCGTTAGTGACGTTTCTGTCGACATCATAATTTATACTATGTCTCTGTTTGAATTTCCCCAAGTATCCTTCCGAAGCCTTGAAATCGATAATGCCAAGCTATTCAACAAACTTTTCTGCTTTTAGTTTTACGATAGCGCCAGAGAGTGGTACATTTTTAAGACGTTGCTGTTGGAACCACTGTTGGCTTACTTAGTTTTTTACTGCCTGCCGCTTCAGCGTGAATAATTTTTCCTTTGCGCTTCCGAATCGTGAATACAGTCGACGGTGTAAGTCCGTATCGACGTCCCACATCACTTTTCTTTTCTCCCCGTTCTATTTCCCGAATTAAAGCACCTTTATCACCTAGAGATAAAATTTTTCGCTTACTCGCCATGCTCGCCGTACTCGCTAAGTCAAATTAGAACTGATTGAAACAATGGTGTGCTTTTATATATACCGATAAAGGCATTAACATAATCGCTTATTACCAGGACGACCAGGTTCTCGGTAATTAGATTATTAGGGTAAGGAATTCTGAGAAGGTAAGAGATTATATTAATTACAAGTCGGCCTACATTCCTTACTTTGTTACCCGATGTGCCCTTTTTATTTCGGTATAGAGAGTGAGAACTCCGTTATACAGAGTGGATTAGTACACAGCTTTGTATTTAGACCTAATAGGACAACAAATTTTGTTCGTAGTACAAAGTATTTCGCTATAGGGAGTATGCACCGTAAATAGTTTTTGATAAAAATTTAAAGACACCTTACTTTTTGAACACACCTCGTATATATGGAGATATTATAGTTATCGAATTAGATCTATTTTTAATTTTACTTAAACGATAACGAGGTGCACGCAGAAAACGGAGAGTTTCTTGTAGAAAAGTTGTGAATGTGTGATTGTAGAATATACTTTGTCTTGCATCATTCGAAGACCGGAACAATAACGTCGGCATGATCCGCGATAACTCGAGTTCAATAGAGGTAATGGAATTCTAATCGCTCTTTTTTGGAGTCTAAAGACCCTAATGCGTGGCTAGAATTTACCGATGGTGTAACTGCATAATTTAGAACGGAACAATGCAAAATAGGACGTCCATACTAAGGTGTTTTTCAATTTTCCAATTAAGATTATCGCGTTATCGCGTAAATTGTTACACCAAAACCAAGGCTGAGCCTTTAGCTCAAGCGCCCATAAGTTCATTCTTCCAATCCAATGAAGAAAAGTAGCCCTAGGACAGATCCTTGTGGAACCCCATGTTTTGCACCTAACTTATTGTGTTCGATTTTTTAAAAATACGATTCAAAAAGTAATAATGTAGAAAATAGTTGATAATTTTGACCTTTTATTATTTATTATTGTAGCTGTGCATCGGACTGGCCCACCTGACCGTCGTTCTGACCGTCGACGATTTGGTCGCATTGGAAGAGTTGCTGAGGCTGTACCTCGAGGTATTTAAGGGTCACGCGCGCCGCGTGCTCGACAGACTGGTGCCCGAAAAGTCCAGCGAGCTGTTTTCCGCGTCTTGTTACCTGGACAACCTGCGCACGACCGGAAACCTGACCGACGCCCAAAAACGCGTCCTGAAGGACCTTCTTGACGTGTTCCGAACCGAATTCTAACGCCTACTTCGCGAATTAAATTATTTTTATCCGTCCCGTTGTTTTTTTTTTTAATCTTCGAACCTTTAACAAGCTCATTCTACGTGCATGTTTTTAAATAACGGTCCTGCTCTACATTCCACATGCATAAGCGACAGTAAAGAAAAGACCTTAAATGTTTGACTGATAGCCAATGTTGTCAAGTTGCACTCTCTCTCCAGTGTAGGCATTTTTTAAATAACGGCGCAATCTACATTTTAACTTCGAACCTTTAACCGGCTCTTTATACATACATAAGCGACAATAACGAAAAGACCCTAAATGTTTGACTGATGTCCTTTGTTGCCAAGTTGCACTCTCTCTCCCGTGCACATATGGTCAAACAATGACGAGCTCTACATGTTATCTACGAAAAATTGACTGCCTCGTTCTTCCTGAATGAGCGACAATAAAGAAAAGGCGTTAAATGTTTGACTGAAGTCCAATTTTGTCAAGTTGTGCGTACTCCGACGATTGCCTAATTTTCGTTCAACTTGCTATCAATTTTCACTAGAGAAGGGAGAGAACGGGAGATTTTTTTAAATTTAAATTATTTTAAAAAATGAATATTTTTTTGGTCTAGTTTTCTGGAAAATTTCTAGGGTGGTCCGGGAATTTGGGTTTTTCATGATTTTTAATATTGGTTCAAATTTTATTATTTAAAGTTATAATTCTCAGAAACTTGAAATTTGCTTTATTATACCTGCTATAACGTCAGGTAACTAATGAAAAATACGCACTACTTTTGGGTAAATGAGTATTTTTAAAAAATGTTAGCTTCCACATGCTATCATCGAACCTTTGACATTAATAAGGGACAATAAAGGGAATGAATGCGTTAAATGGTTGATGGAAGTCCATTGTTGCCAAGTTCTCTCTTCATCTTTGAACCTTTAGAATATATTACTAAAAACAAAACTTAGGGTTTCAATTTCCGCAATAGGATCTGTAACCCCGTTTTATTTTCACCTAAAGATTAATGGGATCTAAATATATTTAGGCAAGTAATAAAAATAAAAAAATACTAAAAATTAGTTTAAAACTTTTCACCTATTTACATTGGCAATTGATAAAATACTGTTGGCGTGAAAGTACCATCCAGGAGGAAGATGAAACAATGCCGACCGACTAAAGTCAAAGTCTATTTAATGATGCCCCACCTAATGTACCACCGAAGCATTTTTCATCAGGCAAAAGTTCACCAAATATTTTATTAATTCTGCCATTCCGTGCTTAATGTTAAGTTGATATATAGTTATCTTCTTCCATAAGTGATCGCTCAGTTTCCTTCTCGTATAATCTTCGTGACTTGTGTCACATAATACTCACGAAAACTGTGCCTGAACCCACGAAAAGACCGCGCCGGACGTGGAGTGTATTTAAAAATGTTAAAAAATACGAATATAACATTTCAGAAACTTTATTCGGCGTGGAAACAAAACAAAAACAAAGCCTCAACGTTCGCTGCCCTTCTTCGGCGCCGGCGACTTCCTCCGGCTCTCGGTACCGGATTCGTTATCGGAACTGAAACCGCACACCTTGTCCCCCCTCCATATACGACTCGACCACGCCCCCTCACTTACCAGCTGATGCTGCCCGACCTGGGCTTGCCCCCGGTCTCGCTGTCGCTCGCGCTTTTGCTCTTGCGCCTGCGCCTGGACTGTTGATTGAGGTACTGTTCCAGCTGGTGGTACCGGTGTTCCCAGAAGAGACCCTGCCTCTGCGCCAGGTCCGGATGTTTGCTCAGAAAATCGTAATCGGTCGGCAGGGATAGCTCCCACCCCTTGAAAAGTCATTATTATTATCATTATTTGCAAATGATAATACTAATAATTTATAAGAAATTTAGACATACGGGCCTAGTTCAGTTCCACGGGAATGCTGACCGTTCGTACACTAAACGTAGTATCCGACATAAAGAAATATACAAGAAAATGCATTTTAAAGCTTGTACACGATTTGTTAACAAAAAATAAAAAAATATTAATAGAAAATCACATTTCATACAACAAATAAGATAAGAATATGTTCCCAAAACAAATGTCTGCACAATAAAGTTTTTTCCCAAGTTTATAAAATTAAAAAAAAAGCCTGCTTTTGGTTGATTTTTACAATATAATTATTGTTGGAATAATATTTTTTATTTTAAGAGTATGATTAATCATTTTTTTATTACTATGTATTTTCAGATGTTTATTAATTTAATAAATTTCAATAATTTTCCCTTATATCGACATAATTTTTTTTTCACATTTTACCTTTCAAAATTTAAATTGAATTGAACCGTACGTCCCGCGCGTTTTCCGTTTAATCGCTATTATTTGTGCAAATTTTAACATCTTACGAAGTTTGCCGCGACTTTGAAGTTGGTCAAGTCGTGAAAGACACTTTATACAGGGTGTATGCGTAATAAAATTACATTACATAGACGAACAATGCGACGATTTTTCGAAAGCAATCTTGTCCTAGAATGGTTATAAAAGCACTATATTTTTGGTCGTGGTATATATCTTAAAAAATAACCCATAAAAATGCCCGTCGGGGGAAAAAAACTGACCTTGTTGTGCGTGCGCAGCTTAGACACGCCCGCGAAGATCTCCTTCAGCTCTTCGGAGGGGATCTTCATGACCGACGACACTTTTTTGCGCTCGACGTACTGCTGTTTCGTGAACAGGTAGAGCTGTGGGAAACGGATCGATCGGGGCCGCGGTATAAAAAAAAAATGGCGGCGACTTACGACGTAGTCTCTCGCGCGGCACATCAACTCCGACGGCACGCCGCTGGTCGCGGAAAACGTGTTATCGGGAAAAAGCACCTCGGACTTCACGACCCAGTTGCCCTTGACGAGGACCGCCACCTTCTGGAGGTGTTTCAGGAGGCCGTCGGTGGTCACGCCCTCCACGCCCGCCAGCAACATCATTATTTGTTGAAAGTGCATGATCTGGGCTTGAAAACGCATTCTCGAATCATAATTTTGGCCGTAACCGATTTAAAATAAACTATAATATCCTTCCGATAAGCATTTTTCTAAAGCAAACAATCTAGTAGGCCTAGAAAAATAAATGCATAAACAAATGTTGCACTGCATGCTGTCAGTCAGAAGGTAGAACTTGAAAAAAATGGATTTTTTAAAAGATTTTTCTATCTGACCTTGAATTGTTTCGTAGAAAGTAAAGACAAAGGTAAGTAAAATTTAAAAACGTTTTTTTTTTGTTAAAATTTAATCAGAGGTTATTTACTGCTTACATGCGCAAGATGTATAATTAAAAAACAAACACACACACACACACTTTCTGCTTGCTTGATTTTTTTTTACATATACCTACTTAAAACTATTGTAGAAACTAAATTTTCTTGTTTTATTGAGAAGGTACTCTGCAAACCTGAAGTTTTCCTAGGCTTAAGCATTTTTATGGATACGTCGGGATGAAAGCTGTTCACGACACTGGAAATAGATCGCTTAATAAGAAAAATAAATTAAAAAAATCTTAGATTGCAGAGTCTACAAAAAGGAAAAATGATGAAATTTGCGACCAGCCACCTAAACGGTGGAAAAAAAGTAATCCTACGATGAGCAGGTTTTTAAAACAAAACACTAAATGGTTAAATAGTAGCGTTCTTCCGTTCCCGCAAATGGATAACAAGCAAACGCCAACAAACACGCCGGGAAGACCCGAAAAGTCGTTTTCCTCGACTACCGGAAGCACTAGAAATCAAGCAAAGTTTAAAAAAAGACGGAAAAAGAGATGAAGTCGAACTGCTTAAAACGTGTCTCGAAACCTCTCCCACTAAGCAATGAGCTTAAAATATGCGTATTCGAAAAAAGGCTATAAAACAGTGAATATATAAAAAAAATAACCAATAACATTTCAGGTCGAATACATAAATCAGGTCATTTAGTTAATTTTCTATGGTCCTACCCTTTTTCGCAAATGTTTTAACGCTCATTCCTACAATACTCATGCAAATAAGAAACAAGCCTTTCAGTCTTTTGCTCCACCCTGCACAATTTTTTGATTTTTTTCCTACCTTATACTAGTGCATTTATAAAATTCTAAAGACAATATTTTTTATCTTTTCGACCGAAATTGTTATTCGGGAACCCGCCGTGCGACGCTAGCGCCATCTTACCGTCTTTGAGCAGCAACCGGCACTGTTCCGGCACGGGGAGGGCCCGTAACGCGTGCAGGGACATCACGTGGGAGGGGAGCGCCGGCTCCAGGGGCGTCTCTTCCCGGTTTTCGGGCACCAACAGGCTCATATAATCGGTGTTCTTCAATTCGGACCCTGCCACTTCGTCGCAATTGTCCGCTATCAGCTTCAGACGGGCCACCTCGCTGGCCGTGGTATCGCTCTCGCGCCACTCGCACTCTCGCCACGCCTCCTCCGCCCGTCTGGCTTCGAGCGTTCGGAAACTCACGTTTTCCGGCTTATTCCCGCCCTTCGAGTCCGTCTGCTTGAACCTGACGGTCACTTGTCGCGCGTCCTCCGACTGTCCCTGATCGTCGTCCTCGTCGTCCGACATGTTTAAAACGTCTCGCTTGCGTTTGATCGACCTGTCCAGGTAGGGGAACACGGGCCGGAACTGGAAGACGTCTTAAACCGGGGACGTTTTAACGGGAAAAAACCTATCGAGCGACGTCAAGGGCTCGATTTTTGATATATTCACTATCCATAACTCATTATTTACAAACCTTCTGGTTTCCGACTGCGGCAGCATTGCTTATACGTTGTTTGAGGAGTGGGCGGGGCTAAAGGAAGGGCGTGAAGATTGCCTGGGATGACTGATTCTCATATTGGTGACAAGTGGTAAATCTGATTTTGAAGTTCTAGTTCTTAAGAACTGTTGATATGTGATCAGTAATGTTTGGAATGTAAAGAAGAACAACAACGGCAAGTGTCTGAAGAGGGCGGAGCTTAAGGACATTTTAGCTCTATACACCCTAACATACTTTTAACAAAACTCCTGCGTCGGTTCTTGTTGAGTCGAACTTGCTAACGTTTCTGTTGGCTTCTTCAGAGCTTAATTGAAACTACCGGTTACTATATATACCGAACAATGACAATAAAACCTTAATTAATGTTGTGAGAATTTAAGTTCAATAAAGGAGAGGTATTTAAATCTAATTGATCGTTAAGCAATATATTTGAATGTCTCATTTTGTTAATCTCCATGGCTTCCAATAAATTTAATTTTCTACTTTTTGTGGCTGTATGTAAAATATCAAAATTGTCGTCAAAAATGTGTTTTTCTGTATATAAGTGTGTAGCATAATTAGAATCTAGACTATTGTTTTTAAACGCGCTTTTCCAATGTAAATTTTAGGACAAGATCCGCATTTCAACCTGTAGACACCTGATTTTTGAGATTTTGGACATTTCGTTTTATTGTTTTTTAAAAATTTTCCCATTGTGTTGTTAGTTCTGAAAGCTATTTTTAAACCACATTTTGACAAATGTTTTGAAACTTTTTCACTGGGTTCTCCTATGTATGTAATTGTTTTAAATCGTTCGTGTTCTGTATTTGGTTTCGAATAAATAGAGTTTATTGTTGTCTGGATTTGTTTTTTATTTATAATTTTATCGATAATAGACGGATTGTAGCCCTCGAATTATGTAATGAGTTAATGTAATTTAAAAAAAAAAATCAATTGTCCCTCTGTTCCAACAAAGCAAGCTAAGACATCATCCACGTATCTTTACCACCACAGAAAACTTTTACTTAAAGGATGTTCTAGTATGTTATTTTCCATTAACCTACAAAAGGGATCCGAAGGCAACTCCACACTTGCCGTCCTTCCTTCCATTCAAAACATCACTGATCACATTACCAATTATTAAATTGGTATTGACCACTTGTTCATCTTTGATCCGTCAACGTTTGGGACACTTGAAGTTTACAAAAACAGGGCGAAAAAAAGGCTAAAAGAATATGAAAGGGCCATAAGACTACCACAGCTGACAACCGACATTTCAGCAATATAAGAATCAGTCATCTGAGTCGATTTTTATGGCCCTTCTTTAGCTCCGCCCCCTTCTAACAGAATATAAGCTCTGTAGAAGCCAACAGACACAGGAGTTGTAATAGTATTACAATATACATTTCTCCTAAATTAGTGGAAGTACGCAAAAAAAAAGATGTCAAACTAAAAGTACTCATTAAGGCTTCAACCCAAATATTCAAAAAAGATACCACAATTAAAAATTTTTAAACCGAAATTAAAAAAAAATATATTAATAATTAGCAAAATTTAAATTATTTTTTTAGTCTCAATTGATTTTAAATATTCCTTGTCTTTATGGTCAATTTTGCTTAGTCAATTTGTCAAACGCATTACATTGTGCGCTAACTTTGACATTATACGATGATAATTTACGACGTTCCTGTCCCAATTTAAAACTGGGCGGGGTCCTACCCACCTGTCAAAGCGGTCAGATGAATTTCCTTGCCGTTGTAGGCGGCGACCGCGTAGTTTTTCGGCTCTCTGACCACACTGCTCGACTTGAGGAATATTTTATCGACGATTTCGTTCTCGAACACCACGGAGTCTTTCTTTTTCGCGTCGCCGTCCACCTCGTAGGCGATGAGCTCAGCGCGGCCCGAGTCAAAATTCGGGGAGTCCGTGTCGATTTGCATCTCCAACATGATCTCGCGGTTCGTCGGCTTGTAAAGGCATTTCCTTATCCTGCGCTCGTTCGGACTGTGTTTCCTTTCCAGCGGGTATTGGAACAGGTAGAGCGAGTTTTCCAAGCGTTTCGAGTGGATTATGGGGATCTAGGAAAGCAAAATTGCAGCCACGCAAAAGTGTTTTTTTTTTATTACCTCGCACACGATAGGATCGTCAGCTGCACCGTTTTCCGACGAATTTACTTCCTCCATTTCATATGGTGCCTACTACGATTTTTAGGAATTAACGGGAATACTTAAAATCTCAAGTAGATAACTTTTTTGGTTATTTATCACAGACCATAAACCAAAAATTGAAAAACTAGGAAATTTGGCCTATTGCCCTGACTAATGCTCGTACTGAGAACAGGTCCTCAAGAGGAGGAAAAGCAAGAGCTCCGTTATTCTATTGAAGTGGAAGACGACAATGAAATAGCGAGACATTTTATTCACAACGAAAACAAGCGAAACGGCAATAGAAACCGACAAACATCTTCGCTACGATTTTTATTCTGTGAGTGAGCAGATTCGCAACATCCAACGAGTATTCTGTAATGATCTCGCCTGTCAAAATTTAACCAAAAAATCGCTCGCGAACCGCAAAATGGAGAACGTCGTAGCTTGCATAAATTCCGCGATCGAGTCGCGAAACGACCGCGAACTGACAAAGAATCTGAAGTGGTTGCTGGACCAGGCGGGCACTCTGACGCTGAAGGACGCGGGTTTCGTCAGAACGTTGTTAAACTATCCGGCGGTACAGGTCAGGACGGCCGTGTCGGACGTCATTGCCGAATACTGCAAGCGATCGGAAAACCGAAAGCTGTTCACGGACCGCGAGATCGTCGAAAAGCTGACACGGTTCGCGGAAACCGAGGGCGAGTTGCGCGTCGCGTCGGTCCGTGCCCTCGCCAACATTTGCTACGAAAACGAAGAGGGCTGCGGTCTGATCGACGACATCGACGCGATCTTTTCGCTGTTGCAAAAGGCGCGAGACGATGATCCGTTCGCGACAAAAGTCTGCGGTTTGCTCGTCAATTTGTTGCACGGCCGCGACGGACTCTGCGAGGCGGCGTTGCGGGCGGGCGTTCTGCCAGCGATCGAAAGGCTGCTCGCGAAATACAAAGACGCGCCACCCGGACTACAAAACGAACTCTCGGTCGTCCTTTTGTTGTCAGTGCTGAACGCCCTCGCGGAGTACACGGACGACACGGAACACGTATTTAGTGACGCGACGATCGCGTCGGTCGCGGATATTTTCAAATGCTCGGACAGTTTGGAAACGTGCGTGTCGTGTTTGGAACTGTTCTCCGCGTTGTGCGAAAAGGACAACGTGAAACGCGTACTCGCCGAACGGGGCGTCTGCGACCTCTTGTATAATCTCATCGAAAAGTACAGGTACGACCGTCTGGTGGCTCTGCTGCGGAAAAAATTGATGCGCCGCAGGTGGCTGTGCTGGAGATGATATTTTGCGCATGCTTGTACGTTTGGGCTACTAGCCTGTACGGTGTATCATTTTAATTGTAAACAGTGACATCTACCAGTGTTTTGTCAATCGTTCATTTTACGAGGAAATTGTTTAAATTATATACCTGTGTGGAAATAGGTATTTCATTCAATATTCCATTCAACGCATAAGCAAGTCTACCAATCGATGTCGCAATTCAATACTATAGAATAATTATAACAATACTCCGATTCCTTTGTAATTTTTAATTCAGTAAAATCACATTCACAATTAAATTTTTAAAAATATATTTCAGGTTGAAACTGCTAATCTCTCAAATAATTTGCTTTTCAATGTTATTCTTTTTATTATTACTTTCAATAACTTTCTATTGTTCCATATTACTATTATATTTATCTATTATACTATATTTAATTTATCAATGTAATTATAACTTCCTATTTAGTTTTCAATTTAAACATTTAAGAGGTAAAGTGGAGTAGCTTTTGCTAGACTTTGCCTCTTCTCTACTGTATATAATAATATACAAGAAAAAAGGCAATTTATTATTGTAATTATTATTATTTATTACATTTTGGGAGAATAATAATATTGGCGATCTGTCAGCGGCCATGTTGCCAATACGTCATTGGTTTAAAACGGGATATTGAATCTTATGCCTGGGCGTCGTATTAAGATTTTTTCTTTGTAGGGACAAATTGGACAGCGACGCGGACTGTAGATCGGTGCTGAGGATGGCGTGTGACGTCATAGTGCTCGTGCTCACCGATGACGCGTGCATGAACCTGTTATATGACGAGGGGCGGGGCAAGACTTACGAAAATATGTTGACTTGGCTCGACTCGGAGGACCCCGATCTGTTGAGCACGAGCGTGTTGGCACTGGGAAATTTCGCGCGCAGAGACACCCACTGCATCGAAATAGTCGATCGCGGGGTGTCGAAGAAACTGATAACTTTGCTCGGCAAGTACAACGAAAGCTCTAGTCTCGAAGACGTCAACGTGCAACACGCGTTGCTCAGCACGCTCAAGAACCTCGTCATACCGAAGGAGAACAAGAGACGCGTCTTGGACGAGGGTGTAATCGAGATTATGTATCCGATGCTCAAGCTCGACAACAACATGGTGGTGTTTAAGTTGTTGGGCACGTTCCGGATGCTCGTCGACGGGCAGCGGGACGCCGCGTCCGACCTGGTTTCGCGTCGGGACTTCATCGAGAGGTTGGTTTACTGGTGTTACAACTCCGATCACTTGGGCGTCAGGTGAGTCCACCTTCTGCTTCGGATATTGTGAGCCTCATCGCTGGGAATTGGGTGATCTAGAGTCAATTTAATTCATTCGAACGGTTATTACTCCGCTTCTTGCTTCAGAAATTCTAATAAAACCGACTGCCTTCTTAACCTCGATCTCTCCTTTTCATTCTGTCAAATCCCCGTCCTGGCTATAGAAGTAAAGAAGAAGAAAAATTAGTCATGGGCAGAATCCGTATCGCTGATCTCGATTACTTCTGCCAGAAAGCGTATTGAATTTAAGCGATTAAGAATTTCTATGATTACATCCTGTTACAATTAATAAACATTTTCTTTTTGGGTTTTTAGTTTTAAGTCCCCAGCAGCTTAATTGTCATACGTCATTTAATGGATGGGACAGCCAACTCCTTCTCTTTATCTGTGGTGGGGTTGTTTAGGATGGAGGTCCGTAATTTCTGTTTGCAGGGGCGAAGTGCCGAGGATTTTCTCGTGGCTCGTGAAAAACTGTCACTCTGCGGATTTGTTCCCGACGTTCGTGTCGATCAAGGATAGCGTCGGCTGCATTGTCGACATGATCGTGTCGAACCACGCGGTGATGCAGAACGAAGCGTACAGCGCATTGGGTCTGCTGTGCGCGGGGTTATCGGAGCCCCATCTCGGACGTTTTTACGAATCGTTGATAAACGCGGAACTAGAATCCAAACTCCGTTTCATTACGACGAAATACGGCGCCAAGTGGAACGCAGAGACCATCGAAAACTTGCTCGGTTTGCTGGAACGTTTGTCGGCATCCGAAAAGGTCGTAGCCCAATTGCGAGACTCGGACTACGCCGACGTCCTGATCAGACTGAAGGACAACCCGAACGCGAAGAACCCCGACGAAATCGATAGACTGGTTGAGAAGTTTAAAAAGTAAGGGGCTTCCCGTTCCGTCGCGGTTCCAGGGCCGGTGTTCAGGTCCCCAATTAGCCGGTAGAGGTTGCCGAAGAGTTTTCTCCAGAATTTCACATTGTTCCGCTTCGAGTTTTGCCCTCACGACACCCGCGTCTCGTTTTTGTATCGCAAAATGTACAACGTTTCGACATTACATTCCTATTTGAATTTGCGCGGCGTTTTTTTTTTTTTTATAAAAACAGTTGTAGATATTCTGTGATGAAGGTCCGGACCACAGGGCATCTCTATATCCCACCCCACTTGTGTGTGCTTCTAGAAGGTTGGTAGAGAGAGAGATGAACCCCTCACTTAGACAAACAACAAAGGGGAAGGTAGGGTAATAGTTAAGAAAATTAAAGGAACTATTTTTGTCACGTTCAGTCGTCTTAATGCCAATTATAAAATATTGGGGTTATGAATTAAGAATATCAGAGGATTAATGTAAATTTAAAATAATACATAATATGATAAATTTTTTGAACCCCATTCATATAGAAAGTAGTTAAACTTTTAATAAACAAACCTTATAAAACGTAATTCTTAAAAACAGGGATTATTCTCATAATTTGGGGGTATGAACCCACAGGCTTAAATTTGTTAATCTTTTTATTAACGCGTAAATGAGGTACAAAAGTTTTTGAAACTTTTTACAAATTTTACAATGTTTTCTTAACCCTAAATAGTTATAAAACATATTTAATCTAAAATATCATAAGTACAATTTTGTTACGAACCCAAGTTGCCAAGTCGATCTCAAACGCCTAATGCGTAGAGTTATCTACTATCTGTGAATTTACTAGCAGTAAGCTGACGTCCGAACTATATGTAAAAAGTCTAGCAGTGTTTCCACAAATACAAATCCATAGGAACACTATATTTAAGCAACACTGGCTTATTTGTTTTTGCATTAGACGCTGTTTTTTGTGCGAGCATAAATTCGATGATGATGATTGATAGCATAAATGCACATCCGCAATAATCTCTTAAACCCCAAAATAGCCGATCCACAAACCATTTTCCGATTCACCGCTCGTCCGGACGTTGAATACCCGTATAATCGGTAATGGGCGGGTGTATTTAACTAATCTGCCCAATATAATAAGAAAAGATACACAGACCACAAAAGATTGTACAATTCACTTGCTTATGATTGCATAGGAAAATAGCGCCTGACAATGCAAAAAGTTCATTCTCGACGATCACCCTCAAGAAAAGTAATAGTTAGCTGGGGGTTACGGGCCGTGACCATTTTTGTTTTGTCTCTTAATAAGTTTGCATCCCTGGATTTCCCATGGAGGTTTGAACTGGAGCGATGTTTGGGAAAACCCCTTCCATTTAACGCTGTCTCTTGTGTAAGTATAATTATTTAAACTGTTAATTAGGATTATCGGTTATGGGCGAGTAGCCATAACAAGTTTTCCCAGGTAATAAAAGGAAAGTAAGAAGAAGGTTGCTGAGGGGTTTTATTTATTAAAATAAGGTTTTATTTATTAAAATTTTCGGCCGAAATTAGGATCCCTGCTAATATGAAAAAGAGTTAAAAAAAAAAACAAAAAACTGTTTAATTCGTAAACTAAAATAAAAGGTTCACTTGTACATATGGTAAATGGATTCTCCCGGATGGAAAGTTTTGACGCCCCGATCGAAAGTCCTGAAATGATAGTAGTCGGTCCCGGAAACCCGCTGGACGTCGAGGGTCCCAGTGACGTCCCCACTTTTGCCCGTTTTCAGGGGAGACACCACGACGTGCACATCGCCGATGTATTCCAAAGTGTTCGATATGATCCGGTCATTTTCTGAACCCACGTGGGTGCCGAGGATGAGGGAAACGTTGGAATCGACCATATTCGCGCAGCAATTCACGAACGTCACGATGTGCGCTATTTCGATCCCCAAATCCCAAAAGTGACTCAGGTCGTCGACGATCAAGTACGCCCTGTGGGTTTCGCTTGACGCCAGACCTTCCAATTTACATTTTATGCTCATAAAAATACGCTTGAGAAAGTCTGGATCCGCGTCGATCTCGCCGATACCGTCCACGATATCCGACAGGGGATCGATGACTTTCAAGTCGTCTGTTTCCAGGGCCCTTCGCAAATCATAACCTAACTTTTTGCCGACGTGATAGTAGTGGTTGAAGTCGTTGTGCAAGGTGACGAGGCACGCCCGGTGCCTCTCGTACAGGATTTGCTTCAAGAGGTGACTGATTACGAAGCTCGAATCCGCGTCGGCGTTTTCCCGGATCGAAATGATCCGTTCCGTCGGCTGCACTTTCAAAACCGACAGCACCGGATTCGACAATCTCGGATCCGAAAGGGATATCATTTCGGCCCGCCTAAAATCGAAAAATTGCCGCCGATTATTACGCGAAGCGTAATTTTGGCAGGGAGCAGTGTAATTTTGCGTTAATCGACATCGAGACTGACCAAAACGCGCGTTAACCTTGATTCGCGATTACAGCAATCAAAATTATGTCACGACGAGGTTACATGACAAGCGCTATCGATTTTTAGACAGCGCGATGTCGGTTCCCGGCAGACTTTTTTTTTGAAATAAACGCGGGCTCTAATTATACCTTGCACTTTACCGCCAAATTATTGTGCCGGGCTAACGGTAAGTTAATGAAATTTACGCTGCTTGCGCGAACATTTTTCACGTCCGTTCGCTTGTTGCTTTAACCTAACCGTGTGACATTGAAACGTCGCGTCAAGGACACTCGCAGGCGACGTTGCCGATTTTACAATTCAACGTACAAATAAAATCACGCGCGTGTGACGTCACCGCGTTCCCTGCCATAACTGTGATTGCAGATGGCGTCGCTACGGGAGAAACGAGCGGCCAGGTGGTATTTTGGCGGTATGGCGTCGGCGGGCGCCGCGTGCTGCACCCACCCCCTGGATTTGTTGAAGGTGCTTCTGCAGACGCAACAGGAGGGAAAAACTTCTCTCGTTAAACTAACCGTCAACATAGTACGCAAACAGGGCATCCTAGCTCTGTATAACGGCCTTTCCGCGTCCCTGTGCCGTCAGCTGACGTACTCGACGACCCGTTTCGGGATTTACGAGGTAGTCAAGCAAAATTATAAAACCGACTCGTTCGGTACGAAAGTTTTGGTGGCCGGGATGGCGGGCGCGGCCGGAGGCTTCGTCGGCACGCCCGCGGACATGGTCAACGTGCGGATGCAAAACGATATCAAGTTGCCATTGGAGAAACGGCGAAAGTAAGTCCGCGTTCCGTGGCGCGCCGCCGCTCTGTGGTCGCTGCCGCAAATCGTTATTTATTTAAGCCGCGGTTTCCAGCTACAAGCACGCCATAGACGGATTGTTCAGGGTGTTCAAGGACGAGGGAATCGCAAAACTGTTTTCGGGCGCGACAATGGCGACGTCCAGGGCCGTATTGATGACGATCGGGCAGCTGTCGTTCTACGACCAAATCAAACTAATACTGTTGAAAACCGGATACTTCGGCGATAATCTGTCTACGCATTTTCTTTCCAGCCTTTCCGCGGTGAGTATGTAAACGTGGCATGCGATCCGTCAAATCCACTCGCAAGCTCGACATTCGGGACCGCGACGATATATTTACGATAACTTTAAAATTTACGCGTGGGCGTCGACGAAGTTCTCTCATTGATTGTGTTTGCGAACAGGGCGCTATCGCCACGTCCCTAACTCAACCGCTGGACGTGTTGAAAACGAGGTCGATGAACGCCAGACCTGGCGAGTTCGCCAGCCTCTGGTCTCTGGTGGTTTACACTGCTCGATTGGGTCCGTTGGGTTTTTTTAAGGGATACTTGCCGGCGTTCGTCCGATTGGCTCCCCAAACGATACTCACCTTTGTTTTTTTGGAGCAGCTGAGGTTGAACTTTGGTTTTCTACCCCACGCCGTCCCCGAAGTAGCTTAAATTAGATCGATGTTTGCCGTGTTTGCTTCACAACGAAGCTAGATAATTGAAAAAGGATATTATATTTATTTTTAAACTATTGAGTTTTCTAGGGGCAACTGAACTAACCGGAATTTGGGCTAGATTGGTAATAATTTCGTTTAATTGTAAGCGATTGACGACATTTCAACGGAATGTCAAAAGTGGCGTTAACGATGATGCTTCATGTAGGTACAATTTACGAGGTTGCATAATTGTTTAGGGCTTTATTTTGGAATGCGTTGACCTGTGTTCACCTGCAATCGACAATACTCTACACGACTGTTGTTAACCGTGCTCAACAATGTATAAATGTTTTTTTAGGTTAAGTTTATTTTATTTTGCGCATACAGGGTGATCGTTATGAAATTGCAACGTTGGAAGTCTAAAAACTCTATTTGTTATCGTTTAATCATTCCTTTTTTGTACGTGTTTGTTAACATTTTTATTGGTATTACTTTGAGTTGTTTAAAAAACACGCTCTGTATGTGACCCCGTCTGACGCGGAAACAAATGCGAAATAAATATTTTTGGAATCTGGCGTCCGCGTTTTGCAACTGGGACCTTTTCGCTCCAGTCCCTGTTCCTCAACGATCCTCGCGTTTTAGGGATTCATCGCCACCATTATCACCCAACCGATCGACGTGTTGAAAACTCGCCTGATGAACGCGAAACCGCAGGAATTCGACAGCATCTTCGATTGCATCCGGTAACATATTTTTGACAGCATTGCAACGCTATAGTGTAGCTATTTTTGGCCCAAAGGGCATAAATCTTATGGCCATAGATAAATCATTTAACTAGATGGTCAATGCAATAGAACACACTGCTTTTACCGTGCTTCGAACGCGATGGGGGTGTAAACTAAATTTTACCGGAAAAAAAAATGCGGGAATTCTGGCAAGCGAAAACTTGGCCTACACTTTATGAAAATGCATTGAAACTTTTACGTAATGTACATAATTACATAACTAGCATGGTGCTGATATTTTCCTGTATAAGGGCCGATAAAAAATCTTATCGATTAGATTAATTTATTTAAAAATTTAGATAAAACAGTTTTCACAAACAGTATAAAGTATATTTCCAATCAACCATAGAACCTAGGGGCAGAAAGTCCGTCCAAAGAAACCACTTTCCTGCTAATTTAAGTTCCCAATGGCACACGGAAGAATGTTTTTTTATGATACAAGATAAGATTGAATCTAATAACATTCAAATACAGAAATAAAGTATAAAAAACAAAAAAATCAAACAAGAATACAAACGACGTAAAATAAACAAAAAAAACAAGAAATAAAATTTGATCCATGACGTCTGGGATACACAGTATAAAACCAAAGCAAGTTTAGCTGTGGTTTCAGTAGATTGTTGCTAAATCTACTACAATAATTACGAGCTTGAGAGTCTTAAAAAATTACTTGAGATTTTTCATTCAATCTGATTAATTTCCGTCATTTTGTCAAGATAGACTCGTTTGATATACATACCCATTAGACTCCTTGTCTTTGCTGAAGTTTTTGTGTCCAACAAAGTAATTTTGGGAACGAAGAAAGACAATGTGCAGCCTAAGAACTGCATATTTATTTTTATTTCTGCAACAGCATCAATAAAACACGTGGTTACGTGGTTTTGTAAATTCTGGAAATTTTAAAAAATCGCTTGTTTTGAAATTTTCCTGGTTGCAAATCTCTTCCAAAAATAAGCGTTGGCTTAATATGAAACAAAAAATAACATACATCAAATATTTATTAAGTATAAATAATGGGTACCTAACTAATACTTTTATTAGATTGTTATTTCCCTATATCTAAACAAAATTGTTGGTAAAGTAACAAGTTCACCTAACTCGATCTTCACAAACGTGGATGTTTGTGTTCTTAGTAGAATTATTCCCTACGCCTCTTCTGCATGCTTTTATTCTTTTTATTCGTCGCTTTTTATCTTCCCGCACATACATAATAAACATAAAAATTGAACATTAAACAATTAAAAACACATTTTTCAATTTTATTTGTTTTTTGTGAAATAAGTATTGTGTTGTGAAAAAATGGGCTAAGTTAAACATCTACTTCTTCTTTTTATCTCTGGCCGCGGAGCCAGGAAACCTGCCGATTAATGTCGCCGCTATTCCGCGGGTACCTTTTCGGGGACAATTTTCTCGGTTACGTGACGTTTCAGAAAGACCGCGCGACAGGGCTTCTTCGCATTTTACTTGGGATTCACGCCGTCGTCCATTAGGATCGTGCCGACGACGATCTTGCTGTTTATATTTTACGAACAGCTGCGGATGAACTTCGGCTACCTGCCGCCGGATGTCGCCGCCGACGGCGAAAGTTCGAATAAATCGAAATGACGTTTGCGTCTACGCGGCTGTTTTATTTCCCAACCCTACCCTTTACCTATGTTCCGTTGTCCGAATAATTGTATCGAGGTCGGCCGCGGGTCACGCGAAGATAAAATTTTCATGGCGCCGCCGTCCCGTGTGTACATTCCGCTTGACGGCCTCGTCAATTATGCACGGCCGCCTGCGACGCGACGCGTTTAAGCCGATTTCCGGTCTGTAACATCACGGACCAGCCTCGCGTCACGACAAGCGTTCTTAACAGAAAACTGGCGCCTCCCGACCCCGCGGCCTTTATTCCGCGGCGCAAACACGATAAGTGGAAAATAATTGGGGCAAATGAAACGCGTCGACGGTCCCCCACCGCCGCGACGACGCCGTCGCGGCGGAACTTGCCGCCCGCGCGCGTCTCCGACGTAGCACACGCGAGAAGATCGCCGCGGGAGCGACACTATGCCCGATCGTGGTTCAAAGTCGTTCGAGGTGGCGATAAAACTAGCGGCAACATGAGTCCGGAAACTCCGTCCAGTTCCGGGAGCGACACGCCGCGTCCGCCGGCCAAAAGCACGGAAGAGAGGCTCATGGTGGCGGTCAGGATACGCCCGCTGAGAGCTGACGAGTCGCATCGCGTCCTCTACGCCGTCAGCAAGAAGGTAAACGCGCAACACTTGGTAATCGCTTCTTCCACGGCACCCAGACGAACAAAAATCCACTCGTCACGCATATGAAAAGGGTTAAGGTTCACAGAAAACAATTCCTGTCCGTGACTCATCTCGGCACAGAGTACTTTTACGTTCCAGTTATCACATAACTCGACCGATGACAGAACGCACATGCGTATTTTATGGTCGGTTGATCGATCGCCGATCGATCCTTGGTTTTACATGTTTCAGCATAATAGCTGCGTTTGCCACAATACTTTGAACTTATCACTTTCGAAAGTACGCACGCTTGGAAACGAAACTTAAAATATTTTGAGTGTTTGTTCTCTCCGTTTTGTGTTCTCTCATTTAAATGCGAATAACTTTGGAACGTTTTGTGCTAAGTCGTTGCAATTTGGACCCCTTTAGTCCAAGAAACGCGTAAGCCTGTAGGAAATGGCCGCGATCGGAACTTGGCGATTTTCTTCTGTTGGTTCCCTAATGGAACCCACTGAAACTGCAAATGCACTGCACATATTGTACAGGGTGTTTTTTTTGAAAAAAATTGTGCTTGTTTGGCTGCCAGAAAACTATGAACCCGATTATGTACTAATTTTTTCAAATCAGAAATCCAAGAGACCCTGAAAATTGTTCCTTTCTAGAGTAAATCATTAGCCTTAAATCAAAATGCGTAAAAAATATGGCTATTTGGTTTAAATAGTACTATAGCCCGCATCAAGTGCTACGATTTTTGTATTTACGGTTTTCGTCTATCATATACGCTGCTCGAGGTATTTGAAAACATCCATTCCCACCCTCCATCTAGACGCTATGACGTCACTTACTATCACTAAAACTAACTAAAACTAAATAAAAGAGTCCAACAAAGCAGTATAAGAAAGGAGTTTATATCGTTTGCTACGATAATATTAATATAATAATAATAATATAATATGATAATAATAATATAATAGCTGTCATAGATACATGTCAAGGCAAGAAAAATACTGTGACCTCAGATTAAATGATTGTAATGTCTTGAGAAAATTTCCTGTTTGGAAGTATTTTTTGTGCAATAGAATAAATAAAATGGACAGGTGCATTATCGTGCAAACGACGCACGCCTCTGGTCAGTTTTCCTCGACGTTTTACACGTATGCAGTCTCGCAATTTATGCATTGATGTTGCGTAATATTTACCATTGACAGTGGTATTTGTTTCTTTAACATCCATCAAAAGAATTCCTTCCAAAAGATCGTGGCCATCACCTTTTTTGTTGACTGGCAGACTCTGAATTTTTTTGGAGGTGCTTCAGCCTTACGACGCCACTCCATTGATTCTTTTTTCGATAGAGGGTCATAATAGGGAACCATAGTTTCATCTCGCGTCACAATAGTTTCTATCACAGGCTTCGGTTTCGACCCACAGAATTTCAAATAAGACCGCTCACACTCGACATGGCGTTGTTTTTGAATAGCCGAAAGGCTTTTAGGAACCCATCTTGCATACCTAAATGATCATGCAGGATTCGACGAACACTTGTATCAGAAAGCTTAGTAATTTCTGAAATTTCTTTGACCTTTAAACGTCGATCACTCAGTACCACCTCTTCCACAATCGCAACAATATCTTCCGTTATGACCTCCTCTGGTCGACCAGTTCTTGAAACATCTTCAAGGGACTCTTGCCCCATGCGGAAACGAACTTTGGCCGTACACACGATCCAGCCTTTCTTTAATAATTTTAGGTGTTAACCCTTCTTTTGTTAAAAACTTTATGACTGCTCTATACTCAATTTGCGTTATTTGCGACACGCCTTGTTTGAAATGCTGTCAATAAAAAACTATTTGGCGCAAGACTTCAATTTTTTTTTCGCAGCCTACTAAGATATATATTTAAAAGAAGAGAAAGTTTTATCGTGATACTGGAGCTGCATCTATGTCAGTCCGGGAAATTTTGGCGCTAACCTCTTACATTCTTATATTTCTAATTAAAGAATAATGAAGAAAAAATATAAAATTAGATAACTTAAGCATCTACTCTGCTTCAACATATCCAACGAACGAATCCATCTTCATCTAACTATATGATAAAAAGGCAGAGCGTCTCTCGGTGTAAGTTGCATCATTTCGTTTAAGTTCTCAAGTTTCTCTTCAGAGATTGGTTTAGCATTTGGCCACGAAGGCACTAGAGATGTGAAAGATTAACTAAGATTATGATCGGGTAATTCTTTTGTAATTTAATCGATTTAATATGTAGCCAGTTTCTTTTTTCTCCTTTTTAGATTTGTCGTCTGCTTACAATATTTTTTTGAAATCAAATCAATATAGCCATCAGCCGTATAAGTTGGAATGATTTCAATTCACAGCCACAGAATAAAATGGTTGTTTCGCGTCTGAAGAAATGTATGGTTGACTGTGACATGATCCCACTTCTTGAGACCCTCGATCAGCTTCTCCTTCTATCCAAACGTAACAATATCCTCGGTCTTGTTTACCGCTGTGAATTCCAGCAGACCCAGAGCTGCAATATTTGTGCAATGTTGCTATCATTCTGTTGACTTCTTCAGAACTTGACAGTTTTATTTATGCTACCATTCCACTTGGAAATTTTCAGAAAAATGGTTTTCATGTAAACTAGCACACCTAGCGGATATGACGCGTTGAACGCGGGGCACTATTTATAAATTGATTTCGCGTGTTCTTAAAACTCATTTGAATATCTCGAACAAGGCGCGATGGCGGCGCTGTAAATATCCGCTACGTTATCCGGAACTCATCTCGGCGAAAAGTCTCCCAGAAAAGCTCACTTAACTAACGACTCCGACTAACGTTTTGATAGTTTGTTTCCTTATGCGGCTGCCCATTAAAAATATCGATTACGCTTCCGTACTCGCACGCGGTCGCCCATTATGTGGCATAAATCATTTCCCGGACCATTTAAAGCTCCGACTCCGGTCCCGAGGGAAAAATGTCACGCGACCGTTTTGTTTGGGTGAAAAACGGCAGTTAAATTACGGGAGCACACACATATACGAAGATCAGATTGATAATTATTAATCGTTTAAAACTGTTGATAGAGATCACGTCATTTTTACGTCGTGTCACAGAATCGCCTTACTACTACTACTACTACTGAGCGAGACAGGGCCGTCTCGAGGTGCATTCTACAGGGGCATTTAAATTACTAGCGTATACAAATATTCGAAGATATGATTGTTAATTAATAATAATAGTGAACACTTGTAATAATAACAAATAAAAAACGTCTATATTTTTCACTTCACGAAGGGCAGCCGAACTGCTAACTTAATGTAGCAAAAAAAAAATATCCATAAGTCAAAATATCATGAGTAAATAAATAAATGAGCTAATAATAGCAATAAACTTGGGAAAAAAGTTATTTCTTCTCGGCGTATCGGGTACCGGCATAATAATAATAGTAACAACAAAGGTGTTTTATTGATTAGACAATTCCTGTATACTCTGTTTCAATCTTAATCTTCAACAAAACTTTACCGATATTATTACCTATGGTTATTAGGTAAAGCCATTAACAAAAAAAATATTCTTATTTCAATGACAAGGCAGGGGTGGATTAGGTATACTTCTTACTTTCTGATATATTTCTTGAGGGCTGAATAATCGTTTTTACTGTTATTTAGCGAAAATATAACAATATAACAAACAAGTTGTCAAAAATTGTGGTTGACTACATGTACTCACCGTATATACAATAGTTATTAGGACCTAACAAGAAGGAAAATATTATGTCTTTATCACATCGATCACACCAATACAAATATAAGCCTTGCCAACCTCCATAGAGTTGGTTGTAAAATGGGATTTGAGTACCGCAAGATAGGCAAAAGGCAAGTAGCACAAATTACGCACTTGGAGATTTAATTACCTTCAAAAAATTAAAAGATGTGGATTAGACAGCAGATCCATAATTTATCTTGAAGAAACGTGCTTTGATACACGCTGTATTCATTTCATAGCTATTCCCGACGTTTGTTCTGTGGGTTCTCCACTATCACCAATCATCGCGAATATATTTACGGAAGCCATTGAGAAGAATTCTCTCAACACCTTTCATCTAAAACCAAAATTATTGAAACGCTACGTCGATGATACTTTTGTTATTTGGCCTCATGGTCAAGAAACCGTAGTAGATTTTCTCTCTCAACATCTTCGGTCCGTCAAAGATAAAAGTCCATTTAAGATGTCAGGAGTTTACAGCATTCCATGCATATGCGACAAAGAATACATTAGAGAAACCTTCTACCGACGAAAAATCCGAGAATCTATAGAAATCTATATACACCGTAACAATCTTAACCGCGACTCAGGTCTCTACCTGTCACCAATATGGGAATCAGTCATCCGAGACGGCGTTTATGCCTCTCATTTAGCTCCGCCACCCTCAGTCAAGCTCTGAAGAAGCCGACAGGATGATTGGCGAAACGTCAGCATGTTCGACTCAGCAAAAACCGACGCAGGAGGAATCCAGAAGTTTTGTAAAAAGTAAAAAAAATATGTTATTACCAATACCTTTGAGAGTGCGTCCCTAATGTTCTGTCCTTTATTACCAACCGGGTCTAAGTTTTATTGCCGTCGGGAACAAACCTCCATAATTGCGGACAAAAGCAAGCACGACAAGACACACAAAGACAAAAAATAATTCGTTCCTCACCAAACAACTTTCTTCCTCTAAACTGGAAATTATAACCTATAATCCCATATAGGTTTTGAACTTAAGTATTGTATCAAAAAGAGTACTTGTGTGAAGATATTTTTTTACTATCTTCAACAATTTCAACGTGAGTTTAAGAGTGCGAATGATGGAATTATTCAATCAATTCTCAATCAATGCAATACCATAACGTATTGACCACACGTCCTAATTTAAAGATCGTCGTGTCACAGAATCCCCTCACCACTAAGGGGTGTTTTTTTCGATGTATAGAACTTTGAGTTGCAATAAAACAACGATGGATTATTCGATTGACATGAATTTTATTTATTCGAAAGATAATATTGTGGCATTACATTTTAAATATGCATTCGGGCATATGACCGCCACGGCTGGCGCGGATGTAGACCAATCTGGACGTCCAATTTTCGATGACTTTTTCCAACATTTGTGACCGTATATCGGCAATAATACGGCGAATGTTGTCTTCCAAATGGTTTGTGGCTTATCCGCATAGACCAATGACTTTACATAGCCCCACAGAAAGTAGTCTAGCGGTGTTAAATCACAAGATCTTGGAGGCCAATTCACAAGTCCAAAACGTGAAATTAGGCGGTGTATTTCAATAAATCGATTGTGGCACGAGCTGTGTGACATGTTGCGCCGTCTCCTGGACATCATAGTTATTCAATTCAGGAATGAAAGAGTTAGTAATCATCGCTCTATACCGATCACCATTGACTGTAACGTTCTGGCCATCATCGTTTTTGAAGAAGTACGGAGCAATGATTCCACCAGCCCATAAAGCGCACCAAACAGTCAGTTTTTCTGGATGTAACGGTGTTTCGACATACACTTGAGGATTAGTTTCGCTCCAAATGCGGCAGTTTTGTTTGTTGACGTAGCCGTTCAACCAAAAGTGCGCTTCATCGCTAAACAAAATTCGCTTATGACAATCGGGAACAACGGCAATCTCGTTTTGGGCCCATTCGACGAATCTACGCCTTGCTTCATGATCGTTTGGCTTCAATTCTTGCACGAGTTGGATTTTGTAAGCACGTAAACCAAGATCCTTCCGCAAAATCTTTCATAAAGTGGATGGACACAGATTCAATTCCTGTGCTCGATGGCGGATGAACTCATTCGGGTCTTCCTCAATGCTACGCTCTACAGCAGCAATAGCTGCTTCTGTACGCACCGTACGGCGTCTCAGGGATCCGAGTTATCAATAAGAGTAAACGTGGTGCGAAAACGTTCCCCGGTTAATCGAATTAACTGCTGATGGACGATTTTGTCGACGATAAAATAAACGTAGTGCGCGATACGTATTCCGCACAGAACCATTATTTTCGAAATAAAATTGCACTATTTGCAAGCGTTGTTCAGGCGTGGTTTGGCAATTCATCATGAAACTGAGAATAAATCACTTGACAGCTGTTAAATCGGTCGCCATCTTGAACATTAATGCCAACTTAAAGTTCTATACATCGAAAAAAAACACCCATTACTACTGCTGGGCGGGACAGGGCCGTTTCGAGGTGCATTAAACAGGGTGGGTTCGCTTTCAGACGGTCGTCCTGGAAGAGGCGGACAAGGTGGACGTGCTGAGACAAAAACGCGGTACGGACAGGCAGTACACGTTCGACGTGGTTTTTGGCGAGGAATCTACTCAGGACCAAGTGTACGACGTGACTACCGGTGGCCTGGTAAAGGACGTGATCGGCGGGTAATTGTAGCCCAAGGCCCTGCGCACAGAGGAACGGCTTAGTATAGACCACAAAAATGTTCTTTATATTTTTAGAATTAAATTCACACGATTATTTAGAGAGAAGTCCATTTATTTTCATTTCGTTGTGATTTTGGGGTAATGGATATATCTTTATGCATTCAGTTTTGGCTACAAGTGTGTCTAATTACAAGTTTTACTACTATTTAAATGAAATGTCAACGAAAGGCAAGATATAAAAAAATTTAGTGTAAAATGTTGACTTTAGTAAATATTTTTGTTGATTACCTAATACTTTCACACATTTGTCTGCTTCGATCTGCTACCAAGACGGCTATGGAATTAGCAAAAGTTGAGCATATATTTGTTTTCTACTTCTAATTTTTTTCATTTTAGAAATTTTACCAATGTTTATTTTCACAAAATTTTGTTTTGCCCTGTATATGGTTTAAATAATGTAAAGCAACTATGCATTTGTTTTTATTTTTTCTTTTCCAGTTTCAAGTAAAACACCTCTGTTTCCGTAAGGTCGTTCCGCTGTGCGGCGGTCGTTAACTAAAAGTCCCGTCCTTTTCCGACAGGTACAACGCGACGGTGTTCGCGTATGGTCCTACGGGGGCGGGCAAAACGCACACCATGGTGGGCGACAGGTCGGAGCCGGGTATCATGGTCCGCGCCCTCAACGACCTCTTCCAGGCCGTCAAGGACAACGGGGACGACTATACGGTAATCGCCCGATTTTGATAGCGCGCGTGGGACGATGAATGAACCCCGGCATCATTAATTTTCGCGACGTGTATGGGGGCCCTTACCTGAAAGTTAAGGGCGGAACAAAAGGTTGAGGGGTTCATTGTGCCCGATTGAATGCCAATGTCGTTCCCGGCGGAAAGTAGTTGTATTAAAAAAAAATGTAGCCTTTCGCGGTTCTTAAAACAAAAGGTGAGGGGACGAAGTTGGATACCCCAGGAAGCAGTTCGCTTTATCGGAAAAAGCTATTTGCACCGTCACTCAGGGACGTGGAATAACATCGGACGGTGGTGTTGACAAGGGAACAATAATGTGTGTTACTTTATCGATTTTGAGGTTTGTGATGGTTTTCGAATGAAATAGATTTACATGCTTCATTTTATATATATACCTGACGTCACGCTGGCTTCAAATGACTCATTTCTTATATTATTTATATTTGAGCAATTTGGATGTACCAGAGCTGATCCGAAAAGATTTTATAACCTTAAAAACTAAAATTTCCTTGCATGTAAGGTCACAATGCTTTACTAGTATAAATTCCTTAACCTTTTTTTATTTCTTGTTTGCAATGCAATAAAATGATGCCAGTTATCCATTTTTATCAAAATTATTTCAATTTAATTTTAATATTATAACTAACATTAAATAAAAATAAAAAAAATACTCCCCTTCACTGTCTTCAGAACTGAAGTCTGAGACGTCTTCATCACCAATTGAAAAATAGCGGTGTTCAAAATAATTACCTGTGAATACCGATTATATCTTCGCGACATCTCGCAAAAGTTTATAAAGAGTCACAACAAATTAATGTTGATTTTTAACGAATACATTCTGAAATGCTCATAACCAAAACCGGTATGGACTGTTATAAAAAAACTGCAACGATTTTTTCGAAACACGATCACAAAAGTGACCGACATAAAATAGTGTAATTTTTTAGTTTTTTAAATTCTCGGCAGGGGGCGCAACCTCCATCATTAAGCAAACCTTTTTTTCCCTTTCTCTTTACGGAAAGAGGAACACTTTTGTAAAGAATTAAAAGGGCGTCACTGATTTCAATAGCTTTTTTACAAAAAATCCCATGAAAACCGTATCTGGATATCTCTTTCCTAACCTAAAATATTCGTTCAAGACATATGAGCTTGTGGTATGGTGGTGATCGTCAGTTCTTCAGATAGCAGGACCCCCAAGAAACCGAGTTTTCTCCAAAGCACCGGATCACGTGTGGCCTAAAACTGCGTTTTAATCTGATTATTTTCTAATTATTTAGAAATAGGTATTTCTGAAACAATTTATTGCTGGCGATAACAGAATAGACGTTTTGGCACTAGAATGAAAGTCATAATTTCTGTCTGAAGACTTTACCTTTACCCTTAAAGAAAGGTTTCCCAGCTTCTTTGTTATTTAAGTTATAATGGAACTTACGAAGCAACTATGGAGAAGTTGTGAGGAAGGTATTTAACCAACGACCTTTCAAATAGCAATTTTATTTTCATCCATCATAAAAAGTTCTCTTTTTCTTATTGAAATTTATTGAAAATATTCTCGTGCAAAATTATTTTTACTAAGATGCAATTTTTTTCGTAGTTAATAATTAAAAATTTTCACAGGCCGGAATAACTATTTGTTAAACGTTTTAGGTGACGATGTCGTATTTGGAAATCTACAACGAGCAGATCCGGGACCTGCTGAATCCGTCGTCGGGATACCTCGAGTTGAGGGAGGACTCCAGGGGCGGCAACATTCAGGTGGCGGGTCTGTCGGAGATATCCACCACCAGCACGGACGAGGTGAGCTTGTGACGTCACCGCATTTTTTTTTTAAATACGTAAAAATTCGAAGCAACCGGTTTCTGTGGCCCGCTAATGATCCCTTAGTCCTTGGCAGGAAAAAACCTATTCCTGTATTAAACGTTACTTATTTACGGATTCGATTAGTATCGAGTTGCAATTAGCGCGATTGCCTGTCCGTCCGAAATTACCTTAATTGACGTTGTCGCCTCGCGTGCACGAACCCCGTTCTATATTCAATATCCGTAATGACCTCCGCCGCCGACAATATCTCCAACAAAGCCCCTTCGGTGTTGTTACTTGGGAAGACGGTTTCGACGGAAGAGCATCTGCAGGCATGTCGGATGCGTGCGGTCAGTAGAGCGTGCGAGAGGATTCTAAGCCTCATTACCGCTTAACATTTACCCGTTTATATTGGTCAGCATTTGTTGGTCGTGAAAATATAAGGTTGTTCGGAAAGTCATTTCGTTTTTTCCCGTCAGAGGACTTAATTACGTTTTTTCGAAACCAACTTCACACTTAAGCCGCATAACCATTATATGTCTTGAGAGCTGATATCGCAAGGCTTGTGTGTGAAAAAGTTCTATTAATTCTACGCAGTAGTTTTTGGTCGGTGACCTTTTAAATATGGAGAGCAATAAGCAGCATTTTCGTCATATTTTACTTTTTTACTTCAGAAAAGGTAAAAATGCTGTCCAAGCGAGAAAAAAATTGACGGATGTGTATGGAGAAGGCGTAGTAACAGTACGCCAGTGCCAGAACTGGTTTGCAAAATTTCGATCCGGCAATTTTGATGTCGAAGATGCACCACGGTCTGGAAGGCCGGTCGAAGCTGACAAAGATGCGATAAATGCAAATCGGCGAATAACCACACGAGAGATCGGTGGGAGATTAAATTTGTCGGATTCGACTGTTTATGGCCATTTGAAAGGCATGGGCTTAACCTCGAAGCTCGATGTGTGGGTGCCCCATGTCCTTACGGAGCGAAATTTGTGTCGTCGCGTTGACGTGTGTGATTCGCTCCTCAAACGTCAAGAAAATGATCCATTTTTGAAGCGGATTATTACTGGGGACGAAAAATGGGTTGTATACAACAATGTTAAACGCAAGAGGTCATGGAGCAGAAAAGATGAACCGGCTCAAAGCGTGTCGAAAGCCAACATTCACCAAAAAAAGGTGATGCTCTCCGTTTGGTGGGATGTCAAAGGAATCGTTTTTTTTTGAGCTTTTGCCGGACAATACAGCGATTAATTCAGAAGTCTATTGTCATCAGCTGGACAAATTGAATGATTCACTTAAAGAGAAGAGGCTCGAATTAATCAACTGGAAGGGTGTAGTGTTCCACCAGGATAATGCGAGACCTCACACAAGTTTGGTCACTCGCCAAAAACTTTTACAGCTTGAATGGGACGTACTGCAATATCCACCATATTCTCCAGATCTGGCGCCTTCCGACTACTATTTGTTCCGGTCCCTGCAAAATTTTTTGGATGGCAAAACCTTTACCTCAAATGAAGATGTCAAAAACCACCTGAACCAGTTTTTTGCCAGCAAGGACCAAAACTTTTATGAGAGGGGAAATGTGTTACTGCCAGAAAGATGACAAAAGGTGTTGGACCAGAATGGCCAATATATAATTTAATAAAATATTTATTCATTATACGAAAACTGTCTTTCATGTTCCCCAAAAAAAACGAAATGACTTTCCGAACAACCCAATAACTGCAAAATTTTAAATTCGCACAAACAGTGAACAATATTAAATGTCTATTACTACAAATTAAGTTATATTATTTTGAATTACTATAATGGCGCAATGAATGTTCAAAAAATACGTTCTTCTACTTGGATACACAAGTTGGTCTTTTTCGTATATTACCTTGGACGTTTCTTAGCAAAAGCGGTGTCATTCACATAAACACATGAGGAAATCTAATAATGATTATTTGAAAATTCCCGGACTGAAGTGGTTCGAGAAAAAAATACGCTCCACTTGCTTTAAAGTGTTTTATTGCCCACTACACATTAACTGGCCAATGGTTTTGGTTTTTCACTTCCGGTAACCAAAATGGCTTAACTGTTCAATAATAGCAGATTTTTTTGACATTATTGCGAAGGGTAGCTTCATCGGAAAACATTAATTTAGATAAAAAATTTGGATCGGCCTCCATTACTTCATTTATAACGGCGCAGAAGCCTATCTTTTGTTCAAAATCACGGTTTAGAAGTTCCTGGTGTAAAATACATACTTTTTATTATTTACTGGGACCACAATTAATTTTATGAATTTATTTACTCAGCTGTCTAAAAATTTGATAATGACATTCGTTTATTTTGAATACCCGGTAGAATGTAATTCAAATTCGGTTACCCATATCTCTAATGTCATCTTCGAATAACGTTAACGTTAAATACGAGCGAAAACTAGTATTTTTTTTAGAAAAATTAAAATATTGGAAAAACTAATTGGTTTAGGTGTACATATATTATTATTAATAAACAAGTTGGACAATTCAAAACCATATTTAAAAAATTAAAAAAAAAATATTCACGTTTTATATGTCGATTCGATTATTTTCAACTTTTGTGTTTACCAACTTTTCAAATCAATGAGATACTAAACGCAAAACTTTCTCGTACTATGTTGTTTGGTATTGAAATAAATTTAATGTGGTCGACATGTAGACGTAGTTTCGTTATTATCACTAGGAAATTTTTAGTACTGCCTCAGTCTTCAAAGTCGCCTCACATTTTTTTCTTATACTTTAATGAACCTTGGATTGAATGGCAATCTATTTTTGATCTACAGGTCATGATGCTGCTGCAAAAGGGCAACAGGGCGAGGACCGTCGAGCCGACCGCCACGAACCGAACCTCGTCGCGTAGCCACGCCCTCCTGAGCGTCATCGTGAGGTAATTACATTATTTCAGAACGAAGTTTTCGAAAAACACAATGAGATTAGGCACGCCGTCTCCGTGACGAAGAACGACCACCTGAAGATGCGCCTGCGGCAGGGCAGGCTGTTCATGATCGACCTGGCCGGCTCGGAACGGGCGCGCAAAACCAAAAACCGGGGCAAGAGGCTGCAGGAGGGGGCTCACATTAACCGCTCGTTGCTCGCGCTCGGCAACTGCATCAACGCGCTCGCGGGTGGCGCCCGTTACGTCAATTACCGCGACTCGAAGCTCACCAGGTTGCTGAAGGACGCGCTGAGCGGCAACTGTCGCACTGTGATGATAGCGCACGTCAGTCCCGCCGCCGGCCAGAGGGAAGAGACCCGAAACACCCTCGTTTACGCCGACAGGGCGAACAGCATATCGACCAAGGTGGAGAGGAACGTGCTGGACGTTTCGTACCAGGTCACGCAGTACCAAACCGTCGTCAACGAGCTACGGGCCGAGATCTCCAGGTGCGGTTTTATCCGAAATCGGTTCCTTCTGACGCACCGTTTTCGTACAGACTCCAGAGCAAAATGCAAGAGGATCGTCCGAGGTCGGGCGACGTGGAAGAAGGTCGTCTGAACGCGGAAGAACGCGGCCGAGAGGTGAGGTCGCTGCGCGAGCAGATCGTCGAAACGTTCAAGACGCAGATGAAGCTGCGCAGGAAACTGATGGAGGTCGACGCGCATCTCCTAGGCCTCGGCACGGAAGCGGAACGCCAGCACCTGATCATCTCGCACTGGGAGTCGAAGAACAATAAACTGTACAAGAACGGGACGGGCTTCAGCCGGGCTAAGACGCGGCAGACCCTCAGGTGCGCCTAGTTGATGCTAGCGGGGGACTTTTGGTTGAGTTCTTCGCGTGCAGGCGGCGGATGTTGACTACGGCGGACGGCTTTCGGTCGGCGGGGAACGAAGAGGACGCGTGGTCCGACCCGGAGGACTCCGAAGACGACGCGGCCATCCAGCAGGCGTGGGGGGAGCTCGCGGATATCGAGCGCGAGCAGGACCGCTGGGCGGAGCTTCGGGGTCACATCGAGCAGAAGCTGGAGGCGTGCAGACAGAAGGGGGTCGCGTTGGAAGACGTAATCGCGCGAAACGTCGTAAGTCGTTCGCGTTTACTCTCGCAACTTCCAGAAACTTCCGTCGCTGCTGTCCTCGGACGACGAGAGGGAGATCCTGGCGTTGATATGTCGCGTCCACGAACTCGAAGCCGACAAGATGGCGCTGCAGTCGGAACGGTTGGTGCGCCAGCACGAGCTCAAACGTCGCGACCTGCTCATCCTGAGGTACACGAGACAGCGCCAACTCTCGGAGGAGATCATCACGAGGCAACGGCAGCTGATCGAAGGCCACAAAATCAAACTGACACCCGACCTGGAGGAACTCTACAGGGTGTACCAGCAGGAGATACACGCGTCGACTTATACGGATTTCAGGCCCGGCACCGCAGCGACCGTCGAAGCGGAAAAGTTGCCGCCCATCAGCAAGATGTGAGTGCAAAACATACAAACAATTATGATTATGTCTTCCTGTATGTTGAGTGCGATTATTGCTTTAAATAAAAAAAATGGCAACGACGTCGTCGCGACAGAGCTTATTTTTGGATTTTTTGCACAGTGTACTCTCTCGCATTAATATTTCTTTCACAAGGGTCCGCAGCCGATTCGGTTACTCTAGCTGATGTGATTATCCACCACACGGGGCCGATTACAATTTGACTGCTGCCTTCTGGCTACGAAAAGCTTAGGCTTGGACTCACTCGACTCCTTCTGGCTATGTAAAGCTTTGGCTTCGGCTCATCTGATGCTTTCTGACTATGTAAAATTTTAACTTGTTGTCACATGATACCTTCTAGCTATGTAAAGCTTTGGTTTGGGCTCATCTGATGCTTTCTGACTATGTAAAGTGTTCGCTTGGACTCACCTTCGGGCTATCTAAAACTTTGGATGCTTTTTGGCTATGTAAAGTTTTCGCATGGGCTCACTTGATGACTTCTGGCTACGTAAAACTTAGACTTGGGCTCATTTGATGCTTTCGGGCTAGGTAAAGTTTTAGCTTGGGCTGTTTGGCTATGTAAACTTCTAGCTTGGACTCATTTGATGGTTTCGGGCTTTGTAAAGTTTTAGCTTGGGCTCATCTGATGCTGTTTGGCTATGTAAACTTCTAACTTGGGCTCGCTCGATGCTTTCTGACTATGTAAACCTTTTTTTTTTTGGCTCATCCGATGCTTTTCGGCTATGTAAAGTGTTAGCTTTGCCTTATTTGATGCTTTGATGATGATTTGACTTGTTTGATGTCTTTCGGCTACGTAAAACTTTGGCTTGGACTCATCTGATACTTTTTGGCTATTTAAAGTTTTAGCTTGGGCTCATTTGATGCTTTCGGACTTTGTAACGTTTTAGCTTGGACTCATCTGATGCTTTTTGGCTATGTACAGTTTTAACTTGGGCTCACTTGCTGCCTTCTATCTATGTAAGACTTTGGCTTGGGCTCATCTAATATTTTCTGACTATGTAAAGTTTTCCCTTCGACTCAATCGATCTCTTCTGTCTATGTAAAACTTTGGCTTGGGTTCATTTGATTCCTTCTACTCAAAGTTTTACAGTTATAGCGACCCGACGTTTCGACGCTCGCGGGACTCTGTGGCGAGCGCGTCGCCGCCGTCGTCGTCGGAGTCGGGCGAAGAAACGTCGACGCGAGACACCGGCGTCGATCGGGTCATGGGTCATCCGGTGACCCGTCCTGGAGTGGTCCAAAAGTTGCCTCCATTGCCACCAAGTCCGCCGATACGATTGCCCACCAGGTCCAGAGATTCCGCCCGGTGAGTGAATCGCAAACGTCGAAACGTCGTTTGAATCGTTTTCCTTCAGCACAATGAGGAGAGCGATCAGCGAGGACAGAATCGCACAAACCGCACGCCCATCCAACGCGAGCTATTGACATATTCCGTTATATTCCGTCCATTTTTTGAGTGTAATGAGAACATGTATAACTTTATTTTGTAAAATAAAATTGTACTTTTTTCCTACTGCCACTTTTATTTCCGAAAAAAAATTATATGATAAAACCCCATCAAAATGTAAGGGAGTAATGTTTTTTTTTAATGGAAAACTACCAAAGCAGGAAAGGTAAAATTCAAAACTTTTGGACATCTTGTAGCGGATATCTTTTGGATATATGGCATATGATATATGATAATGATATATGATAATGATATATGATAATGATATATGATAATGATATATGATAATGATATATGATAATGATATATGATAATGATATGAAAATTAGGGGCGAAGTACATGCAACTGAAGTTTTTAAACGTTTTAAAAGTTATTAACGCCACTCATGTTAAATTCCTGTAGAAACCGTCTTCCTAAGTAACGACACCGGAATACTGTCGGCGGTAGAGATCTTATTTTTTAGGAGCTCTGCAGCCAACTACAAATGATAAAAGTAGAAATAAGCATATTCGAGAGACCCGCTTTCTCTCTTCAGAATTAACGTAAGAGTTAGTAGATGAAGAACTCTTTCTTCAATGTAACAAGTGTTTGTTCCTTTTCAAAGAAACTTCCACAGGCTGCTGTAATACTTTTTACAAAACTTCTGGATTCCTCCTGCGTCGGTTTTTGCTGAGTCGAAATTGCTGACGTTTCGCCAAGCTGATTGTTGGCTTCTTCAGAGCTTCCGTTGAGGTTGATTGGCGAAACGTCAGCAATTTCTACTCAGCAAAAACCGACGCAGGAGGAATCCGGAAGTCTTGTAAAAAGTAAGTGTTTGTTCCCTTTATAACCCGTGCCCAAGAATATTCTGGTCAATTTTGAAATACTCCGAACCTTTCTAAAGTTTTTATTGCGCAACTCTACCGTTATTTACAAGATGCAAATCAGCGACCAGTATATCAGGTTGCAGACGAGGAACGCGGCCGGGAAGACTACCCGGGAACGCCGGTCGATCCAGATCGCGATCTCGTGAGGCGTCATCTCCGTCCACGCGGGGGTCGGAGGTCCCGACTCCTCGGGATGGGCTCCCGGCACGTGCAACGACGTCGACGAACCCTAGACAAGATCTGCCGGTTAATGGACGGGCGAATAACTGCCGTCGGGGGTCTTACTTGTCCCACGGGACTGTGTTTGCTGTCCAGGCTCGAGAACGACTCGGATTTTCTTAGGTCTTTGCGAGCCAGCCTCGGCGACAGCGCCCCCTTCAGGATATTCTTGCTGCTCTGTTTGATCAGCTCCACTTTTTTCCTGTGACGGCGAGAATGAAAGTTTAGTGTGTTTAAAGTCCGACGAGGGGCGCGCACCTCCTTCTCCAGATGACGTTGACGAAGGCGAACTCGGCCAGCGAGCAGAATATGAACGCCGAGCCGCCGAAGAACCAAACCTCGCTCGCCTTGACGTACGACACCTTGGGCAGGTTCTTCGAGACGTTGCCGTTGAGCGAGATGAGCGACAGCATCGTGGCAGTTCCGAGGGTGACCCTCGCGGGGGCCGCGTCGGCCTGTATCCAAAACGACACCCACGACATAATGACCAGCAGGACCGACGGCAAGTAGTACTCGAGGATATAGTAACCGGACTCTCTTCGCAAACGGAAGTGGAAGACTAGCGCGCTCGAGCTGCTGCCTGAACAGTTATCAGATTCAACAAAATTCGTAAAGAAACAACGAACGGTAAAAACCAGGTGTCTATGAGGGCTGCCCTTTTTTATATAGGGAAGTTTGACATTTCGAGGTTGGGTTTATTCGGTTGGGTTTTGGCGAAAGAGTGTTGTTTGCGTTTTTTGTGGTAAATTTAAAAAAATGCGACGGTTCAGAAAGGAACGGGTCTCCCGCGTATTACGGATGTAAAATTTTTCCGACGATCGGATGAACGGCTTTGAAGGAAAAGCTGTTTTTCTGGATACCAAAATAACCACAAAAAAATTCAAAATTAAAAAAAAATACTTCGCCCTATTTTATTTATCTCAATTTGAAGAGCCTAAATGCAGGTCCAGACTGCTACTTCTCTGCCAAGTCTTACTTACTTATTATGTTTTTTAATATTGCACGGAATATCGCGAACACCGCGTACAATATTTAAAAACCGTAAATACAAAAGTTTAAGCTGTCTATATGGACCACATCGTTATGTAAAAGAAACTGACATCTAAAACACAAATTAGAAATGATACGGGAACCTATTTTTCAGTTTTTTTTTTAATTTACGGCGCACCCTGTATATTTTTGAAAAATTGTCAAGAACGAAATTTGTCTAGTCGTTTCCTCTGCGTCTTCTGGTTCAAGAATTTTTTTGATGTCTTTTTTAATGTATTATATAATTGCCGAAATAAATATTACTTTACTTCATACAAATCTGATGCGAGATTAAATCGAAGTTCGTAGTTTCCCAACGACGCGCCTGCGGGTGGTTTGTTTTTACAAAGTGTGTGGAGTGTTAGCTTAAAAAACTTGCAGCATTACAATACTTTGTAGGGCTGCCTATGGAATTTTTGCAAAAAAATTACCTTCAATTTCAAGCATGCACTGGAACAGATCATTCCAAATTTCTTTGGATAAAATATATCTTATTCCTTGACATATTTTCATTATGTTTCTGTATATTTTCTAAATAAGCAATATAACAACAATTGCCATACAAGGTCATAAGTCCAACCAATCATTTTCTAGCCCTATCTCGTACACGTCCGTTGCGGCCATTAATTTACTACTCAAAATTTCGGCGACACCCTGTATATTGCCCCGAACCTCAATCCCGAAAAAAAAAAATTGGAAAATTTCAGTTGATGACGGAGACTTCGCTGCCCTGAAGAAGATCCTGATGACAATTTACCTCTCGCCCAATTTTTCACAAGAAAACTTACAGGATAGAGTCCTGTAGAGTTCTTTAACCATTTTATTGATGATGAAATCATAGATCTATTTGTGCTTGAGATAAACAGTTTTGCTGCTGCAGCAGCTAACCCAAGGCAGAGGAACAAGGTTTCAAAATGTGTGGATACTAATCCTACAGAAATGCGAAGATAAAACTCTAGTACTTAAGTGGAAAGACAAGAGAGAAGTTATGATGCTGAGTATAAAGCATGATGGCACACATCTTTTCCAAAAAATTAACAATAGAAAGATTAATATTACGAAATTCAACGAAGCTGTGGTCATGGACCTTATTGAAGCTCCTAAAAGAAGTAGAAGGTTCGAAAAGATGCGGGGTGCCCTTATGCATTGATAGCTTCCAGAAGCATGTAGTTTAGTTCTATGTTGACTTTTTAATGTTTTTTGTTACCAAAGTATTAACTTATATTTTTACTTCCTCTAGAGGAAAGTTCCTATGTTTTTTATACTCACCCTCGGACTCCGATACTGGGGATCGCACTGAACCCCTAGTGATCCATTTTTCGTCCATCGAGAATTCCGTGAGGTGCAGGTTGTCCGAAATGAAGTACGGGTCCTTTTTCGTCCAGGATAGGTCTACGTGGCTCTCGTTGTACGACCCTAAAGAACATGGCGGTCAGTTTTGCCGATTTCATTCCAAATATTATCACTAGAGTCAGGATTTTATACAAAAAACATCTTTTTATTATTAGGAATATCAACCCAATCTTTTGGATATACCAGTTTTAGAATGAAATAATTAAGCAAAATAAATAAGAACTAAAAGGGCATAAAAATCTATAGATGGGAGAAAAACAGCATATATTTGACACATTTTTTGAAAGAACCAGACATATTTATGCGCATATTTTAAGCATTTTCTGTGCATAAAAATCCGAACTCTACTAATAAACGTGATTGCAAAAAGACCGTGCACACCACAGTTCTATTATACGTTGTTCCCTTTTCTTTGGTCAGTAAATCGCAGACCTTAACCAAAAGGCACAGAATACAAAATATGCATTGCCAACTTAACTCTTATATACAAAATCACAATTTAAGTTATTAATTGCCAAACACATTTTGTGATTTTAATTATTGTTCACTGTTATTAGCGATATCTGAGTGCGCAGTTTTTGAAATTTTTCTTTTCCGAGTGATTTTGTAAGGATATCCGCTAGTGGATCATCGGTGTTTACTTTGACGACATCAGTGAGGCCTTTTTTGTAAAAATCGTTAATAAAATGTGTTTTGAATTCTTTGAGAACTTCTCCAACATTACAGTACATAACATAAACATATATTTGACAAATTTTATGGAAAAACTAGACATATTTATCTGTGCACAAAAATGCGAACTCTATCACTCACAGCTGATCCACTCGATCTCGCACACCTGGACGTCGAACGGGAACTTGCGCAGGTTCATCCAGCAGTAGAACGTGGTCGTCATCCTGTACGTGTAAAATATTTCTCCTCTCGGCGAGATGATCACGGACATGTCGCTCCTGCGGCGAAAACACGGCTCGGGCGACAGTAAAGCGAGAGAAACGGGAGTCTTACTTGTCGAGACCCATCAGGTTAGAGTTTTTCTCGTTCTTGACGACTAAGTGCGGTACCCAGATCTTCTTGCGCAGTGTCTCCTGCCCGATGAGGTTAGCCCTGTTGGGCGAGAGACGGTCGTATCGCAATCGCTCATCCCTGAAGCGGATCTGGACGAGCACGTGGGCCTTGAATTGCTGCAACGAGGTGGTGGGAGTTTAAGGGGCTTCGAGGACGACGTCGACGCTTACTAGATTGTCGACGGACTCGATGTACTTGATGTTGATTTGGAGTTCGACTCTCAGCGGGTCTTCGGTGGGCGGTTTGACGAGCCGGTCGTACCGGCAGGCGGCTGTCAGCTTCGACAGCAACTCGTCTTGGGTGAGGTGATCCAGGGGACCTTCCAGGGCCGGGCATTCGGTCGAGTTAGACGCCCTGCGTCCGAGGCGGTTAAATCGAAATAATTTATTAAAAATTATTGTAAAATGTACGGCGAGGCTAACAAAACACACATTTTTTAAAATTTGAAAAATTTGACGAAAGTAGCAAAACCGTTCTCGCATATTTTGCGAAACTAATGTTGAGTCCCTTCGTAGCCTCAAATATGAGATTATTTGGTGATGTAAAAAGATATATACAACGAAATTTTGAATGAAATGCTACAGGGTGTTGAAAATAAACAAATATATTTAGACCATGTGCAATTGAGGAATCTCGATTAAATGGCGCAGCATATCTGAATCTCCATTTAAAAAAAAAGCTTCATATGAACATATGTCCCAAATAAAATATATTTTTTTAATATCTGTAATACTATTTAAGACATTTTAATGAAATTTGGCACATATATTTTTTTAATTCACCAGTGGCGGGCGTGTCTATTTCGGCGGACCTTGATGGTACGCCGCTGATGCCTCTTAAAATAAAAATTATTCTTACAATCTTTAATTATCGTTTTAATTTCTTGATTTTTTTTTCAATCCGATGTATGGTTTTGCTTAGCAAAAACCTATTTATAATTCTATTCACCACCAGGTAGTCAGAGTCGTGACGTGTTGCCGTGAATACCGATAGGGTTTCTAAAAAAATAATGATTTCAACTGGGAATCTGGTAACCGAATGGGTTTAAGACGATAATATTCGATTGGGATATAAAGTTAGAAGCGATTAGATTACTGTCGATCAGGGTTCGAATGGAATCCCGATAATGTAGCAAATATCAATCGGATTTGTTGTATGGTAATCATGGTTTAAAACTGAAGTTAATGGGGTCGACCAAAACACAACTGGGGTTGACCCGAGTGATGCATTAAAAGACAACAAGGATACTAATTATTCCTGTGTTTTCTAGGCAAATTCTCTGACTAGGACGTGGTGAAGACTAGCTCGACCGACTGTAAACGCTAAATTGTGACATACTGTACAATACGTTCACCACCAGGCAGTCAGAGTTCCTATAGACTAAGTGATAAATAAAGTTCCGGGTGTTAATGCCAAAATCTACTTTTCATCTGGGGCGGATATTTTGTACACTAATGTTTGAAAATTTTACCCTGCCGACTCGTAAATACTCACCTCGCGACGTGCCACATGATCAGAAAGCACACGGCCACTACGAGTTCCATGGTCTGAGGTCGTCGCGGAAGGGATTCGGATCGGACTGAGCGCGATGGACCCGCCCGTACCCGCTAATAATCGAAAACAATGTCGTTTATTTGTTTTCGTTAATAGATATCGCAAACAGCGAACGCGTAGGCTAATCATGTTCAAACAAGCGGGATTTACTTATCGGCGGCCTATAAAAAGTAAGTTCTCACAAAAGGCCCCACGTATTACCGCAAAAGACGATATCGTTTTAAATGTCGAGCTTATTCTACAGCTAATGAAATTCGATTTAAAACCGCAAAAATCCTTAAAAAATCCAAACCCCTAAATCTAAAATGAATATCGGGAAAAGAATCGAGATACTCTTAGAGATGGATTATATCGTCAACTTAAAGATCCCACGTCATCTAAATCTGTTTATAAGGCTTCTTCTGAGATTTACAATCAAGATTAGCCCTTCTACCTATCGTCAGTACCATTGGTTCCCCAACACATAATTTTCACATTGGAGATTATTAAGCAAAAAATACACTTCACCACAACTTTCCAAAGAAATTTACCACTTGTCCAAAAATCTCTCCATATTTCGGGCGAGTCATGACCTTTGAGATACCTAGGAACATTATTTTATTTTTTAATATTTTTAATATATAAAGTATATAATAAATGACCTTCTCCTTGTGGATCCTACATCTGCTTACACACTTTTTGCTGATGACACCACTGTGTCTGTTTCTGGGTATTCATTCGAAGACACGTTGCAGAGTTCCAGGATCGCCCAGGAAAAGGCTTAGTCCTAATAAATTAGTTTTAAATAAAGATAAAACAGAGGGAGTGGGTTTTTCCAGGCGAAATTTAAGTACTTTTAATTTTAATTTTATTTTAATTTTAATAAAATAAATACCAGATTTCTCGGCATCTATGTTGACCCAAAACTTCAGTGGGACTTCCATATAGATTTTGTCGTTCAGAAACTGACCAAAAATTGGTGTGTTAAGGACTACATATTTTGCACTTTTTTATTTTCAAAAGCAATTGGAATTCTTAGTGGACTTGGTTATCGGGAGGACTGTAAACTGTATTATTTATAAAGAAAAATCCGCATCTATTTACCACTTATAAGGAATTGCACGACCAACAAACCAGAGGTTGGGACAATGTGGTTATTACCTACTGCCGCTTAGAAAGGTGTCAAGACTGGTCCAAATTATTGATCCGTTAAGTTTTTTAATTTATAAACAGTCAGACGATTTTGAATTAATCAAACAATATTTCCACCAGTTTCGCGTCATCCAGACATGGAAAGTCCGGATTTGCTCGACCTCGGCACCTTCGAACAAAAGTTGAAATTTTTAACCCTGCAAGAGCGTATTTGCTACCTCAACGGGTTGCGACGCAGGATGCGGAAGAACCGACGCGTCGAAGATCTGACCCAGGGGGTCGTTCTGACAGCCGCCTTTCTTGTCCTGACAGTCGTTTGCTATTTCCTGATGTAGTGTGCGTTTATGCAAAGATTAAAACGTGATTTTAGTTATTTCTTCTTGTAGTCCGTAATTTTGGTTAGTATTGGTCATTTTTGAGAGTCTATTCACAAAACTTCTGTTGCCTGCTTGAGTCTCTTCGAGTTTTCGGCCAACAGGTTGATTATCAGTGATTTCAAAAATGCTGGAAAAGGTAATGTATGAACGGTCTGGATTTCCTGCAGTGCATAGTACAGCTGGCGCCTTGTTGAAGGTAAGCGATGAAGGAAAGGAAACCTTCCTTTTACTTCTGGACTGCGGCAAATTCCATTACTTCGGTCTTCCCAAGTTTGCCATTTGCCGCATCAGAGTCAAAGAGTATATTGTATTGAGAATATATTGTTGCCTGTCAAAAATTTCTTCTCCCATGCTCATCTCGTAAATGAAACGTAAACTGGGATATTATTTTTTTGATATTGATTTTAACATGTCGTGTTCACTTCAGAGAAGTAATGGTGAAATAAGAATAGATACAAAGTTTTTTTAATGCAGACATCAAACTTGGGCCACGGGACTCTCTCGTTCTTTCCCTTTTATCTTACTGTAATATAGTATACTGACCGGCCCTCTTCAACAAAGATCAGGGAAGACTACAGAGGCCGCAAAATGATTGCCTAAGGTTTTGTTATAATATCAGGAAATTTCCAACGCAACAGCCAAAGTATCTTTTTCAACAGCAGTCAAGGTATCTGAGATCCACCAGCGCACCACTCGTCATAATTATCTGTACACTGTCCGTCTGCCCTCTATCAGTGTTCTTTCAGCTATAACATCACTAAATGGTTCAACTCCATTCCAGATGACTTTAAGTAGCTGCTTGATCGCTTCCGGCTATAGAAAGCGTCTTGAAACTAATCTACTGTCCAATTAATACGAGGTCTACCTTTGATATTTCAGGATTTGTAATAAATAATTGGAAGCTACCAACAAATATGACTTATGATATTGTTTCTCAAAATATTCACCAATACACCTTTGCATTCTTCTACCTCCACCTCCGAAACATGCTTATTAATCGCATCAATCGCTTCTTCTTTTGTCAAAAATCGTGGCCCACATAATTCATGGGAAAAAAATCAGGACCATATGGTGGATGGCTCTTCAAATCACGTGTCACGATACCATAACGTTGTCTTATAGGGTTTTGTACCTAAAAACACCCAGCTCTAAGGAAACTCAGTACCCCGATCCGGGGAAAATTGTAGAAAATGTACCTCTCCATTTCGTTGTAATTTATTAACTCCACAAGCCTATCATCTTTATTTTCCCCTTAAGTAGTTTTCGATCCCTACAATAGTCAAGTGGTAAGTATGCTGCCTTTCTCCGACCTTTCGCCCTCATTAGTTAATATTCTCAAATTACAATATTCATGGATATTATGATACTCCTCAAAAATTCTCGTTTTCATTTTTTTAAAATACCTACGTTGCTTCGAAAAGTTTAAACTTTTTGCTGAAGATTAAGGTCAATCAGGTCTGTAAATAAAAATTATAAAGTCCTCTCCAGGTCCCACCATTTAATTGTAAATAATAATTAATATAATTTTTTAAAAATTGCAGTCTATTTACTTCAGCCGTCGGATGATGTAGATTATGGATGGTCAGTAGCTTCCCGGTTTTTCGATCTATACTTGTTATTTCCTCCTCTCTCCAGTCTAAAATGCCATAACTGTATGTGAGGACTGGTTGTGCGAGCGCTGTAATGACCATGAATTTGTTTTTCCCTGTAAGATGGCTTCTTAGGATGTTTCTGACCCTGCTGTAGTTTCCTTCATTTTTATACCTTCCTCACCAGTATTTTCCAATATTCCGAGGTATCTGTACATTTGTGTTTTGTTCCAGATTTGCGATTTCGGTTTCTTTATCAATGTTCATATTTTGAGTTTTTACTGCAAACCAAATCGCTTTGACAGTCACAAAAAGGTCTTCTAGTGCTTTGTCATTGTTTGCATATAATTTTAGGTCAATGTAAAAAAAGCGGTTAACCGGCCGTCTTTTCTCGTCACGTACGTATCCTCTATTGGTACTGTTCAATTCATTTGACAGCGGGAAAAGCGCACTGCAGAAAATGAGAGGTGATGTGAGTCTCCAGATATCGATTGTCCCTGCATTCATGATTGTTCCCTTCGCGTTGATTGTTAGGTGTGTTTTCCATCTAGTCATTGCGATTTTCAACATGTTTATAACTATCGGGTTTGTTTTGTATAGTTGGAGAGCCTTTAGAAGCCATCTATCAAAGGCCCTTTGATGGTCTATCCAGCTCATGCTCAAGTTTTTCTTCTTTCGTGCTACGAATAAGTTTATCTTGTGAACCGAGGATGGCTCGGTTGGTAAGGCGTTGACCTGCCAACTCGAGCATGCCGGAGGTTGTGGGTTCGATTCCCACCGGCAGCCTTGGGTGTTATTTTATTTGTCCGGACTTTTTCCAGTAAATACTAATGTGCTGGCAAATTGCCTAAAAGCAGCGCCAAAAAAAAACTTAAAAGTGCTTTTTCGTGGCTTTGGGGCGGGGACGGTACGGGCGAGAAAGCATTGGATTTCTATCTACTGCTACGAATAACTATATATTGGGAACCGAGGATGGCTCGGTTGGTAAGGCGTTGACCTGCCAACTCGAGCATGCCGGAGGTTGTGGGTTCGATTCCCACCGGCAGCCTTGGGTGTTATTTTATTTGTCCGGACTTTTTCGAGTAAATACTAATGTGCTGGCAAATTGCCTAAGAGCAGGGCCAAAAACAAAACTTAAAAGCGCTTTTTCGTGGCTTTGGGGCGGGGACGGTACGGGCGAGAAAACATTCGATTTCTATCTACTGCTACGAATAACTATATATTGGGAACCGAGGATGGCTCGGTTGGTAAGGCGTTGACCTGCCAACTCGAGCATGCCGGAGGTTGTGGGTTCGATTCCCACCGGCGGCAGCCTTGGGTGTTATTTTATTTGTCCGGATTTTTCGAGTAAAATCTATTGTGCTGGCAAATTGTATAAGAGCAGCGCCAGAAAAGAAAAACAAAAATTTAAAGCAAAGTGCTTTTTCATTGGGGGCGGCGACGGTACGGGCGAGAAAACAAACGATACGAAACGGTACAAAAACGGTTTAATCACTATCAGATCGATGTCGAGCGTGTTCGTCACAATGCGTACACGAACGACCAGTAAAACAGATTGAACAGCGCGAAGGTGACCGGGAAAAATATCCTCGACCTGCGGTCGATCCAATTGGCCACCTCCTGCGGGGTCATCGTGGTCCAAGCGTGCCCCGGTGCTTCCTGCTGCCGCTCAGGAATCTCGGGCACCGGTATCGTGGTCACCGTCTCTTCCGAGTCGATCAGATCGTCGCGGCTGTTGCGGTTCCTCGCGTGCATCGACGAGAAATCCTGCAACACGCCCGCCGTTCCCCCTCTCTCTTCACAAGTCGCGAAAAATCGACTCACGTGCACGGTGAGGTAATTGTTGTGCGCGTACTGCCTGTCCGGCTCCGGACCCTCGAGGCTCGAGCACGACCTGGCCTTGTAAATGCTGTTGGCCGATCCGCACCTGCGCAGCTGTTTCCTCGCGAGGCTGGGCGTGACCGCGCCCCGCAGGATATACTTGCCGCTCGGTTTTTTTACCTCCACGTGTTTGCGCCTGCGCCAGATGACGTTGACGAAGGCGAACTCGGCGAGCGAGCAGAAGATGAAGACGGAGCAGCCGAGGAACCAGATCTCCGACGCCTTTACGTACGACACCTTGGGCAGATTTTTGGTGACGCCGCCGTTGAGAGTGATGAGCGAGAGCATTGTCGACGTCCCTGTCCGATTTAGCGCGGGTTAGATGTGACTGGTTACAACCGTGGCTATAAGATTGCGAACATTTTCAAGTGCAATGACTCGATTGGAACCAGGAGATAGGGAACGACAAGGGAAGTATGTGTACTGTGCGTTTATCTGGATAACGTTTTAATTGGCTGTAACTTTTTCGTTTTCGGAGATACCAAGTTAAACAAAAAAAAAATGGAATGTGGGGATTTGTAGGGCCGTTATCTAAGAGAAGTAATATTTTCCTCCCCTTTAATTCTGTATCTCCTCTTCAAAAATTTACGACGTCATCCATGCAGACTTGTTTACCTTGCAAGTCACCGGCAAATGCTTGATGTTCTTAAAACATCGTGGGTTAGTTGATTTTCCAATTACGACTAGCTTTCTATTTCCAAGGCTGGCAAAGAAATTTACAGAAAACGGTAACGTATTAAATGCTAAAAAGATAAGTTTTAAAAGAATATAAATATATAATATAATTAAAAACTAATTGCAAAACAATGTCAAAGGAGGATGCAGTTTTGTTTGGATTTTTTAAATAGACATAATGAGGATAATAATTTTGTGAAAAACATTTTATGGAGTGATAAAAGTTAGTTCATTATAAGAAAGGGTTATAATAGGCAAGATACGCGATATTGGTCTTAAAATAATCCTAGACAAATACACGAAATAAACACCCAGGGGTAGCATTTTTATATTTTGATTTTTTTAGAATACTGTCAAATTTTTACGATCGTTGTCTTACCGATTACGGCACGGGGAGCGGACGCGTCCGCCTGCAGCCAGAAACCGACCCACGAAGTGACGACCAGGAACATAGAGGGCAGGAAGAAGTCCATCACGTAATAGCCGACCTCCCTACGCAGCTTGAATTGGAATATGAGGCAGCTGTAGTTGCCGGCTGAAAAAAAAAAGTTAATTCCACAGTCCGTATTAATTAGATGCGTCCAGTGATACCAATTTTATTGGCTACCATTTTAGATCATTTTAACGCAAGCATTGTTGGACGCATTTTTTTTAAGCCGCCCTGCAAAAATTTTTGTTCCATGTGTGCAGCCCGAGGAATAGCTCAAAAAAAAAAACTTTAAAACACAATCGAAAGGGAGTTCCCATGAAAAGAAAAATTCCAGTCAATCAAAATAATTATCCCGGTTAAAAGGTTAAAAATGTGAAGCGCAGGACTGCCGGAAATCTGGAATTTTTTAACGGTCACTATACACATAATTATATTTTTATGAATTCAATTTATTAATTTAACCTAATAACGCGTCAACAAAATGTTTTGCTAATATTTCGTCAAACATTACCCATAAAGTAAGAAATAATTGCTTTTTACCAACAGCGATATGATCATTTTTTATGTGGTCGAGTTGCCATGGCTGTTGGTCCCAATAAAAGCGAGAAGAAGAAGACCTTATGTGGTTACCATAGCATGCATATCGAGTAAGAATCAAGTTATGGTCCCTTTACTCTGTGGTTTCACGTTGTCGAGTAATGAGAATACTTAACTTTTCGTTTAGGTTTCGAGGTTAGGAAACCCGACCTACGAACGTGTTTGTTTTGTTATTTGCACGTCCGGCGCTTAATTTGACAGTTGACATGCCCAAGATGGCGGGTAAGTTGCGTCACGCGAGGAAGAAATCGGTTTTCTTCGCATCTGATCCCAAATTGGAGCGACTCGTCCACAACGCCTGGCTGGAGGCGTCTTTGGACGGTAAATTTGCGAATAGTTTTCCTGACAACACGAACCGACAACGAAAATAACCTATATTTGTAGCCCCCCAGAGAGTCAACCCGGTACCCGGCTACACCCAAGGTAACATACGCCTCTGGCCAACCAAACTTCTACAACGAGGCAGCCAAACGTAGATTGTAAACAATCGATGAGTCATCACGATTTAGAGAATAATTTGTTTCTGTTTATTTCTTATTAGTAACGTCATCTATGCACCACTGTGTTAATCATTAACGTAATTTTCTAATTTTGATCATACTCAGAACCATAAAAATAATATGTTTTGGTTTACCTACAGACCCTGTAACCCCTAAATGACCTCTATTAGAATCTAGGAATAAAGTGATCGTTTTCATGATGGATGAAATTCACATTAAAGCATATACGGACTAGAAATCTGGAAATATTGTGGGTGGAAAGTCTGCACATGGGTTTATAATAAAGGTAAAGAGGTAGTCCATATTTTACCAGTGAAGACCATAAAAGCCGAATATCTCTAAATCATTATTAAGAAGGTTATTTTGGGTTAAGAAAATATATTTGATCATACCCATATCCATAAAAACAATTTTTTAAAATATGTAACCTCTAAATGACCTCTATTATCAAGGGAAATTCACACGCTTCAACCTCTGGACATGTCTTTATGATAAATAGAATTGTTTCTACATATAAAGAGGTAGTTCCTATTTTACGAGTTAAGATGGTAACATCATGATCTGAAGTAGTTTTATATTATTCAATTTGAATAAAATAATTTTGACATCAAAAATAAATCACAACAATGTTCATTCATTCATTGAAAAAAAAAATTGAAATACCTATTGCACCACCTTTTTTTTTATTATATTTTCAACATTGTTTTATCCTCTCTTTCACCTATATCATATAGATTCTCAAATGTGATGACTCATACTTCCGCGTTTCGCAGCCTTGTGACGTAGGAGCTGTTGCAGGATTGCGGAGGATGTGCGTGATCTTGCACGTGGTGATACCGCTGGTCAAAGTACTGCTAGGGGTTCTGTATATAAACGAGTGCCCGACCAACGCTTGGCTACCGGTGTACAACATCGTTGGGGGTGCCGAAAAACAATTTCCCTACTATTCGAAAGTTATAATCCGGGTCACGTTTCCAGGTTGCTTGCAGTTTTTGTTCCTCGCGCTGCTTATATTCCGCGGAATACGCAAGTTTTGGGTTTTAGCGCTGATCGGAGCCGCCATGACGATCTGGTTGTTTGTTGGTGAGTAACTCACAACATACCACCTTTTTTTTTTAAGAAGCTTCCACAGGCTACTGCGTCTGTGGTTATGAGGAGTGCCACCCCCTGTTGAAATTTATAACTAGAAAGGAAACAAGTTTTTTTCAAATTTTCAAATAAAACTAAAGTTGCGCTTAGATGAGAGCTTACTAAAAGGCAGTGCATGGAAGATTTAGAAGAAGCTGCTGAGAATAGGTCGAAGGGGAATTTTTGGGAGTCCGTAAAGAGGGGGAATTTTAAGCGTCATGAAGATTGAAAGATTTTTTCACGTACTCGGGCTGAGATAGTTGCATAGTTGATTCTAGCAATGTTAACAGATCTATAGATTTTTTTATAGAGTATTCCGTATTCTACTTTGGGTCAAATATTTTAAATCTACAAACTTTGCATCCCGCTTGCTTGCAGCAATTATTTTTGCACAAAAAAATAGCTCATTCCACGTATACGATGATCATGCAATTGTTTCGCAGCAGAGCGAGTATAGATCTTCAATAGAGCAAACACTGTTTGGTGTGAAACTGTGTTTTTACTGTTTTTTACCTGTTTTTTTTTTGTTTTTACATTAATAAATAAATAAAATTGTGGAAAATCTATTTTGGGAAATCTCTCCGATAAAAAATATATCAAAATCTAACCGTAAACAAGTTTTTTTGAAAAATTTGGAGAAACTACGATCCCAGCCAGTAGCGTAGAATATCTACTGTCAACGATACGCTCGTTTTTTTTTTTTTTTTTAAATCGGCAGCGTCCGTGAACATCTTCGTTGAATGGCAGCCAGACTTTTTTCGCGGCGGTTGGCGCTACTGTAACTACTACTTCTTCATGGCGACGTTCGTCGCGGCGGGCGTCGACTATCTCCTACTCGCCGGCATACTTTTCTACACGTGTTTCCATTTCGCGTTTTACACGGAGAAAAACGAGCGTCACTTACCCAAACCGCCGGTGGAAAACGAAGCCGGCATCACGACGTCGCGCGTCCAGTAACTGTCCAGAACGAATTCGGTGAGGTGGAGGTTGCGGGCGATCTCGACCGGGTGCACCGACGTCCACCCGAGCTTTAAATTCGATGCGTCGTACGACCCTAAAGGAGCGGGGGCGGGGGAAGTAAATAAATCGTCCGACTGCATCGGGCTTCGAACGGAGAAAACGAACCCACAGCAAAGAAACGACGCGTTCATAAAATAAAATTAATTGCTGTTTGGAAGTAGGCTATTTTCCCACAATCAGCATTCTTCCAACCTTATCTAAAGTCAATCTGGATTTCTTAAAGGTTTTAGTAGTATTAGTCTACTTTTACACATCATTAGATTACTCTAAAGCCTTTGATCGGCTTGATCATAAACTTATCTGCGCCAAATTGAGTTACTACGGCTTCGACCCGATTTTTTTAAATCTACTTAGCTAACAGATAACAGACAGGTACCCTTGACGATGTAAGTTCTGAATTTCTCCCCTGTTTCATGAGGTGTACCGCAAGGTTCTGTCCTTGGACCTATATTACTCTTAATTTGTATTTCTGATATTTATACATCCGTCGAATATTTGAATTTGCAGTCATTCGCTGATGACACTCAACTATTTTCGATCCTAAATTATTTCATATTGCGTCAATTTATATTAATTTGGATTTGCATAACTATTTTCTATATTCTTCTGGGCATAATCCTCAACTTCATGCTAAAAAATGCAGTGTAATGTTTTTTTCTGCTAAACCTAACATTAAACAAGTATCCCAAATGTAATAAAAACCGCGGTGTTATATTTGATTGCAGACTTAGATTCGTGGAATATGTACCTTTGTTGGTGAAAAAGTCTTATTTGGCTTTGCGCTATTTATACAGGCATAGAACTGTCCTTAATTTCAGTTCACGGAAACTTTTAGCTCAATCACTTGTCCTTTCGATTATGAATTATGGTTTAGTCCTCTATTACCCATGTCTTGATAGTATGATTAAATATAGATTGCATAAAATTCAAAAAAAAGATGTTGCAGATTTATTTTCGGATTGCGTAAATTTGATAGGATTTCCCACCAAATCCAGGAACCTAACTTAACCTAACCAAATTATTAGCACATCCAATCAGTGGCTTTAAGGCACCCCTACAGACTCTCACTGTCACGATATCGTTCATCTTTGTTCCGCAGATAATTTTCTTATAACGCTGTTGTAATATTTAATCACATTCAATTAAATTCTTTAAAAAATATTTCAAGTCGAAACTGCTCACTTCTCAAATAATTTGATTTTCAATGTTATTCTTTTTATTTTTACTTTTAACAACTTTCTATTGATCCATATTACTATTGTATTTATCTATTATACTATATTTAATTTATCCTATTTAGTTTAAAATTTAAACATTTAAGGAGATTAAGGGGAGTAGCTTTTGCTAGACTTCGCCTCTCCTCTACCGCATATTTGTATATAACAAAATACAACAATAAAGGCAATTTATCATTGATTGAAGCCATATTTTTCGGTTATCGCACCACATCTCGCACGTCTTCTGGTTTGGGATTTTTTTCGATCGGACTTTCCGTTTTCGAGAAAATTTTTTTTTTCGGTGGTGCGAATTTTTTTTTTTAATTTTTCAAAATTTCTTCATGTCCCATATGGGTGTGGAACTCTAAATTCTTGCCCAATTTCAACTCGATAGCTCTAAATTTCGGACACTTTCCGCGTTTCCTAGCAAAAACCCGACAAAATGACCGCCGACGTGTGATCGATTCGATATTTTGCGTCTACGGAGGAAGATTTGAAGCTCCTAGTTTCGATGGTTCGAAAGTTATCCGGCTTCGAACACTTCTCGAAGCTCCGTCACAGGATACAGAGAACAGACGTCTTCTTTTTTTCTACGCCGAATTGATTTGTACCGACTAGTAATTTGGTTTTTGTTGCATTTCATGTAGAAAAGTTTTTAAATATGGCTGGACATGCAGAAATATTTTAGAATGGCGAAAATTTGTTTAAGGTATGAGGAAAACCTACATATAGGCATGGTAAATGTAGATTCTTTTTTAATCTGCCAGTTAGAAGTAATTTTGCATTAACTTTTCCGAGCACCCTGCATAGAAATTAGAAACATAATTTTTCCACCAAAAACTAATCGCACAGAAAAAGTATACTATTTCTCTGTTCTCCGTAACGGACTCTTGGGAAGTTTTTTGAAGCCGGATAACTTTCGAACGGTTGCAAGTACGGCCTTCGAATTTTCCTCCATACTAATGCTAGATGACGCGCAGCGGTTCGCAAAATATCGAACCGATCGGACATCGGCGGCCATGTTGTCGGCCCCATTAGTGGTTTTTGCTCGGAAATGCGCTGCGAATCGAAGTAAGTGTCCGAAATTTAAAGCTGTCGAGTTGAAGTTGGGCGAGAATTGAGAGTTCTACCCGCGGATGGAACCTATCGAAACCGGGCGGGATCGGAAGTCCCGAAGCATTTTTCAAAAAATTTAGAAAAATTTTTTACGCGACCAAAAAAAAAAAAAATTTACCTCCGATTTCAAAAATTGTTTGAGTCAAAAATATACAAGGTGTCCCAGTTCGTTGCAAAAAAAAAAACAAAAATCGGTATTTTTCGGTTGAACGCAAAGAAATTATTTCTCTGGCCCCCTGAACATCAAAGGTGCCGGGAAATACTGTCGCTTCTACATTGGGTTCGTTTTCCTCCGGTGCCAAAGTCACTTACAACTGACCCAGTTGATTTCGCACGTCTGATAGTCGAACGGGAACTTTTGCAGGTTCATCCAGCAGTAGAAGGTTACGGACATTCGGTAGGAGTACGTCACCCTACCGGAAGGCGTGATCTGGACGAACACGTCTTTGCCGTCGAGTCCCATCAGCGCTGACGATCTGGAACGATTTAATTTTATGCTTCGATGGAATACAATTACGTCCCAGTGCGAATGACATTATTTTTCTGTTCTCTGTGACGGACCCTTCGCGGTATATTGCAAGTCGGACGTTTTCGGTCAAGCGTCGAAGAAATTCCAAATTTTTGGTCAGTTTCTGTGGGAGTCCCACTGAAGTTTTGGGTCAATATAGACACCAAGAAATCCGATATTTATTTTATTAAAATTAACTTGACCGTACTTAAATTTCGCATGGAAAAAATCACTCTCTCTGTTTTATCATTGGATTTATTTGCACTAAGCCAGTGTTTACTTATTACGATAGGTCCAGTGAGTGGTACATTTTTAAGATGTTGCTGTTGGAACCACTGCAACATTGCCCGATCCAAATCTTCAAATTTTGGCTTTCTTAGTTTTTTACTTTTTTACCTGATGCGCTCTTTTTTCTTTCGGTATAGACAGTAAGAAATTCTTTATATAGAGTGGATTAATAATACATAGCTTAGTATGTAATAGTACTAAGCTCCTTACGTGTGTCAAACTTCTCGTTTCTGGCACCTGCGTTGCTTCGAAGCGCAGTTCGAAAAACAGCTGAAAATCGCGGAAAAAAAGAAAAGGGACCAACCGTTCAAAAGTTATGACCTTAAAAGTTGGAGAATGGAGGACGGACGGTCTAAAAAAAAAGCAATAGAGGTACCTCTCGTTCTTGACGGTCAAGTGCGGAACCCAAATCTGGTTCCTGAGTGGTTCCTCGCCCTGTATGTTGCCGCGCGCCGGCGATATCGTGTCGTATTGAAGCCGGTTGTCCCGATAACTCAGCTGGACGAGTATAAAAGCGGTCATTTGCTGCGAAAAAAAAACAAGATGTTATGATTTTGATGATTTTGGCAATGTCTTACAAGACCGGAAAAATTCTTGAACCAGAAGACGCAGAGGAAAGGACTCCATAAACATTTATTTATGAAAATTTTTCCAAAATATACAGGGTGCGCCGCAAATTCAAAAAAAACTGAAAAATGGGTCCTATTATGAAAAGGCTATGATTCAGATCTCTTTTTCTTTTATATTGCGATATAGCCCGCATAGATAGCAAAAACTTTTTTATTTAAGGTTTTCACCTATTGTACAGGGTGTTCCCGATATTCCGAGCTAAATGAGGAATGCGTTAAGTGTCCTAAATTTGCAGATATCAACTTCAAATTTAGCAGATAAGTAAGAACTGGTGAAATAGGGTGAGGCTGAACCGCTTATTTATTATTTATTTATTTGCTTATTCATTTTCTTTTAGTCGTCTATTTTTTTTTCTTTTTTTTTATCCCCCATTGATTTGTTTAAAATTGTCAAATTGTGAATCTCGGGTGGACTTAAGGGCCTCATTTATATTTGTTAGTTTTTTTTTCTTGTTAATTCTCAATATATTACTACATTGTATCGGTGATTCGAAAACGACTCTCTCAGATATCGCTAACGTCAGTAAACAATAATTAAAATAACAAAATGAGTTTGGCAATAAATGACAAAATAGAGGAGGTGTGTTAAATTATGATTTTGTATCTTAGAGTTAAGCTGGCAATGTCTATTTTGTATTCTGTGGTTATGGTCTGTGTTTTACTGACCAAAGAAAAGGGAACAACGTACAATAGAACTGTGGTGCGAGCGGTTTTTCTCCAACCACGTTTATTAGTGGACACGTAATACGGCAATATGCCCATACCTGGGCGTCGGAGGACTCCACGTGGATGAGGTCCATCTGCATTTCGACCTGAAGCGGTTCGGAAGTCACCGGCTTGATGAGCCTGTCGTAGCGACAGCTATCGGTAAGCTTCGACGTAAACTCCTCCTGGGTCAGGTGGTCGAGGTGACCCATGAGCGGGAGGGGGAGACAATTGACGTCCACCGGTCTCTGGGTGGTGGACGGCGGCGCCTGCGTCGTGACGTTCGACGTTGCGACGCTAGCGGTTTCTGCGGTAGTCGGTGGCAGAGCAGTTGTGGACGTCGTGACATTGACCAAGGTCTCCGTGATGACGTCCGTCTGATTCGTCGCGGCTCTGGAACCAGACGCAGGGTTGCCAACATTCGGTTATTGAAAAACAAAGGACGCGAGTTGGGAAAATGTTTTTTCGTGAAAAAACCAAGAAATAACCACGTACTAAAAATAATAAAACATTGGGCCAAATGATCTAAAATTGTATGCAAAGGTATTTTTCCTGCTTTTTGGTATCGGGCAGTAAAGCGCTACATTTTATCTTGGGGCAATATACTGTGAGTATCCATAAAAGATGCATGAATATTCGAAATATATTTCTGTAATACGTGCGTTCAATTTATCTTGATAACATTTTAATTGGCTGTAACTTTTTGTTTTTTTTTCCAAGTGACGTTTAAATTTCGCAAAATTCAAAAACTAAGTGCAAGATAAGTGCAAAGGAGGATGCGGTTTTGTTTGGATTTTTTAAATTGGCATAAAGAGAAAAATATTTTTTTGAAAACATTTTAGCTACTGATAAAAGTTCGTTCACTACAAGAAAGGGTTGTAATAGACAAAATATGCGATATTGGACTTTAAATGATCCTAGACAAATACAGCCAATTAAAATGGTATCAAGATAAATTGAACGCAAAGGTTATTAGAAAATGGTAAATACGAATGTTGTAAAGATTTAATGCACGATTTGAAATTATTTTAAGGTATCAAAAAAGAGTAACTAATAAAACATAAATTAGATTATTAAATATAAATGTAATTAAATGTAGATCACTCATAATTGATAATGATGTAAAAGATTGTATTTGAATTAGATGCTACAGAGTCTTCAAAATATGTATTATTATTTTTTCTGAAAAATATTACAAAAACCTACGACTTTCATTAAACATGTCATATATATATATATATATATATATATATATATATATATATATATATATATATATATATATATATATATATATATATATATATATATATATATATATATATATATATATATATATATATATATATATATATTTGGAATACTTTGCAATTTACTTAAGTTTTACAATATATACAATACAATACAATATGATCGGAGATAATTTTTACTTTAAGAGAAATTGGGGCGTACCATCAACGTCTGCCAAAATAGACAGGTGAAATTCGAATATTGATGCTGTTTTACTATCCTTTATTTCATATAACGCGTAAAAATAGTATTTCTATGGTCGTTATATTTAACTGAGTACAGTCAGAAGCGCATTTTCCAAGTTTTTAGAAACAGTCTTTCTCTCTATGAAATATTTTGGCACATAGGGCAACGCCCGTTCCGAAATAATTAAAATTTTTATGAGTTTTGCAGCAATAAACGTACGCGTCATCGAAAAAGAACGTACAAAAACTAAAATTGTTGAATTTGGAAAAATTAGGTTATAAGCCGTCGTTTTGACGGGCCGCGTAGGCGACAATTAATAACCCATTGTTTTCTCGTCATAATCGTAAAACGTATTTCGACGTGTCAATTAATATATTCACGCCCGCTGCCGACAATCGATTGAACAATCACGCAACACAATGCAGCTAAATAGTTAGGTCCACAAACGACGTGGACTCTAATAACGGCCTAAACAAACGATTTACGAGTGCAGTTTTTCACCAAATGTATGTTATGTATAAATTGCAGCTAGAAATTTTAAAATATCGCGCTCTCAATGGACGTGTCCTACAAAAGCAAAAGAAGAAGAAGACTCCCTGTCGTACGAGTGACATTTCCAAACTAGATCTAAGGGTGGGCGAGCGCCCATACTGGACTTGCCCACTAAAGCCAAAGTAATGCGGTGAAATATCTTGTTTTGTGATTTATTTTCGTGATTCGTGTATTGATTTCGTGGAATATACTGAGAACTGCTTTCCGAGAAGCCACAAAAGTGTATTATTTAAATCCCAGCAGGCGAGATAAGGAACGCGGGCGCTCGTAAAGTGCCAGCGGATTTTTTAAAGTCTAAAATTAACTGCCAGCCAGGTACGTCGCGAACGCAAATTTGCTAAAACAATTGCCTCTCGTTTAACGACCTTAATAACAGCGAATGTTGATTGTGCGGCTGCAATTAACACCCACGGCAAACACCTTGCCGAACGCGGTCGACCGATAATCAAATTATAAAGCGTATCAATATTTGAAAAGCGTAAAATTTCGAGGCGAAACTGCGCCGTCGCCTTCGAGATCCCGTTGCGTCTCAGCGAGCTTCGAATGTCGAGCCCCCGTCTTAAGATTGACGCGCGGCACTGCCCGCCTACTGCGATGGAAGCAGATTCGAAAAGGGTATAAAGAAAACTTCGCATGCGGTTTTTCTCAATGACGTATCGCGACGAATTAATTGCGGTGCCGTAAATCATTAATCTCGACTTGATCCCGTACGCGTGTGACTAATTTACGACGAACGCGCTATTAAACAACCCGGCGCGCGTTAAAGTAAATACGTATTAAATCACGTCGCGGCTGCAACCGTAAAACGCCGTGCGTGCCGCCAGGTGGCGTGGTCCCGAGTGGGCGAAAATTTGTGGGAATCAAGTCGCTCGAGGTTTTACAGCGACAATCTCTGCACAAATTCACGAAGTTCTAATTTTCCTCAATTTTTGCGACAGTAATATCAACTACGTAAAATGAATCAAAAAGAAAGGCTATATTATTGTAAACGCGTACCTCTTGCAATTTGTTTTTCCCTTGTTGATTTTAAATAATAACACGAATTGTGTCCAGGATGTGGCGAGTTTGCGTAATTTTGCGTCGTAACTGGGCTGGTACAGATGGAGTTATAAACCTTTTTTATGGTGTTTTGAAAATCTTATGCTACGGGAGAAACCAAATCTAGTGAGAGCAAGTGACTACAATCTACATCTAGATTTACGTGAAAACTGTGAAGACATGTCTGACGGCACTGTTGATGAGCTTAACGGGGGAGAATTTGACTTCGACAGTCTCTGAAATAAGTTCACTTGTGAGTTTCTCCGACCACTGGGGTTTCACACATCTCTGGCAAATATATATATATATATATATATATATATATATATATATATATATATATATATATATATATATATATATATATATATATATATATATATATATATATATATATATATATATATATATATATATATATATATATATATATATATATATATATATGTAATATAATTTTATACAAAAGAATTATCTCCTTTTCATTTTGAAATAAAACTTATTCAAGAAATCATTTTTTGTTTTTTTGTGGTTGTCGATTATGTCTATAATGTTGGTCTATTTAGTCGAGGACAACTCCCGACTGGCTTAACACTGAAATAAGTTCTTCCCATTCGAGTCAAAATATTTAAACTTCTTACAAGCTAAAATGTATGTGATAATTTTTTAAATATTGATGTTTTTACGTCAAGGAAGAGGCGAGTTCATTTCCCAAGACATCCGACATAGATCAAAGCCAAGCGCAATAAAAATTCATACCTTCAGAACTTTTATTTTATCCAAGCTCCCTTTTGACATCCTCAAAAACTGTTTAAACTGTCAATTGTCGTTTTTAAACTCCCGTTTGACCGATTTTAAGTCTCCTTTATTTTTCTCTTGTAACCAAGGCCCGACCCGCCGCCTTCTTTCCATGTAAGGTAGTGAAAAATTATTAGCAACCCGGAAAGCAGCTATGCAGCACTTCTATTTTTAATTTTTTTACTTTTTTATAGAACAGACTGGGACTTAAACGCATCGATTTAATAAACACCAATTCGAAACAAAAATAAACATAACCTCAAAATATTATATGTTGGCAGAACTGTTAAATGACATTTTCAGACGTCAAATAAATAAATTAAGTTAAACAAGTATGTTTAATCGACAGCCTCACAAAGAAATTTATCAAGTACTTCATGAATTTATTGTCGATGTGAAACAAGTGTTAAAAATCCCGCCCGGGCGGTTTTTCCGCCGCCGTTCTTCGCGATTTCGTCGCACTCGAGTTAGCGGTCGTTTATGCATATTAATAAGTCATAAGATGTTTTCGTTATGAGACGGCGAGCTCAGATAACATTAATACTTGTGCGGAATTGTGGTGGAAAAAGTAAAACCATTTTTGTTTATTTTTTTTTAGTTTATGCATGGATTTTCCCAGTTCTAATAACTACCGTTTACCGCGAAATCGAAAATATTTAAGAAATAGTTTCAATATACAGTAGGCTTTGATTATTTGTCACCTACTTATACGTTTTTTTTTCTACTCTCAAAGTCACTCTAAGCTGGCTGAGTTTTGATGTTTGCTAGCTCCGATATATATGTATTTCTGCTGTTTTGCAAAAATGTACCCAAAAAACAGACCAAAATCAAATTCTTCGCGTGATATAGCTGGTCATTCATTAAAATTTGATAATTTACGACACCGTTTCCCAATAACTTTGTCTCGGTTTTAAACTCGGCTCGATTTCTATCCAATAACTTCAACGAATGCATCGTTTCACGCGATTTCGTAACAAAGTTGCATGTTATCTCACCTCGCGACATTAGCAATAACGACGGACCATAAAAAATGTAATTTGCGTGTGGAATATTGGAAAATTCAAAACCCGCGACGCGTCGCATCTAGTTGCCCGTGGGAAACGACAGATAATTTAGTCGGGTAGTCAATTCGGTATGGTTTTGTCGTAAAATTTTTATTGCGTGGTCTGTGAATCTGTCAAGAGTCGATGATGAAAAACATGTAATTACAATAAAATTTAAAGGCGCTTACATATTCCTTTCTATATTTTCCATGTATATTTTCATGTTATGGCATGGGGCAGTTGACAGCGTATGTGTTCCAATAAAAAAAAGTATAGTAGTGTTAAGTCTGGGCAACCGAGAGGCCAATTCGCGTTATTCTCATATATATATATATATATATATATATATATATATATATATATATATATATATATATATATATATATATATATATATATATATATATATATATATATATATATATATATATATATATATATATATATATATATATATATATATATATATATATATATATATATTCTTATATATTTTTTCCTGAAACCCCCATTCTTATAGGAAATCGCGATTCCAAAAGAAGAAGGAGTTATAGTACGACCAAAAATATAGTGCATTTATTGCTTTGACGTAAATATTTTCCAAAAAGTAGAACCGTTTACGAGGTTAGCGCGAAAATTTCCCGGCCTGACATAAATGCAGCTCCAGTATCACGATAAAACTTTGTCTTCATGAAAAAATTGTGTGCCCAAATGAAGTTTTTAAGGGTCATAATGGTCAAAAAACGTTGCCAATCGTCAAATTTATAAGATTTAACTAATGTATTCCAAATATCGTCAAAGTTGTAATACATTTTCTACAGACTTTCCTTCCGTTTTGACATCAAAACTTGTAAAATTAATCAAATATTATAATTTTTTAACAGCGTCGACTTGCGGGAACGAGAAAATTCCTCTTTGTAGTCGTTAAATACACGGTCTCTGATTTAAATAACCGCTAAAAGGAAACAAAAAGATTGTATTGTATTCCGGCCGGGATATAGCGACTTACCCGTTCGGCGAGGCCACGCAGAGCGCGGCCAGAATCGTCGCGACGGACCGCGTCTTGTCGAACAGCATCGTGACGATGGTCGCGAAGAACCCGTTCCGTATGGTTCGCACGGAACCCGCGAGATTTGAAACGCGACTGAGCGGCGGTACGGCTCCCTCTTTCCATTTTTATCCGGTCGATAAGCTCCGGGAACCGCTGCCGGCCCAACGACAAACTCAATCGGGCAAAATAAACACTCGTCTTGTTGATTCTGATTTCTGAAATCGATTAAATATTTGATACCGGTATTAGGTTTTACGGCCCCGCGGATTAAACGTTGACTGATGAGGATGTTTTTCCCCGCCGCCCCGCATGAAACATTTCGAACGATACGTTTAATGGTCGTTTCGCGATTCGCGCCGGCGGCACCATCTAAGAGACGGCACTGGAACCGCCCAACGTGGGAACGGATAATCGATGGCGCTCGCTACGTTCAACCACGGACCACAAATGGCGGCCACTACGGAATACTGTTTTTGATATGCTATTAAAGCATTTATTAATTTTGAAAACGAATTTTTGCAAAACAGCAAATTTTAAGTCAAAAAGATGAAGAAATGACCGTGGTTTTGAATGTCACGTTACTTCAATTGGGCGGATGGCCCGAAATAAATCCTAACAAAAAGCAGCGAGTTTTCGTTTCTTGGGAGTTGCTATTCTGTGAAGATGAACTCTTATTTTCCAGATAGTTTTGCGAGTTTGTCTCTGTGTTGTAGAAAAAAAGTAATAAACCTCATCCGTTAAGTAGTTGGCCGTTATGTGGGTGGTATGCGGGGTTGCACAACCGGATTATTTTGCCGTGTTAACGTGGTCAAGATTTTGATAAGGCCGCATTACCATTTGGAAACAGAAATTAAAAGGTAAAATTGATTTACCTTGTTTGTTTTTATAAGTGCGGGATCTGAATATCCGGCTTTTTCAAGAGTGGATTTTAAAAACGCAATATTGGGTGCTGAATATGGGGTCAAAAAGGAAGGAAAGCCTTGTACATTGAGTTTTTATTTCGTAAAATGTGTTATAACTGATAATATTTCGAATACATTAGTTAAATCTGATAAATTTGACTTGACGGTTTTTGGATTTCCATGTCTTAATCGATCAAATAATCAAAATAATTAATTGACTGTGATTCACCCACGGTTTCATACGGTATTTATAAACGCGATAGGGAATATTTTTTCATTGCAGAAATTTATACTTAATGACCTTAAAAACTTTATTTTGTTCAGTGTTTACCGTTTGGTCACACAATTTGTTTATCTTGAACGGTTAGAGACTAAGGATTTTTTCCCCGTCGGAAAAATTTATCAATTTTCATTTTAAAATTGTGATCTGCATGAATTTGTATTAGCATATGTTTTAAGTTATAAGTTCACTGTAGCTTTTTTGATATGCTTCAAAAACCAACCAAAACTTGGAAAAAAACGTTTTAAATGGTATGTAATTAGACTAGAAACTAGTAATGAGTTTTTGAAAAATTTCCGAGGGCTGAGTTTTGGTGAACGATAGATTGGTTTTAAAAGTTGAAAAATTTTGAAATACGGTCACTAGGCTATCCAAATAATGCGCTATCGAAATGCATTAAGCAATACTTTCACGCATTTTTCAATTTGAAATGACCCAAATATATTCGTTTATTTTGAACACCCTGTAGCATCTAATTGAAATTATGTTGCATATATCTTTTATGTCATGTTCGAATAACGGTAATCTCAAATAGGAAACTAGTATTTTTTTAGGTTTAGGTTTAGGCATTATTAAAACAAGTTGAAGGATGCAAAACAAAATTTAAAAAATTGTACGTTTCATTTGTCGCCCTGTGTACTTTTAAATAATTGTGCAACCATTTTGTATTTGCCATTTTCTCATATCTTTTGAAACGGATGTGATAACGAACTTTGCCCTTATGCCCAAAATCTCTACTATTATTACTATTATTATTATTATTATCATTATTATTTATTTTTGGCTTTTGACAGTTACCCTTATCGCATAGTGTTACTTCGCAGAGACGGATCTGCCCCCCTGATATCTGTGAACCCACCCGTTGAATTACGACAAAATTCGTAAAGAAAAGGGTTCCGCGGCTGAATAATACGAAACGGCTACGAAAACAGCCAAGGTCGGAGACAGTCCCGGCACGGTCAGTGCCAACGCTACCGGCGGTTTTCGCATTTGCCCGCACTGAATCATTGGGTTTGTTCGAAAGCGTGACGATCCGGGAAATTTTGCGATATCGAGTAAACCTCGAGATTAAGATTTTTATTAATCAATTACGTGGCCGTCAAAGTTAATTAGAATATCGAACGGGTTGGCTAATACACCGGAAACGCGTTTTTCAACTTAATCTCGGCCCTCGAGTACTCGCCTCCATGTTAATCCGCTGTTACTTTGTAAACTTCGACCCTGCACCGTGCAAAAAAAAATGGATAACAGTCTAGTTTCCCGTTCGGCCTTATTTGTACTTGCAGTAACTCCGGTGCTAAACGCAACGTTTTAACTATTGAATAAAATAATGGATATTTTAAAACAATATCATAATGAGTGTTGCCTATATTGATGGCCAAATAACCCCTCGTAGGAAATAAACAGTACAAATAATACAGTGTAGCAGAATATTCAGAATTTAACAAAAAACAAAACTAACAAATATAAATAAGTCCCTTAAATCCACCTAAATTCACAATTTGACAATTTAAGTATTCTAAAGATATCAATACATAATTTTTAAATTTAATGTATTACTATTATTATTATTATTACAAGAATAAAGTGCAAAGTGGTAAATATTACGCGACATTATTACATAAATTGCGAGACTGCATACGTGTAAAACGTCGAGGAAAACTGACCAGAGGCGTGCGTGCTAGTGTTGCACAAGCTGCCATTTTAGAGTGTGGGTTCCAACAGATAGATCATCCTCGTTATAGTCCAGATGTGGCCCCCAGCGACTATTATTTGTTTGGATATTTGAAAAAGGTCTTACGTGGACGGCGGTTTAACGAAGAAGTTGAAGGCTGTTTTAGCTCATTTTGCAGGCAAACCATAAGAATATTTTTTTAAAAGGGATTGAGTTGTTAATAAAGAAATGTAATAAGTGTATTGAAGTTAACTACTTTGTTTCTTTCATTTTCAGACCTGGAAATTTTGGCGCTCTTGGGTATAATATGTCAATCGATCAAAAACGGTAACAGCTGATTTACTATAAGGCGTTCAAGAACCTTACATATAATACACACTAGGCTGATAGGGCGGTAATTTGAAACATCGAGCTTATCACCCTTTTTATAAAACGATTTGCGGATAACCGGATTTGAACCGTAAAATTTTCGTGTAAACGTACGGGCCCTAATAAAGCGCCCACTTAAAAGAAACACGTTCACGTACTGCGCGTATATTTCGAATTCGGTTTCATACAATTCACGGTGTAATTCAGCAGGTGCATGTCCTGCAGGGTCCGCGTGAGTCGCTTGAAGTGGCGCTCCGTGTAGGGCAGCGCCCCCTCGACGAGAGACGCCAATCCGACCGGTCTGAACTTGCCCGTCTGCAGCTCCTGCAACAATATGTTGAGCACCAGCTGCGCCGCTTGACAGTTGCGGCCGTTAGTGTTCCAATCCAACGCGCACTTCAGCAGGCTCGTCTTCAGCCCTTCGTCGAAGTGCCTCACCGCTTCCGCCAAACCGACGTCCTTTTTTTTAATGGCCCGTTCGACGATCCTCAACGTCTGCTGGGGTCGATTCAAAGTCAACGACAGCTCCAGCGCCTTGAGCAGTTCGTCGGCCTGCAGGTAATTGCTCAGACGCTGATCGATCAGCGTTAGTTCCTCCTCATCCTTTCGGCGGCGCTGTCGTCGCTCCTCAGTCGCGTCCGTCCACCGTACCAGCGACGAATCGCTACCGCCAGTTACTAATTCGGATTCGTCCCCTTTAACCGCTAACGCCCATATCCTGCCCTCGTGACCCTCCGCGGTGCTCTCGCAGCTCGCGTTTTTCACGTTGAAAAGTTTGACGAGGCCGTCCGCGCCGGCGCTCAGGATTTGGGCGCCCTTCGATAGGAACTCGAGACGTAACACGCTCGCTTCGTGGCCCTCCATGGTCCGCAGGCAGACGAGATCGGTCACGGACCACAGTTTGATGGTACAGTCTGCGGAACAGGACGCTACCACTTGGTCGGCGGGCGAAAATCTGTCGGTTAAAATGTAGAACTGAGACAACTACAGTCGAAACCCTATATAGCGAAATTGAAGGGACTGTTTTTTTTGTTTCGTTATAAACAGTTATAGGCACTTGAAAAATAACAATACGCATATGTGTTATGTAATATTTAATTATTTTATATACATATTTTAACATCCACTTAGGAACATTTTATATAAATATTGAAGAACTACATTTCATTTTTCAAATAATCCAATCACGACTGGCTTCCTTTTTTCTCTCCCACTCATATTGGCAGCTACTAACACTGTTATACGTTCTTTAGAAAGTTTTCCACCCGCACACTTTTCGCTTCGAAATTTAAGGGTTTTATCTGGCGTCATTTTCTAAAAAATACCAGTTTCGCCGGCATTGAAAATGTCGTCAGCGGGGTACTTTTCTGCTAGTTTTGGCCACGTCTTCTCCAGCCAATCGCTAGTTTTGCTTCTGTCGACATCACGGGCTTTCTTTGCACATCCAAATCGTAGATACAGTCGACGGTGTAAGTCCGTATCGGCGTCCTGCATCACTTTTCTTTTCTCCCCGTTCTATCTCGCGAATTAAGGCCACTTTATCATATAGAGATAAAATTTAAACATTAACTTAAGTTGTCGGTAATTAGGTTATTAGGGTAAGGAATTCTGAGAAGGTAAGAGACTCTATTAATTACAAGTGGGCCTACATTCCTTTCTTTGTTACCTGATGTGCCCTTTTTATAGAGAGTGAGATATCCGTTATACAGAGTGGATTAATACATAGCTTTGTATGGAGACCTAATAGTACAACAAATTTTTTTCGTAATACAGAGTTTCGCTATAGGGAGTTTTCACTATATATCCGGTACCCACCTGACGCACCATACGCCCCTCTTGTGTCCCGCTAGCGTGCCGAGCAGGTCCAGCGCGTCCGTCCATAGCTTGACCGTCCTGTCCTGGGACGCGGTCGCGATTATTTTGTCGTTCGGCGACACCGCGACGCTGTTAATCTCCTTCTGGTGCGCCACCTGGCTGCGGGTGCAACGCAAAACGTCGGCCCCGCCCCCTTCGTCCACCCGCCACATCTTCAGGCAGTTATCGTGACCCGCGCTGACAGCGTAGGGGTCGCCGCGGGCGAACGCGATCGCGCCGACGCTTCCCGTGTGAAGCGCGCCGATGGCGACGCACGTCGCGTCCCCGCCCCCGAACCGCCAGAGGCGTACGGCGTTGTCTTTGGCGGAGGAGAGCATCAGGTCGCGGTCTCGGTCGCTGACCGCCAACGCGAGCACCAGATCCGTGTGACCTTTGAGCAGGCGACAGCTCATGTACGCGTTGTCGAACACTTTGATATCGTTCGAGTTGGTGGCGATCGCGATATGGGTGTCCCCATGGCCGACGTACACCACGTCGTGGATCTCGCCGGTAAACCCGACGAACTGCTTGAGACAAACGAACGACTTTAAGTGGTGCACGACGATGTTGTGATCGACGGTGACGACGGCCACGCCCTTAGTCTTGGGGTCGTGCCTGAGGTGGGTGACGGCGACCCCGGGCGCGGTGGATTCCGGTTGGACGAAAACCTCGCGACCTTTGGGCACGTCCCATACACGCACGACGCCTAAAACGAAACTGTGTGACGGAAAAATACGATTTTCCACGACATGTAAAATCGACAGAAGAAGAATTTAAGAAGAAGAAGGAGAATTTTTATTAAGCACATATTGCACAATAATAATAATTGCAGTCTGTCAATATAAGGTAAAATACAAAAACAAAATGTAAAAAGTATTAAAAGTGTAAAACACGGAGTATAAAAATCGTACAAAAAGTGCAAGATAGTATGCTATGCTTTTCACACATTTCAGTAAACCAAGGATTTTAATTTATTTACTTATTGATTTATCAACGGGCCAACCGCCCAATAAAAAAATAGAGAACAAAATTAAAACAGCATGAAATAGATAGACGAACATTGGTTTTCCTAAATATTATGTTAGTATAGTTAGTCGACACGACAGTAAGGACATTTATAAGAGTAGCGAGGCACCAACACAACGTTATACAATACTCTTGCGGAGAAAAGAGGAATAGTTTTACTGACAGTCTTTAAGTCCTTTTTTTAATAAACTTGCACTCTGGAAGCAGTCAAGTTGTTCCGAAAAGCGATTCGCTAGTACAGCTGACCTAGTAAGAACTCTGCCCATAGTTAGTACGATGGAATTCCACTTGGTCTGGCGAGAGGGGAAGCGAAGCCCAATCTTACATAACAGCTCATGAGAAATTGAATGCAGTAGATTATAAAGTCCTTGGTGCTCCTTAAATGCTATATACCGGTGGAACCTATGATGCAGTCTTTCTATGTATGTGGACGTTATACGAAGGTGACCACACACAGGAACAGTAATCCAGGTGTAGACGCACGAGGGAGCAGAACAGTAATCTGAGAGATGGAATACTCTGGAAGTCCACTATACAACGCTTAATAAAGCCCAAAATCTGAAGTGATTTAGACATAATAAATGGAACCTGGTGTGTGTAGGTCAACTCAATATCGAATAACACTCCTGGATCCCTTATTTGGGGGAAAAGATGTTTTTCTGGATGCCAAAATAACCACAAAAAAAATCAAAAATAAAAAAAAAATACTTCGCGTTATTTTAATGCTCCCAATTTAAAGAGTCTAAATGCGGGTCCCGACTTCTCCATCTCTCCCTAGTCTGAAGTCGGTAGCTGCAAAATTGGAATACTTATTATGTTTTTTAATATTGCACGGAATATCGCGATCACCCTGTACAATACTTATAAACCGTAAATACAAAAGTTTAAACTGTATATATGGGTTATATTGTTATGTGAAAGAAACTGACATCTAAAACCCAGATTTAAAATTATTGCCAATTTTCGATAATAGGGCGACCCATTTTTCTTTTTTTGAAAAATTGTCAAGAATAAAACTTTATGGAGTCGTTTCCTCTGCGTCTTCTGGTTTAAAAGTACTTCCCGACCCCCAAGTCCCCCATATTTTTTTATATTTATATTTTTTTGTTTTTCATTTACGGGCAAGAACAGATATTTTCGAGATCTTACGGATGTTTTGCCTAAAAACAACACACCCTGTATATAATTCAGAATACGTTCGAAGTAGAGGTTATAGCCCCGAACCTGTAACGTTTCCTGGTCTACGAATTTTTCCAATAGAGTAGATGGTTTTCGAGAAAATATTTTTTTTCTGAAGTTATGGTCAATGACGTCATCGCGTCTAGACTAAGCGTAAGGAATAGAGATTTTCACACGGATTTTTTCAAATATCTCGAGCAACGTATATGGATAAAGTGTCTTTCACGTCTTTCAGAAATTAAAACTCGTGACAAAATTTGATACACATCAAATCAATATCAAATATCTCGCGCACCTTGGATGATGGACGGAAACTGTGGATAGAAAATTATACTTTACAGTTAACGATACTGTTTTGATCAAATTATCCTATATTTTTCCGTTTTTCGAGATCTTCCGGATTTTTTGCCCAAAAACAACACACCCTGTATATAATTCAGAATACGTTCCAAGTACAGGTTATAGCCCCGAATCTGTCACGTAGAGAAAATAAATAAATAAAATATAGAGAAAATAATTTTTTTCTTAAATTATGATCAATGACGTCATCGCGTCTAGACTAAGCGTGTGAAATAGTGATTTTTGATTCATGATGAAATTTTATATGACACCTTGGATAAAGTGTCTTTCACGCCTTTCCGAAATTAAAAATCGTGACAAAATTTGATGAACATCAAATCCATATCAAATATCTCGCGCACCTTGTACAATGGATGAAAACTGTGGATAGAAAATTATAGTTTACAGTTTACGATACTGTTTGGTCAAACTACCCTATATTTTTTCGTTTTTCATTTATAGACAATAATTTACGCACGAAAACAGATATTTTCGAGATCTTCCAGATTTTTTGCCCAAAAACAACACACCCTGTATATAATTCAAAACTTTTCCTGGTACATGCATTTTTCCAATTTGAGAAAATATTTTTTTTCTGAAACCATGGCAGTGTAAATAAAGTTTATAGTTCTAGATCTCCCGCCTTTTTTGGTTCAAGAATTATAACGAATGAAGTTCTTTTATACGGAACAAAATGATTGCGAAAAATGTTTCGAAAATTTTTCAAAAATATTTGCCGATATGCGATTGCATTTAGCTTTCATAGCTCACATGCGGGGACGGACTTCCACCACCTTCCCAAATTTTAAGCCAATAACTGCAAATTTTGAGCACTTGCTGCATTTGTCGTAGTAACACGATATATCTCGAACACCCTGTATAATATGTAAAAACCTTAAATACAAGAGTGTTAGCTCTCTGTACGGCCTAAACTGATATGTGACAGAAACCGTCACTTCGATAATATAGTCAATTTTCTTTAACAGATTAACCCAATTTTCAAATTTTTGCAAGTACCGGCACACCCGGTATACTTTTGAAAAGATGTCAGGAATGAAAGTTTATGGCCATCCATATGCTGCGTCTTCCCGTTCAAGGATTTCTTCGATATGATCTATTTTCGAGAAATCATCATTTTTTTCGGTTTTTGATAAAAATGGTTTTTGACTTTCAAAAAATACTTAACAATCACTAATTCCTCTCAATTTCAAGAGGTTCCGTCAGGAGCTCAGGCTCTATACTTTTTCAAAATTTCAATTCGATAGATTCCAATTTCAGACACTGGAGCTTGAAAAAATGGGACATTTTTTTTAAATTAAATATGCTGCCAACACTTTCGTAAAAAGGAAAACAAAAAGGAAATTTCAAAAATGAAAGTTTATAAATTGACTTACTTATTGTTGTAAGTCTTATGAGTATACTTGAAGAGAGTAAAAGGAGTGACTACAAAGGATAAGTTTCAAATTACACATATAGTGAAGGTGGAATTCATAAAAGAATTCGTAAAAAAAACTTGGAAAGCTGTAGAACCAACTAATTTACTAAAATGTCTAAACAACGAACCAATATTAGCGGCAGACGTGCAAAGTGAGGTTAGAAAATTAAATGTGTCATTCCGCACACCAAATAATCGGGAAGTCACCTTTTTCACCGGCGGAGGCTACATACACGGAGTCCGGGTCAGACTGGAAGCCTGGCAACTTGAACTTCCGGGGCATGCCGAGGAGAGTCTCGATCGTTTCGTACGTGGCGACAGTTTTCAGTGGCGTCCCTCGACCCAGCTCCCATAAAATTAAAACCTTGTCCCTGCCACTGGACACGAACCTCTGTCCTTCGTGCGCAAAAGCAAGTGACGTCACTTTGTTGTAATGCCCCTTGTATGCGGTCACTAGGTCGCCCCGTTCTACAGAAACGTCCTCCAAAATTGCCGTTTATCACTATTTTTTTAAATTCTCTAACCTAGTTCGTAGGAATTGATATTTCCGTCATCTCCCGACGCGAATATTACATTATCGTGGAAGGTGACGACGTTCACGACCCCCGTGCAGCCTTTCAAGTTCAACAGGCATGTCTGCAACTGCCAGTTCCATAAGCGAATGCTGGAGTCTGACCCGCCGCTCGCCAGGTGGTCGCCGTTTAATGCCAGCTTCGCTACGGACCCCTTGTGAATACATTTCCACGTTTTTTCGAGCTCGCCGCTGATCTTCCACAGTTTAAGCAAACCGCTCTTGTGGGCGGACACTATTTTTACGCCGTCCGTGGTGAAAGTGTGAATCGCGTCGGCATCTTCGGTATCCGCGTCCCCCACCAACCTTTCCACCGCACCGGTCTCGGCGTCGAGTAAATTAACGCTCGCGTGCGACTGGCAGTAGAACGTCGACTCTAACCATTCCACATTGCCGCCGGTATAGAATGCCCCGTGTTTAGACTGAATTTCATATCTAAAATTGAACGGACTATGCCGCACCACCATCTCTTACGCAAATTTTCAGACTTACACCTCCTTTAGTTTAACTGCGTTAGCCATTTCGGCTCGCGCAAAACAAAACTTTAAGTTAACCTACAAACGTAACCTAACCTAACTCTTTTGGGGGTCATATGATCTGTGATAGTAGATATGGGCATTTAAATTCTGCAATTTACGTATTTAGTACATAAGTTCACAGATGCCATATTTGCCATATAGTTGCTGAAACCATAGCTCCTTATGCCTTATGCTTTCCGTTCATGCTTATCGCAATGAACATGTGTTTCCTATAATTTTAAAAATGGCAAAATTTTATTTTTCGTGCAGAGAATTAACGAATTTTATGTTCTCTACAAATGTAATTTTATTTTGTTGTCAATTGTAATAGTTTTTGTGTCAACTTTAAGAATTTTTAGGTGATTGCGCGCTATAGTTTTCTTACTGCTGTTACGAGTGATATTGTTTATATGCTAATTTTGAAGCACCAGCGACGATGTACCTAAAGTAAACACATTGTTTCTGCCATTGCTGTTACGTTGTTACAATAAAAAACTCGCCGTTTTTTAACTCCCAAATTTTTGTATCTCTCTAACGACATATTTAAAAAAAAATTATGTTCGAAATTCAAAAGTAAAGTAGATAAACTAAAACGATGGGACTTTTATTAACGCATATTTTGGAAGTTAGTTTTATGTAATCACAATACTGCCATTTTCTATAATTTCGTGATTAAATCAAATAAATATGACAGTTTGGCAATTACGCATGTCATTTAGCGACCACAGTTAAATTATATACTGAACGAGTAGTCCATTTGTAACAATGGACGAATAGTACTCTTGCCCCTCTGTTTATAAAAGAAGAAGACTACTTTTTTATTTTTGCCAAGCGTTGAGCGAATACGTCAAGTAGATTTGCCCAAGTTACTAGGTCAAATAAATATGAATTAGATAAAAATAATAGAATGACTTGGAACGATGTACAATAGTATAACGAATAAGTTTAACGGCTGTACTTTAAATCAATTTCGTAAGTTTGTGTACGTTCTGTCCATTCGGAAGTACTCTGCGGAAAATGAAGGGGGCAAATATATTCCCGTGTACAATTTTCCATATATAAGACCTTTCACCGTGGTGAATAGGTTGAAACTTTACCAGACCGTTCTGACGGGCATCAGCGTCCCAGGTGGGGCTATCCTCAGCCAGCTAGGATGCGTGTCTTGGGATACAGCGCAATCCACTACTTTATTGGGTAATACCTTTTTGTTTTCCGGCCGGGAAAAAACATACTCGATCGGAAGTGGAGTGAATGGATAAACGAACATTGTCTTCAGGTGTATCGGCATGCGTGATGCTATACGGAATAGGTTTTTTAACCACCAAATTCATAGGATTTATTTATTACAACCCGGAGACTGATTCGGTAAAGTTGGCTTATGGGGACTTCTGGGGCCGAAGGAAGGACTTGGTAATGCCGCGTTCGGACGTCATGCCTCTAAGCGAACTGCCCACTACACCACTGGATAAGCTGTTTGTTACATTCAGGAGATACAATTCCAAAGAAACCCTCAAGTTGGATATGCGATTCGGGGTAATTTTAGACGCGGAAAAGTTTAAGCAATGTATTTATTGAAAAACGAATAAAAATATAAACCGAGTACAAGTTAATCAACTCCAGCGGTAATGGGCATAAGCACGATTCGCCTCACACTGCTTATGCAACTCGTGTTTCCGTTTGATAACGCGGCCCTTGTTGTTGGAGGCGTCTATTAGCTCCCTCGCCAATTGAAGGGCGAACCGGACCTCGTGGTGCTTGTCCTTGCCGGCCTCGATTAACCATTTCATGGACATAAACTGTGCCTTTTTTGCCGTGATCGGGACAGGTACCTAAAACAAAACTTTTTAGTATGTCATCATAAAAAAAATACCTTACCTGGTATTTGACGCCGCCTCGTTTGATCGGCGAGAGTGCGAGAATCGGCTTGCAATTCTCCACGGCCCTGTGGAAGATCGTCTTGGGGTTCAGCTCGATTTTCTCCTTGTCTTCCGGATTTTCACACTTGTGGTACCGCTCGAGCTGCAGCCGTTTCACGTTCTCGAACGTTTTTTCCATCACCGATCGCGCGAGCACTTTTTTCCCATCCTTCATCACATAATTGATGAACAAACTGAAAAAAACGGATCGGTGGTCCCTCTCGAAATTTTAACCCAAAAAGTGCCCCTACTTCACTAATGGATCGTTCGACGCTGAACTGGTCTGATCGTTTAATGCCGCCCTCGTGGGTACGTGAGTGTATTTGTACAATTCGCCGCTTTTAGTAAGCTCTTCCTGCGTCTCTTTCTTATACACCGGTTGGACGTAATAGTTGGGGTACTGCGACATTCCATTTTGCTGGATGAACGAGCTGGAAAAAAGCGATCAATTGTGCCCGCGACGGCAAGCTGTAAAACGTTACCTCAGGGGTACAAATCTTAAAATTTGGGTTCGGTACAACGAAGCCATGGAAATTGGGTTATGAGACAAAAATCGGGCCATACGAATGAGCATGACCACCAATATTCTGTGCCACGGATAACGCTCGTCTTTTATAGGTTATGTTAACTACGTTTTCTGTCAACAAAAGGCAACTCTAGCGAAAAATAAACCACGAAAGTTTATATATTTTTTCGCGGGTTTCGTTTATTCGCTAGTAATGTTTTAATTTATCACCCTTCGCATCGCATAAATATGGCCGATCAAAACCAAGGTGATTATTTTTAACACTATACATGTTATCGGAACGCATATCGTTCGGGGGTGACTAGGAAACTTGAACGAGTCATTTATTTAGGTCTGAAAAAGCCGGCTTTGCTAAAAATGGATTTTCCGCAAGCGAGCAATTCGGCCCCGTTCACGTTTCGCCTCTTGTCCAATCAACAGGCCGGCGAGAAGGCGGCGGGCCTGCCCCGTTCGAAAATGAACCTGCCGGTGGCCCAAAAAGCCAAGGATCCGGCAATCACGCGCACGCCGTGAGTTTCCCGGTACGTCGCCCTGTCCCCGACGTGCTTTTTTTTTCCCCTTTTTTCCCAGCGAGTCCAAGTTAAAAATCACGCACTCCATGAACTCCACTGGCAAGTTACAAATCGGCGGGACTACCGTCGATTTCACGTCCGAAGACCTGCAGGATCTCGGCGAGATAGGTAGAGGTGGGTTCGGCACCGTCAACAAAATGATTCACAGAAAGTCGGGCACCGTGATCGCCGTTAAACGGATAAGATCCACAGTGGACGAGAAGGAACAGAAACAGCTGCTGATGGACCTCGAGGTCGTCATGAAAAGCAACGAGTGCAACTACATAGTGCAGTTTTACGGGGCCCTGTTCAAAGAGGTGACTAGCTGCGTTTCCGATGCGGAAGTTCGATAAGTTTGATTTTAGGGCGACTGTTGGATATGCATGGAACTGATGGACACGTCGCTCGATAAATTCTACAAGTTCATCTACGAGAAGCTCGATGCGCGGATACCGGAGCCGGTGCTCGGTAAAATTGCCCTCGCCACCGTTAAGGCGCTAAATTACTTGAAGGAGGAGCTGAAAATCATACACCGCGACGTCAAACCCAGCAACATCCTGCTGGACAAACGGGGTAGCATCAAGCTCTGCGATTTTGGCATATCGGGCCAGCTGGTCGATTCGATAGCCAAGACGAAAGACGCCGGTTGTCGCCCCTATATGGCAGTAAGCGATTGTCAAATTTTAGGTTAGGTTACCGTTACGTATCGGGCTTAACACGCGGCTGGACTTTCGTGGTAACCACGCACAGAGGCGTCATAACTTTCGACAAACCCACAGTGATGACATAACCTTGGATAACCGCTGGGCGTGCATTTTTTCCAACACGTTTTTTATTTTGTCTGTTCTCTGTAACGGATCTTTTGGAAGTATTCGAAGCTGGATAATTTTCGAACAATTGGAGCTAGGCACTTCAAATTTTCCACCGTGCTAATGCTAGGCGATGCGCAGCGGCTCCAAAAATATCGAGCCGATCGGACATCGGCGGCCGTTTTGTCGGCCCTATTGGTGGTTTTTGCTCGGAAAGCGCTACGGAAAACAATCAGTGTCCGAAATTTGGAGCGATGGGGTTAACATTTAAAATTTAAATTTAGAGTTCCATCCCCAGAGGGAACCCATTGAAACTGGGCTGGCTCGAAAGCCCTCAAGTATATGTTTAAAAAATTTGATTTTTTTTTCCTGGACTGAAAAAAAAAATTTTTTAACCGGAAGACGCGCGACATTTGAAGAACTAATCCAAAAATATAGTTTAGTCTGTGATATACAGGGTGTCCCAGTTATGGGCGAAAACTGAAAATTGCTATTTCGCGGTGTAAATCATTGACCGTAGCTGACGAAACGTGGGAAGTGGTGCATTTTGGTTTAAACGCTCCTTTGTGACGCGTTGGGAGCTACAATTTTTACATTTACCGTTTTCGTCTATCGTGCTGAGCGAGCGAGATACGGGCCAAAAAGGAATGGATTGGAATTAAACATAATTTCGTGAAAATCTGAACTTTTAGTTCTTATTTATTTTGGTAAACAAAAATGACATTACTTATTTATTGCCCTTCATTGTCCAAAAAGATGATCCAATCACACAGACAACGTGAACAAATTTAATCCCTATAATTATACAATAATTAAAATTTAAGTTTAAATGTAAATGTAAAAACTGAAAACCGAAATCAAAGCTATAAAAGCAGAAAGTACTTCTTGTCAACACCAAACCTAAGGGCCCCCGATTCTCCCTCTGGAGGAGAATAAATAAAGTAAAGTTTATTGTAAAGTTTACATGACTTATGAATCATGTGCTACTTAATTAGATCACAAACAATCTGTGTCTGCAAAAAAGTAACTGAGAGAAGGAAAAAAAAAAAATGAAAGAAAAATGAAACGGTATCAAACTATAGCAATGTGCTCTATGAAATCAAGGATCGTTTTAACTGGCTTCCACTTCCTGGCAAATATTTTATATGTTTGTTAGAGATATTTCTTATGCTAATGGGTGACAGTTGTATAACTTTGGCCCCAAGCTTACCGTCCTTTCTATAGAAGGGAACAGATCAGTTCTGTTTGGTTGGCATTTTCAATTCTTGCCTGGAAATTGGCGTTTCTGTTTAGATGGACTGTTTTAAATTTGATTGAGCATTGATGCTTCGTGGTATTTTCGAATAAGTAGAAGTGTTTATTTTAACATCTAAATTGAAATATGTTCCTATATATTACCCGTGGTACTTCCGGTAAGTACGTACCTGATTCTCGAGCTTTGTCCGTTCTGCGTTCTTCGTTCTCGTCTTTTGGTTTTTCCTGAATAACTTTCGAACCGTTCAATTTAGAACATTGTTGGAATTATATACAGGGTACGTCGTTTGTTGTCAAAAAATTCTGATAGATCCTTCCGTATTTGCGGGTAAATTATTGGCGATAAATGAAAAACCGTTAAAGATGGGATAATTTTGGGGACCATTATACAGGGCGCGAGATATTTGCAAAAATATCATTCGACAACGGTATTATTTGTGCAAATTTTAATATTTACCGATGTTTGCTGTAACTTTGAAGTTCGACGAGATGTGACGGACATTTTGTACAGGGTGCATGCGCAATTAAATTACATCGATTTTGCGAAAGTTCCATAGTGGTTCGCAGGAGCACGATAGAAAAACAAAGCGTCCCTTTATCACACGAAACCGCGAAGTTCTTTCCTTTTACAATAAAAAGCTGCTTCATGCTACGCGCTACGAACTTGCTCCGCCCAGCGACCATTTTTCGAAAACAATCTTATTAGTGTAGGTAGATAAATTTGTAGGACGGTCCTGGAATGGTTACAAAGTTAGGTAGGCAAAGTTAATCAGGGTGCGGGTTTTAAACGCACTATATTTCTGGTGCAAGTATACCTTAGCCATTGATTCGTAATGAGATTTTTGCATTCGATATACCGATCGTTTACGTTAAATCAAAGCAATTTTCATGATCTATCGCGAAGGTAACATTCTTGTCACCTAAAACAATGACGATCGCAAATGGGTATTCCGACTATACGGTTTGTTCGTGCAGCCCGAGCGGATCGATCCCCAAACGGCCAAAGGTTACGACGTGAGAAGCGACGTGTGGTCTTTGGGGATCACCCTGATGGAGGTCGCGACCGGACACTTCCCCTACAAGCGGTGGACGAGCGTGTTCGATCAGTTGCACGAGGTGGTGAACGGGGAGGCACCACGGCTCAGTTCCCAGTGCGACTCGTTTACGCCAGAGTTCGTCAACTTTGTAAACACGTGGTGAGTATCTACGAGCCGCCCCCTACCGGTGTGATGTATCGGTTTCGCGCAGCCTCATCAAGCAGGAAAACCTCCGCCCCAAGTACAACAAACTCCTGCAGGACCCCTTCATATTGCGTTCGCAGCAAGAAAAGGTCGACGTGGCAGCCTACGTTCGTGAAATTCTCGACGCCATGGCCAAGAACGGCGTGAGCGCCTTCACCACCAACCAGCAGTGAGCGGGGGTAGTTTTCGCGAGTTAGCTCACAATCGACATCTCAGGACAACTAGGAATGTCTCCGAGGTTTACCTTTAGGTTTTCCGTGGTCAATACCGAGGCGGGGCGTTCCGCGGTCGCTCCGTCGAGCCCGGTTTTTCTAATAAATTTAGCCGAATGTAAATAACTTGTAGATTTGTTGATTGGATGGTTAAATATATTTTTCGTATTTACTTCATTGAAAGTGCCTATATCGTATTACTGTACTGTTACGGTTTCGAAAAATAAATTCCTAGATCGGTTGCGTTTTTGTTGTTGACCACCCACCACGAAAGGATAAACGACAGCAACCAATTAAGCAGTTAAACTCTAAGTTTGATTTATAAACAAGTGACGCAGGAAGAATATAGAAGGTTTGTAGATAGTATTGCAGTACCCTGTGGAAGTTCCTTTGAAAAATTAGGAAAAAAAATCGTCAACTGGCATTCGAATTCTCTAATATTTCCGAAAAAACAACCACCCTACCGATTTGTTTCCACCATATTAAACAGGATAGTGTTATAGCTATTACACTAACCTGAACTCTGCTCCGTTTTCTTTCTAAACAACCTAACACAACCGCGCACTTAACTCCTTTTTTAACGGGAAACGAGAAAATACAGCCATAAAAATGCCGCATTCAATCTTAATGACGCGGTAAAAACACATTACCACTTTGCGCCATGTCCTTTCTAGTATACAATAAACTCTTTTTTCGAAGATTTAACAGGATCAAGACCTGTTTTGAAAAAATACGGCGATCTGTCAGCGGCCATGTTGCAAGGTCATTGGTTCTTCTTCGTTACACTTTATTTGCCAAGTTACATAAGGCCATTCGGCCAGCTTGTGACAATGTTTAAACTTTGATACAAGGTTAACGATTCGTGTTAATCACCGACCGACGCATTTTCTCATGGACATAAACCCGATACCTCCGGACCCGCCCTGAGTGTATGGAGAAAACAGCGAAACCGCTTACATCATCAAAATACACCAACTAGACACTGTCATCTAAGACAATAACAATTCAAATCTCACAGGCATATTTTGAGAACATATGGACGTAAAAATGTCGCAAGCAGACTTATTGGAGAACTGTGAGCGGCCATGTTGGTTGTTGAATGACGCAAGGTCATTGGTTAAAAGCAAAATTTATTTCGTAGTTGCTTCGGAATGGGCAGGACATGAACCTGAGAAGTTGATATTTTTTTATTTTCGATTCACAAACGCCATGTGATTCATGAATGCGATTAATTCGAATACTCAATCGTATCATCGTATCAGATACTCACCGCACTAGCTCGCGCCAGCTGTCAAATTGCCATGCTTGTTTTCGGAATGCCGTAAATGTGTTTTCGTACGTTTCGCACGTTCATCGGGTCGGGATAATTTCGATCGCGCCCTCGGAGAAAGAAAAATGTGGGAGATGGGGGCGGAGGCGATAAACGACGCGCCGCACGAAAAAAAACAAACGTTCCCGAGGGCAAAGATCGCGATAACCGATAAAGATATGCCCCTGGCGTTCAACGAGGACAGGCACCTCGAAAACGTCGACGAGATCGATGGAAATACTCACACGTGGAAGATGAAAGAGCGGGTACGGCCGTTTCGTTAAGTCGCGCGCTTTTAATTTGTACGTCGTTGCTTTTCTTACCATCTAGATGAAAACGGTGAGCGTGGCGCTGGTTCTGTGTTTAAACCTAGAGGTCGACCCGCCGGACGTGGTGAAGACGCAGCCCTGCGCGCGGGTCGAGTGCTGGATAGGTAAGGGACGACGGTATACGTCGGATAGGGCGAAAGTGGGTGTGTGTTTCAAGATCCCATGTCGATGTCGGCACCCAAGGCGCTCGAGAAAATCGGTCAGGCCTTGCAGGCGCAGTACGAGCGCTGGCAGCCGCGGGCGCGTTACAAACAGTCGTTGGACCCGACTGCCGACGAAGTGAAAAAGCTCTGCCTGTCGCTGAGGAAGAACGCGAAAGAGGAACGCGTCCTCTTCCATTACAATGGCCACGGGGTGCCAAAACCGACCGTCAACGGCGAGATATGGGTGTTTAACCGGGCCTACACGCAATACATTCCGTTGTCCATTTACGATCTGCAAACGTGGATGGGCGCGCCTTCCATATATGTCTACGACTGTTCCAACGCTGGCATCATAGTTGAATCTTTCAAAACGTTCGCCGCCCAACACGAATCCGAGTACAACGTAAGTGCAGACCACAGATATTGGGTAGTTAATAGATACGACATGCGATTGTTTTGAACATTTGGTTGCTTAGAACCAGCAGGTTTTAAGTGAACGTCTTCATTGATTAGTAGGAATTTTTCATAATCGTTAATGAATTTATGAAATATGCAAATTGATATTATTTTGGTTTTTGCCCCAATGTGCGCCCCCGTCCTTTTCGCGTTGCAGCAAGCGATGTCGAGCGCGTCCCAGCGGGACCGCCTCCAGTCCCCGCCCTCTTACCACAACTGCATCCAGTTGGCGGCGTGCGCGGCCAATCAGAACCTGCCGATGAACCCGCAGCTGCCCGCCGACCTCTTCACCGCTTGCCTGACTACTCCCATAAAGATCGCGCTGCGCTGGTTCGTCCTCCAGTCCACCTCCAAACTGATGCCCCACGTCACGCTCGACATGGTCGACAAGTAAAGTCATCGTTCTCCGAACTAGGTTGTGACAGCCTCTCCCCCGCTTCATCCCACCGTTGTATCGCTAGCGACACCTATCGGTGTTGAATTTATTCAAACTGGTTACGTGGTCGCTAAAGGTATTCGTCATAATATGTCGCTTATTTGTGAAAAAATGAGCACCCAGGAAGTTTAGCGTGACATAAGGTACCTAAGGTAATTGATGTTATTAAAAGTGACAACAATAAACGAAAGTAGATGCCGAAGATGCCCCAAAAAAAGGACTCGATATACCAAAACTAACCAAAATATTTACCGAAATGCAATCTCGAAAGTAATAATGTTGATATTAGGATAATAGTTGGAATATGGGATTTAGAAATCGGCTACCCTACTCACGCCAATCTTGACTTAACGAAAAGTATTTTGCGAGTAAACGAGAAGATGCTCAGAACAGAAGAGACCGAATCTCAGAAGCACCGACTTCGGAAAATGAGGAGGGCAAAGAAAATGGTCACACATTGCACTTGAAAATAAACTAGTAGTGTATGTGTGTATTATATTTATACACAAAAATTTAACCTCAACCGTCAATTAGGTAGTTTTTGCTAGGTTTTGCATCAGACGGACCTCGATAAAACAAAGAACAAGGATAAACTCTGTGTGTGTATTATATTTATATGCAAAAACTTAACCTCAACTGTCAGTTGGGTGGTTTTGCTAGTAAACAAGAAGAAGAAGAGAAGAACATGGATAAACTGTGTGTGTGTCTATTATGTTTATACACAAAAATTTAATGTCAACTGCGAATTAGTTAGTTTTGGATAGTTTTTGCATTGCGATCTTGACGAAACGAAACGTATGTTGCTAGTAAACAAGAAGACACTGAGTCTTAGAAACACCGACTGAAGGCAACAATTTGGGGAGCAAAACATCGTCAGATGAGGAAGGCAAAGAAAATGGACACTTGAACGTAAACCAATAGGAACATGAACCACGAGACCAACAGATCTCAAATAAAAAGAAGTGTGTATCATGTTTATCCGTAAAAAATTAACCTCAACTGTCAATTGGTGTCGCTGAGCGACAGTCTTGCGGCGGGAGTGTCGACACTACTTAGTTCTGTGAACGCGGTCAAGGGGTGGGGGGAGTTTAAATGGACGGAGTTTAATTAGGATCGATTGTTCAAGGGTTCCCGGCAAAATACCGGACCGGCGCACCATGCTCGGCGAGCTGAATTGGATATTCACCGCCATAACGGACACGATCGCGTGGAACACCCTTCCCAGGGGTGGGTGTGGTTGATATATTTCGGGTCGCCCGGTATACTGTCGCGTCGTATGTTCGCAGATTTGTTTCAAAAACTGTTTCGCCAGGACCTGCTGGTGGCCAGTCTGTTTCGAAACTTTTTGCTCGCCGACAGGATCATGCGGTCCTGCGACTGCACCCCCATCTCGTTCCCAGCGTTGCCGTCCACCGCGCAGCACTCGATGTGGGCCTCGTGGGACCTCGTCCTCGACCTGTGCCTGCGTCAGCTGCCCTCGGTCGCGGTTAACGAAGCGCCGTTCAAGCATTTGCCCTTCTTCGAGGAGCAACTCACCGCGTTCCAAGTGTGGCTCGAACTAGGTAGGCGGGGGCGGGGATACGCGCGAACGTTTCGTACAGGGCCGCCAATATATACCTTATCTCAGAATATACAAGGTGTATAATAATAAGAAAATGTTTTATTTCTGTATATCAGAATCAAAGAAGACTTTTAATTTTTAAAGGTAACTGATTGTAACCTGAGCCTCCAAACCGCCCAGATCATTTTTTCTGCCAAAAAGCATAATACAACATTTGTTAGGATTTAAAAATAGGGAGTGTTTCGGTGAAATAGATTGTAATTTATTTAGATCTCGGCACATGACTTGACAGCCCAGTGTTCGGCAGTTTTCAAGGGCCGTAGCCAGATTTGACGCATATATTGCGTACAACAACGGGCTCAGTATTGATCCCTGTGGAACGCCACCTCCGTGGAAATTTTATTTTCAATGCGGACTCTCTGCGTACGATCAGCCAAAAAGGATTTAAAAAGTAATACCGCTTGCTCGCTAAGACCAACATAATGAAGAATTGCAAGCAGAATTTGATGGTTTAATGTATCGAATGCTTTGGTATAGTCTAGGAGTGCCAGAAGGGTAATTTTTCCGTCCTCTGCGGCTCTTAAAGTGTCATCGCTTACATTGGCTAGCGCATTAGAATATATCCATGGTTTTTCCTAAAACCCGACTGGGTTGTTCCACATAAACAGAAAGCCGTTGATTCATTATTTTTTCAGCAATTTTTGACATACATGGTAGTACACTAATTGGCCCCAAGTCTATCTCAAGATTAAATACTAAATTAGGAAAGTTCCAAATTTTTTTTTTTTTTTAATGCGAACCCTCAAATTTCATAATTTTATCTTAGTTATCATTAAATATAAAGGTAAGTTTGTATAAGGTAAAATTTATTTTTCGAAATATATTGGATTCCTCACACATAAAAATATTAATTTGTCAGTCTTTCGAAAAGTAAATATTTTCAGCATATCTATATACAAACTTACCTTTATTTTTCATTGTAAATAAGGTAAAATTATGAAAATCGAAAATTTGAAATAAAAAAATAAATGATTTTCGGAACTTTTCTTAATTTAGGTGTTAATCTTACTTTTTAAACACCCCGTATTATTAGGTATCGAAATATTATATGAATTGTATTAAAGTAGGTTCTTGTCGATAAGATATTAAACCCAAATTAAAAAATAAAGAAAAAATTGGCATTTTTCTTAGGGCCTGCAAATGACATTTGAGATAAATACTTAAATAAGTCAAAAACCATTATGTATGAAATTTTCCTAGCAACTTGAGTAGGGTCCAAAAATGTAATAATATACAGAATGTTCTATTAAAAAAAAAATTTGGAACTTTTCTTAATTCTGTATTTAATCTTATTTTTTGAGCACCCGGTATTATTAGTTGTCGAAATATTATAAAAATTCTATTAAAAGAGGTTCTTGTCGACAAGGTACTAAACCCAAATTAAAAAATAAATATTGTTGTTTTTCTTAGGGCTTGCAAATGACATATTTGAGATAAAACCATTAAACATAGGTATAGAACATTATATATAAATCCAAAAATGAAATAATATACAGGATGTTCCATTAAAACAAAATGAAGTTCTGTTTGCCCAAGCAACACTGAGTGCTGACTTTTGTATTTTAAGATTATTTCGTACAGCCCGTATTTTCGGAGATAAGGGGACGTCGGGTGTGAAGGGGTCGTCGTTGCAGGTTCGAAGCAGCGTCGTCCGCCCGAACAACTGCCCATAGTGCTCCAGGTCCTGCTCAGTCAGGTGCACAGAACTCGCGCCCTCGACCTTCTCGGTCGCTTCCTGGACTTGGGACCGTGGGCGGTCAATATGGCATTGTCGGTCGGCATCTATCCCTACATCTTGAAACTGTTGCAGAGCTTTTCGCGGGAACTGCGCCCCCTCCTCGTCTACATCTGGGCGAAAATTTTGGCTGTGGACAACGTGAGTGGTACTGCGCAAAATGTTTCAGTGCAAACTTCTTCCGCATATATTAAGTATACGCGCTTGGTAACGAAACCTATATCTCGGCAACGGTTGAAATGATCGGCGTCGAAGAGAAAACTTTTTTTTGTCTGTTCTCCGTTCTCTGTCGTCTGTAGACGTGGGATTGATTGGCCATAACTTTCGAGCGGTTTGACCTACCGCATTTATATTTGGCTCCTTTTAAACAGTACATAAGACAGACTCGTAGGTCCATCATTTTTCTTCCATTTTCGACTGTTTTTGGGGGGCCTGTAGTATTTAAAAAAAATTAAAAATCGCGTTTCTCGAAAATTGCTTATTGGGTTTCATAAACTTTTATCCTTTATAAATGTACAGGGTGCGCCGCTTTTTCGCAAAAACTGAGAGATATGTCCTTTTATTCACTATAACTAACACACTGACTTTCAGTTGTCATATTCTTTTACATGGCGATATAGGCCGGAAAAATAGCTGAAACTTTTGTATTTAAGGCTTTTACATATTGTACAGAGTGTTTAGCATATTTTGTCCATACCCACATCTTAAATGTAAAAGTATCGTAAAGCATTAAAAAAAAATTGAATTATTTTTAACTTTTATTTCATACATTTTGTCGATTACGAAAATCTAAAAATTTTTCTTTTCGGCATTAAATGATTAGACGTAAATGAAAATCCGTGAAAAATATGGCCATTTGGTTTGTACATTAACGATGTTGCCGTTGGTACAGTTGGAATTAGCGTCGAACAAGAAAGGTTTCAATTATTTGTCTGTTCTCCGTTCTCGGTTCTCTGTTCTCCGTCGTTGCTCCATAAAAATAAGAATAACTTCCGAACCGTTTCAGCTGGGGTATTGAAATGTAGCTCCTTTCAAAAAACCCACGAGATGTATAAGCCCATAAGAAATAGCCGCGATCGGACCTTCGCGTCCATCTTTTTTTGCGATTTCCCTCTGTTTTCCGTAAATCGCTACGAGACACGATTAGTGTTCGAAATTTAAGGCTACTCATATACCTGGAAAAGTGGGAGGAATTTTTTGAATTATCTACAGGGTGTGTCGATTATTAGCCATAATGTAGTATAACGTATTTTAGAAAATAATACTTTTTCTCGGACGATACTCAGAAATGTTACTTCATTCAATTTCTGTAAATCAAACACGCGAGTTTTATGTTGTTAACAATATGTGCCAGACAGGCAGGTCGTATTATTATTTAAATTGCAGTCGTATCAGGCGGACATTATCCGGGAGCAGGGCCACAAGTACTTCCTGTCGGTGCTGCAGGACCCGTCCGTAGACGTAAGTGCGCACGCGCCCCCGTAAACTAACTAGGCACCAAGTCTGTGCTGTAATCAGGCCGAGTGCCGCACCCAGGCGACGTTCGTCCTCTCTTGTCTGGTCAGCGATTACCGGGACGGTCAGGAGGCCGCGTTGCAGGGCTCTCTGCTCAGCACGTGTCTCGAGCAGCTGAACGATCCGAACGCGCAGCTACGCAAATGGGTGGCCGTGTGCCTGGGCCGTTTGTGGGACCATTACGAAAGCGCCCGATGGACGGGAGTGCGGGACACCGCCCACGAGAAATTGTACACCCTTCTCAAGGACCCGTGCCCGGAGGTGAGGGCAGCCTCCGTCTACGCCCTCGGCACGTTCATCAATTCGGTATCGAGGCGGTCCGAGCACGCTAACAACATCGACCACGCCGTCGCTATGACGTTGGTGAATCACGCGGGCGCAGACGCGAGCCCCCTCGTGCGGAAAGTAAGCGTACTAAAAATCGGAATCGCGCCACCTCGCCGCCACTTGGAGAACTAAATTCGCGCGCACAGTAATACGTGCTATTACGCACAAACACCGCTAAAACTACACTTGTAATTGACATAAGCAATGCGTAATTATATGAGCCGTTCGTTTTTGAAAGTGACTTAAGTCCATTTATCTTTTATTTGAAATACTTAAAGTTTTGCGTTTTTACAAAATTAAAAATACGTTCTGTGTGTTCTCTAATATTTAATTATTTTATATATATATATTTTAACATCTATTTAGGGACATTTTATGCAAATATTTAAGAACTACATTTATTGTTTCAAATAATCGGTCATTTTCTTTTGAATTTTTTTAGTATGCCTCGTACTTTGGCTTGTATTGTCACCATTTCTTCGAGAGGGGCATCTTCCCCATGATATATAGCAGCTTAACGGAATATAGGGCTTGTTGAATGGTTGGTGGTGGTCCCACATCAACTTCTTCATCTTCTTCTTCCTCTTGGTGCTCTTCCTCGCCCTTTCTTGCTTGTTGTAATGTGGCTTCCTCTGTCAAGTCTGCTGTTGTAGACTCGTAAACGTAATTGTTTTTCCAATCACGACTAGGTTTCTTTCTTTTCTCCCACTCCGTTATACATTCCTTTAGAAAATTTTCCACCCACACACTTTTCGCTTCTAAATTTAAGAGTTTTATCATTTTGTAAAAAATACCAGTTTCGTCAGCATTAAAAGTGTCCTCACCAGGGTACTTTTCTGCTAGTTTTGGCCACGTTTTTTCCAGCCAGAATGAGTTTTCCTTTGCGTTTCCAAATCGTTAATGCACCATAACAGTGTATAGCATAGGGATTCCCATTGTTCATCTGTGGATAAGGATAATAGCTTTTATTTATCCGATCTGAACAAAAAAAAAAAAAACAGCGGCCTTTTAACCCAATACTCAAAATTCAAAAATCTTTCTATACTGTCAGATAAAGTATAATGATTTTTTAATGATTGCACATCAACCTACTCCTGTATTTTGACCAATTTTGATAGTTTTAGATTAAATTAAAAGGTTACGGCACGTGATAAAAATACTTTGCATTTGGAAACACCCAAAAGCTTTTACTTATATATAGGAGCTGATCGGGGCGCTGCAGTGGCTGCTATTGGCGTTCGACGTCGCCTTCGTCGCGGTGGCGTCGAAGGAGAGTCAGACGACGGCCGAGCCGCCCACCTCTTACCAGACGCTGCCCCGCATAGCAACAAGGGAACGTCTCGGACAGCAGCAAACGGCCGGGACGTTCCGACGCATACCTTCGAGTCCGTCGATCAGCCAACCGGTCTCGGGGGGCGGGGCCGGAGGCGGTGGCATGACCGCCAGTTACAGCGGCAGCCTCGGCACTCTACCCGGCCTCGGCTACGGCTCGGTGTACATGAAAATATGGACGGCACTGGGCCAGTTGGAGGCCGACCCCCACCCGGACGTCTCGCGCATGTGCTGCGCGGTAACTGAGTCCATCAGGAAGCTGGTCAGGGTGAGTCAGACCACGCAGACGAATGAAATTCATCATTATAGTTATTTTATTTTTATATAATTATTTATAATTATAAACATATAATAAAAAAATATAATTATAAAATTATAAAAAAACAAATTTATTTTTATAGTAAAAACTAAAGTAATCGATCAATCTTCTTTTTCTCATCACTTTGGAAACTGCTGTTCTGAGAATATCATTTGATGAACATCCGAACCATCTTCGCATATCTTTCGTCCAAGAATTCCGTCTTCTTACAATGGTTCTTTTACCCTTTGCCTTGCCTCAATAATTAAACGTAGGATTTCGTATTTTCGGCCTCTGATGATACGAGGTTAGCGCCAAAATTTCCCGGCCTGACATAAATGCAGCTCCAGTATCACGATAAAACTTTGTCTTCTTTTAAATATATATCTTTGTAGGCTGCGAAAAAAAAATTGAAGTCTTGCGTCAAATTGTTTTTTATTGGCGCAGCCCTCGGAGGTCCAGTTGTTAAAAGTTGTTTTTCTTTGTTCAAACGTTAAGAAATTCCCGAAATATAAAAGGCGGTCCTCGTGGAGCAAGTAAATAACTAAAACGATGCGGCAGCGGCCGCTTTTAAGAAGATCCGTTCGATTTTTTCCGTAGGAACGAGATCCGGTCGACGGGCGGGCCAATTCGAGCGTGAGCCTGCCTCCGAGCCCGAATCGCGGCGCGTTCTTGTCGAGCGAGAGCCCGCCCACCCTGCACCCGTGCCCCGGCGATTTTCACAAATACTCGAGATCGTCGACGGCGGCCAACAACAGAAAACAGCGTCGCAACGGCGACGACGGCGATCCCGGCGCGCGCAAACCCTTAGCGACTACCAATTTCATCGCGTGGTCGTCGCGGCAGTTCGTGCAGCCGAAAAGGGGCGGGGCCTACAGCGACAAGGAGTCTCCGCGATACTTCGAACGCGACTGGCGCCGTACGCGGTGAGCGACTGAACTATATGCAGCCAATGCGAAGTAAAATTATGTTTAAAAAAAAGGGGCTTTTTGGGGCTTACTGAAATAGTATTACACATTTTTTAAATGCAATGTCCATAAACTTATCCAGTAGTTCTAACACATTTAAAACTTGGAAAGACGGTTCAGCGATATCACTTTTTGAGGGTATCATAGATCCGAAAACTTATTATTTACAAAAATTCTGGGTACCTCCCTGCCGAGTTAGTTAGTTAGCTAGTTAGTTAATTTACCGTAAAATACAGGGTGCGCCAAAAAGGTAGGCAGGATTTCAGATAGCGGTTGCTCGGTTTGTAAAACCGGCAACACTTTTTGTAACACACATTTTTAAAAAATAACGCCTAGATGGCGTAAAATGTACATTTCAAAATAATTTTAAAAAATGTTTGCTTTATGTAGTTTGGTTTTTATTAACATCCCAAATAGTACCTATCATTTTGCCGCGCCCTGTATTTAAAACGGCAAAGCAACAAACGCCCAATATACCGAGATTCGCGCGCGATTTTAAGCAACAAGAATATACGGTCGGAGGCGTCGGAGGAGCAGCGTCGCGCCATCACTTCCCGCATCGAGACGCAGGTGTTCCACACGCGGACGGCTGCGGCGCCGTCGCTCCTGCAGCTCCACCCCTTCAATCAGCAGATCGCGGTCGCGGGTAACGACTCGTTCGCGTAAGTATGAACGGGGCGGGGTTTCGCGCGGGGCGGAGCTAAAACGACGGGTGCCGCAGGATCTGGGACTGGGGCACCGGCGCCAAAACGACCGTCCTGCAGCAACGATCGGCGACGGGGCGCGTCGCCAAGATCGGCGCCCTCGAATGGGTCAACGGTCACGACGTAGCCCTGCTGATGGTCACCGCCGACGACGGCAGCGTGAGGGTGTGGCGACCGAACGTCGGGACGCCTCGCGAACCGACGCTCGTCACCGCGTGGCAGGCTTTCGCGGACTTTAAACCGCGACGGTCCGGCCTGTTGCTCGCGTGGGAGCAATGGACGCGAACCGTCGTGACGTCGGGCGACGCCAAGGTGCTGCGTTTCTGGGACGCGGAGAAGGAGCTGCGGGCGTTCGATATACCGACCGGCACGGACGCGTCGGTCACGTGCATCGATTCGAGCCACTCGGGCTCCGAAGCGTCCGATCGGCGTCTCGGAGACGAGGGGCCCAGGTCGGGCTTCGCCCTCGCGGGCTTCGAGAACGGCTCCGTGCGCCTGTTCGACAGGCGCTGCGGTCCGCAAGACTCACGGGTCAAGGTTTGGATGGAGCATCCGGCGCCCGTCCTCGCCGTCCAGCTCAAGGACGACCTCGTCATCAGCGGAAGGTACGGTAACGGGAAAAACCGCTTTAGTACTCTTTATTTGGTTTTCCGCACTGTCCGACGTCAATTTCGACTAGTGTTTGAACGATATCGGCACTTTTGGATCGAGAGATGATAGTTTAAGCTACCGTTCGATCCAGAAAGGGCGGTTTTTCATCGATGGTTTACTAACGTTTCCGTTACAATAAAGGCCGATATGGACTTTAAACCGGCAGATATCGACGTAAAACCGCCCTTTCTGGGTGAAATAGCTGCCGATTTCTGTTTTTTCACCTCTTAGTATATCGAAATCTACCTTAAAAGTGCAGATATGAACTTAAAACTTCCATTTCTGAGGTAAATAATTTCGATTTCGAGTAGATCATAGTGAAAAACGGCAATACCGGCCTGAAATCTACGATAAAGCTACTTAAAAACCCACTTTCTTGGATTAATAGTAAGTTTTTCTTATTTATTTCAAACAGATTCCAGTCTGAATCGGCTCTTCTCTCTGTACAACCACATCAAAACTGTAGATATCACCTTAAACTATTGTTTGTTCCAAACAGTTACCTTTTCATGTCAATATCGTTCAAATATTAGTCAAAATCGGCATCTTCGGCCTTTACTGTAACGAAAACGTTAATAAACCGACAGATATCGACGTAAACCCGCCTTTTTGGGTCAAATAGTTGCCGATTTCCAAGAGATTCCGGTCAGGATTTGCTTTTTCGTCTCTTATTGTACCGAAATCTGCCTTAAAAATGCAAATATGAACTTAAAACCTCCATTTCTAGAGTAAATAATTGGGTTTCCCTCTCGATTTCTAGTAGATCATAGTCAAAAACGGCATTTTTATAACTTACCGGACTGAAATCTATGATAAAGCTGCAGATAATTACTTAAAAACCCACTCTCTTGATAGTGTTTTATTTTAGACGTCACTTGGTTAGTAACCATACATTTTATCTCTAAAAACAAAAAATTTGCCGCCAATTAAAATGTTATCAAGATAAATCGAACGCACGGTACAGAGCAGAATGTGGAATTTTTTTAAAAAATTCAGTCCAAAAATTATTGGATAAAAAACAAAAAAAAAATCCTCCCATTTTTCAATTCCTCGCCTTTTTGTATTCAGCTGCGCGGGTGACGTGAAAATCTACGACGTGCGCAAAAACGATTCGTTACACACGAACGCGGCGGTCCAGGGCGGGGGCGGCATGTCGTGCATGTCGATCCATCGGAACGCCAACACTTACGCGTGGTGAGTATCTTCTCCGGGTGGGCGTGGCCGAATTACTAAATCCCCGCCCCTCGCTAGCGGCTCGTCCGGCCAGTTCATCAGCATCTACACCCTGAACGGTACGCCGCTGAACACGATCAGGTTCTACGAGGGTTTCATGGGGCACCGTATCGGCCCAGTGTCGTGCCTCAATTTCCACGCCCACAAGGTGGTCCTAGCGGCAGGCACGTCCGACTGCTGCGTCAACGTGTATAGTTTGGAATCGGCGAGACGGTGACGCGAGCAGCAGCCCTAGGCGGTTCCCACCGGGGCTTTTTGCTGCGCCACCGTAACCTACCTGAACCAGCGTTGCTTCCGGTAACCCGAGACGTAGCAGTTTTTCGTTTCGTATCGCGCCTGTCCGCCCCCATTCGGACCCGATGAGGAGGGACTTCGGGAAACTCCGAAAATGCCGCAATATATACTTTTTTTTTTTTAAATAAAAATTCGTAAAACGCCACGCCACTCATTTACTTTCAAAAAACAGTTAATATAGCGTAACGACCACAAGACGGGATCGCCACACCACGGGGCGGAGTTAGACGACGACACGCCCCACCACGTTTCGTGCCCGCTTTGCCAACGTCCCGAAGTGTTAATTGACGATATTTTTGGCAATTTTGAAGGTAATGATCATCATCGGCGTCGTAGCTTTCTGACCATAATATGGAAATTAAAAAAAAAAAATCAGACATACCTAAACCGGTTTATCCGATATTTTAATATTTCTAAAAAAATGCTAGTTTCACACTTGCAAAAAAAAATGCGTAGCGTCCTTATTGACGGTGGATTACCCCGCATTTGATATTTGAATTTGATGCGACAGGGTGTTGTAAATAAGCGAATATATCTTATCTTACAAAAACCTGCAACTTTTATTAAGTATTTATAAGATATAAGATTTAAAAAATGCTTAAAGGGGCCGAGTTAGAAGACGGCCACACCTCTTGACGGCACGCCCCACTTTATCATCATCCCGAAGTATTAATTGACGATATTGTTGGCAATTTTGACGGTATTGATCATCGACGTCGTATCTTTCTGACTATAATATGGAAATAAATTAAAAGATTGGTCTTACGAAAGAATCTTTTTAAAATAATCGGACATACTTGAACCTGATAGTTTTATCTGATATTTCAATATTTCTAAAAAAAAGACTAGTTTCGAAGGTGATATTTGAATTTGATGTGACAGGGTGTTGAAAATAAACGAATATATCTGATGTTAAAAAACCTACAATTTTTATTAAGTATTTATAACTATAAGATTTAAGATAAAAAAAATGCTTGAAGGGGCGAAGTTAGTCGATGGTCACACCTCTTGACGACAGAAACGCCACACCTCGTGACGCGCAGACTTTGTCATCATCCCGAAGTGTTAACTGATGAAATTTTGAACAATTTTAAAGATAATGACCATCGACGTCGTACCTTTCTGAAAGATTGGCCTTGGTCGAAAGAACCTTTAAAAAAAATCTTATCTTACAAAAACCTACAACTTTTGTTGTGTATTTATAGGCATTTTAATTTTTCCAATATTTCCTTAAGATTAAGCAATGAACTGAAACCGTAGATGAAGCCAAAGTTTAGCAGAAAAAGTATATATTTTATTTAATTATCACTATTATTACTTGGATTGTTCTTATAAATCCCTTATCAATCAAAAATCACCTGTAAAGCTAATTATCCTAATAATTTTTTATTTTTAATTGGAATAACTGGCTTTACAGTTGATAGTTTCATTTGTCTTTCGTTAATACAAGGATTGATAAAAACTATTTTTTACCAACAATGAACAAAATTGAAAGCTGTCGAATAATTGACATTAAATTTTTATTTACCCAGCAACACAAACAAATGAAACGTCAGTCCAAGGCTTACTAATGATTATCTGCACCTCGTTTGTAAACATTAAAATAAAAAAAAATTGTACCAACCTATATATAAAAATATTTACAAAAAATCGCCATCACCTCTTCAAATTTAATACCCTGTATGTTAAAAACTAAGACGTTTTGGACCCTAGTTATATCAACTCTTATCCTTAAAAGATCAACTTAACAATAAAATAAGTAGCCTCAGCTCCGCACCTAATAGGCTACTTTTTAGTACTTTATACGATAACAAAAATGTAAACATAAAACATATTTTATGTATTTAATAGATGTATATATTCACGAAACTGCTGGTTTTCCCGGTAGCTCCGTAGAAGCCAATCGTAAGGTCAATATATAGACAGTTACAGGGCGGCGACTTTGATCACACTTTTTACCAAAATTTATGAAAAATCTTATTGCTCTAGACTTATTAAGTTTCTAACCAAGCTCAGTAACTTATTTAAAGATCGGTTTGGCATGATGAAGGTCAACTAGGAGAATTTGGGCGTGGCCAAAACCTCGAAACATAACCTCAATCTTTGACAAACTCTTCGTCTAGAATTACCTTGTCCATTCCACTTTGCGCAATTACATATTTGGTTAGAATCGAGGACGGATCAAATCAACTTTGCACATCAGATTTATTTACAGCGACATCTTCGCCCGGCATTTTCCGCCTCTCGATTTCCCTAATTTCCGCTTTCAGCGCGTCTACCTCCCGCTTGCATTTGGCCAACTCCATCTTCAAGAAATCGTTTTCCGCCACCACACTGTTAAGCTTGATGGTCAGCTCGCCATATTCCCCCTCCGAATTCGACGACGGCGCCCTCTGTAATCGCCTGTCGTCTGTGGTCAAACGCAGACGCGGAACAGCTAAGGCGGGTCTTTTGTAAATAAAGAAACGCACCCGGTTACTTAATTCGGCACCTACCGTCCTTTTTGAGTCTCTTCGGTACCGTCCGCATTATTTTTGCCTCCATCGCATCCTCATAATCGACGGCCCTGAAATGCATGCTACACACGCGTCTACTGTTCGTCGGGATAAAGTTTTTGCCGACGTGACACCTCCTCATCCACTCTTTCCCAAGCTCGCCCGACGGAAACGAGTGGAACACCATTTTCTGCCCCGTCTTCTTTATTTTCTGGCTGTTGGAATGGCAGCAAGCGACGCTGCAAGTCACGCCGCCCGACATTGTTTATTCGCACGAAATTCTCGACTACGCAACAATTTACATCATATTCGACGACGACGTAACGGACGGTCATTCTACTCTTCTTCTTTAATTTTTTTCGGGCCTCGTGTCTAAACCGTTACTATACGGATCGCCAGTAAGTTGGGCCTTAATCGACGTTTTTTCGGTTTGTGTCTTTCAATATTTTTGTAATTTTTCGAAAAATAATTGCACCTTTAAGTGGTGGTTGATAAAAAAATTGAGTTCGGCCTTCACCGTAAAAATTCAGGTCATATTCTGTGGTGTTCCGTGCACTTGCGTGTGTTTTTGTTGGTTCGCTATTCGGGATCGCGTAAAATCGTCGTATAAGTTATGGCAAATTTGAGGCAGACTCCCCTGACGTGCAGCGGACACACTCGGCCCGTGGTGCATCTAGATTTCAGCTCGATCACGGACAGCGGATATTTTTTAATTTCCGCTTGCAAAGGTAACAACAATATGGCCCGCGACATTGTACCGTGGACCTTCGCCTTACCTTGGCCCGATTTCGTAACTGTGTTTTGCGTAGATGGCAAACCGATGCTTAGGCAGGGCGACACCGGCGATTGGATCGGCACGTTTGAAGGTCACAAGGGGGCCGTTTGGGGGGTGGCCTTAAATGCGGACGCGACCAAGGCGGCGTCCGGCGCTGCGGATTTCACCGGCAAAGTGTGGGACGCCGTGACCGGCGAAGAGCTTCACTCCTTTCAGCACAATCACATAGTGAAGAGCGTGAACTTTTCGAAAGACTCAGCCTTGCTGGCGACTGGGAGTAACGAGAAGCTGGTCAAGGTGTTTGACCTCGTCAAACCCGAAGCGGGTAGGTTTTTTTCGATAGTTATGCGCGGTACCCCCCGGGAGTAAACTTTCAGAACCCGACGTTTTCGTGGGGCACACGGGCGGCGTGAGACACGCCCTCTTTTTCAGAAACGACACGCATCTAGTTTCGGTGGCCGATGACAAAACGCTACGCGTGTGGGACCGTTCTGTGGGCAAGGAAGTGCAGAAACTCGATTTCCCATTCAGCCCCAACAGCCTTGAGGTGTCGAGGGACGGTACTGTGCTGACGGTGGCGTACTCGAACAAGGTCGCGTTTTTCGACGCCAACACGCTCGGCAAGATAAGGGAATTCTCTGTACCGACCACGGTCAACTCAGCGTCGTTGCATAATGACAAGAGCGTGTTCGTTACTGGCGGTGACGACTTGAAAGTGTACAAATTCGATTACGCCACCGGCACCGAAATCGAATCGTTCAAGGGACATTTCGGGCCCGTCCACTGCGTGAAATTCTCGCCGGACGGCGAGCTGTACGCCTCCGGCTCCGAGGACGGCACCTTGAGATTGTGGCAGACGACTGTCGGCAAAACCTACGGGCTGTGGAAGTGCATCGACGGGCACCAAATCGGCGACGGCGTCGCGGCGCCGAAAGAGGCGCAGACGTGCATTTAAATGTATTTATTTGGCGAAAAATATGTGCGCGCGTAGTGATTTTCATGATAAAATGGAAATGGAGACCGCTCACACACATACACAATAAAAATTTGTTACGTTCTACTCTCGGCTTTTGTCTTATCAGAACAAAAAAAAAAAAAACAATTAATCCTGGCTAATAAACGGGTTTTGTATACATTCCATGCCGTCCATGGGGCAAATTAGCACTACGCTGGTTCCCCTGCACACGACCAGGCCCAATTGCCGCGTGTCGTCCGTTAATTTGTAGGGATCGTCCGGATCGCGCAGGTATTCGAGGGTGTTGTCCAAAACGAGGTTTAGTAAGGGGTCGTAGCCTTTCAGGACGCCGCTCGCTTCCCGCCCGCCCGCGAACTTTACCCTGATCGTTTTCTCCAAGTACTTGGACAGGTCCAGGATCGACTCCTTGCGCTTTTTCTCCTTCTGCTCGCTGGCCGCATTCTGCAACCGTCACACGCATAAACGTAAACGTACGGATTTAACGCTTAAAATACCTTTTTCTTGTCGTCTAAGGACGCCATAACCACAGAAGTAAACCGGCTGCAACCTTGATCAAAGATTTTGGGTTATGTTCAACTAACCTATACGACGACTGTGCGAGGACGACTCGCCCGCTGCGTGAAAATCAATGTCGCGCGTCATGCGCCAGGTTAACAACTCGGTGCGTCACAAGTGTTTGTTTACGTCCTAAAAAAAATCTGATTATCGGAGGTCCAGTAGTCATGTATTGCGGATTCCGGCGCCCGAATTGCATCACGTCGCGAAAACTGCACGGCGCCCGATATGTTTTCAACAAATTCGGACGAGTCCGATGAATCCAAACCTAGAAATATGGACCTGTCCGACCGCGGCCCCTGCGGGCGGAGGTTGTTTGCGCAACGATCATCGAAGAGCGCGACGAACACGTGCAGTTCGTCCCAGTCGGACAGCTCGGCGCCCGCCGGGGCCAGGTTCAGGACGAAAAAGTCGAAAGGCAACGTCCGGCGGCTGCCGCCGCTCGGCTTGTTCTGGGACATCGAAAACGTGAGCGTTCCCAAGATGAAGAGCGCGTCCGTGGTCGTTCAGAAACTGCGGGAGGTGTTCCTCAAGAAGTACCGCGAATCGGAATTCGTGGTGGTGTGCGACGTGAAAAAGGAGAATCCCCAAATCATCCAGGAGCTTCACGATTCGCAGGTAAGTCGTAGGTGTTATGCCGCTGCACGCTGCTTCGAAAGGGGAAAAGAACCCTAACGTAGGTTACATTGCCGTGAGCTTTTTCCCAGGGCGATTATAAGGTCCGCTGTTTAGCATATAAAAAAATTGTGCGGTTATATTTGCTTTTTTATCTGCGATAGGGATTTAGTTGATTTTAATTAAATATTTTTGCTGTGCTCAAGTGTAAAACCAGAGAGATATGTAAATCTTACAAAGAATTATGTGAATCTGTTGATAAAACCTGAAAGCTCTTTAATGCAGTTTTTAAGTGAAAATTATCCATTTCTAAGTCAGTTTTATTATTTTATCCATAAAAAATGAATAACAGCAAGATTTTTTTTGGTTCAGTTAAAGTAATGACTATATTTGAATAATATCTACTCTCTGTGTATATTCTTAAGACTAGTTGTGTAAACTTAGTTTAATATAGTTTCTACTAACATTTAAATCAACACAACTTCCCTATTCAACGTAAATATCCTTCGAAGGCTGGTGGGATATCCGATATATTCAAAATCTTTATAATTAATTCTTATCATTGTAGTAGGCTGTGCCTGTAAGAACTATTAATTCTGTTGTCAAGACGGTTGTTTGACAGTTGTTTGACATCAGTTTTTAAATTCAGTTCTTCGCGTCTCATTGTGCATCGTTATTGTAAAAAAGAATGGTTGAGTTTACTAATGACGAGTTGGCAGATATGCTAGATGGGCGAACATTTTCAAATTTACTTAGACAGTGGATTGAAACAGGTACTTTGCAGCAGTTTTAAATTCGATTTATGAAAATCCTGAACTCAGTGAATATGATATGGGTATATTCAAGGAGTCCAAGCGTTGCTTCCCGGAGATTTCCCCTTGCGTGTTATTTTTTGTCAATGGTTTTTCGATAAAATTGCTTATTATCCCTTGTTTGACCAAGAAATACTCTTTCCAGACGGAAATGCTATCAGATATTTTCACCATAACCACATTTTGGGCCGATGAAAACCCCCATGCAGTATAATTTGAACATCAGTTTATTTCATTTATTATTAATTAATTATTATTAATTTTGTTAAAAATCATTAATAGTATGTAGTTTTTTTTTAAATAAGAATAATTTATTATTTATCTTGTTAGCATGTTAAGTAAAAAGTATTCTGTTTTTTTTTCCTATAGGACATTAGTTGGTAAGTAAAAAAAAAAGTTCCCGACTCGACCAGAGCAGCGGCGACCTAATTAACAAAAATATTATAGACAGTGGCACGCCACTCATTTCTCAAAAAAATGACATTTGCATTCATTTATGAACAAATTTTTACTTAAAGATAAAAACTAATTTCTCTGCATGCCGTCATATTAACGACATTGATATGACCGTGAATGGATGGAGATTGTAAGAATAATTTTTATTTTAAGGGAAATCAGGGGCGTGCCGTCAAAATAGACGGGTTAAATTCCGTACGCCCGCCGCTGGTGTATTTTACAAAAAAATTGCGGTTCACCAAAATAATGCCTCTCGATACGTAGTACACGTAATTTTCATTAAAATATCTAAAGTGCCATCACTAATATTAAAAAAATATATTTTATTTTAGAAAACTTTACCAACCTTGTATGTTCATACGAAGTTTCCTTTTTAAAATAGAAATGTCATTCTTAGTATAAGAGTGAAAGCGGTTAAAGTACCGAGGCGCCTTTTCTTCTTCTTCTTTTTTTTCTCTTGTTCTTATGGCCGACCGTATCGAAATTGTTGGCGAGGCTTTTTTTTACGTGCTGCGTGCAGGTGGACTTGCTACACGTGTCGTCGTCGTCGAAAAACGCGGCCGACGAGAAACTGCGACAGTCGCTGAGGCGTTACGCGGAACTGCACCCCGCCCCCTCCGCGGTCGTTCTCATATCCGGCGACGTTAACTTCGCCGGCGACCTCTCCGACCTCAGGTACCGCAAAAAGCTGAGGGTCATCCTGGTGCACAACGTCAACGTGGCCGACGCGTTGATCCTTTGCGCCCACGAGCACCATTCGTTCGCAGAACTCACGGAACACTTGCCGGCGACGCGTAAATCGAAGGTGACCCACGTGACCGCGCGTTTCTCACCGCAAGCGGTCTTATTTTAGCGTTCCAGGAGGCGGCGACCGCGTTTTACTTGTCCGTCCTGAACGTTCCGAAACACGTCGACTCGGTCAAGGTGAAAACGCGACTCAAAAGTCTGAGCTACAACTGCGGGGGCAAGTGCGTGCAATACGTCACGGGCGAGGGCGTGGCTTGCCTGCGGTTCGGGAACTTCGACCTGGCGCTGAGGTTCGTAACGAAGCGTCGATGGACGCGGTTAAACGGTAACCTGAATTCATTCTGCGCTCGCGTACAGGGTGGGCTGGGTGCACTTTATTATATTTTATTAAAAAAAAGTTTATACGAAAGTTTTATGGTTTAAATTAAATTTAAAAACTATTTATTTTTTATACATGCAGGGTCTCCTATATATCTTGTTACTTTCGAAAATCAATGAAATCGAATTTTCAATAGTATCTGCGCTCGTATAAAAATTTTATATCTCGGTGACGGGATCGCCGTTGGTACAGAAATGATCACCGTCGAAAAAAAAATGTTTTTTTTGTCCGTTCTCCGTTCTCGTCTTTTGGTTTTTCCTGAATAACTTTCGAACTGCATGGTTTCAGAAAAAACTTATTTTTTCGAAAACCATTTACTATTTTCAAAAAATGCTTGAACCAGGGCGCGTGGAAAATCCAGAGCTATAACCTCTACTTCAAACAATGATTGTATCATATACAGGGTGTGTCGTTTATGGTCAAAAATTCTAAAATATCCTAAAATTGTTCGTTGTTGTTTAGTTAATGGGGCTACATTTACTGTTGTTTGTACTGTTATCGTTATTGTTACTTGTTTTAAATTTTTAAACTTTTATCATAATTATGCATATTATTTTATATCGTTGACGATATAAAAAATGATGACGTTTTAACTTCCTAAATCTCTAAATGTCTGTAATAACTTAACTACAAAAAAGACCCATAACCGGTAGCATAAATCCTGAAAATTAATTAAAAAATAAGAATAATTTTTAAAATAATTATATGTGCTTTTACACGATTTGAAGAAAAATATCGTCTCTTCTTAAAAAAATGAATACTGCAAGTTGGAATTTTTTAAAAATGTCACACCCTGTATAATTTTAAAATACGAAGTCATCGCAGATAGTTGGAATACACAATTTCAATTTTTGTTCAAAGTACACAAAATTCGAATAAGTAGTTACCTTTATTTTTGGCAAGGATTCTAAAAATATTAAAATCGGACACCCTGTATATATACAAAATAAATAATTTAAATTTTTAATTTAAACCATAAATCTTTTGTATAAACTTTTTGTTTTCTAAAATCAGTAGTCCCACTCAGTACGTCATTGCAAGTATAGTTGGAGGATTCTCTTTCTAACCTAACCTTAATGTATACAGTGATGTAGATACGAGGGTCGCATTCAGCCCTGGCGAAAGGTAATCTAAAAACCAAAAACCGCGGTGATTTGTCGAAAATGGCTGCCAAAAAAAAACTACTCTCCTTCACCGCCTTCAGAAAAAGAACGTCATTACTAATTACAATGTCCCTTGCTTTTTCTGTGTGGTTGACAAAATTTTTCCAGTGCAAAACCAAATTAGCTAAATCCCATATATTAAAATCTGGTACCTCCGAAAGGTCCAGAATTATACTTCCACTGATAGAAAATCACCAGCTGAAACAATTGTATTGTACCAGCTAACGTTGTACCAACAACAAATGCCTCTAGCTATAATATTTCGCTTCTTGTGTGGTGTGATAATTCACATTTGTTTGGCGTTGTAGTATCAGAAAATAGTTAGGTTAGGTCATAGATTCGCATTTGCTGCCGTTGTTCACAATATTCCGTGACAGTTGGCCATTGGGAAGTAAATTGTAAAAGAAGAAGAAAAAGATATTCCGTGACTTTGAAAGAACTGCCGTCTTAGTTTTTGTCTTTTGATTTTTTCACCTTTACAAATTTCATTCAGCGCCCCAGAACATTTGTAATCAATAAATTTCAACACGCCTGGCCAAATAACAGTAAAAAAAACTCAACACGCGACGGCAACCTGGCCGCCCGAGATCCCGACGTGTACGACCGCCTTGAGCCTCGTTTTTTTTTTCCGCCGCGAATGAAAAAAATGTATCGGACGATGGACGAGCGAGAAAAAAAAAACGTACGCGATAGTTTCCGTTTTCGTGTGCGGTGCCGCGTCATGTTCTTAATGAATTGAATTTTCATTTTAAAATACTAATTGCAATCACACTCACGAGGATGGCGTACTTTAAACCCTACGAGCGGTGCTACAGGTAGTTTTGTTGGAGTATCGTAGAATCGGTAACGTTGTTATAATTATTGTTGCGCAGAGCCCAGAAGCGGATCCAGGGGGAGGACGTTTTCGGGAACAAAATCAAGGTCCTGTCGCCGTCGGTGAGATGTTATTCGGGTAAGTGTGCCTCGACCGAGCGGCGATGATTTTGGTGGATTTTTGTTTTCGAATTTTGGTTTGACGTTTTAATTAAATGCCGATTAACGTACATTAAACTCTTAACTTTAATCATTTTGCAGCAGATAATTTCTCTCAACATGGCAACAAATTTGTAGGTTATAACCGTGCCCTCTTTTCCGGTTTTTGTCCGTCATTACCGGTGGAATAGATTTTTCTCTAGGAAGTCAAAATGTTCTTTTTTTTTTGGAGAGTCCGATAGTCACGATGCAATTCGTACATGTATTTTTACCAGGCGAAATGGAATTTTTCGATAATAGAAAATGTTTATTCGCCTGTATGAAAATATTTCAACCGCGCCCCTCTCCGTGTAATTTTAGCAGATGCAAATGTTTGCCGTGTAAAAAGAAGAGGACATTTTTTATAACCATTTAAAGAATTGAACTCTTAATTAACATAACCACGTTTCCAAAAACAGTTCCTCGCTGATTATTTTTAATATTAGTGATACGCAAAAAGTTGTTGCCAAATACATTCGTTTATTTTGAACGCCCTATAGCATCTAATTCAAATGATTTCGAGTCACCCTGTACATTTTAAAATAATTTTAAATAGTTCTTTCAACAACGTTTACAACATTTGCGTTAAACGTTTTCTAATAAATTTGTACTCTTTCCTTGAGTCACCCTGTACTAATTTGCTTGCTAGTGTGAGTAATTTTTGGAAAATGTAAATACATATTTGGAAAAATTATTAAGTTTAGGTATATGTTATTATTTTTAAAAAAACTTGAAGAATTTTGAAGTGAATTCAAAACAAAAATTAAAAATAGGGTTTTAGAATTAAAAAAAAAGTATGTTGTATTCGTCACGGTTTTTTCAGCCGCCCTGTATACTTTCAAAATGATTTTAAATCGTGCCCTCTAACGATCTTTACAACATTTTCAAAGAACTTTTAAACTTTACGCTATTATTGGCTCCCTGTACTATTTTTCGCGAGTGTGAGTATTTTTTCGAAAAATTAAAATATTGCAAAAAGTATTATAGTTTAGCTATATATTATTATTTATTTATTATTTGAATTGAAAAAAAAAAGTATGCTGTATTCGTCACAATTTTTTGAGCCGCCCTGTATACTTCCAAAATAATTTTAAATCGTTCGTCCTAACGATCTTGACCACCATTTTCTAATAAACTACTTTTGAATCTAATGAGATAAATGACATTTACTCATCATTGACTGTTAACTTGATTTTTCTTATGGAAAAAAATTTTTTTTTGACTTTGGCGCGCCTCGATTGCAGGCAAAAAAGTCAAGAGCGTCGGCCAGTCGACGCCCTTCGTCGCGGCGGCGCAGCCGGCGCCACCTCCGCCCCCAGGCTTCACATCGGAGGGCGTCGTCACAATGGATTCGTGTCAGGTGGGTAAATTTTTATGTTACGCACCGATCTAGCGTGCGGGACGCGTCACTATACCACGTGATTTTCTCGTCCCACGGATCCGAACCGCTTCGGACATTTCCGCGAGCGATCGGATGTTTTCGGATTCTGACGGTAGCGTCAGCGAACGTAATCGTATTGTTTTTGGCAAAAATGTATCCCAAAAAACAGTTTCATCAACGTTTTCGTGAAAATTTTGCCAGATTTTTTTTCTCAGAGACACACAAATTTCAATTATGTCATTTCAAATATGGAAGGTGTTTCCTAATTGAAGGTCAATAATTAAGGGGAAGATTTTTTAATCGTCTTAACTTTTCAGATAGATCATTTCTAAAGAAATTTAATTTCGCTTTAAAACATTACAACTTCTTACTTAAGTCTGTTTTGTTAAGTACAAACGCGAAGTAGAGCCTGTCTCAATAAAGAAGAGCCCAGTGACGTCATTGTTCGATACCCGAAATAAGCGTTCTATCTCCTTGCGTTATTCCGTTCTTTATCGTGAAAGAGTGGTGGCACTAGGGATATCCCGATACTAGTAAATACGAGTAGGTACTCGATACTTTTGATTCGACACCAAGTATTTATAGCATCCAATCAATCTTGCGATACTTACTCGGTATCGAAACAAAAGTACTTGGTATCAAATCGAATCAGCCTCATTATTAAAAAAAAAAAACCGAACGCGTCAGACATACATAATCTCTATCTGATCTATGGTGACGCGTTGTCTCGCGCCAGCCAAGCCGAACTCGTCCGACTTCACTCGACCGAGCCCGAGCCAAAAGCGAGGAAGATGTCCGCCCTTATTATTCCAATGTTATCATGGAATTTTTTGTTTAAAGTACGTGCTTAACGTGACGGAAACCTTTATAATAAAAGTTTTCTTTTCCGTCTTAATTTTGTTTTAATTATTGTCTTTCAACGTTCATTGTTAGTTTCCTTTCCACCCTGTGTCTCAAAAGTCCAGGCGTTTAGGACATCTCCTGTTTGTCAAATGGACATGATCCACATTTCAACCTGTAGACACCTGATTTTGAGATTTTGGACACTTCATTTTCAGAACTAACAAACCAATAGGAAAATTAAAAAAAAAACAATAAAACAAAATGTCTAAAATGTCATAAATGAGGTGTCCACAGGTTGAAATGCGACAAATTGGACAAACATATAGCTCGTTCAAGAAACGCATTAGTGAACATAAAAGAGCGTTTAAAAACAATAATCTAGATTCTAATTATGCTACACACTTAAACACAGACAAAGACATTTTTGACCACAATTTTGATATTTTACATACAGTCACAAAAAGTAGAAAATTAAATTTATTGAAAGCCATGGAGATTAACAAAATGAGACATTCAAATATATTGCTTAACGGTCAATTAGATCTAATTACCTGTCCTTTATTGTACTTATACAACAATATTAATTAAGGTGTATTGCTATTTTTCGGTATATATAGTAGCATGTAGTTTGTAAATATTACATTTGATAGACACACGGTGTTGTCGAAACAATTGTCATGTGAATATATATAATTTCGTGAAAAACTGAACCTTTAGTTCCTATTTATTTTGGAAAAACCCGAAATAATCGTGATGATCAAAGGCCGAGTCCGATCGCGACGAAGTCGAGGCACATTTCGACCTCCTTCGCTTGCGAAATGCGAACAACGGTGAAGCGAAACTGATTTTTTTTAACGGCGTCGCGACGCCGGCGTCCGTCTCCGCCCGCGCCTACACCCGTTCGGTTTGCAGCAGCAGCAGCAGGCGTCGACGAGCAGGAACGCCTGCAAGCCGATCCTCGGCAGGCCGTGCACTCCGCAGGAGCCCTTCTTCAAACGCGTCCACACCTTCAGCGGCAGCTCGGACCAATCAGACGGCAGTTTGAGGCCGGTGGACCTCAACATCACCAATCTGGACCCCGCGATCGAGCCCAAGGAGCTACGCAACCTGCTCGCCGCCATGATTAAGGAGTACGCGATGGTGAGCCAAGGCGCCCGGCTCCAAGCCTTTAGCGTCTTAAGAAAAAAAAAACGATTGCCTGTTCTCTGTAACGGGCCATGGAGAAGCGTTCGAAGGCTTATAACGTTCGTACGGTTGGAACTAGCGGCTTCAAATGTTCCTCCGTGCTAGTACTGAGCGAAGCGCAGCGGCCCTCAAAATATCGAGCCGATCGGATATCGACGGCCATTTTGTTGGCGATTTTCCACCCCCGGACGGAACCCATCGAAACCGGGCGGGATCGGAAGGTCGGAAGTATTTTTTAAAAATTTTAGATTTTTTTTTTTTCGGGATCGAAAAAATTTTATTTTCTCGAAAACGGTACGTCCGATCGGAAAAATTCTCGATGCTTGGGATTCAGGGCGACGGCCCAAAAAGGGAAAATTGCAATTTTTCACAATTAATTATTGGGGGCGACGGAGAAACCGCGGCAAACGGTGCCGTTTGATTTGGGCGGTCTTTTAGGTCGCCTCGGGAGCTACAATTTTTGCATTTATCGTTTTCGTCTATCGTACAGACTGCGCGAGATAAGTATGGTTCAAATTAATTATTACCTTATAATTTTGTTATCTTGACGGAAGGGGCAGTTTGGGTTTAACGGTGGCGTCGACGGTCACTAGGAATACAATTTGATGGATGCGTCACGAGAGAACTCGGGTTCAAACCCGATTGGCGGTCAATTTTTTTTTCTCTTTGAATATTTAATTTTATTATATTTTTACGTCGTAAGTGCTTAAATTGGGTAAATTATCTTAAATGAAATTTTCCAACACGAAAAATAGAAACATTTTACAATTCGTAATATATAAAATAAAACTCTGTATCGCGAACAAAATTTGTTGTACTGTTAGGTCTCCATACAAAGCTATCTATTAATCCACTCTGTATACCGAATTTGTCACTCTCTTTACCTAAAGAAAAAATGGCACATCAGGTAACAAAGTATGGAATATAGGCCGACTTGTAATTATTAGTCTCTTACCTTCTCAGAATTCTTTACCCTAAAAATCTTATTACCGAGAACCTGGTCGTCCTGGTAGTAAGCGATTATATTAATGCCTTTATCGGTATGTATAAAAGCACACCATTTTTTCTGTTTATTCTTTTTATAAATTTATTATTTGTATTCTGTTTAAAGAATTCTTAATAAATTTTTTGTTACTTATTGTAATTCTTTTTTTGTTGTTTAATAAAAGAATTTTCCAAAAAAAAAAACACTTCCCTAGGCGGTGTATACGATAGAAAAGCAATACGACCGCCTATGGTTTTTTTTTTTTTTTGAATATCCAAAAACTGATGCCGAGATCTCTTTTCTCCTGAAAGATCCTGAGCCTGAGCGTGTCGCAGCAGGCGGACGGAGCGCCGGTCGCTCACCTCCGCGTCGGTAGTCAGCAAGAGGCCCGATTCGTCATATCGAAACTGCACCGTCAGAAATTGGGACACAAGAGGATCACGGTCTCCTACGTCGAGCAAAGCAACCAGCCCGATCCCGATCAGCTGAAGGCGATGACGGTCAGCATTCTGCAGGAGGCGCCGGACCAGTCGATGCCGCTCTTCAAGTTCATGGACCTCCTCGAGTCCCGTTTTCACTGCACCGTGTCCGTGTCGGACGTCAATCGTCTCAAGGACGTCGCCCGTATCGCTGACAGGCTCGGCTCACGCGTCATATCCCTCACGAAGGAGGTCAAGGTTTCGCCTCCGCCCACATTGAGCACGGTGAGTAACTTTTTTTTTTGCGATAATCGATAGCGTCATTTCCCGCAGACCATGGTGCCGTTCTGTACGATCCATTGTCCCGACGGTCTGCGAGGAAGTCGCGGGTGGTGCGAGGAGTTTAATACGTCCCAAGTGCCCAACGTGCAGGTGTCGTTGGGCAACTTCGCGTCCGCCCTGATGCGGCTGCTGGACGTCCATCTGGGCAGCATGCCGTTGCTGAGGTGAGCGCCTCCCTAATGATATTTATGGTTATTATTGGTGTTGTTCAACACAGAAAAACACATTTTTGACGACAATTTTGATATTTTACATACAGCCACAAATAGCAGAAAATTAAATTTATTGGAAGTCATGGAGATTAACAAAATGAGACATTCAAATGTATTGCTTAATGATCAATTAGATTTAAATACCTCTCCTTTATTGACCTTAACTTCTCACAACAACATTAATTAAGGTTTTATGGTCATGGTCAGGCGACGTTCCTTTATATTAGCAGTTTTATTTTGCGTAAACTACGGTACAAACGAATTCCCGTCCAGGCCATCGAAGTGCCTAACCGTCCCATTGGTTTCGTGTAGCTTCCAGGCGTGTTACGAGCAAGAGTTCCGGGTCGCGTTACCCGTCGACGATGACGGCGTGCCCCTCGAGCACCTGGTCACCTGCGTGCCGCGAGCGGAACTCCTGCTGGTCGGACCGAACCGCAATATCAAGATCGTGACGGCGCGACCCGAGAGTGGCGACGAGGGCGTGGCTAGGGCGGCGACCGTGGCCGCCCCCCTCGCGCCCAACGTCAACCTGCTGTGTCGCGAGATCGTCGATCTACTGAAGACGGCGGACCGCTGCCAGTTGCCGTTGACCAAGTTCATCCCCGCCTACCACCACCACTTCGGGCGCCAGTGCCGGGTCGCCGATTACGGCTTCACCAAGCTGCTCGACCTGATCGAGTCGGTTTCGCACGTGGTGCAGATAATGGGCGAGGGCACCAGACGCGTCATCACGCTCACCCACCCCGCCCAGATGCGCCGTTTCACGTCGGACCTGCTGCGCGTGCTCAAGGCGCAGCCCGCGAAGCAGATCGCCGCCGTAGACTTTCCGGCGGCGTACGAGAAGGTGACCGGAAGACGGTTCGACCCCGCGGAATACGGTCTGTGCACGTTCGTCGATCTGCTGCGCGAAATGGGCGAGAACACGCTTGTGCTACGCGAAACTTGCGACGGTCTGATGATCGCTGTGCCGAAACGCGAGCAAACGGCGGAGGAGGCGGCGCGCACCAAGCAATTCGCCCGGGAGGCGGTCGACTTGCTGAAACACACGCCTTACTACACGATGCTGTTCAACAAGTTCGTCCCCGCCTACCACCATCACTTCGGGCATCAGTGCCGAGTGTCCGACTACGGGTTCGTTAAGCTCGTCGAGCTGTTCGAGGCCATCCCCGACGTGGTGAAGGTAAGACGACGAAGAAAAAGTGTTTTTTTTTTTTTTCGAAATACTTTTTCGTAAATAAAATATTAAGCATCATCCTGCGATCCCACTTCTGAACACTCTACAAAATGCGTATCGAATCAGTTTCGGTTTAGCTCTGAAGAAGCCGACAGGATTATCGGCGTATGCAACTGCGCAATTTTTTTGAACACTCCACAATATACACATAAAAAAAATCTCGGTTTAGCTCTAAAGAAGCCAACAGGATGATGACTTTAACCAGCGAAAGCAAATGCGAAATTTTTTTTTTTCGAAGAGCTTTTTCGTAAATAAAATATTAAGCATCATCCCGCGATCCCACTTCTGAACACTACGCAAAATACGCATCGGACCAGTTTCGGTTTAGCTCTGAAGAAGCCAACAGGATGACGACGATAATTAGCGAAAGCAAATGCGATTTTTTTTTTCGAAATGCTTTTTCTTAAATAAAATATTAAGCTTCATCCTGCTATCCCACTTCGAAACACTCCACAAAATATACATCAAACCAATTTCGGTTTATTTCTAAAGAGCAACAGGATGATGACGATAATTAGCGAAAACAAATGCGAAACTTTTTTTTTCCGAAGAGCTTTTTCGTAAATAAAATTTTAAGCATCATCCCGCGATCCCACTTCTGAACACTACACAAAATACGCATCGGACCAGTTTCGGTTTAGCTCTGAAGAAGCCAACAGGATGATGACGATAATTAGGGAAAGCAAATGCGAAACTTTTTTTTCGAAGTGCTTTTTCGTAAATAAAATATTAAGCATAATTCCACTATCCCACTTCTGAACATTCAACAAAATTCGGTTCAGCTCTGAAGAAGCCAACGGGCTGGTTGGCGAAACGTCAGCAATTTCGACTCAGCAAAAACCGACGCGAGAGGATGTGTAAATAGAATGTGCGCGTTTTGTGGAGTGGGGATATTGGAAACCGTAAAAGATACGATATCCGAAATTAAAATTAAATTAAATTAAAAAATAAAATTAAAATGTTTGTGCAAAATACAGTGCCTAAACTGGATTATTTTTCCAAAACATATTTTTTTATTTGGAAATTGTAAGTTCTATGAAAATAAATGAATCCATCGGAATTAATTTTAAGAAAAAAATTACAGACTGCGTTGCTTTGAACGATAATAGAATTGAACATTCTATATGATACCCTGATCTAGAGGTTGACATACCGGTGTCGTATTTGAAGGCGAGAAGATAATTTTTATGTTTTGTAATTTTAACTCATAAAAATTTTCGCCTTTTAGGATCATTTTTCATGCATGCTTTCTTGTTAAATTTCCATGTTGCCGGTAAATTTTTCCAATCACGAGCAAATCTTCTTTTTGTACTGCCATATTTGCACAAAATAAAATTGTAAGCCTCTCCTTGGAAAGCTTTCCACCACTACAATTGTTGGATTTCAAAGCAAGTGTTTTGTTGGGTAACACTCGAAAGAAAAGGCCAGTCTTATCTTAAAACTGATACACTTAAAACTTATCGCATGTCTCTCGCGCCACTTTTGCAGCCATTCATCGGAAGCTGTATTTTTTTTATGGAGTGTCCGGTTAAAGGAGTTCGTTTTACAGGTAAAAGGGTAGGCATATATTTATAAGAGATTTTATTTTGGCCTTAACATTTCTAAATGGAAAATTTGCTGAACGCAATTGCGAAAGCGGACATCGAACCAATCTTAACACACGACAAACAATTTTAAACGCGGCTTAAGCAATGCTTACGCCCCTAGAACATTAGGTCCGCCCCCCTCAGACCGTACATAGTAGAACACGAAAGTTTCGTTGAAAACTGAAGTAGGTTTCGTAACTTTTTTTCCCCCAAATAGATCGAGGAGTTGCCCGACGGCGAGCGAACCGTCAGCCTGACGGCGCGCGAATCCCTGAAGACGCTGGGGGCCCAAGTGCAGGAGCTAATAGGGCAGGACAGCGTGACCGTCGACGAGCTGGCGCAGCGTCACTTTCGAGAGTTCGGGTACCCGCTAAAACCGTCCGCGTTCGGATGCTCCACCCTCTTCGACCTCGTCCTTCTACTATCCGATTACGTCGAGGTCGTCGACTGCAATCGGCTTCGCGCAATTCCGCAGGCCACGCCCACCGTGCTGGGCGTCCGATGCTGGGGTCTCCTGCTGGATCCGCCGCACTGCAAGGAGCTCGCCGTCCTGCGGGCCGAGTACCGCGACTTCTACAGGGGTCGGTTCTCACGCGAGACGCTTCTCCAAGCGTCGGAGATGGTGTCGATGTCGACGTCGGCGTCGGAAGGCGTCGAATACGCGTTGCTGACCGCCATCTACACCCTGGCGGCGCAACTGTTCCACGTGATACGCACGAACGGCGGCCGCGTCCCCTTCAACCGCCTGGAACGACTCTACGGCCACGCCTACGGCAAACCGTTGAGACTGGCGACGTACCAGATACGCGGCGAGTACGACTTTCGACGCCGTCTCGGCCTCGTTTTCCACGTGGCCGCCGATCCCGACCTCGGCACCGTGGTCGCGTTGGGCGGGACCGTCGCAGGTACGTCCGCCATTATTTACGTTTTTTTCCTTCAATATTGATCTTGTAGGTTTACTTCACTTCACCAATAGTTGCCGTAATACTACTTGCTCTTCTAATTTCGTCTTCCCGTATTGTCAGTGGTCTTCCTCTGTGCCTTCGGTTTCTAAGGATGTAATGCCCGCGTCCGCCATTATTTAAGGTTTTTTTCTTTCAATGTTGATCTTGTAGATTTACTTTACTTCATCCAGAGTTGCCGTAATTCTACTAATGAGGGTCTTGCTCTTCTAATTCCGTCTTGCCGTGTTATCAGTGGTCTTCCTCTGTGCCTTCGGTTTCTAAGGGCGTAATGCCCGCGTCCGCCATTATTTAAGTTTTTTTCTTTCAATGTTGATCTTGTAGATTTACTTTACTTCACCAAGAGTGCCGTAATGAGGGTCTTGCTCTTCTAACTCCGTCTTCCCGTGTTATCAGTGGTCTTCCTCTGTGCCTTCGGTTTCTAAGGGCGTAATGCCCGCGTCCGCCATTATTTAAGTTTTTTTCTTTCAATGTTGATCTTGTAGATTTACTTTACTTCACCCAGAGTTGCCGTAATACTACTAATGAGGGTCTTGCTCTTCTAATTCCGTCTTGCCGTGTTATCAGTGGTCTTCCTCTGTGCCTTCGGTTTCTAAGGGTGTAATGCCCGCGTCCGCCATTATTTAAGTTTTTTTCTTTCAATGTTGATCTTGTAGATTTACTTTACTTCACCAAGAGTGCCGTAATGAGGGTCTTGTTCTTCTAACTCCGTCTTCCCGTGTTATCAGTGGTCTTCCTCTGTGCCTTCGGTTTCTAAGGGCGTAATGCCCGCGTCCGCCATTATTTAAGCTTTTTTCTTTCAATATTGGACTTGTAGATATCCGAAACGATGTCCATGCCTCTCCTTTAGCTCCGCCCCCACGAACTTAAGTTTATTTCTGCAGTTCTCGCGATCACTATTTTTTAATCGCGTTTCTCGTTCGTCGCAGAACATCTGGAGCCGATCTTGAACGCCCGCGACGCGAAAAAGTTTTCTCCACCGAAGCCGGACACGCCCCCCACGCCGTCGTCATCGTGGAGTCAATGGGCCTCGGTCCCGGGTAATTCCAACGCGGTCGCATCGGTAAGTGGAAATATCTTCTTTTTCTTTTACTGGCAGGCCAGATAAAAGTATGACGACTTTTAAGTTTTATCAAAAAGTATTTATTTATTCATCAAAATTAGTGGTAACGTTTTTTTTTCAAACCTAGAAGCGCCTTGAGTTATTTATTTATTTATTTATTTACAACAAGCAGTTAACCCAGGCTGATCTTCAATCTTCAATGATATCATAAAAAAGGAAAAGATTTTTACAAAAGAAAAAAAACAAAAGATTGTACTGAAGTGACTTTTACTTGATGAAAATCCATTTAACAAAATAAATAAGAACTAAAAGTTCAGATTTTCACGGAATTATGTATTTTCACATGACAATTGTTTCAACAATACAGTCCTACATACCCGCTCAAATCACCCAACGTTTCGAACTTATTAGCGATCATCTTCAGAATTCGGGTTATGTTTAGTCATTGTTGAGTCGCTTATTAACTTTTTCAACTTTTTTCCATCTATTATTTTTACGAAAATAATGCTTTTCTGTAGGCAATGATCAAATTTAAAATGTATTTTCTTAAAATAGGCGAGGTTGCCGTGATGTTTTTTTCAATTTTCTCAAATGAGACATCATGTATATTATGGGATTTTCGGATTGCCGCTGCAATAGCAATTTCAATTATATAACATAGTACGGGTCTCCGGCTCGCCGTTTTGGCTTAGTTGGCAATTATTTTCAAATAATGCATAAATTCCTTTAAATTCATCATTTAAGGCTCTTGTAAATAAGGTCCTTAAATGGAAAAAAAACTTAATATTCTTAATAATATCTTGAAAGGACTAACCAACTATGCACTAAAATATAGGGCGTTCTATTTCAAAAAATGTAACTTTTTTTTACAACCCCGCATATAAAAAAGTGAAAATAATAATAAAGGTCATTTTAATAGAAACAACTTTTGTATTTAATTTTTTTAGTAACCCCCTTAAGTTTCGCGATAAGGTATAGGCCCTTCTTAAACGGGGGCCAGTCTGTACGTGTAGTGTCTCCCGCAGAATCTATCGATAAACATGCCGATTTCGCATCACCCGAGACTGCTAGGCGACACGCACCATCTGGTGTCGCCGGCGCGTCACCTGCTGCTCGCCGACCCGTGGCGCGGGTCCCCGCCCCACCCGTCCCAGCTTCCGCTGCCCGACAAGTTCCTCGGGACGTCGTCCGCCCCGCCCACCGTCGCGGACGACTCGCGCGACGAGTCTACCGACTCGGGCGTGAACACCAGGCTGGATAATTCGGACGAACCGCCGCGCATGCGCACCCCCGAGCTGTGGCGCTCCTATCTCGAGTTCCAGTGAGGTCCGAGGGGGCGTGGCATCCCGCCGACGATGCCAGATCTCTTTCGTATCCGTGTCGTTTTATTTAAGGTTTAAATAAGGCAATCGAGATCGTTTTTTTTTATTTTTATTGTCGTTTTATGATTCCCGTGACCACTTTCCTATGTGTATTATTATCATTTTCGCTTTTAAATTTGTCGTGCGAAGCATACGTATTCCGAGTCGAGAATAAATTTCTACGTTTTCGCACACGTCGCATTTATTGAATGAAGCCCTCCCCCCCCCCCCCCCAATCCAACAAAGGGCCAAAGTAATATAACTCGTTTATTATTAAAGTTATAGGTGAAACTACAAGGCCCAAGTTGGCACTTGTACTAAGTACATTTGAAAATTTTATATCATGTACATTTTCAAAATAATATAAATACTGAAAATCCTAATTTTCAAAGTGATCTAAGTTCACTTTTTATTGATGATGTCAAAAAGTGCGGCCCAAAATGTTGAAAGCAGTGATTGAAGGTAATTTAAATTACGTTTTGATATTAAATTGAAATTTAAAATATAATATTTTATTTTTCTTCAACAGAGTAAGAGGAAGTAATTGAGAATAAGAATTTACAAAACAGCACCTTCAAAGGATTTAGAAAACACAGAAGTGGTACTTATATTCAGAAAATTCGTAAAATTAAACGGAATTCAGGGTAATTTGGCTGCGAAAGTTTTTGAAAATGAAAAAAAATCAAGAAAAATTTAAATGAAACAGAAAGAAAACGTATTTTCTAAATGTTTTGGAACTTGGGAGACTTTAATAAGCAAAATATATTGCTGACGATTGAAACGTGTATTAAAATCTAAAAACGTTGAATCGTCGAGAAAAATACGTGATTTTTGAATTGAATTGAATTTGAATCCCTGACTAAAAAAAAAAATGTTTAATTTTTATGAGAATTGTAATAACAAGTTAAAGAAGTTTATAGGGACTTGTGTGCATAGAAATCGGTCCATTGTACTTTGAACTATTTCTCCTTTTTGGTCGTTACTTTGCTTTGGTTTTTTCATTGGTATTTTTTCAGTAGTTGATCAGTATCATAGTTTTACATGTTTTTTATTAAAATATAAATAAAGTGCTGTTATCCGTTACAAGCTACTGTAGCATTTTCAGTGTGACGCATTACTTTTGACCGCCATGACAGTACTTTAGTAGTTGAACACAAATAATAGAGATGGCATTCGTAACAGTACACGCGACCTTCCCCTCTATCTTATACTCTTTGATTGTTACTGTGTTCTAATTTTTTTATGTAGATGTTTCGACAATTCCTAGGACGGTCCTGGAATGATTACGGACAGGGGAGTAATGAACAGTTAGCAAAGTTAATCACGGGATCAGTTGTAAAAGCACTATATTTCTGGTCGAACTATAAATTGCATATTACAGATTTCGGTCACACTTTCGTGCGGTCTAGGATCGAATCGTGCATTGAAACCTTTCGAGTTTCGGCAGTTTTTCAAAAATGCGACCCCATTTTGTAGTGCAAACTTAATTTCGAATGTACGATAAAGGCGAATGGGTGCGATTTGCCGTTCTTAGTTCTCTCTTGGTTTTATAATCGACTACGGGGCCAGCTTCTAGTGGGAGTTAAAAAAAAAATTAAAATAAAAAAAAAACTATATATTTCGAAACGGCGCCCTCACACGACGACGTGCCGCATGAGGACGTTCCGGGCGGCCGCCCAGTTACCTCCCGCCTTGTAAATGAGGTGGAGGTTGTAGGCGGCCTCTCGCTTCAGGCCCAGCACGCAGTCGTCGTCTCCGGGAGTGTCCAGGACGCGTTGGTACCATCGCTCGGCCACGCTCACCAACCCGAACTGCTGGTACATGCGTCCGGTGTTGTAAAACACCTCGGAGGCGGCCCGGGCGCTCCTCGACCGCCCGTAGGCGGCGAACAGGGCGGCCACGGTCGGGAGGGCGTCGACGGCCCCGCTCCTCGCGCGTTTCTGATGGCAGAGGTGGGCGGCGCACACCGCGACCATCAACGCGGCGTACGACGAGCCGGTCCTTCGAAAGCGTTTCGCGAAGAAGGACAGACAGTCGTGGGTGCCGCATAAGTAGTTGTGACGGACGAGGTCGCCGTTCGAGGTAGACAGACGGTCGCGGACGGACTGCGCCTGGAAGAACTTGTAGTAGCGGTTCTCGTCCGGGTCCTGAGCCATCATCGAGAAGTAATTCCACGCGAGATTGTTCGACGGGTGGTGCAGGAGGATCTCGCGGGCCATCGCGTAACCGTGGAACACGTCGCGATTGAAGAGGCACGCGTGACAAGCGGTCAGGTACATTTCCTCTGGAAAATGCAAGGACGCTGAGCCTCCGATTGGTCGCAAGGCCACGGGGGGGGCTATTTTTTCTCTTATTTATTAATGATTAGTAGCGCAGGGTTAACAAGATTGCTTTCGAAAAATCGTCGGTGGGCGAGGCAAGTCCGTAGCAAATAGCGCGAATCACCCTTTTATTTTAAAAAGGAGCTTCGCGGATTCTTGTCCTAGAGGGACGCATTGTTTTTCTATCGTGCTCCTGCGGACCACTATCGAACTTTCGCAAAATCGATGATCCTGAATACACTGTATAAAGTGTCCTTCACATCTCGTCGAACTTCAAAGTTACGCCAAAATTCAGTAAATATTAAAAGACGAAACCTGAAACTCTCTCACGACACGGTTTACGGTACTGTTCAAATAAAATTATCCCATCTTTAACGATTTTTCATTTATCGCCAATAATTTACTCACAAAAACGGAAATTTAAGTTTTTAAGTTTTTTGCCCATAAACGACACACAAGTAGAGGTTATAGCCCTGGATTTTCCACGCGTCCTGGTTCAAGAATTTTTTGAAAAAATTCTTTTCGAGAAAATAAGTTTTTTCTGAAACCATGCAGTGTTTGTTTTAGTCCGTCGCTTAAAAATAAAAACGATTTTGTCTGCATGCTGTCATATTAACGACATTGTTGTACATTCGATTGACCGACCGAAAAATCGACAATCAATTAGAGAACACCCTGTATATAGATGTCGGAACGTCGTCACACCTCGTATTTCATAAAGGCCGAAATAGTTGTCACAAACCAATAAATAACCGCGAAAATTTGAACACTTTCCGTTCTAACTGCATGTTATTACACGCTTATTTGCTCTTACATGCCCTTTCCTCCCTAACAATAGACGAGCAAGCTCAAAACTCGCGTTTTTTTACCACCCCCTCGCTCACCGAAATGCCTGCCGAACCGTTTCGATGAAAGTCCCATGAAGCAGAGCTTCTGGTACTGCGCGTAGTCCCGTCTGTCGTACGCGAACTGCAACATGTCCCGATACAGCTCGTACTCTTCGTCGGGCGACTTCTCGTGCACGCCTACGAGAAAAATCACTTAAAAGCCCCGCCCCCTGGTCGTCGGGCCTCGCGCTTACTCTCCAGCGTCGACTCGACGCAATCGTCCTGACCCCGGAACCGCCTGATCCGTTTCACTTTCGCGATTCGCTCGCCCCGCGTGTCCGACACGGTCGTCATCGCTCGCAGCTCCTCCCAGTTGCGGAACACGACGCAGTGCCGCGACAGCAGCAGCTCGCAGCACTTCCAGTAGTTGTCGAGGTCGTCGATGCGACGCAGCAGCTTCATCTGCTCGACGAGCACCGCGACGTGGAGCTTATTAGAGGCGGGGTCTTGCGACAAGACCCGGAGGGCTTCCTCTTTCTTGTCCTGGCCAAGTAGGAGCATCGCCAAGGGGTAGAGAACCTCGACGTGGTTAGGGGCGAGGAGCATCACGGTGTAGTATGCGTCGATCGCTTGGTCGGGCATGCCGCAGGCCGAGAGGCACTCGGCGTGTCTCAGCCACACCCCCGCGAGCGAATGGTTGCGACTCTTGACGAGCGGCACCAGCAGGGAGAGCGCTTCCCGGTGGAGGCCGGACGCCATTAGGGCCTCCGCAACGTCTAGGTGAAGACCGCCGTAAGTTTCGACGTCGGTAGCGATGAGGAGTTCGTCGATCAAGCCGCGGACCAAGTCGTGGCACTGCAGTCGCACCACGCACACGATAAACTTGACCTTCAGGTCGATCTAGCCGCGTAATTACGAGATTAGAGGGGCGGGGACGACTCGGGGTATACCCACGTGCAGATCCTCGGACGGCATCGTGTAAGAATTGACGACGAACGAATCGGTCGATTCGACGGTGACGTCGAACGTGAAACCGAAGAACTGGGTGAAAATGTCGAGACACTCGGAGTAGCGTTCGCTCACGAGCAGCAGATCGAGCATCATGTTGAGCTCGTCGTGCGTCACCTTGTCCGGGATCCGTTTGAGGGGGACTCGAAGCGCGTCCACCGCCCTCGCGTACTTTTTCTCGCGGAAATAGGCCTGCGCGACGTCCCTGCACGTTTCTAAGATGCGCTCGTGCTGTCTGCGCGGCATGTGCTTCGCCATCGTCAGCTTGCAGACTAGCAGGAGCCTCTCGTCCGCTGAGGAGGCGGATATAAAGACGACGACGTAAAGACACGGACGTATTTGGATTTTTGAACGTTCTTTTCCCAAAACACGCACCCTCACACACACACACAAAGACCTCGTAATAGTTGCAAGGCCGAATGAATAAGCCTCAATTGTGGCCCATCTTGTGCCGGTTTTCGCAAATATTACATTTTGACTTGTAGCATCGTTACTTTTTACAGAACTTCTAGATTCCTCCTAGCCGGCCTATTGGCTGCTTCAGAACTTAACTGAAACTGACTCACATTCGACTCTGTGCGTGCTTATATATTGTTTGAAGGGGGCGGAGCTAAAGGGGGGGCATGTCTCGGGCGCATATTGATTAAAGGTAAAGACCTGAGTTGAGGTTAAGGCTGTTAGGTTGCTTATAGATTTCTATAGACTCTCGGAGTTTTCGTTGGTAGAAGAATTAATTACATGCAAGAATTTTAGTTTTATCCAATAAAATTTTAAGTCCGGTTTCGTGATTGTCTTCGGCAACAGGTGACGAGTTTATTTGTCTTAATAGTAAGGCTGTTTCGTGCTCTTTGAGCCTAGTTCTCGGTCTCTGTATTTCTTTGCTGTAAACTCCTGGCATCTCAAATGGAATTTTGTCTTTGATGGATCGAAGATGTTGAGAGATTTTTAGAAAGCACATGTTTTGAATGTAAGGAAGGACAACAGTGGCAAGTGTGGGATTGCTTTCGGTCTCAAGTGTATTTTGTGATGGAACGTTTAATATCTTTAATGTGGAAATTATTAGAGAGAAGAACAGAGGTAGGATGTTTTAATTTTGGATTCAGTGACTCGGGTTGAGATAGTTTCACGGCTCTGTAAATAACAGAGTTGATAATCGATAATTTGAGACAAACTATATTTTACACTCATACTTTTCTACAAGAAATTCTCGCCTTCCGCGAGTACGTCGTTACTGTTTAAATAAAACTAAAAACAACTCTTTAAATCCATCATTTTACAATACTCTTCCAGCAAATGTTCAAGTTTTGAGTAAAAAAGCTTTTCAGAGGGCAATTAAGCCAGTGTTTATTAATAATCGCTCTTACAGCAATGATGAATATTTTAATTATATCTGTCTATACCTATTTGCACACACTGACATGATGCACATATTGTATTATGTGATTAAATAAGTAAACTAAACTAAACCAATGCTATAAACAGAAAGAATGGAAATATTGGGAAGTATTAAAAATAGGTATACTTAATAAAAATTTTAGCTTTTTGTAAGATCTTTCAGAAATATATATGTCCTTCAAGAAACTCGACATTTTTAAATTTAAAATGATAGAAATATATTTCACAAATCTTCCGGATAAGTTTACTGATTTTGGTGATGCTATTCAACCCAAACGAATTGCAATGACTTTTTCAATGGCTAGATTGTTCTTTCTTATACAAAATAAACAAACTTAAATCTAGACCACTGCTGCATTTCTAATGATATTCCGATTTGCAATTTAATTAGTTTTGGTTCATTTTTTACCTGTTTTAATTATATAATAAATTTAAAAAATAGAATTCTTTGAAATTAAAAACTGCTTGCCTTGTTCATGTTTATAACCTTAGCAGATTTTTTTTTTGTATTAATTCAAACTAACGACTTTAGAGCAAGAAAGAAGAAGGTGTTATAATTATTATATATTATACTATTAATAATTATAAAACTAGAACTAATCTCATATTGAGTTTGTAAAATCAAATATGGGGCCATACCTTTTTTTTCCGCCAACTCGATCCGCTTCGCGTGAAGCTCAAGATTTTGTGGTTCCGCTTTTATCGCCTTAGAGTAGCAGTCGATCGCTTCGGCGATTTGGGACTCCTGCAACTCCACCTCCGCCAACCGGCACCACAGGTTGACATTCGAAGGCTGCACATGACACGCGAGCATCAAGAATCCTGCGGAAAGTAAGCTCGACGAACTCTATCGTGCAAACGAACCCTTTTTGAGCTCGAACCTTTGTACTTTTTAAAATTGCTATTCTCGTACATCTGGGCAAGCGTCCAGTAGGGCTCGTAAGCATCGGGAGCCTGCCGGATTATCTCGAAACACATTTTCTTGGCGGTTTCATAGTCACGCCTGGCGTATCTAAGATTGGCCTCGCCCATAAGGCCCTTGAGGTGCGCGGGAAGTTTCGAAATTTGGCGTTTGGGAGGCCTTTTCTCGTCGTTGTCTCCTGAAAACCGCTACAAAAATAATACCTAATCGCGGGTTTTCCGACTACCTGCCTCCTTCACTATCCGAATCGGAGGTCCCATTTTCGCTCCTAGCGGTAACCACAACGACTTCAATGTCCTGTGCCGAATTTCCGTTGCTCTCCTCCATGATTTCTCTGCGAGAAAAACATATAATATGCCTTATCTATACCGACAAGCTTCCGTAAACATGTCAAATTTCGCTACCGCGAGCTCCATTTCGTGGTTATTCGGAGCTTTTGAATGCTTTTGACAATGCTCAACAGATGGCGCGTATTTTTTTTTTGCATATATTAGGTTTGAAAAAATCGCTTTACATGCCGATAGATATGTTGCGTGTGATTCTTTGTACTTAAAACCCATTAATAATTGGTAACACTTTGAATAACAAGTGCTATCTCGTGGTAAATTGGTAAACTAAAAAGACAACTGTTTAAACGGTTTAGAACGTTTTTCTTCTTTCAAATAATGGGTTCTAAGGGCTTTAATATTAGGCGTGCTTTGTTTTATGTATTTCTAGGTTTTGAAACTTTTATTATTATTAGGATAATTTCGAAGACCTGGTGCCATCTCGTGAACTTTCGTATAACTAAAATTAATTTAATCTGGTCAAGATTTCTACCTTGACAAAGGGAGATTTTATTCATCTTTGATATTAAAACAACACGAATACCATCATAATACATAAATGTTTATTATAAAATAGTGCAACCCAACCAAAAAAATCAAAATTCTTTTGTTAACTGTTGAAATAACACCAAACTACTTTACAGAGAACTAATTTATTTTACAAAAAAAATCAATATTTCGATATTGAGATAACTATTCAATCCAATAACTGATACAACTGGTAAGCGGAGAAACAAATGCCGCCAATCAGAATAATTATCTGTAGAAATCGCATCTTGGTAAGATAGATAATAAAGTACATCACGGACTAATATGCGACGGCGTTGTCGCTTGCCTGAAGCTGTCTTTTTACAATATACACCTAAAAGACAAGGAATATGCAAATTTAGTGCTCGCAGCTAGCTGTTATTTGTGTTTTTACAATTGACAATTTATTTACCTTGCGATTAGAAAGGCATACTACATAGGCGTGGTCGTCGTATATGACAGAAAACCTTTTGAAGCTTTCATCGAGCACCGGGTTATCAAAAAGTTTCCGAGCTATCTTTAGTAACCCATACAACAATCCCGCGACACGTTCGTCATTGTCGAGATCTCCACCGCTAGTTAAAACAGCACCTTCCGAGTTCAACACCAAATAACCGGTTTGCCCAACGACCGATGGACGATCCATTAGATACCAAGGCCCCTCGATTCTACAAACATTAGCAACCTGTCAAATATTACGAACAAGAATGTTAAAATCGTGTTTTAATACTTACCTTTTCGATGGCCCATTAAAAAAATATCTCCACTTTTAATGATGTTTACAGCAAAACCATCACAGATCAACGAATTTGGTTAGTTTGTGTTTTGTGCAGGGTCTGCGGGAACGTGGGTCAATTTTTCTAAACCACAAAATGCAAATCTACTACAAAGCAGGATTGCGAAACTCAAAAATGTGTGCGGTTTTAATGTTTCCATATACATAACCTGCGTTTGGATTCTGAAAGAAAATTTCGAAACGATAACCAGCTCTTCAAAAACGGTTTATTGCAAAGCCACCTTTAAAGATCTATCTACAAATTCGCTTGATAGTTAAATCTTTGGGAAATGTAATGTAAATTTATTTCAATTTCATTACTCAACTTTGGTTGTATCAACCTTAACATACTGTTGTTATTTGTTGTACTACAGTGGTTAACCTAACCATGTTATTTAATATTTATTCTCACCCTGTGCAAGTCGCGATCAGTTATGATCCGAAACAGTTTAATTTCATTGTGCAATAGTTATTGCAAGCAAATTCCACTGGTTGTTCGTAGAAGCGTAGCGTATAAGAGTTCCATTTCGTTAGAAAACTTGTACCCTGGCAGCAGTCTCAAGCTTCGTACCCCCGAAAAAGTATAAAGGACATGAGCGGTCATCGTCTCGCAACGACCGACGACTTTTACTTCCAGGTTGCGCAAGTTTCGGACGAATTCGACGGTTTCATTCCGATCGATAAATTAGAAATCATCTACAGCAAAAGTTCCGGCCCCGGTGGTCAAAACGTCAACAAAGTCAACACCAAAGTGGACCTCAGATTTCATCTGGAATCGGCGGAATGGCTTAGCGATAATATTAAAAGCAGCATTAGGCAAAAGGTGATTACAACAGGTACAGTCTGTCGGACCTCGCTTTACGAAATGAATTTTAGTACAATTCGAGAATCACAAAAGAGGGCCATCTGATTTTCCGGTCGGACCTGACCAGGTCCCAACAGTTGAACCTGGCCGATTGCTTGGAAAAGCTTCGATCCTGCATTAGAGATTCAGTAGTGCTCGAACATACTCCGACTCCAGAAACGGAGGAGAGGATCAGGAAAAGAATGGAAAAGGCAGCTAGGGAGAGGTTGCGTATAAAACGTGAACGCTCACGGAGAAACGAAGAGCGGCGTGTTCCCGAATTTGCATTTTAGAAATAAATTAAAGTTTCCTTATGTTCCTAATTTTGATCGTCCCCAATATTCACCGCTACTTCGATTTTAGTGGGCACATATACTGGGGGCATTCGCCCAGTAGCAGTCCCGTGGAATTCTACAATTTTTGTCACGATAGATACATTATACGGGGACATTCGCCCACTTCTGTCTAATGCCGAAACCGACTTCTGGAACCCATAGAAAACAAATAAAAAGTGATTCTAACTGTTCACAGAATAGCAATTAACTTCTTCGATTCTATGTTATTTTCGATGCTGTAGCTAAAGTTAGCAGCTGGATGCTGATTGTTGCGAAACGTTTTAATGTAATAATTTGTGGACTGCAAACCTTCAATAGTTAATCGTGCAGAGCTGTGTTTAGTTTGCGGCCGACGAGGGCACTCTGGTTTTTCGTAATCGGTAATTGTTCCGCCACAAAGGCCGTATTTATCTACGCAAAAAGAACTTTTTGCGTAGATAATTTCGAAGGTCCTAATGTCTTTTTTTTTTTGACGCGGAGATAGTTGCAAAAACGACATTACGTTGTGGGAAATAATTACGTATTTAAAACAAAGGCGAGCCTGGACAGTCCCCTTTGACATTTCCGTATTTGCGTTCGCAAGGTTGTGGCGCTTAATAAATATTTATCGCGCGTTAGGTGCGCTTGTCAAAGCGGCGTTTTAGGGGACTGTTCGATTGTTGCTAAAACTCTTTAATTTCAGTAGAGGTTATGTTCGCGATGCGCCTGAAAATCGGTTCCATAAGGAACAAAGAGTGGAGATCTTGCTTTTGCCTGCACGTCCGGACGGCGACGGTCGCGTTCGGGGTGTGGCACTTGGTCCTCCACGTTTTGGCGCTGACGGTGCTCGCGCTGATCATGAGGAACCACAACATATTCATCCAGAGGCACGACGACTTCGAGCAAAACGATTTCTTGCCGACGCCCCTGAGCAAAATCAAAAACGACGATAACCCGTATTTCCTGCCGACCACTCAGGATGGCCGACCCATACTGCCGTGTAAGTTTTGCGTTTTAGTCCTACCCAGGGGGCTCGAACCTTAACTGATGTGTGTCCGTAGCGGATATCGATATGGGCGCCCTTTTGACTGTCTGTACCCTGTCGATCACGTTGCTGATGGTGTATGGTGCTATCAAGGGCAAGCCCAAATACCTGCTGCCGTTTTTCTTCCTGCAGCTGTTCGATTTCGCGATCACGACGTAAGAACCAATATCGAAACGCGGACAGATGCCGGTAACGAATCTTTTCAGCCTGACCGCTACCGGTTATTTTTGCTACCTGAGATCCGTGCACCGGCTCGTCGCCGAACACTGGCACAACTTGCCGTTCCGCCAGGAACTGCTCTCGCTTAACCCGCAATACCTGTCGCTGCTGGTGCTGACGTCGTTCCTGATATCGATCGTCTGGAAGGCGTACTGGATCGGGGTGATCTGGCGTTGCTACAAGTACCTCACGATCAAGAGGCAGACGGCCCGCAACACCATACATTACATTCTGCCGGGAGAGGGCAACGCCGACAGCGACGCCACCTATCCTTCGTTGTTCCGTGATCAGGAGTATGGCCCTATGAAGCAGACTCCGCCTCCATCGTATCAGGTAGGGGGTGCGATGCATTCTCAAAATATGAATTTTTACCATAGCAGCTATATAAAAATGAAATAAAATAAAATAATTTGACAATATGTCAATAACAAACAATCTTAAAATTTAGAGGTTATGTAGCTCTCAAAGCGATAGTTATAAAAGTCCTGTGAAAATGTGTTTAATAATTTTTTTACAACAGTTTGAGAGTTGCGGGTATTTTTTTATAAAATTTAATACCAATAGTACATGTGAAAGTCGGATTTTTTTTTTATTTTCATGCGCGTACATTACGCACCGATAGAGATACTTTGGGCACCACAAAAGGTTCGAATGGTCTTTTTAGAATTTTTAAGACTATATCTGCCTCCGAAGATTCTCACGTTAATAGAGTTTTCAAAATAAAACGTTAGAGCCGTCTTCTGATTTATTTTTATTAGCTTCAGTGATCGCCTGAGTACATACGAGGGCAGCGCCAAAATTTCCCGGCCTGAATATGAAAGAAACAAATAGAGTAACAATTTTTTATTATTTTTCAATATAATCCCTTTAAAAATATATTCTTTTGGTTTGTCTGCAAAATGAGCTAAAACAGCCTCTTTTAACTCAACTTCGTCGTTAAACCGCCGTTTACGCAAGTCCTTTTTCAAATATCGAAACAAATTATATATTAATTATTCGTAAAAATTTTAATATTTACCGAAGTTTGCCGTAACTTTCAAGTTCGGCGAGACTTGAAAGACATTTTATACAAGGTGCGTGCACAATAAAATGACATCGATTTTGCGAAAGTTCCATAGGGGTCCGCAAGGAGCACGATAGAAAAACAATGCGTCTTGTGTTATTGATCGGAAGTAGGTGGTAAAGAGAAAGAAAAGTGAGGCGTGTTTCAAGCCGAAGCAAAGCATTTGAGATTAATTTAGGCAATAAGATGCTTCTAAAATAAATAAAAATCGATTTATAAGTAAAATTTGACCGACATTGACAAAAGTCCCCTAAGTGTTTGTTTTTTTTTCTTCTTTCGAGGACATTATGGGCGAGCAACCTCCGCCATATCCGACCACCAGTTCAGCGGACGAAGCCGCGTCCAGGTTCGTGTTTACTTACACGACGGACGAGTGCAGGGAGGGACCGGTGCGACCCGAAGGCGACGCGACGGGGGGCGTTCCCAGGTGAGCTCAGATCCGCCCCTAGTCATTGGCGCTTAACTTTACGGTCGTAGGGTCGGCGAATCGCCGCCGACGTCGTCGTCGGCAAGCCCAGACGTGCAGCAGGACGAGGGCAGGCAGCAGGACGCGCCCGCAGAGCCGGCACAAGAAGTCGCCACAGTCGAGAAGTAGAGGGCGCGCGCGGCGCGCCTTTAGATATAGTTCGTCACTAGTTTCTAGCCAACACTTTCCAAAATAATGGTCCGAATCTCGATTTAGCAACAGCCCGCGTAATTTCGTTTATAAAAAAAAACGGGAGTTGTAAGTGGTGTGTGTCTGTGTGCGTGTGTAAAAAAAATGATTTAAAAAGAACTTTGTTAACATTATCGTAAATAAAAAAATATATCGGTTATCAGAGACCCCGCCCCCTCGGATGACGTTCCGTTTCGACTGTCAGGACATAGGGGGCGGGACACCTGAACTGCACGTCCATCACATTCTCTTGGCTCTTATTAAAGGACAAATACAGTATTGGAAAAAATTAAAGTGACTTTTTATTTTTTATTACTATCCATCCAAGTGACACAAATAAAAAAAAACATTTTTTTACAGGAGAGATATTTGAACTAGGCTGGGACGGAAAGTCGCCTATGAAATACTTAATTTGAATTAAAAATGAATTGAATGCTAATTGAAGTGGTAAATTTATCTTTAGCATAGAAGCATTACAAACATTAATATTTTAAATAGTTAAAAAAGAACAAACGTTGTTCAGATGTTCACATAAATATATTTAAGTGACAGCTGTTTCGGCAACACTGTGCCTTTATCAAATGCGAATATCAAACGTACCGATGTTTATAAATGCAAAACAGGTAGTAATTACTTATTGTGACGTATTACATTGAGATTTAACAAGAGGGATCCATTCAAATCCAGTTAGTCATTAAGGAATACATTCGAACCTCTCATCTTATTAATCTCCATAGATTCTAGTAAATTTAATTTTCTACTTTTTGAAACAGTGTGTAAAATATCGAAATTGTCGTCAAAATTGTGTTTTTCTAAATTTAAATGTATGGCGTAATTAGAATCTGAACTATTGTTTTTAAATGATCGTCGATGTTCGTTTCGTTTCGATACAGAAAAATCGAAGAATCTTTTGAAATCTATAAGCAACCAAACGATCTTAACCGGGATTCAGGTCTTTACCTGTCGCCAATATGGGAATCAGTCATTCGAGACGGCGGTTATGCCCCTCCTTTAGCTCCTCCCCCTCAGACCATATATAAGCAGGTACAGAGTAAAATGCGAGTCAGTTTTAGTTAAGCTCTGAAGAAGCCAACAGGATAATTGAAATGCACTTGACTAACATCATTATCTGAAGATGCACTATGGGAATTTTCCTCGAACTTCTAATAATATGTTTAATCTTGTATTCTTATTAGTTTTTGGGCAACTTGATCGAGGACGATCTTTCAATTTACTCAATTTACATCAAAATGCAAAATATTACAGTGTTAGCTTAAAAATAAAGTATTTATGCGATGTAGCCGCCTATCAGAAGAACAAAGGACGGTTGGCAATACTATATAGCTTTGCAGTAGGCAGTTCCAATGCCAATATATAAGAAGTACGACAAACGAAGGATAGACAATTGCAGTTAAGTTTCTAAGTAACGTCAATAACTTATTTGCTATCATCACCTTTCCTGTAGCTCTGCCCGCCTCGAACAGTATATACGCAGATATAGAGTGAAAAGCAAATTAGTTTCAGTTAAGCTCTGAATTATAACTTGTTGAAGCTTTCACAGAATCAGTCCCATATTTAACTTAATTTGGGGAATTATTAACGATTAGGTATGTCATCATTTGAACAATATTAACTTTTTTCCAATACCTGCCTGTACAGGTCTTGTGGACATCTTTGTTGAAAAGTTTACACACTTTCTCGCGGCGAAACCCTTAAGCTAACAGAATCTTATTTATTAGACAGGGAACAGTTTGTGGGCGATGACAGACGTAAATCCTCTTTGGTGAAGGTCCCTATTGCGGTCCCCCAAGGGTCCGTACTCGGCCCTGTTTTTTTTATAGTGAGCTGATCATGCCGTTTTTTGGGGTTCGTCAAATGTGCTTTATTTGCGGACGATGCCAGTTTTACCATATATGGACCGAATTGGAATGACCTGCACAACATTATTGCGAACTGAAGAGCAATGCGAACAATTGGTTTAAAAATAATTATTTAAAACTGAATACAGACAAAATTCAAAACATAAATACAACGGCGAACGGCAGTCGGCTAAATTACTTGCTATTACACTTGACTGGAAAGATCACACTTTGTCTCTTGAGCGAAAACTATCTTGCAGCTTAATCGTCCTTAGAAAAATTACGGAGAGCCTAGACCAAAATGACGGTGTATTACGCTTTATTTCATTCCCATATGTCATACGGCACAATATTATGGGGAAACTTTGTCAATGCTGTTAAAATATTCAGGATACAGGAAAAGGCTATAAGAATTCTTGATGGGGCTAAGCCAAATGAACACTGTACTCCATATTTTAAAAAACATATGGTAATGACAGTGCCCTGTATCAATATTTTCCATGATCCTTTAGAAATTCACAAACATACTAATATATTTGAAGGTGTGTCTCATAGTTATCCAACACGTGCAAAAAAAAAGTTCCAAAGCACAGCTTGTCACGTCAGACAAAAACTCTTTAAGTATTAACTTGTACGATATGCTACCAGATAGGTACAGGCTTTTGAGGTGTTCAAAACAAATATTAAAGTGCTGCTTATTGAAAATTGTTTCTATAGTGCGTACGAGTATTCAATCAAAATAAAAAATCTAAATCAAAATCCTTATATGTGGTTAATAAAAAAATCTTCTTCTTAATGTTAGATTAGCACAAAATTAAATTCTCTAGTTTACAATTATCATTTACCGAGAAAATGGCGGAATTATCCTACCAACCTTGGCCAACAGAAGTAAAAGAAGAAATTTTCTGATGTCATGTCAAAATTTTGCATACCATCATGTTTTTAAAGTTTTTGTGATGCACCGTTTCCTACATTATTACTCATGATTTGTAACTTCTCGCTAATTTTATGGTTTAAAATGTAAAAAAAAACTGCATCGATGAAAAAGCGTTTGTGAGCGCACACGTGATCACTGAGGCCTGTTTGCCGCCCCACTCACTCTTCAACAAAGAAGATGACGTAAAAGTAACAGCTTTATTTATGTTATCTTAAATAAAAAAGAAAATATGGAAAACGTTGAAGGCCCTAATCCCGGATAGCAGAGGCCCCGCCCACCGGGTTGTCGCTGACGTTTTCCTTGTTCCGTTTCCAATGGAAGTTGGGCGATACCGGTTCGGTCACCTTGTTCGCAGGCTTGATCTGTATCGGTTTGTATTTTTTGACGGGTTGCGCTTTGATCTCTGCCGCCCGTCTCAGCTTCTCGATTTCTTCTCTCTCGGCCTCGAGTCGTCGCTCTTCCGCTAGGCGGCGCGCCGCCGCCAACCGCTCCTCCTTCTCGAGCAGCTCGCGTTGAAACTCCCCGCGTTCGAGGGCCCGCTGCTCGGTGTTCAGAAAAAAAGGCTCGACGGTCACGCACGGCCTGTCGGCCTTCTTCGGCACGAAGGGCGCCTTCGTCAGGACGACGGGAGGACGGGCCCTGAACGGAACTTCCGTCACGTTCTCTTGACTCTCCTGAAATAAGCATTCATCATTTATTTGCGCACCCTGTATGATAGACCAAAACCTGAAACTCTCTCGGTCTCTCTCCCACAGAATTTACGATACTGTTTAAACCAACATGTCCCACATTTTATAGTTTTTCATTAACGGCTAATAATTTACCCGCGAAAAAGGCAATTGTTTGCAAATAGTCGACACACCCTGTACATAAATGAGGTTATACAAGCGGATCTCCCACGTTTCCTGGTCCAAGAATTTTCCTAATAGGGCACGCCGTAATAGTCAATGACGTCATCGCGTCTAGACTGAGCCCGAGGAATGGCGATTTTCATATGGATTTTTTCAAATATCTCGAGCAGCGCGTGTGACAGACGAAAACCGTATAATACAAAAAATCGTTGCTCGCGATGCGGCCTATAATATTGTTTGAACCACTTAGCCACTTTTAAAAAGAGTTTCGATTAACAACCCTACCATATTCTGCTTACTTAGATTTACTAAGTAAGCAAGTATTTATTAAGCTCCGCCTCCCTCAAATAGCATATAAGCAGATAATTTTTCAAAGAAACTTACAGAGGCTACTGTAATACTTTTGCTGCCGTTTCGCCAATAGTCCTGTTGACTTTTTCAGAGTTTATATACGGTCTAAGGGGGGCGGAGCTAAAGAAGGGGCGTGAACATTGTCTCGGATGACTGATTCCCACATTGGTGACAGGTAAAGACTTAAGTCTAAAATTGTTAGATAGATTTCTATAGACCCTCGGATTTTTCCTTGATAGAAGAACGGATTGCATGCAAGAATTTTTAGTTTTATCGAATAAAATTTTATGTGCGGTTTCGCGGTTGTGTTCGCAAACTGCTGATGAGTTTATTTGTCTTAGTCTTAAAGCTCTTTCATGTTCTTTGAACATAGTTGATATTTTTCGTCCGGTCTTGGGTTGCCTGCGTCTGCTCCATTTTATAAAAATAATTTTTAAAGAACTTACCGGGGAACTTAGGTTTACCTTTTTTTGAGCTATGACTAATGCAAAAATTGTAATACAAACAGAGCAACGTGCTTAACTGAATGATACTTTAGATTTATAAAAACCCTGTTATTGTTTTACTTCGTTTCTTTCGAGCAAACAAACTTAAATAATTTGTTTTATTCTGTATTAAATCAATAACTTTTTTTTTGGTACATTGTTACTTTTGGGACACCCCGGATTATTTTTTTTATTTACTTAAATATAATTTTTTCGAAATGTTTCTAGATTTTGTGTAGTGTTATTAAACAGTTTTCACGATTTAATTAAAAACTGTGTCTAAATATAGAGTTTTTTTTTTTGAACACCCTGTATAATAATTATATTGTATTAAAGTTTGATGTTCGTAATAATTTTTTCTTTTTATCGATGTGCCCACTGGGCCCCGTGCCCTTACCGATTTTTTGCTGGAACCAGCGGAACTGCTCGACGAGTTGATCCGCTCCCTGGAGCCGCCGCCGCCGCCGTAGAGCGATTTGGGCATCGGCCTCGCGTGAAACTCCCGCGCCCGTCTCTCCTCTTCCAAGATCTGCGAAACGCGCGGTTATAAACACGGAATGACCTATTTTTTTTCTTTATTTGACCGTGTTAACATACCAAGTAAATTTAAGTAAAAACGTAGTATATGACATACAAAAACAAACGAACATAAAAATGAACAAAAAAAATTGGAAGATCGGCCAAAATTGAAGAATTGAATAAAAACGGTAATACTACGCGAGATTAGATCTTTTCTAAAAAAAAAAAAAAATAAACATGACAATTGTTTCGACAACACCATGTCTTTCTAAACTAAACTTAAAAGAGGCTGTTTTAGCTCATTTTGTAGACAAACCAAAAGAATATTTTTTTTAAGGGATTGAGTTGTTAATAAAGAGATGTATTGAAGTTAAGGGGGATTATATTGAAAAATAATAAAAAATTGTTACTCTACTTTGTTTCTTTCATATTCAGGCAGGGAAATTTTGGCGCAGCCCTCGTATGTCGAGAAGAGAGGAGCTGCCATCGTACTCACTTTATGAATTAACTGTTGTCGTTTGCTCATGCACATCTTGTCCCTTTCCTCGAAGCTGAACGGCTCGGGTTGGGTCTTCTTCATCGGTTTGTTTTCGGTAGGGGCGGGTTTGTCCACTTTCGCCGATGTCGGGCGAGGGCGCGGCGTCGTCCTTTTGACCGCCTCCGGGAGCGGTTCGCGCACCGACTTCGGCACCGGCCTCGCGTGGAACTCGAAATTGGGCTCTGGCGGCGCCACCTGCCCACATAAAGATTCCGATATTATTTCACTACGACAATGTAATTTTTAGTGAAGTGGGGCACAAAAAATAATGCAAAGAGCTTCTTTTTCTCGCGCTTATCCTCTACGAACGTTGGCTATCGCACTAGCCCAGATAACTTCGTCTATTTTCAGTCGCTGTCGCTCTCAGGAAGAACAATCACCGAGAGAAATGAAACTATTGATAAAAATCTAATTTCACAACTGACTACAAAACTCAAAAAATTATTTTTTATTTAATTACCATGGATAAAAGTACAGATATCAGCGATACTGCGCAGTTACTCATATTTGTAAGAGGAATCAACGCCCACTTTGAAATTACAGAACTTGCAGAGCCGCAGTCGATGAAAGGGACAACGAATGGTGCCGATATATTTTGTGAATTTGAAAATCGTATCGATTTACCAATTGATAAGTTATGCAATGTAACTACAGATGGCGCTCCTAATATAGTTGGAATCAGTCAAGGATTTGTTGAGAAATTTAATTCCAAGTATCCGGAGAATGATACTGTTTGCATTGCCTAATACATCAGGAAGCTCTCTGTAAATCGGCTTTAGATATTGACCATATACTTAATATTGTTTTTGGAGTCCGTACATGCTGAGCATTCTGATATCCTTTTATTATTATTCAAAAGTTCGTTGGTTAAGGACTGGAAAAGTATTTGAAATAATTTGAGATTTAAAAGACGATATTGTGAATTTTCTTCTTGATAAAGACATTTATAATCAATTTGACGTGTTAGAAAACGAAACGTGGCGTTCTGATTTCGCTATTTTCACAGACCTCGTCGTACACATGAATAATCTTAATTGCAAGGGAAAAATCAGTTTCTTCACGATATTTGCCAATACCTGAAGAGTTTTAAATTATAGTAATTATTACTTGCTAATCGGATCTCTAAATCTGATTTTTCTCATTTTCCAAGAATACAATCTTTAAAATTCACTATATAAAACTAAGATTAAAAAATACGAAATTAATTTGAGAAAACTATCGTCAGAATTCAAAAAGAGATTTCAGTATTTTTGAACCCCATTCAGTGTTAATTACGAAGAAGTTGATTCAAAAATTCAACTTGAGTTAATAGAACTACTCTCCTGAAACAAACTTTTCATACAGTACCATTACTACAATTTTATAAAAATTTAAGTCCAGATAATTTCCCACATCTAATTACTCATACAACGAAGATAATATGTTGGGCTCATCTTATAATAGGTGTTTTTTTTCGATGCATAGAACTTTAAGTTGGCATTACTGTTCGAGATGGCGACCGATTTAACAGCTGTCAAGTGATTTCTTCTCAGTTTGATTTGGCAATTCATCATGAATAGACTCACGCCCGAACAACGCTTCCATTATTTCGAAAATAATGGTTCCTCAAGTATATGTCGAAACACCGTTACAGCCAAAAAAACTGACCGTTTGGTGCGCTTTATGGGCCGGTGGAATCATTGGTCCGCACTTCTTCAAAAACGATGATGGCCAGAACGTTACAGTCAATGGTGATCGGTATAGAGCTATGATTACTAACTCTTTCATTCCTGAATTGAATAACCAGGAGATGTGGTTTCAACAAGATGGCGCAACATGTCACACAGCTCGGGCCACAATCGATTTATTGAAAGACACGTTTGGTGACCGCCTAATTTCACGTTTTGGACCTGCGAATTGGCCTCCAAGATCTTGCGATTTAACACCGCTAGACTACTTTCTGTGGGGCTATGTAAAGTCATTGGTCTATGCGGATATGCCACAAACGCGTGACCATTTGGGAGGCAACATTCGCCGTGTTATTGCCGATATACGGCCACAAATGTTGGAAAAAGTCATCGAAAATTGGACGTCCAGATTTGACTACGTCCGCGCCAGCCGTGGCGGTCATATGCCAGAAATCATATTTAAAATGTAATGCTACAATATTATCTTTCAGATAAATAAAATTGATTTCAATCGAATAATCCATTGTTGTTTTATTGCAACTTAAAGTTCTATACATCGAAAAAAAAAACACCCCTTATATGCGAACAAATCTTTTCAACAATGAAGCTTAGGAAAACTTCTTTGAACATCAGTTTTAAGAATTTCTGCTTCGCAAATGGAATCGGAATACGATGAAATTTTGACAAATTTCAATTTCGTAGCTCCAACGGTTCGAAAGTTATTCAGGAAAAAAGAAAGGTCTTTGGATTATACGTGTTTTCGATTATCCGGCGAAGGCTCGGTCCCGGCTGGCACGGATAATCGAGGTTCTACTGTAGTTTAAAAACCCACTTACCTTTTTGGGCGGCGGGCACGTGATGGCGAACGGCTCCGGGACCGTGATGGGCTTTTTGGAGAGCTCGGCCGCTTTTACAGGTCCTCGCAGCACCTTCTGGCTGACCGGTTGCGCTTTGATTTTAAACCTGCGCGATATTTGCACATATTTATACACGAAACCAAAACTATACCACTATTTTTTAAACAAACTTTTGAAATTTACTTAAAGGTACCAAGAAATTGTCGAGCTTCCATTGTCTTTATTTTTTGTGATCAAGTGCAGACTAATTTTAATTCTAAAGCTACGAGGCTTATACAGGGTGTCCAGTATAAGATGAAGACATGTAAATGGAAGAAAAGTAGATTTATTTTAATTTAACCCATTTTGCCCCGTGGTGCGTTAATGCACCACGGGGTATGATTTTTTTTGTCACATCCAGGAAATATTTTTGCACATCCATTTAGGAATTTTATTATTATCACTACTAAAGGGCATAAAACCGTAGAAATCGCTAATTTATGTGTAAAGGAAAGATTTTATATATGACTTCAAAAGTTATCAAAAGCGGTACATAAATTTGTATCACATTTTCAAGTAAATCGAAAATAGCCAAAAAAAAATTTTGGATTTGTATTGCCATTTTTGTTAAGTCTATAGCATGTACTATATTGATTATGCTTTATTTTTTTGAAAATACTTTTCAAGCGTGTGTAACACAGACAAATCCCGAAAAAATCGTACTGCTGTCAAATATTAATTGAAACCGATCCTCTACCTTGTTAATTCATTTCAAATTCAAAAATTTTATTTTCAAAACTCCAGTACTTTTTTTAGATTATTTAATGTTACACATGTTGTAAACATTGATTCGTGATTAAATTATGAAATAATATTGGTTCGTTTATTTATTTTCTAACAAAGAATTTTTATATTATAATGCATATAAATAAAATATATATAAAAATACATTATAAATGCAACAATAAAATACAGTCCTCTCTTGATCCGTCCACCCTGCACACACTGTATCCGCAGGTATTCAAACAATAGAGAATGTTAAACAATTTAAACACAAAAAAGTTTTGACAACCTAAGTGAGTTAAAACATCTAAAATAGAAATTAAGAAAGAATATACATACACATATGTAAAAACCCCTTGTGACTTGTGAATGCGTAATTTTGTGAACATTTTTATCTACTTATTATTATTATAATTTTATTAAATATGTAATAGATTTAATTATTTTGTTTATATGACGCAAAATAATGTTGTTCTCTTGAAAATGACAATACATAAAACAGTGAAATATTGTGAAAACAAAAACGCAAATTCCGAATATAATCTTTTAACTTTTTATTGTTGTTATTATTATCTTAATTTTTTAACCGCTAAAATTATGGCAATTTTTTATGTTGTTTTTTTCGTAATCCTAAACTTACATTTGCAAAAAAAAGGGATATGAAAGCATTATTTAGAGTTGAATAATATTAGATTCAAAGAGCATTAATGGAAATAATTAATGAAAGTATAATATACTGGGTGTTCAAAAATATAGGCTATTAAAGACATTTTTGCCGATAAAATGAGCATAAATCCGAAAACACTCGATATAGACCATAACAACCCTACACTTAGTATAAAAGGAAGTAACTGCTAATGGAATAATATACAGGATGTTTCCTTTAAAAAATTCCCACATATTTATGAACTACCACGTATATTTATAAATAACATTAAATTGTTTTTAGTATTATATACAACTTTTAAATTTTTTTTCTACAACAAATAATAAATGAGATATATATAAGGTTGTTCGGAAAGTCATTTCGTTTTTTCCCGTCAGAGGACTTAATTACGTTTTTTCGAAACCAACTTCACACTTAAGCCGCATAACCATTATATGTCTTGAGAGCTGATATTGCAAGGCTTGTGTGTGAAAAAGTTCTATTAATTCTACGCAGTAGTTTTTGGTTGGAGCCCTTTTAAATATGGAGAGCAATAAGCAGCATTTTCGTCATATTTTACTTTTTTACTTCAGAAAAGGTAAAAATGCTGTCCAAGCGAGAAAAAAATTGACGGATGTGTATGGAGAAGGCGTAGTAACAGTACGCCAGTGCCAGAACTGGTTTGCAAAATTTCGATCCGGCAATTTTGATGTCGAAGATGCACCACGGTCTGGAAGGCCGGTCGAAGCTGACAAAGATGCGATAAAGGCATTAGTTGATGCAAATCGGCGAATAACCACACGAGAGATCGGTGAGAGATTAAATTTGTCGAATTCGACTGTTTATGGCCATTTGAAAGGCATGGGCTTAACCTCGAAGCTCGATGTGTGGGTGTCCCATGTCCTTACGGAGCGAAATTTGTGTCGTCGCGTTGACGTGTGTGATTCGCTCCTCAAACGTCAAGAAAATGATCCATTTTTGAAGCGGATTATTACCGGGGACGAAAAATGGGTTGTATTCAACAATGTTAAACGCAAGAGGTCATGGAGCAGAAAAGATGAACCGGCTCAAAGCGTGTCAAAAGCCAACATTCACCAAAAAAAGGTGATGCTCTCCGTTTGGTGGGATGTCAAAGGAATCGTTTTTTTTGAGCTTTTGCCGGACAATACAACGATTAATTCAGAAGTCTATTGTCATCAACTGGACAAATTGAATGATTCACTTAAAGAGAAGAGGCCCGAATGAATCAACAGGAAGGGTGTAGTGTTCCACCAGGATAATGCGAGACCTCACACAAGTTTGGTCACTCGCCAAAAACTTTTACAGCTTGAATGGGACGTACTGCAACATCCACCATATTCTCCAGATCTGGCGCCTTCCGACTACTATTTGTTCCGGTCCCTGCAAAATTTTTTGGATGGCAAAACCTTTACCTCAAATGAAGATGTCAAAAACCACCTGAACCAGTTTTTCGCCAGCAAGGACCAAAACTTTTATGAGAGGGGAAATGTGTTACTGCCAGAAAGATGGCAAAAGGTGTTGAACCAGAATGGCCAATATATAATTTAATAAAATATTTATTCATTATACGAAAACTGTCTTTCATGTTCCCCAAAAAAAAACGAAATGACTTTCCGAACAACCCAATAATATATAATAACCTGGATATATATGAAATTTGCTTCTCATAAATCGATTCGCTTCGACAAAACGATCTCGGATTGTTGAAAAGTTAATATCTAAAATTTGTAATAAACGCTTTGACAAATAATACCTTTATTTCATTATAGTCATAACAATACGAAGAAATTACTATGTCAAACAACGGAGAGTCAGCAAAAGATCAACGATTTTTTACAATCGAAAAAAATGTTTTATTGCTAATGTTATACAAAGCGTTGCTATTCCAGATTTTTTCCATTTAAATTTTTATATTTTTTTAGTTACTTATTGCCAATGACATGACAATATCTTTATTTATCCGACTATTAGTATTAGTTCCATTTACATAGAAAAAATTAGAGTGATTTTTAATATCTTTATCAGAGTTGGCGAGGCTGATCTATGATTCTAATGTATAATATTCACATATTTAATTATCCTATCCTAGTCCTACTCCCACCGCAGACTTTAAATTGTGAGTCTTAGTAGCTGCAAAATTATGGTAGCTGATTTTATCACAGACTTGCGAAATACTGTCACAATTTCAAAATTTTAAAAATTCTTGTGTAGGATAAACCTAGGGTAGCTGTGAATAGGATGTACTTACTTTTTCGCGTTTTCATACTCCTCCATTTCTTTCTCTTCCCGCGACGGTATGTGAATGTTACGGTGTCGCAATTTCGTTCGTAGGGCGGGCGAGTGGGGAACCGTCCTTTGAGGCTGGCGCGGGTTCTTCTTCAATTCCGGGTTGCTTCGGAACCGTTGCGGCGTCCGGTTCTGGAACTGCCTAACCGATTCAGCGAAACTAATAAATTTCTGGGCAGAGCCGCGACCCAGACTATCCGACAAACCCGTTTTCTTTGTATGACCCGGTTTGGCAAGACTCTCCTGCAGGAAGTCAATTTGTTACATGAAACTTACAATAACGCTTATCCCTACCACACTGGAATTTGCTACCGGGACATCTGTATCAGCGACACGTAGACGCTCTATGTTTTCCCTGAAACCAGCATAATCACTCCAAATTAGAACAATATAATAAACCGACCTTAAAAATTTATCTTGCAATCCATTTTCTGAGAACATTACTAGAGTTCCCACACTCAGGGACTTTCTTAATGTAAAAAAATCCTGAGACTCTTGTTCATAAGAATGTGCCAAGGGATCCTTGTCACAATTACTGCTACTACGTTCCGTTTGGTGGTCGGAACCTAAAACATGCAAAACTATTATCACATCTAAAACTAGCGTTTAAGCTTTACCATGTTGTTCGAGAAACGGTTCTTCGGCAGTCAGATCCACAAACTGCATGGCGTTAAAGTCGTCGAACGTGTGCGCCATGATTTTTGCAAAAAGCAATGTAAAAAATTGCACCGACAAAGTTTTGCGAAGCTTTGGCCGTTAAGATGCGACGGAACATTCGAATTTGACGTATCATAGCAACCGTAGAATAAAAAAAATCCGTTCCATCTGAATCAGAATGATGGATGCTGATAATATTCTTGTTTTTGGGTTGGAGTCGTTTTAAAAAGCGAGGCGATAGTTATTTCGCAAGCTGATTGGACAATTTCGCCTTTTAATACCGTTCTTATCGACGGTGTCAAATTTTCGAATACGTCCACCGCAAAAAGATTCGTTCATTTGAGTTCATTTAAATACGTTCTCTGCATTCGTGGTCTGTGATGTAAACGAACGTGTCCCTTTATTCTATGAGGCCGAATTTGAAAAGGTGTCGGTTTACAAGTCTCTCGCAGATAATAAAAATGAGGAGGAGGGCAATGAAGAAACGCAACGAACGGGATGTAAATTTATTTTTGGTTTGACGTTTTTGTTTAAGTTATCATTTTTTGATTTTTGGAAACAAATCTATTTTTTTTTTGTTTTGCGGGGAGCGCTTTTGTTAAATTTTGTGATATTTACCAAATGGGGTTGTTACTTTTTTTAGAATTTTTTGTTTGGTAATTCTAGAAATGTAATTAATTTTTTTAATTCCTTATTGCAAGGAGTGTTATTGTTACACCTCTTACATAACGGTTACTTTTAAATAATGGTGGGTGTATGGGAGATAAAATTCCACTTTTTCTAAAAAAAAAACAAAGTTTGTGTTGCCTTCGCAACTTTTCTCGCTAATTTTCAATTATTCTTGCATGTAAAGTGTGTCTCAAAATAGGTCGTTATGGCTTGGCTTGGCTCAGAGGAGGAATTTATTCCATCAATAAAGATACAAGGGCAGGACTTTTTGAAAACTTTTAAACAATATCCGCGAAAAATAACGCGAGCTACCACGAAACCAAGAATATTACAAAATGATATTTATTTCGAGCCTATACAATAAGCATAATATCATATTTAACCTTTATATATAAATAAAAGCCAAGACGATTTACTTTGAGACAAACTATATCAAGTTATAATTAGAGACAACAGGCAAAATATTCTGTTATATTTACACCAGGTTTCACCCTGTTGACCCTGTTTGGTCAATTTAATTACATAGTTAAAAGTAACAGTCCAGTCTTTTAATGCCTAAAACTACTCAAAACGGCGAGTTCATCCCCAGTTTCGTGCCGAAATCCAATCGGGCCCTCTTCAGGAACCGCTTGTTGACCCTGCGGATAAAAACACAGTGAAAGCAATGGTATGTATCTTTTTGTATGAACAAACAATCTCTCTAGTGTGCATAGTGCATTCAGAAAACTAAGAAGGAAAGTTCATTCCATAAATCACAACAATTTTCAAAGCACTGGAGATGACAAGCAACGCTTTTTCAGTATCCCTAAACCTATTATATAATCGTTCAGTAATCCACGCCCATTGTGTGCTAAGGAATGAGCAACGGTGTTACATACTCCTCAAGAGTCTAGAAGATTGGGTGTGGGGTTCCTCAGAGATCCATTTTGGGGCCCTTACTTTTTCTACTAAATGCCAATTGTCTTTCCAAATGCGTTATTTGGTGTAAACCTGGGGGAACTTTTGCTGGGTTAGCACCAGAATTCGGGAGATGGTGTGACAATTGACTTAAATTTAGCACTACCAAAACCGGTATGACCGTTTAGAAAATCTGAGCTTTGGAAGTTGGAATCTTTTGCATGGTGTATTTGCCACAGTAAAGTCTGATGGTTCCACTAATATTGTTTATTAAGTTTTTCAAGTTTTTGACAGTGATTCTAGGTAGAAGAGAAACGATGATTTTTCAAATTTGTCATATTTGAAAGGGAGACGAAATGAAGGCAAAGAAGTTTTGACATATTAAGAACGCACGATTATGGGCTTTTTCACTCTAAACTGTCAAAAGTGCCTTTATTTTGGAAAAAAAAGTCAACCCGTCAGCCACAGTGTTTGATAGTTGGGAAGAGTTTGACAGTTTCACAAGTTCCATTTTAATGTATAACGATTTGGTTGGCAGTAATTGAAATACAGTCGAAACTCTATATAGCGAAATTGAAGGGACTGCTTTTTTTTTCGTTATAGAGTTATGGTCACTTGAATAATAACGAATATGTGTTCTGTAATATTTAATTATTTTATATACATATTTTAACATCTACTTAGGAACATTTTATATAAATATTTAAGAACTACATTTAATGTTTCAAATAATCGGTCATTTTCTTTTGAATTTTTTTAGTATACATCTCGTACTCGCGAGAGGCATCATAAAAAATTTCTCTAGCAGCTTAACTGAATATAGTGCTTGTTGAATCATTGGTGGTCGTCCCAGATTAACTTCTTCGTCTTCTTCTTCCTCTTGGTGCTCTTCCTCACCCTTTCTTGCATGTTGTACTACGGCTTCCTCTGTCAAGTCTGTTATTGTAGGCAAATCCTGATTTGTCACCATAAAATCTTGCAACTGCTCACTTGTAAAAGTAATTATTGTATGAAACTGCTTTATCCACTAGCTGTTCCCATTCTGTCTCGGTAATTTGAATTAAATTGTTGAATTCTTTCTGCTGTCACCTCTTTCCAAGCTTTACTAATAAAGTTGACTGCATCTAGCATATTAATGGAAAATTGGTCTTTGCTGTATCGGCTCTTTAAGACTTTTTATTACACTCTGGTTCATCGGCTGTAATACACTTGTTGTTTTGGCTGAAAGAAATTCCAATTCAATATTCTGTAGATTTGGAATATGGGGATGTGCAGGGCAGTTATCTAAGAGAGGTAATATTTTCCTCCCCTTTAATTCTCCTCTTCAAAAATTTGCGATGTTATCCATGCTGGCTTGTTTGCCTTGTAAATGAGTTTAGTTGATTTTCCAATCACGACTAGCTTTCGTTTTTCTCTCCCACTCATATTACTCATACACTTTTCGCTTTTTATTTATTTTTATTTATGATTTTTATTTATTTATGAGTTGTATCCGGCGTCATTTTGTAAAAAATACCAGTTTCGTTAGCAGGGTACTTTTCTGCTAGTTCTGGCCACGTCTTCTCGAGGTAATCGTTAGTGACGTTTCTGTCGACATCACGGGCTTCGCCCCTTCTCTGTCCATAATTTATACCACTATTGGAACCACTACAACATTGCCCGACCCAAATCCTTAAATTTTGGCTTTCCTAGTTTTTTACTAGAACTGCCTGCCGCTTCAGCCTGAATGATTTTTTCCGTATCAACGTCCCACATCACTTTTCCTCTCTCCCCGTTCTATTCCCCGAATTAAAGCAACTTTATCATCTAGAGAAAATGTTTCGCTTACTCGCCATGCTCGCCCTATCCACTGACTCAAATTAGAATTAATTGAAACAATGGTGTCCTTTTATACATACCGATAAAAATTAGATTATTAGGGTAAGGAATTCTGAGAAGGTAATAGACTCTATTAATTACGAGTCGGCCTACATTCCTTATAGAGAGTGAGAAATCCGTTATACAGAGTGGATTAATACATAGGTTTGAATGGAGCCCTAATGGTACAACAAATTTTGTTCGTAATACAGAGCTTTACGTTACGTTTCGCTATAGGGAGTGATAATATAGACTCTTATATGCGCTGATTGTCGATAAACAGGAGATCTGCTTCTGCCGTGTCGTTATCCATGCCCGATCCTCACCTGATTTCCTGCCTCTTGATGAACTCGTTGGTGACGAACACCAAGATCGGGGACAGTCCAGCGAAGAGGATCACCCACAGCGGGATGTCGAATCGTTTATCGGCTTCGGTTTCCGACGCCGCCCGCCTATATTCTAACACGGTGTAGCACGCCTGGAGGCAGACCCTGCGGAAGGCCTTTTAACAACCTGTGGGCGTCTCGTCCCCATACTTACAACGCGACGACGGTCGCGAGCCACGCCCCATTGCTGTGCGGCGATTTTCTGAACGTCAGCCTGTCTCTGTGGACGAAGCCTATCGACACAACGACTGAAATAAAGCGCTGACGTTGCTATAAAGCGCCCTCTAGCGAGTCGATCGTGGTTATTCTAAGGGAGCATGTCAGTGTATGGGGTCTTACTCGATGGGGACGCCTCAGGAAGTTAACATTGGAAAGGTGAAGTTTGTTACAACATCGGGAGTATCACAAGGAAGCACCTTGGAACCTCTGCGTATTTTCTTTATCAATTGCTCATTGTTTTGGGAGGGCGGTACCGAATAGAAGATTGATTCGCACCTTATCGCTATTAGAGATATATGGGCCTTGCCTAATGCCTATGAAGAAAATTTTGCGCGAGATTTAAAATCTAGCTTTCGATCAATGACAGCTGACACATCAACGACTAGGATGTATATTTCCAATCAATAACAAAATATCGCGAGTAGTCTCTTGGCTTCTTAATAAGGAATTAAAAAACACTTTAGCTTACAAACAATGATTGGATGCTGACCTGTTGCTTTTTTCAGAGCCTAACTAAAACTGGCTCTCGTTCTATTCTGTATCCGCTTATATATGGTTTGATGGGGGCGGAGCTAAAGGAAGCGCACGTACATTGTCTCAGGTGCCAGGTAAAGATCTGAGTTGTTTGGTTGCTTATAGATTTCTATAAATTCTCAGACCTATAGAGTAGTTTCCGTTAAGCTCTGAAGAAGCCAGCAGGATGATTAGCGAAACGTCAGCAAGTTTCATTTCTAAACCACCGATGAAAAAAAAATGATTACGTTATGTAATATGCTGTTAGACCACACTTAAGTCAGTAAAGCGTGAACCCAGAAATTATAGTCAACAGCAACATCATCGAAAAAACTACATTTATAGGTTTTATTTTGTCTCAAAACTACTCTAGACCTTTATTTTACCAAAAACTATCAATACGGTGTGTCTTGCTAGATAATAAAATCTTATTATAAACAAATGTAAAATTTTGAGCCTACCATGTAGATGTATGTTTGGACGAGAACCCCAGACGTCAAAACCAAGGAATTATCGATTATCATTATACATAAACAATCAAATCATCGGATATTAGACATAATAGACATAATATTGTCATTTTCCACTTTGATTATAAGATCGTCTCAAGACGTGTTGACATAGTACAAATTATTTATGTAAAGACTGAGTACTGCAAAACGTCCAACATCAGTTGAAGATCAACTGTGTCAAAGGTCTTGCAGTGAGCTGTAAATTTGTGAAGTTATATTGTATTGCTTGTTTCTTGCCGTCCGAGCGTCCATAGAATAAACGGTATTACCGAAATTCAGCAGCAGGACGAAACTGACGATGAGGCGGGCGGTGATCAGCGTCCAACTGTTCTCGACGAAGCCGCCGAAGGCGTCGCCGTCCGCGACGGGATTGTAGAAGAAAACGCAGCGACAGGAGGCGGGGTCGGAACACATGCGGCTGCAGTGGGCGGCCAACACGCCCACGTACGTCACGAGCGCCGTCAGCAGCGTCGGCAGGAACTTGAAACCGTAGCACCACAGTATAAAGGCGGCGGTCTGCGAAGCGGACGATTACGGATCGTGATCGTGGCCACGCCCACTGGTTCGCTCTTATGGACGTGCATGGCCAAAACGTTTATTCTGATATATCGATCAGTTTATATTTTCTTAGCTTACCTATTAATATTTTATTGAACTGAGGTGGCTTTTACTTAATGAAAAGCCATTTAACAAAATAAATAAGAACTAAAAGTACGGATTTTCACGAAATTTTAAATATTCACATTACAATTGTTTCGACAACACCGTGTCTTCGTCAAATGTAATATTTACAAACTACCTGCTACTATATATATATGTATATATATATATATATATATATATATATATATATATATATATATATATATATATATATATATATATATATATATATATATATATATATATATATATATATATATATATATATATATATATATATATATATATATATATATATAGTAGCAGCATAACGTCAGCAAGTTCAACTCAGCAAAAACCGACGCAGGAGGAATCCAGAAGTTCTGTGAAAAGTATTACGGTAACCTGTGGAAGTTTCTTTGAAAAATTAGCGTAGTTAATGTTAAATACGTTAGCAATCACTATTTATTAGGATGAACGCGGAACTGAATTTAAGGTAAGTCGTTGCAAAAACCGTAAAATAGTTAGATATTCCTTCCTATTCTTTTTTTAGTGTTTCACTGGCGCATGCACCATTTCTGCTTAGAAGTACGAGATGTACTAATTACTATCCCTCTCATATTTGTATATATGCCTATCATGTTAATTAATATTGCTTGTAACAATAACAAACGTTTTGGCCAAAATTTAGTTCGCGAACGAATCATTGGGCGACCCCTTCGAAACGCACTTACGTCCCACCGGAAGGCGGCTTTAATTTTGCCCTGGGGTCGTTTCATCACTTCCGCGTCTACCGGCCGTAACGAGAGGGCGACGGCGACGGCGGGCGTCGCGACGACCGCGAACCACAAGGTATGACCGGTGGTCAGTGGTCCGGGCAGCATCAGCGCCACCGCAGCAGTTTGCACGAAGCTGAGCGCGACGCTGCAACACAGCCAGTACTGCACGGAGCTCCAGAGGGTGGAGCCGAAGTGACGCGCTTCCATGATCAGGTGGTAAAGGGATATCGGGTCGGAACGCGTCACCGTCAGCGAACAAGCGATCGAGTTCAGCAGGCACGAGAGCTCGGTGGGACTGGGACAGGCGGTTTTGTCGAAGACCGCCATCTTCTGGCACACCTGAGGGTACAGCGGCTCGACCGACACCCTACGAACATTCGGTGGCTTAACCTTCGTCGTACCCCGTGGGGTACAAATGTACCCCAACAAATCAATTTTTTTTATATCTTTTTAAAAACTCTACACAAGGGTTCCGCAATTTTATTTATTGTCATTTAGTATTTACAGATTCATTTTCCGTATATTTTAGTTATGACGTGCATCAAAAAAGGCAAAAAAAAAAATTTTTACTGTGGAGTACACTAGTACCCCGTATGGCATGCCAAGATACTTATTTTGATAAGTCACTAGGCACACCCAATAAGATGCTTAAGTACTTTACTTCTGATCTAATTGACATTTCGTAATTACTTTATAAATATCAAACTTTGTCAAATAATATCTTCCACAATCGCAACAATATCTTCCGTTGTGACTTCCACTGGTCGACCAGTTCTTGAATCGTCTTCAAGGGACTCCTGCCCGATTCGAAAACGTTTTGCCCATTCTTTCGCTACAGAATACGAAGGAGAACTTTGGCCGTACACACCATCCAGCCTTTCTTTAATAATTTTAGGTGCTAACCCTTCTTTTGTCAAAAACTTTATGACTGCTCTGTACTCAATTTGCGTTATTTGCGACATTTTTTAGGACACGTCTTTTTTTAAAATGCTGTCATTAAAAAATTACTTGACGCAAGACTTTTTTTTTTGCAGCTAAGATAATATATTTGAAAGAAGACAAAGTTTTATCGTGATACTGGAGCTGCGTCTATATCAGGCCGGGAAATTTTGGAGCTAACCTCGTACTTTGCTGCGACAACCATATTAGGCCCATGGCATGGCTTCTTATGATCATATGAAGTTCTCTTTTCAAAATGGACCCACAAAACGCCCCCTTAATTATTGAAAACTCCCTGTATACGTACTATTTACAAAACTTCTGGTTTATTCCTACTTTGGTTACGTATAAATCAAATTTGCTGACCTGTTCGCTTCCTCAGAGCTGAAATGAACCAGTTTCAGTTCAGCTCCAGAAGGTTTGTAAATAGTATTACAGTAGCGTGTGAAACTTTCTTAAAAAAAAAAAAAAAAACTGTATACTTGTTAATAGAAAAAACTTTGGGGTATGTCGATTTTTCCCGCTTATGCTTACGCTGCGTCCGCCTGCATGAAGATGCCTGCGTTGTCGCAGTTTTGCGCCGAGCCGAGAATGCAGACGACCTCATTGTACTCCTGCATGATGGCGAGCATCTCTCTGGTCGCGGATGGGGTGCAATCGGTAAACAGGGACACTAGTAACGGCACGTTGTCGATGCACTCGATATGGGGGCGGATCTTGTCGATCCCACGGGGCAGTTTCGCCTATAGGGCAAGAGACAGCGACGGCCAGGCGTTAGTTAAATTATAAAACCTAAAAGCGTCTCTGTGTATGTCCCCTATACAGGTTGTTATTATTAATCGACAATCCGAAAATGTAACAAATTACGTTTTAAAGTTTTGCAAGCTTCATTTAAATCTTTAATTCAATTTCGCTGTTTTTTTTTACTGTAAGGAGAAAATTTCAATGAAAAAGGAGTTTTTCTACTCCCGTCTGTAAAATGCCTAATTACGCGCCGATCTAGCGTGCGGGAAGCGTCACTTTACCACGTCAGTTTCGTTTCTCCCGGATGCGTGCCACTTCGGACATTTCCGGGAGCGATCGGATGTTCTCGGAGATATTTCGAATTTTGACGTTTGTCAATTCTGACGGTCAAGTCAGTGAACGTTTTCGTGTTGTTTTGCAAAAAACTAACGGTCTTTTTTTTCTTTTTTCTATTTAGAACTTCATAAATAGACCAAATTATGATTATGTTGATGTTGATATTTTTTTTTATGTATAAATATCGACGTTAAGTAGCAAAAATGTCTTTAGTTGTCCAGCACATTATTTCTTCCGGCTTTTCTAGTATTCCCGGAATTAAATTTATACATAAAAATATTCGTATTTCCTCCGTTTTGATAGGCAATAAAACCTCGGATGATCTTCGTGGTTGTTGTTCTGCGTAGCGATTAGATTCAAGATATCTGTCGTTGTTTTATCTTAGTATAATTTAATAAAATCCTAAATAAACGAAAAAATTTTTGTAATATGTAACTTTAACAGTCGAGTTTCATTGCCGTTAGCGAGTAATTAACATAGGGACACTTTCCGATTTTATTACTAAACTAAGACCCGGAATTCGCGGGCTCTTGGACTACCATACAACTCACCCTGTTGCTGAGGTCGAAATTGATGGGGGCGCTCTGCTCTGTGCTGTCGGTGAGACAGCTGAGCGATTGCCAGTCGTGGGTGACACTGTCGCTGCGCATGGGCGGAGCTTCCCCCACGCCGACGTCTCCGTCGGCCGCGTTTTCGCTCTGGCGTCGCGACAGGTGGAACCGCTCCACCTCCGAGTCGAATTTGACGATCGAGTGTTCGAGGTTGATGGCGCTCGGCGCCGAAAAGCTCACCGTCCGAGACGATTCCAGGTGGTTGCTACGCCCCCAATATTACAGTTTTCGTTTTACATGTATATATATATATATATATATATATATATATATATATATATATATATATATATATATATATATACGCACGCGCACACACACGATCTGCGAGGGGGCGTGTCCTAAACCGAAGCGATGGCGACATTTTTTCATTCGAAAGTTTTGTTGTACACAAAGGAGTCGAATAAAAAGGATTTCATAAGAAATTTCGATACATATTAATACAGGGTACGCGAAAATAAGATTAAAAATGAAATTTAAAAAAAACTTTTTTTCAATGAAAACTACCTATATTGTCTGCATTGTCATATTGCCTCGTATTGTTTTACCCATGTTTAACACTCGTGGATTGTCCACGCCTTCAAAAAATACAAAACAGCTGTTGTAGGTTTGTATATGGCTTAAGGAACGTGTCCCCTAAAATTAAATCGTTGCGGTGGTTGAGAATAGACGAGCTATTTGAGTACCTGTTGGCTGTGTTAATATACTAGATCTTAAATTCTTCTAAAACTCCCTATTTAAACGATAAGCTAGTTTTTCGCTGTGAAAAAAGCTTCATAGTCTTTTAGAATTTTGTCTATAACTAAAACAGTTTGTATATAATAGAAAAAAATTCCGCCTTTAAGACACATCGCACCCGCCGTCCTTGCTAAGGGGTTAGTTCGGGCCCCGCCTTCAGCACCGCACACGTACACACACAAACCCAATCCCCTGCTACTATACCGTTGTTACCGATACCTATCGAGTGCGCGCGATTTGCAGTCGAGCCTGGGACGCATCGACGACGCCGTCTCCGTGGGGGGCGTGTCCCGTCTGCGCACACAGAGACCGAAAGCCACAGAAGAGGGGGTAAGAAGAAGAGGAGCATGCGTGTTAGTGACAGCGAGGCGTGCGCGCGTGACTTACCTGTGCCGCTCGCTCAGCAACGATATGTGACAGTTCCAGCCGCTCTCCAGGCCCATCTTCTCGCTGAACACCCTAGAGCGTAGCTCGTTCTCCTTGCTGAAATGGACGAAGCGCACGCACGCCCTCTCCAGCTGTTCGATGAGCTGCACCTGGGCGCGGTTTTAGACTGATGAGTCGCCTCGTACGGGGGCGGGTCCGCTTACCATGTCGGCCAGCGCCTGGTACTGCATCGTCACCATGCCGATGAATATCTGGTTGCAGTGCATCTGGAAGCAGGCCTCCGCCTCCGACGGGTTCTCGGCGACCGAGGCGGGGTAATCGTTGCACAGCAGCGAATCTGAAACGTCACGCTCATATCGAACAACAATCACCACAAGATAATTATCACCATTCGTAGCCCCCAAAAGGATTGTAAAAATGTACTGCCAAAGGATGAATCTAAACAAACAAGCAACAAGTATTAATTACTTTACTGCAATTACTACATTTAATTCCGTTTTAACAACTTCCATTCATACTGCCAGATATATTTCATAAATCTTATTTTTTAAGATCAACAAAGGGGTTGTTATATAGTTTTTTTATGTGGCGCCCATTTAATCCGGAAATAAATACCGAACACTGAGCTGCCCCGTACATCCTTTTTTCTTTTGATCTAACAGCGAAGCAAAGAAATTCTTACTCGTTCGTTTTTCAATATCTGAAATACGCGTTTGAGCGAACTCATCCATTTTTTTTCACATTTTGCCATTGTCTACATTAATGGCGGATGCGCCGGAAAATTAAATTTTTCTTTCCTTCGTCAATTTCATCATAAAATTAAGGATATTTCTAGTTTTGTCGGCGATTCTACCCCGTGGTTTTCGATATCCTGGTGGTTGGTACTCGATTGGAGCCCACGACAATTTCAGGAAAAGTGCTTCCCTTGTTTCCTGTCGCGTCAGTAACATGGTTCCACTTGCAATCACACTTACCCGATACTTTTTTAGGTCTTGTTTCCGCTTGACATTTAAAAGCCAGATAGGGTTACCAGAGCCATTAAGCCCCGCCTTTAATGGATACCTCTCCCTCTTGAGAAAAATTTTTGCTGACGAAGGATCTAGTTTTCACACTAGAACCAAATATTGTGGAGGTGCCCGTTTATAGTGAAGTGTTTTGGCAGATTCTTTTCCGTCTAATCCACGTTTGTGGGAATAGCAAAGACATGAGCACCGCCATGTCACAACAAGTGCTTACAAAAAAACGTTAAAGAAAACATTGAGAAGTGTTACAATCGAATAAATAAAATTCAAAACATCCATAAGTGTTTTTTAATTGGTAAAATTATAAAAAATATTTATATATTGTGTATAATCGGCAGTATTCGCCCCCTGCCGGTCCTTTACTGTAAAAAGATTTTTCATGAAAAATTATTATGAGAATCAGTAAGCTCCCTTGTCCGCACGGAGAGTCTATCTAAAATTGTTAAAGAATCTGTCTCATTTTTTTTTATGTGCGTAATCGACCGCGAACTCATACGCCTAAAACAATACCTTACAATTTTAGGTGATTCTTTTTCTCTTTCCCTATTTCTGCCTCCTCCTTTTTACCCTCGGTGGGTCTCTAGGCGGACAAAGACGACCCTGAGACCTTTAGGTGACATTATTTTTCGACCACGCCCCTTCGCTTACCCGTGCTGAAAAACTGGGCGGATTTGATCTTCGGATCGGGACCGCTCTTGCAGTCCAGGGGCGTCGGGCTGCGATGGCGCGACGGCAAAAGGCCCCCATCGCCGGGTAGCTCCAAGTAGACGTCACCGAGGGTGCCTGGTACCGGTCCCGCCAGGGGGCGGTACGCGAACGCAGTGCAGTACGCCGTCAGGCTGCTGCGTTGGTAAAAGTCCTGAATCTTTTTGCGATCCGTGTGGGTGAGGGGGCACAGGTCCGAGCCGTCCCAATAATCGACGCAGCAGTCGAGGACGATGTCGGCGGTGCCTTCGGTGAGCAGTTGGAAGCTGCCGCCGGCCAGTTGCTCGCGGACGGTCACCGAGAACGCGTGCGGAAATGGAAACTTCAAACGCGTCGACATGTGGAGCGTCCTGGCGTACTTGTTGTCCTTGCGCACCATTTCCGGCTGCTGCGTAGAGAGAAAGACGTCGGTTTCGACGAGAGTTTTCGGCAGACGCGAAGCGTGCTGTTCGACGGATGAAATTTGCCCACTCTGATTTGGCTATCGAACCGATTATTAGCCATTGCAACAAGACTCCTTTCGAAAAATCGTCAAAATTTATTTTGCACGCGCCCCGTACGGCAAAGGGCAAAGTTAAGGCAACCTTTAGTAAAAATTAAAATGTGTATTGGTAACTGCGATACTGTGCAAATAAAATTATCCCATCTTTAAGAGTGTTTCATTTATCGTTAATAATTTATCCGCAAAAACAGACATTTTCGGGATCTTTCAGAGTTTACTGGGAGAGACTCACCACGTGCCTGAACACCGAGAGCTGCTGCTCGAGCGCAAAGATCTTCTGCGCGGCGTCGACGAACCCGATCTCCTTGGCCAGCTCGCACAGGCACCGCCTATTCGTCACCGGTACGAGGTTTTCGTTGTACGTCGCCTCGCAGGCGATGTGCGAGCAAAACTTGGAGTAGTGTTCTTGCGTGCCCAAGTTGCAGGTGTTCAGCAGAATGGCGAGTCCGAGCGGTTTGAGCGACGCTAGATGGCGCTGCCAGTCCTGATCGTCGAACCGCAATCGGAAAGGGTCGTTGTGGGTGTGGGTGAGGTCGAGCACTTCGACGGTCGCCGAGTCGGGACTGTCCGATCGAAGATGGACGTCGGGGTTACCCGCCCCGCTACCCTCCGACCCGTCGTCTTTATTGGCGAGGAAGAAAATTTTCTCCGCAGTGGGGTTCGGCCACGAGAGCACCCCCTTCTTGTCGACGCACGCCAGTGCCTGTATAATAATAAAAATAATAATAGTCTTTATCGTGATATTAATTTATTTATCGACGGAGCCGAACGCCCAATATAAAATAAGATTCTCCTAAACAAAATTAGCGAGCGAATTTGACAGTCGAATATCCGCCTCTCCATGGTCAAATGGATTTCGGTATTTCTGTTACTTTCATTATTAAATCAGAATTAAAAAGTACCGTTATTTCTAATTTTATGAAACCCGTTAGTGTCTTTCAGCGAAACCTATCCGACAAAAAAAATGGAAATTAGTACAATTAGTTTTTTTTAAGAATTCGTTGGCTCTTTATTCTCGAAGAAATCCCTAAAAAATTAGTCCCAATCTAATAGGAAACACGATATTTAGCTTCGTTTTTGATAGATCTATCCGACAACAACATAAAAAGATTTTGCAAGGGCTCTTAAGTGGGACACACTGAGACGCGTGACATGGGGGCGGGGTGCTTACGTACAGACACCGAACCGAGCACGTGTAGAATGTTCGCGGAACGGCAGAGGATTTCGGGATCGGCCTTGACGATTTTCATGAAATTTAGCCACATCTGCGCGCGACTGTATTTGATTTCGTCGTGGTCCGCTGCGCTAATGTCGGTGTCCTCCTCGAAGGCGGAGCCGGCGCCGCGAAAATGGCGAGTCGCTTCGAAAATAGTCCTGAACCGGGCCATGCCGACGTAGTTGGACGCGGTCCACACCGCGGGAAACACGAGCGGCAACAGCGGCAAGATGGCGTTGCTCGGCGACACGAAGAACATGTTCGCCACCGAGTACCTGCCCAGGTACTGGTGGAAATACAGGTACCTGAAAAATGAGAGTGAAAGCGCGGCCGTTCTGTTGACCTTTGACCTTTGTTGGAATGCTGGAATGTCCGCTTTGACAATCTCAAATTAATATTAATTGCCTTGTTCCTATTCATTCTGATGTCCGTCTTCTGTCTGATTTTATTATTTCTCCTTTTCTTACTTCTTCTCTACTTATTGCTTATACCTTTGCCTCGTCTATCAACGCATCGTTCTGTTGAGTTTTTTCTTTCTTCAGACTTGTCGAAAACTTCCAAACTCCTAAATATCTTTCTAAGTTTTTTTTATCCTTTAGTTCAACATACATTTCAGGGTCTTGGGAGTTTTTCGTGGTAAACCATGTATGGTAAGCCATTTTCTTCTGCTCAACTTTTCCCTTTAGTTTTTGTCTCTTTGGCTGAGTTCCAAAGGTTCTTTTGGTTCTGGTGAATACATTTTTTGATTTGCTTTGGCAGTTTCGTTTCATGTCAGGGACATAACTCCATAAGACGTTCATTGTTATTATTAATTTGTTCTTAACCCGAAGACGCCGATTTTGACAAGTATTTGAAAGATATTGGCACGAAAAGGTAACTGTTTGTGTCAAAAAATGATAGTTTAAGCTGATATTTGCAATTTTGATGCGGTTTTAAGTACGATATGTGTCGGAAAAGCCGGTTTTGACTGGAATCTGTTTGACATGCGGAAGAAAAACCTACTATCAATCCAAGAAAGAGGGTTTTTAAGTAGTCATCTGCAGTTTTAATGTATATTTCAGTCTGGTAACTTATGAAAATGCAGGTTTTGACTATAACCTGCTCGAAATCAAGAGGGAAAACAAATTATTTGTCACAAAAAGAGGGGTTTTAAGTACATATCTGCAATTCTATGTTAGATTTCGGTACAATAAGAGGCGAAAAAGCAGATTCTGACTGGGATCTTATCGAAATCGGCAACTATTTGACTCACAAAGGGGGTTTTACGTCGATTTCTAATGGTTTATTACTGTTCTAGTTACTATAAAGTCCGAAGACGCCGATATTGACTAGTATTTGAAAGATATTGACACAAAAGGTAACTTACTATTGGTTGTGAGTTGCAATTCGCCAATTATACACAAGACATTAATTTATTCTATAATTTTACAAATTAAAAAAGAGATATTTTGAATTTCATTTTTACATTTTATTCATTCCAGTGTAACACTTGTTTTCATTAAAAAAAATTTAAGCACTTTTCCGTGGATATTGACAATTTTCAGTTCATTAGTTAATTCAGTACTGCATAATACACATAGCTTCTTTGTCGAGGTAGAATAATATTTCTATTACGAGTGTTCACTTGATTTTGTATATATTAATTTTTTAATTCACTATTCACAAGCTTGTTTGATACTCATCATCTGGATTGTTTTTCCAGACCTTATTTAATTTGTTTTTGTTATTGACTGAATGTATTAGGAGAAGAACAATCCATGTTTTTCTTGATTTTCAACTAGTAGTAACTTTTAAATGATAGCTTACAGATATTTCGAAATTTCTTTATCAAAATTTCTAACGCTTTTTCATTATTTGTTGCCAATTTTCAGAGACACATAATTTCCAGAATTTGTTATTATTTATTTGGGATTTTTCTTTAAGTTTGTATTTTATATTATTCCCATGAACCGAAGCATTTCTCAACATTGTGAATTACCAACTGATAAATTTTATGGACACTTGATGCATACCAGACCTTTTTATAAATTAAACCCAGCAATAGGGTACAGTACCTGAACAAATTCGACAAGAAAACAGAGACGAATACGACGGGCAGAACCACGCCCTCGACCACCTTGATCATCACGAAATAGCGCTCGCGATTGTGTTGCGTCACGGGCCTGTCGAGCGCCTCCTCCAGCGACAATTTGAGGTTATACAAGTAAGGCGTTTCCAGTAGTCTGCAAACAACGATGTTAGCGTCGCAAGGGGCGACCCGAACCGCCGCCCACCTATACTTTTTCGCTTCCAGCGGTCTTCTTGTCTTGGGCACGCTGAATATCTCGTTGGCATGTTGGATGGCGGGCGAAAACACCTCTTTCGCGTGCAGGATCGGATGTTCCGAGTGCTTGTCGAGTGCCTCGCAGTATCCGGGACTTACCTGACCAGGTTTAACTGAAACCTGAAGCAGTTAACGCCGAATAGCACCGCCGACCGTAAAATGGGGTACCTAGTATGACGTCATCCTTGACGAGAAGCGCCCACGGTAAATTTACCAGACGCCCGTTTCGGTACGTCCACTGCAAGGTGATGCAAGGGGACAGGGGCGTGTATAAATTCGGATAATTTTCGGGTTTCCAATCGAGACGACCGATTTGATTCTTTAGACGGTGGAGGACCATCCTTACGCGGGCAGGAATCTCGTCGTGTCTCGCCTTATTCTCGTACAGCATTATTGAAAGGTTAATGAACAGCAGCAACAGGATTATCAGCGCCTCGTAGAGTTCGACGTTGTCGCCGTCCATAAAGTATCCCAACGCGAGCGACAACGACGCCCACAATTGAAACGACGCGGATATCCAGTTGAGAGACGTGTGCCTGCTGTTATGGCTGAACGTATCCCTCACCCAAGACTTTCCTCGCCTAAATCGAGACGTACATTTGATCGTCGCGAGTTTGAAAATGGGCGGCCACGTTACCTCGACTTTCGGGAGTGCTCGAACTGCTGCAAAACCGACTCGATCTCGACGCACAGTTTGTTTATGGCCTCCCGAGTGTCGAGGCCCGGTTCTCTGTTGCATTGCGCCCCCGTTTCCATTTTGCCATAATCTCGAGCTGTATTTGGCAACGAGCCTAAATTTATATCGTCTGGGCTTTAGATTTTCGCATTTCTGGTTTATAGGTTATAAAAAAAATCGAGTGTCCGGAGGACGGTGCATCGACGTCGTAACCTATCTCTGTTCCGTGATGCCTGACGTCACGACCTCCATTTCCGAAAACAAAACACCTACTCGCATTTTCATTCAGCAGGAAATTTTGCAAATGAGCACGGAAAAGGAATCGACAACTATCCTAATCAGGGTGATGGTACAACCCATATATCTCGTTTTTAACCATATATATCATGGTAAAAATTGATGTGAAGAACGCGCCATTGATATTTTCGTAGAGAAGGTAGTGGTTTTCTTTCTTTCCAAACAACGGTTTCTGCGCATTTAACACCCATATTTTGAGAAAATAATGCCGTGTAATATCCGCAACTAGCTTATTGAAAATCTGTCAGCAGCCATCTTCGTTGTTCAGTGCTACAAGCTCATGTTGAATGGATCTTTTCGGTACGGCAAACCTCGTTAAATCTTCTGTGGAAATCGCTGTTTAGTAGGAAAACGGGGCAAAGTGCACGCCCATATCGGTCTAACTATTTCCCCTGTCCCGTAACGCATGACGTCACAATCCTTTTTAGTCCCGTTACTTGCGTTTCCGATTCGCGTAAGCGCAATTGTGGCAACGACCCGTAATTTCCATGGTCTCTGTTTTACAATTTCACATTTTCTGGTTTGTAGGATATAAAAATAAGTTACGAGTGTCGGGAAAATGGAGCATCGCCGTCTCTCTCTGTTCCGTGACGCCTGACGTCACAATCCTCCGGGCACGTTTTAGAAAAGAACATCACGTAAATGCATTGACGGAATCGACGGTTATGTCGGTCTAGGTCTTGTCCCTCGCGAGGCAAACTTCCAGTTTTGGAGTCGCGTTTCAAAGAAAAAAAAGGCACAAGAGACAAATTTTAATGTCCAAAAAATATTTACAAACGACCGCGAAAAAACAGACAGCCTCAATCGACGACCATCCTGTCTATGGTGATGTCCGTCCTCTGGTTTAACACCTTTACCGCCATTTTTGGTGCGAAACTGACCACGCCCATCTCTTTCAACGTCTTTTCCCTGATATCCTCGACGCCGGTGGCGCCCTCCAGCGCGACGAGAGTCTCGCGAAGCAACAACGCGGAACCCCTGCTCAAGGTGAGTAGCGTGCACGCGTCTGCGAGCCTGCGACAGAAAGAGGGTGACGAAGGGGTCGCCATGAAAATCGCGCCCTACTTAGCGAAATGGTTGGCCGGTTTGTCGCTAAACTGTGCGAAGAGCGGCAGCAGGTTCCTCGTTACGTCGAACTTGAGTTGCAGAGCGCCTCCGTCGTTGAACCTGTTGTCCATGACCAGGTCTTCGAAAAGGTAGTTGTCCAATTGCCCCGCCAGGTTGCGCCACACTGCATCGACGCAAATTAAAGAAAATCATAGACGGTCTCGCTCTCATGACCTCATCCGGCAAGAGACTGTCGTGCTTATTCTTAAAGATAAGTAAGTCCTTGAAATATTGGAATATTTTTATACTTTTTAAAAGGTTGGCTGTTTGTACTTAGACTGAAAATTTCTTGAACACTTTGATATCGTGCAGAAGTAACAGGAACTGATGAAAATTTAATTTATATTGTATTATTGTTACAGTGCATGGCTAAATGACAGTAATACAGAAAGCGAATATGAACAAAATTGTGAGAAGGGCCATTTTAACCAAATAAGGCATTTTTACGGCACTATTTTATCAAAATATACCTAGATTAAAATAATAATAAGAAAATGACGCAATCTGCAGGTGTGCGCATCAATTTTTACCGGAGTACATTATCTAATAGGTATATGTTATATGCCAATGAAACCTTGAAACTTCAAAATCATCCTGTTGGCTTCTTCAGAGCTTGACTGAAACTGGCTCGCATTTTACTCTGTACCTGCTTATATATGGTTTGAGGGGGGCGGGGCTAGAGGAGACGCATGAACCTTGTCTCGGATGAGTAATTCCAATATTGGTGAAGGTTAAGATTGTTTGGTTGAATTTGAGTTTTGAGAAAAATGATCGATAAACTGAAATAATGTCGAAACTAACCAGAATATTCTTTTTTTAATTGATCAATGAAGTGAAAGGGTTTTAGGATAGAAACTAGATATTTTGCTAGAGAATATGTCGGAGAACCAATGGTCTTGACGATAAATCGAAAAGGTAATCCTGGTTGATGGATCTTTGGTAGTTCTTAAAGTCGAGGAATTTTAAAGTCATGGGGGGTGACAGATTTTTTCACGGAGTCTGATAGAGAAGAAGCCTTAATAACAGATTTAAGGTTGCGATCTATAGATGACGTAGGATCTTTTTTTAACTTGACGATATGACCCGTCTGTAAGAATATCTTGAATCTTTTGCTGATATTCATTTGTGTCCATGACCACCGTAGTATTTAATTTAAGTGATCTACAAGAATTTCACACATACGTACACTCGAACGAAAAACGGTTGGTTAAAATCCTAAATATACTTAATGAATTTCTTTGAAAAAAAAAAAAGTTTACCCTGCGTGAAGAGCCGCGCCTGCAGGCCTTTCCGCAACTGATGCAGCCGCTTCGCTAGTACCTCGAATAAAGGGCAGGCGGAGGGCGTTAGGGACAGGCTGCGAAATTCCTTCTCGATTTTCATGGCGGACCATCTGGAATATGACGAGTGACTTGAAAAGTTTACGGAACGACTTAAAGGTTCAAAATTCGGGAGAGCGTTTTCAAAAACATTTATTTATACAGAAAGCAAAATAAAGTTCTATTCGAAAGCTGGAATAATTAAGGGCGATTTTACAATATGACAATCGAATAAATAGGGCTTTCGATGCGGTGTCAGCGAGACGTTATCTTCGCTTAGCTTTGGGCTTCGTCTGCAGTTTGGGGCATATAACTAACGTGTTGTATACTAAATTTTCTCTACGACCGTTAGTCGTAAAATTTGAACGAGTGTGAGCAGAGTAAGATTTAGCGAAGAAACCAGAAAAATCATTTAAAATGTCACTAGAACTATTTAATAATTTATCATTTACAACATCCTGTGTGAAATGTTAGCTGAGCCCTTTTTATTATTAACAAAACGCCACAAGTGGGCTAGAGGTAGGCGCCCATAAATATGTTACCCCAAGGCTCATTCGCAACTGCAATGCCGTTCGGAATTTTCGACGATTTGAACATTCGACCATTTGTGGTGTTTCCGCTCCCAATCCCGTGCGGTGAAATCCCGGAATTGTCCCGGATCCGTGGGAAACGAAACTGACGTGGTAAAGTGACGCTTCCCGGTGTGTAACGATATAAATCGCGCCGATTGGCGGTGGTTCTATAAATTACCTCTCCCTGCGGTACTGCCAACTTCTGCTTTTGACCTCGCCGACGACGCTCTCCACTATCACGCACAGCAGGTCGCGTCTAAAGTGCCGGTACAGCGATAGAGTGTCCGAGAACACCGACTCCGCCTCGAACCCGGGAGAGTCGTCCAAGTCGCTAATATCTGGCGGAGACGCCGGTGGTCCCGCCTCTGAACGTTTTTTGTAGTAATGCAGGCCGAGGTAGTGCAGGGCGGCGCCCCAGTCCGTCAGCACGCTTTCCACGTAGTACGCGGTGTTTGCGATCATCGGGACCGCAGACTCGACGACGTCGCCCTCCTCCGCGTTAGACAGCTGGAGCAGCCTGACGCGGAAATCGTCGAGCAGCTCCAGCTGGAGCTCGAGGAATTGCAGCCTGTGCCCGGGCTGCGGCAGGTTCTCGTACCTCTCGGTGATCGTCTGCAGCAGCGTTACGAACGCTTCCGCGCAGGCGGTGACCTGGAGGTCGTCGCCGTCGGCGACCAGCAGATCGAACGCCTCCTTGGGAGCTAAAATCGCGTCCATTTTTTCGACGGCAACTGCGAAGAGATAACCGCGCATGAACCGCGTGCCGGCCCCAAAAAGTGTCCTCCCCCATACATTTTTTCTCCATTTTTAGCCACTTGACGAACGCCTGGGACTGCGTGAGGACGATTAACACGCCCGGCTGCGTGGCCGGGTAGCCGTACGTCTCTCTCAGCTCCTTGTCGAAACCCAGCGCCTCGTCGACCGTGTGGGAGAACGTAAAATCGTCGAACTGCAGCGACGGAAGCTCGCGGTACAGCTTCTCGACCGCCAGTTGCACCAGCCCTCGCGTAAACTCCAACTGAGATATTATTATTCATAAATTATTACACGATTCTACAAATCTCATCTCTAGTCTAACCTTTCCACAGTGGTTAATGGTTTGATCATAGAATTAATATTCCCAGAAGGCTTGCACATATACGCACACACAGCTAATAGATAACGATTAAGAACGATTTTGATGCTCTCAATGAATTCAAGCTATTAAGGGCAAAACTAAATCAGATCTTAATAATTCTTATAAATTGTATGCGCTGCGTGCGCAAAAATAAACGCCAAGCAACCTTAATGTGATGACTCATACTTTAACGTTTCAGGGCTTTGTGACGTAGCTGTTTGGTGTCTTACTATTATTATGGACTGACCTTGGGATCGATGTGGTGTAAGCCCAGCTTGTAAATGACCGGTTGGAGCCATTTGTCGACGACATCTTTGTGATCCCGGATCCACGTCAGCACCTGAGTGAAATACCATTCTGGTTTGTCGGGTCTGTTGGTTTGGCGATTGCCGTAGAAATGGTATAGGAACCGATTCCTCAACGGCTGCACCAGTAGGCGTACCGGTACGCATACCGGATCGAAATGGCTTAACACCCCGGAAGCGACTGGCGAACGAGCACCACTCTCGGCCGGCAGTTCTATTTGGAACAGGTACTCGGCGACTGACTGAAGTTTTTCAACGTGAGACTGAAACGGCACCACCAGTGCAAAATTTGAGCTGATAAAAGGCCACTTCATCAGCTTGAGAGTGTCACCGAAATCTCTAAAAGTGACATAAGGGCCTGGCATTTATAACACACTCTGCGCCCCACCTACTTGGTCAGTTTATCATTTAGAACGTTTTGCCAGTATTCAATTGTCTGTTTAATATACTCCATTAAGTGATTCGCCCGGCAATCCCAAAGGGCCCTGCCCATTTCCGTTAGATTTACGAAAACTGTTACACACTGTTCGTCATTTTTCCTTGAGAATTCCCGTCCCAGTTCCCCGCTAAAAAGGTAAACCTGCCGATTGAATTCCGATTTGTACCGTGGTTTTACCAAAAATATTCCACGCGCTGGATTATCCGCATGTATTGGAGGGTGGTCTGCAAAACGTCAAGCTTGAGAAGCTGAGACTTTATGCCAGCCCGGGCCTCCTCAACTTCATCCAGATCATTATCGATTGCCTGTATTATTTCCTTGGCGTGTTTTACACACTTATTTGAATTTTCTAAAACTTGGGCGATTTCGCTAACCGCTTTACCCAACGACCCCTCCACGTTCGAAACGTCCAGCTGCAAGCAACAAATTATAAACGTTCAATCCTTAAAGCCCTTAGTGTACTTCTTTTTGCAAAGCGCTCTTCCGTTCCAACAGCTCGGCGTAAATATTTCTGCATTTCTCCAAATCTAAAAGGTCGCTTCCGTGTTTGACTTGCAGCGCGTTGCATATTTGCCGTTTTTTTTCATCCATTGTCACCGCGCAAACGATCGTTCATCTAGTACGAGCTGTGCAATTGCGACAAGATGGAAGCTAGGAAACACTTAAGAAATAAAAATCCTTAATTTTTCATAATGCAATTAAACGATAACTCAGAAAAACAACTCCTGAAACAAAAGGAAATATAACTTTTTTGTAGGTTATTCTTCTTCTTGTTTTTATTGGTCACAATCGACGGATGTAACAAAGTGCTCCCGATACGTACGTTTCAGTTTTTGACATATGTATGTTATGGTTTGTTATTTTTGTTACGGTGTTGGTGATTTTGAGATTTATATTTTTTCCAACGTATATCTTATTCAGTGTTTGTGTGTAGTGCTCCTGATTTTACGTGTTAATAAAGCGGAATTGTCTTTGTACTCTAGTACTTACTACATCAGAAATTAGTAGAAACGGACGGTATGGACATTTTAATTCAAAACGAAATGACGGTTGGTAATATAAATGGTCAAATGGCTTTGGAATTACCAGAATCAATTCGAAAATTTGAGGATAATGAATGAATAAATCAGAAGTATTACGAAGAAATCGGAAGGAGTTATGAAGGGAACATTCTTAGAATATTTTCGACGCAGACATTTGCACGTTTAGAAGAGGAGCTACCACACCTCGAAGTGGATATTGCAGATGAGGGTGAAGATGATAAGACAAACCAAATAGGAAATATGCTTTTATAACAAGTAAAATATATTTTTGAATTATTGCTTTTTTTGTAATTCACATAATTAGTACAAAATGTTATTTCTTTCCTCCTGTATGTTCTTGCTTCTTTCAATGGCGTTCCGAAACAGTTTAGTTTCTTGTGCTCGAGCTTCCCCGATATTTGCCAACATTCTTCGTAGATAACACATTCTACCCTTTGCCTCCCTAGTCTTGGAACTTCTAAAATGAAAACATGTTATAAGCCTCTAATTTTTTAATTATATGAATAAAAAAATTGTTGAAACTCAACGTAGGAGGTGGAAACAGGTGTACTGTTTCCACCTCCAATATTTCTTCTGTTTAGTGAAAATGCATTCTGCACCTAAATTACAATTGCATACCTATTTCGTGTGAGCGTAATTTGGGTTTAAAAAAGGTTACCGTTTGTTTGAAAAAAGACGTAACCTTGATAAGATCTAACGAAACTCGAGGAGTTTTCGAGAAAACTTTCCGTTGGAACCCTGAAAAAGGTTTTTTTCGGAATATTAATAATAATATAAATAACAATAGTATATTATGCAACAAGTGCGGTAACTGGCATTTGACTCGCACGAGTGAGTTAAAAAGTTTACCGAACGTGTTGCATACAACACTTTTTCTACGACCGTTAGTTTTTGGCCACATTTTCGCAAAACAACACGAATACATTCACTAACATGACTGTCAGAATTGACAAACGTCAAAATTCAAAGCGTGGGAAATAACTCCGAAAACATCTGATTGCTCTCAAACCCGTGCGGTAAATTCCCGGAAATATCAGAAACTGGCGCAGATCCATGGGAAACAGAACTGAGGTGGTAAAGTGACGCTTCCCACACTCTAGGTCAGTGTGTAATTAAGTATTTTACAGACGGGAGTAGAAAAAAAAAAGAAACCATCACTGTCCAATACACCTTGATCACATTCACCACTTTCAAAACCAAATTCTGCTTTTACAGATCGCTTCGCTACCGCTGCCTAGCACAAAATAAACAACTTGTTGGGTTTGTGGCGCATGTGCTACCGGACGTTCCCGCTACGGTTTTGTAAACTCTAAACGTCCAACACTTTCTCTCAGATAAACAACTTCGGACTCCCGTAACATAAAGAAATATAATTGTTTGTGGTTTGTTCTTCTTTTGTTTCTATGGGATAGTGACGCGCAAGAGCAGGTTATAAATCCGTAGTGGAAAATTTCTAACTGCGGTTTCCGGATACTAGATGGCGCCAGATCTCTCGTCGGTGGTCCGCGGTTAAAACGCGAGTTGTAACGGCGTTCTCGAGTGCGCTGCTCCGCGATTACGTTTTTTTTTAACCTCCGCGGTCGTCCCCGCCTCATGAATAATAATCGAGCGGCTTTCGTTTCGACCGAGACAACTGTCCGGAGCCGGTGGTCGGGAAGGAGAATTTCCCTCCCCAAAGCCGAGACCGTAAATTATCCAGCGAACGCCGAAAGCTAAAAATACCTGGGCCGCGACCGGAGTAGTGGTCGCGAATTTCTGCGGCGTTCACGTGCGTCAGTGGCAAGCCAGCGCCGTCATCTTGTACCTGTGTTTGTTTAAATAGACCGCGACCCGACCGCCACGGGTATTTTTTACTTTATCGCGACGAATCGCTTCAGGTGTGCTGCGAGTGCGGGTCCGTGCGAGTGTCGCCCGAGATTTAAATGTTAGAAAAAGTGCGTGTGTTCTGTTATGCGAAGCCGGTTCGTTGTTGGATACGCGCGGAACGGATAAGGACCAAAGGAATGTGATAAAAGGTTTGGGCTCTCTCTTTCTCTGTCTCTCAAAACGTATGGGTGAAAGTTTCTCGTTCTTCGACGATTAAACCATAAATTCGGATTCCGCGCCTCGTTGAAACGAATTTGAATATTTTAACCGTTTCGTGTATTGTTGGCCTGTCGGTGGACTTTTATGTGACCGAACGACGTCATTATCTAGCTGCCCACCGCTCTGGCCGATAATTTCCTTGTCTCTCGCGGATGTTTTAATCGTCGCCTTTTGTTGCCTCTCTAAAGTTGTCGTTTAAGCATACACGCTTTGTTTGGTTAACGCGTAACTAACCAAAACATGTCGGGACCGTGGATGACCTAGCGTTGACACCACATATGAAAAAAAAAATCATTCAGAACGTTTAAAATGTAGTTTTCGTCGAATGACCTTGCGTCATCCCACCACCAACATGGCCGGTGATAGATCTCGAATAAAGTGCGTGGAAATCGCTATTATATATTATCTATTAGCTATTACGGTCGTGACGTATCCATGTTATCGACCTGAGATAACTAATTTCGTATAAAGACAAAAAACATTCTGAGAAATTAATAAAATTAAAGCTAGGAATGATGCGTACCCACAATAATGAATCGACACGGATAATTAGTCTTAATAATATACATGTTGAAAATATGTAACTGTTGGTAGATATTAAATTGCTTTGTTTTCGTTATAGAACCATATTAATCGACTCACCGATCAACAAAATTGCTAGATACAATAGTATATCATGCAACAAGTTCGATAAATGTCATCTAGTCGACTAAGTTGCTGGTAGAAAAAATATATGTTTTGTTGAAACAAAAAAGTTATTTACTTGGCTGTTTTTTTAAACAATCGGAGTGAATTTAACGGCTAGCAACATAAAATTGCTAATATAATACACAATCAAACTGTTAATGATAACAAATATCTGTTTGTTAATTTGTAGGAAAAAAAAATTCTTAACTAATTATTTAAAAAATAACAATTTGAAAAAAACGTCCATTTGTTTATAAAAAAAATTATTAACAATTGGATCAATTTTTTTTTAGTTAATTAATGCCTTTTGTTAACATAAAAACGGTAAGTTAATGACAAATGGAACAAAAAATTTTAGATTACGGAGAATTTTCTTTTTTTGTTAACTTAAAAAAATAATTATAAACAAAGTATTTTATTTATTTACACTTTTCTCGTACTATCTTATTTTATGGCTATACAAGAAAGACTCCACGATTTTTAATCTACTTTATATGGCCTAAAAATTTTTTTTATTGTATTACTAACTCGCGAATAAATGTAGTTTCTTGGAATCCTGTAAATATTCATTAACGTTTCGATTGTAATTTCGATCTTGTTCAAAATATTTTTGTGACATCTGATGACACTTGACGTTGCGTTAATATATTAAAAATAAACATAATTTGTCATTTGATGAGGATTGGAATGGCATGCAAACTAGGTACGGATGTTTCCTACTAGCAAATATATTGGATAATTTAATTTTGTTAGATTAAAATTGAATGATATATTTTGAATATTTAGAATCGGTTTTGCAATTCATTGATTTTTTGGATTTCTATGCTTTCATAAAGTTCTCTTTTTTTTGGTGTTAGGTTCTGTTAGTAGGACTTTAACTTTTTGAAAATTAATTGTGTGTTTAGTGTTGTCACAATGGGTATGAAGAGCTGTTTTATTTTTTTTGTCATACTTTGTCTGTTTTTTTAAATACTGGCTTGTTTGTCCTATATACACACTGTCGCACTTAGAGCATGGAATTTCGTATACCATATTACTTCTTTTTTCAATTGGAGTTTTTGCTTTCAGTTTAGTGAAGAGATAGGTTTTTTGTAAATTATAACTTTTGTGTCCTATTTGAATTTTGGGTTCGCTGAAAATGGTTTTGAGTTTTTCCGATAACCCAAGTATATATGGTAGCGATATACATTTCAGGGTTTTGATGTTGGTTTTTGTTTACGTTACTATAATATTTGTTGGTAAGTTTACTAAACATATTATTAATTAAGTTTTTGGGATAATTATTTTCTAGAAGTGCGCGTTTTTCTTTTTCAAGTGCGTCTATATTCTAGATCGGATAACATTATTGCTCTGCCTGCGAAACCTATTATGACGGATTTTCTTTGGGCTAGGGGATGATTAATTGCGACGGTGTGTATGTGGGACAAACAAGATTGCTTCCGAAAAATCGTCACTGGACGTCGCAAGCAGCTTTTTATTATAAAAGGAAAGAACATCTTTAACGGTTTTTCATTTATCGCCAATAATTTACCCACAAACAAGGAAATTTTTAGTATATTTTAGATTTTTTGCCCACCCTGTATATGATACAATCATTGTTCGAAGTAAAGGTTACAGCCCTGGTTCAAGAATCTTTTGAAAATAGTAAACGGTTTTTTTCTGAAACCACGCAGTGCGCCGTAATAACCAATGACGTCATCCCGTCTTGACAGCCCCCGAAATAACGGATTTTTTCAAATATCCCGAGCAGCGAAAAAATGCCCGAAATAAATGTTATTGCACTGGATCTTTTGCGTCTGCCGGTTAAAGAATTTTGCCGATCGGATGAACGATTACGGAGGAAAACAAATTTTTCTGGAAGCTAAAATTACCAAAAAAATTTTTTCAAACATTTTTAAAAAATACTTGCTAAAATTGGATTGCGCCCAATTTCTGCCGTTTAAATGTGGACTTTTACTTCTCTGCTAAATTTGAAGTTGATATCTGCAAATCTAGAAGAAATCGGGAAGATCCTGTACAATAGGTGAAAACCTTGAATACAAAAGTTTTTGCTGTCTATGCGAGCTATATCGCAATATAAAAGAAAGTGAGATATGAATCATAGTCTTTCAGTTATAACCAATTTTCAATAATAGGGGACCCATTTTTCAGTTTTTTTGTATATTTTTGAAAACAAATTAAAAAGTTCATTTAAGCGAATAATTGGAATTAGAAAAAAAGAAGTTCTAGCACAGCGAAACACCCTGTATACATAAAAATACTATAAATAAAATGTGTACTTAAGGTTAAACATTCCTCACGTATAGGAGCATCTATATATATTCTAAGGAGGCTAAATGCATAGCTTTATAAATGCATTGCCGACGCCACTGGGCCGCCCAAAAGGCGACGACCCGTTAAAAGCGGTCGCGGTCGCGCTAAACCAACAATCGCCACGCTCCAGAAAATTCGCGGCCGCATCGTATTCGAGTCTCGTTTTGGGCGACGGTTACGGATCAGAAGCGGGATCGGTCGGGATAATTATTCAATAATAACTTCCCCTTAAATAGGTTCGCGAGCGGTTATTAACGCGGAAGACAAGCCATGGGAACTTTTTTAAAATTCTCCAGCAGTCGATTCGACCCGTCGTTAAGACAGGCATTTCGATCTCGTCGTTCAAACAAACATAAAGTTTTTACGGCGTACTTCGGTCGACGCGTAAAATTACGTTTTTTCTAATCAACGTAAAAAACGTGAAAAATCGCCCCGAACAGGGGGTCGATAAAGAACAAACCTAAAATCCGCTCAGAAAGTCAAACATTTGGTGAATATGTTATCAAGCAATTAACAGCACTTGAGGAGGACGAGGAACTCTTCTTAGATACTCAACACATTAACAATGTTATACATGATGCTAGGAAACAAATGATTGCAAAAAGGAATTCATGATAAAAATTGCAATTTATATAAGCAAAACATTTATATAAGCAAAAGAATTCTGAATCTATTACCTGAAATTCCAAATGTACGTTCTAATAATTCGACGAGCTCTAGAAAGTCCGTAGTTAAATTTTTTTTGTTGATATGTTAACCCTCGACGTGGAAAAGGTTTCATAACTCTTGTGGAAAGTGGGAACGCATCGTCCGCTACAATCACATATGGAACTTCCAACACTCGTGCAGGCAGTGGTCTATTTTGTGGAAAAAGTAAATATCCTGAAGACATGGCTTTAAATAAACCACTTTCTCTAAAAACTCCACCATCACTGGTCCTTCCATTTGCTCCCACGTTACAGTAAATTATTTTGTATTTTGCATCTGCGATAGCCAAAAGAACAATGGAGTGTTCAGCCTTATAGTTATAGTAATACGATCCTACCGAAATAGGTGCTCTAAATTTTATATGTCGTCCATCTAAAGCCCCAATGCAATTAGGAAACTGCCATAATGCGTCAAATTCTTCGGCTATATGCAACCAGTCCTTTCAATCTGGTGTCTACAAAAACAGAAAACGTAGGTACTTTACCATGTAATAGATGTGTGACATTTTTTTTATTATACAGGTCGTTTGAAAATTTAATACCAAAATTTTAAAATATAGGCATATAAAATATTGCTAGGTACTGAATGTGGAAACACCCTGTACATTGGTACTTACATTTCAATATTCTGTTTTAAGAACGATGTATACAGGGTTTTTCACTTAAAACTCCGCACGCCAATAAGTCCAAAACGAAAAGAAATATTTAATTTATGTAAAAAGTAGTCAAAGTGTGGGGTCAAGTAGATATTTCCTAAAGTTTAAAAAATTCGACGCCTGCAAAGAGCTGGGCGTCGCGACGCGTCGAAAAATTATTCGATCGCAGAGACTTTGGAAATACGCGCATACAAAAGTACATATTATTTAAAAACTTTTTTGTTATTTACTCAAACTTATTTACTTTACCCGTTTCTAAGTTATACCGATTTAAAGTGAACATTTCTTGATTAATAAAAAATGTGATTAACGCTATATTATGCCATGAATGTTAGTTACTATGGCAACCATTGTTATCGCAGTTTTAAGTGCAATTACAAACGTAAGTTGTTATTGCTGTATCAAAAAATTGTCACATTTTGTCACAAGAAATATCCAAATTTGTTCGGTTTAAAAAAAACTAAGAATTATTAGCAATGAGGAAAAAGTAGACATGTTACTGGTGTTTGGAGAATGCAGATGCAATTGTAGAGAAGCAAAAAGAGTTTACGCACGGCGTTATCCGCA